GTGGGTTCTATATGGTGTTGGCCACCGAAAACAAAGCTCTGGTCAAGGTTGAGTTGGCCATCCTGAGAGCGACCCTGTCACACCAGCTTTCAAAAAGTCCATTCCTCACCTTACGCATTTCGACCTCTACACGGCGACAGTGAGGCCACCACCACCGAACCGATGCCCAAAGGGACGCAGAAATAGTGTGGGAAGAGCGTCCCAGTGTCGGCTTGCCGATAGACCTCGCCGTCGTCGAGTAATGCCGTCGCCAAAACGGCATGATGTTTTCTAGTGTAACCCTTAACCATAACCTCCCTCTTTCCTATCGCTCTAACTTCTCTTGCTTCTCCTCACCTATACGTAATATGGACTCAAGCTGTTTCCATTGCCTTTCTTAAGTGACTGCTACCTTAGAACAAGCGTATTTTGCTTCAAACCTACGAAATCAGGTAAGAATATAATCATGGGGGTGCTAGCCTAGCAGTATACTGTTTATAGGGGTGGCCCTGACTAGAATCACGTGAGCCGCAGGGTTGAGGTCGTACCAGAATTTTCTTGTAACTGTCCCGTCTGTTGTTTGTCGCTCTCTAAGCTACATCTTGTTGTTGAACCTGGCTGTTAGTCTGACTGTCTAGTTGTAGATGGTCTATCAGACATCACTGTTCCCTACACAGCTTCATCTTCCTCTGTTTAAAGTAGCCTAACCCCGTGACACCAGATGTGCCGCTAAGCGGAGGCCCAGACACATTAAAAGATTTATCGGCAAACTAGATAACTAAGAAGTGATTCACGTAATAAAATATACCTCTGGTTTTGACTCCCGTCACGGAGTTAGAGTCGACATCAGAGTTAAGGGAGAACTACACCTTCCCATTCCTGTTTAGGTTGATCAACGAGAAAGCATCGAGAAGTAGAACTAGCCAATCTCATTTAAGCTAACGGCCTTAAGGAAGACTATGTTGGCACTAATTCCTGGGCTTAACAAGTTCCAGTTAACCCACGCTAAAATGTGACAGTAAGGTGGAGAGAGACGTCCCGCCCATAGGCTACAGCGACAACCTCAACGGTATGCTTTGGACAATATGATACGGAGCGAATTAGAGGCTGACATCATGCAAAGACTGCGTACTGCTTGATCTGAACAGTTCTCGGGACGAGACACCGTAAAAGCGCTGCCTTCTTCCGATATGTAAGATCATCCTGATCGTGGAAGACTGTAGGCGCTTCTAGTTCGGTTTTCTTGAGACTATGTCAGCCACCCTTTCCTTCCCGGCGGGCTAGCTGTCGTACGTTACGATGGTCGTCGAAGTTCAGTTCTTCGGCTCTTGCATCTGTACTGTTCTATGACGTCTGGAGAGACGAGCATGGAACATCGTCCATAACCAAGGAAGCCTCAGATGGCTTGTTTGCGTAATCTCTACCCGAGCCATCCTCATTGGGGTTCAGCAGAGCAGGTTCAAGGTGTTCAAGCGAGTCAACATGAGTGTCGCGTACAACGCTTTATGTGAACAGCTCACCAGTTGACGAAATGCTGCAGAGGAGTATCTGTGACACGGCCTGGAAGATCATGAAAGTGACGTAGGGTTCATGTCAGACGCTTCTTTAGAGAGAGTATCGGTTTAGCGGACGGCGATCTCAACAGTCAGATCACCAGAGCCAGCGATCGAATTGCATGCAACGTATTCTACTGCGCCAGCGTTGCACGTCTTGCGAGATTGCAGAGGATCGCGCGATGCGCATGCTTCGGCACAGCAGTAATCTCAATCAGTGCAAGTTGCCACAGTTTCTGATCGTTAGGTCAGCGTCGTGGGTACCCCTGATGTCTGCCATTCTTAGTATGTGAATAGGTAGGGCCCGTGCCATTCTCGTTTAGCACTGTTGGTCTTGGTCAGAAATCCAGTCTGTCACGGTTGGAAACAAAGGCACCTCATGAGAGATGGAATAGAACAGCTCACTGCAGCTGTATCTCCTCGTCATCAAGTCGGGATGGAAGCGCGAACTGGCGACAATACCATGAAATAACAGAGCGATCAAAGAGCTGCAAATCAGAAAATGTAAAGTACAATAGCATCCCAACAGAACACCACCTAAACCAGGTTTTACGGACGTGATCTCGATCTCCAAACATGTCACACACTGGCGCTATTTTTTTGGGATATACAATCTCTCCTGGCGTATGTGCATCCTTTCTGAAGTCATAGCTCTCGACACCAACCGAAGGTTCGTTTCCTGGCTCATCTCCCTCAAGAGCCTGCTGGGCCTTTTTGGCAGCGACAAATTTCTCAACATCGTCAATGTCTTACCTGTATGTAGTGGAACCGGGGTTCTGAGCGTCAAAGTAGTCGATTTTGGCCGAACCGCCGCGCTGAGGGTGCTTGATTTTGAGATCATCCTGGAGGACAAAGAGATTGTCGGCCGGATCGGTGCTTTGAAGCTCTGATCTAAGGCCTTCCCTGATCTGTCTTTCTACTATGTCTCGACGGCGCTTGCGAGACGCAGCCTTGACTCTCGCTTTTGCTACACTCGTGGGCGAGATGGCTCTGTCAATAGGTGTCCTACGATGTTTGGGGCGAGCTGTAGGGATGCGGAGAGAAATACTTGAACTTCTCGAACGGGTTCTCTGTAGCATTCTCCAAACGACTGCCGCCTCGAAGTGGTGCAGACTCGGGCACGATACTTTCGTCTACGGACGAATCGACATCACCTCTGTCAAGCTCCCCAAACCATTTGTTCGTGCCCCAGCGCTCATGCCTTGTGTGAACCGAGGCATGTCCTCCTTGATGGGTTCCATCATCTCCTGTGCCATTGGTCTTGCATCCACTTTAGATTGTAACATGATAGTGAGAATGGCAAGCAGTTCAGGACTGTAGTTTCGTTCAGTATTCTGAGGCGGTGAGTACTTCGGTACAAAGTGTTGTTGCTTGTAACCATGCCATTCTATGTCGCTTGTGTAATGATTGAAGCCTATGAGTAGCGACTGCACAACATAGCCGATCTGCCAGATGTTCTGTACGTAGGGCCGTATTGGCGTTGCAGGAGGGACAAGTCAAGCACCCCAGATTGTGAGAAGCTGTTGTCCCTTCGTAGATCTGGAAGAAAAGACGCCTGTCTACAAAGAGTCTATATTGCGTACGTACCGTATGAGACCCACTAGGCGCCTGCCAAACGTCCCGACAGCCTAGCATCCCTGAGATCTCCGGAGCAGACCATCCTTGCGTACATAAACCGAATGTCATGGCCTCATTCGAAGGATTTCCCGGGTAGGTGATATGTGAGCATCCAAAATCTCCAACATAGGCGGCCGGATAAGCAGGAAAACTGATGTTCTTGCCCATGAAACCAGGGGCATCAAGAAAGATGTTGTCGGGCTTGAGGTCAACATGGACAACTTGATACTCGGTGTCGCCACTGCGAAATGCTGTGTCTATAACCACGGCAGCAGAAACGAGTCGGTACGGCAGACACCAGGCAAATGGCTCCGGGAACTCGCGGCGGTTTCCGAATACAGGCCCATCGGGACCTTGTGCTTGCACCAGGCCGTGAAGGTCTCCAAAAGCAAAGTATGGCGAGTAACATCGCCAGGAATCGAGCGACCATGAACAATGCTTAGCGCCCAGTATAGGTACAGTGGAAACCTGATCTGGAGGTGAACCAATTGGAACTAGAAATTTTGAATGAAGACTTCCGAGATCTGTCCATGATCAAGACGACCATGGCGAGTGACCTGATGTGATCGTATCTCGGTGTATTTGAGCACGAAACGGTCGACTACTTTCTGATCTACGATTGAGACGAGGTTCCAGAGATATGCCCTGCCAAAGCCACCAGCGCCGAGCTTCGCGCCCAACACCCATGAATGCCCTTCTGGTGCATCAAAGCGAGGAGGCGCACGCTTTTCGATATCTATCCGTTTGTGGACCCCCGGTTTAGATTAGGGATTCATTTCGTAGAGTGTGTACCGCGTGATGGAGTTTGATTCGGTGAGTGAGTGTGTACGAAACATTGGTTATCGTCGAAGCTGGCACCTACAAAGATATAGCATAGGTTTCAATGCAAAATGTCACAAAGGGTTTTCCGAATCCGGCTTGGAGCGTTATTCAAAGGAAGAATTCCTTGATGTCAATTTATAAGTGTCAATCGCCGTGTATATCGCACTTCTTTGGTGGTCTCCGTGACAGGCACAAAATTTGACGTGGTTCGGTCAGTCGAAAGACTTGCGTCTCCGCGGCGCGTGGTTGGTTGACCTACTGGCAACGTATGCGATCGCGCAGTTCGGTAACTGAGAACAGAATGTGCCTGGCAGAGCAATTCGGACGTAATCCGATATGGCATTACCTGACACAATAGGATGTCAAATCTCTTCTGTCTCGGACGCCGACCTTTGGCGACGCGTGGGTCTACGGAGTGTGTCTTCGCTGCCATTGATGTGGTATGACAACAGCGAATGCTGATTTATAGCTTGAGACATGTGGGAGTGGTAGACGGCAATGCTAGTGGGGAAGAACAGTAAGTTGATGGAGGAAGACCAGGGAAGATTGGAACAAGAGGCACAGATACGGCCAGCGAACAGAAGCAGAGAAGATGAAGGTCAGAAGAAGATGCAGGAGTCGATTTGGAAGCTCGGACTGACTATACTGATGTGGTGAGATCATTCCTGCTTGTTGGCCGGTTAATATACAATGTGGTGCATCGTTATCATGGCACGATGTAGCTTCTATCATCAAGAGGAGGCTGTTCTTCGAGGTCAGGAGATGTGTCATTGTCTTATCTTACTTCTTCGCAGGGGCCTTGGTGAAGAAGGAACTCAACTTCATCATACCCGACGTATTAACCTTGCCCAATTGCTTGACACCCCTGCTCGTATTCTTTTTCTTCTGCTCTTCTTCCTCCTTTTTCCTTCTCTTAGTTGCTTCTCTTTCTTCGGCTTCCTCGTCGTTCATAGTGCTACGTTTGCGGGATATGTTGTCGGAGAGAGAGCGGATGGCTGCGGCGCGTCTTTTGGCGTCAGCGACAAAGGCGAGGTGGGTTTCGAGAGGAGTGAAGTCGGTAGGGGAAGAGGGGCTCGCGAGAAGTGTGTTCAAGGGGGTGTGGAGAGGAGTCGGGATGTAGGTCGAGAGGAGTAGGTTTAGAGCGGTGCGGAGGCGGAGGAGAGAGGTTATATTGTCGGGAGTAGAATCGGCATCTGAGGCGACGGAGGTGGTTTCGGTGACAGCCGAGGTTTGAGAAGGCTGTGATTGTTTTGTGGCTGTTGATTGTGTCGAGGAGTCTGCGTCATGTCCGGTGGTCGCTTGTGCTCCTAGTGTCGCATCGTCTTGTGACTCTGTTCGCTGGACCGCGATAAAAGGTACACGGAGAGCTTCTTGAACGAAGTTGCTTTCTATCGATGCAGGAAGACCATTGGCAACCATTCGCTGGGCCTTCCTTACGAGCTCAGCTAGTAGCTTCTCGTTGGACAGACGGAACATCTTCTCGTGGCCTAAGTCGACGTTGTCGCATACTACATCTGCTCTTTCCTCGAAAGACTCTTGGATTTTTGTGGTACGAAGCAGGTGGGCCAGATGCTTTGCTCCTTCGGCAAGCTTGTCGAGATGATCGTCAATGGTAAGGAAAAGCTGCTCGTGCGAGTCGGCAGTGGGAAGCAAGGCAGGTAGAAGGATGAACAGAGGGTCGACTGGTGTTGTGACGTATAGATCGGCATTCTCGATAGTATAGCCTGTCGAGAGAACAGAAGTATCCTCCAAGTTTCCGGTGATCGAGTGGTCAGGAGCTATCAAGCAGCTGCGAGATGCTCTCTTCGGCGCAGCGATTCGTGTGAAGTCATATATTCCTCTTTCTGGACAGAAGAAGTATCGACTTGAGGTTGAGGTCGCCAGGTTCGGCAAGGTGACAACACGAGCATCTGGCGAAGCTCCTACGGGTAGGACGAATAGTAGCGGAGGGTTGTTGCTGCTTGTTTCGAGGATGGCACTTTGGACGCCATTCTCTTCGACAAGAGCTGTGGTTGTTGGCTTTGATGCTCGGGTCTTCATTGTGAGTTGTAAGTGTTGGCGCAGAAGAAATGTTGCACAGGATCATGGGGGACGCGACTGCCGACACTAAAGTGCAAACGCGTGTCGCGTCATCTTGGCAGACGCCCGCACCATCTCTACGTGCGTGCGGCAGCGATAACCACAAAAGCGGAGGAGAGAGAGAGAGAGCATTGGCCAACGAAGCCAATGAGCCGAAGAGGGGTGCCGACTGGGGGACCAGAAAGATCATCATCTCCCAGCTGTTGTTTCATTTTGGATCTCGTTCCTTGTCTGCAAGAATTTCGACAAGCATGTCTGGCTGGTTCACCTCGTTCCTAAATTGCCGTCTTTGCATAGACGGTAAGTTGGTAGAAGATCAGTTGGTTGTTTCTGACGATACTGGTCTTATCCTCCCTCGAACTGGATATATCGGCGGTGATGCAGTAGATCTGGAAGAAGGCATTATTGCTCCTGGTCTGTTAGAGCTACACACAAATGGCCTACTTGGGTTCCATTTCACCCACTTCGACGATGAGAAAGAGTATGCTAGTCAGATCGACAAGGCTGCCAAGTTTCTCGTTACACAAGGTGTTACTGGCTTCTGGGCTACCATTCCGACAGTGGCCTCAGACGAATACAAAATGGTGGGTCTCCAACTCTTCACTCAAGTCTCCGCCTCTGGATGGACACAAGACAGTAATCCTAGTTGTCTATGGTAGCGCGACGATATCACTTGGAGGCAGAGCTTCTGACATGTGTCTCTCGACCTTTCCACACAAACCAGACCATGCCACTAACAAGATCGCGGCTGTGTAGATATTGCCATCTTTGAAGCCTAGGGCCATTGATGATAGCGCGTCTCTACTCGGAGCACACGCGGAAGGACCTTACCTAGCACCATCCAAGAAGGGCGCTCATAATTCAGACCATTTCTTCGATGGCAATCGGTCGGCGGAGGAAGTGTATGGGGTATCAGCGACATCGTCTGAGACTCTGAAATTTGTGACTCTAGCTCCTGAGCTCCCGGAGTCGACACAACTCATCAAAAGTCTTACATCCAACGGCATCAAAGTGTCGCTCGGTCATAGCGCAGCCACCTATGAGCAAGGTATTGAGGGAGTGAAAGCTGGCGCGACTATGTTAACGCATACATTGAATGCGATGACACCACTACACCACCGCGATCCCGGACTTGCTGGACTTGTCACAACTGCCAATACAGATACTCACGAGAGCCCATACTTCACGATCATCCCAGATGGCAATCACTTACACCCAAGCGTAGCGACGATGCTGTTCCGAGCCAACCCCGAAAAGTGCATCTTCATCACTGACAGCATTGAGCTTGCTGGACTGGATGACGGCGTCTACCCTGGACACGCACAAATACCGTTCAAACAGCGCAAAACGGGATCGAAGGTAACCATCGACGGGACAGACACGCTAGTGGGAGGGTGTGCCAGCTTACAGGAATGCATCCAAAACATGATGAAGTGGAGTGGATGCAACGTAGCAGAGGCAGTGAGATGTGTCACTGAGAATGTGGCAGATATGATGGGAGACACTAGCAGAGGCAAGCTAGAAGCAGGACGGAAGGCAGATTTTGTGGTGTTGAACGATGAAGGGGAAGTGCTACAGACGTGGGTGGCAGGTCTGAAGGTGTGGGAGAAGCGATGAACACAGAGGCTCTTTTCGCATATAGAGGCTTGCTTGCACACACGCAGAAACGCACTTTTTGATAGATCCTTAACATAGAACTTGGACATGGTTGTTGCCTGCACCGTCGCAATGCGCTTGTCAAGTTTGAGCGAGTTGACGAAGATGGTATTTTGGAAGAGGGGCCGGGTCCCTATCTGATCATCTCGTTACTTATCCACGCTTCACAAAAGCATACCTTTCGAGAGCATTGTTTGACTAATTCTTGCGGCTTCTTTTGCATCTTGCGACAAACGTAGTCGATGAATGCAAAGTTGACTGGAAGGTCCATGGTAGAAGGGCGGTCCTCATCACAGCCAAAACTGTCCATGCTCCAGTATAGAAGGCCGTGACGCACTGAGTGAGAAGGTTCATCATGGTCTTCTGGGCGGTAAGAAGGACTTAGGCCTTGGTGAAACCAATAATCTCCCAGCAGTGAGCTTGCTCGGCGCTCCAAGGAACCAGCTTGCCGTATTCGGGGCCTTGCATGGTAATATAGTTGCGTTTGAAAACAAAGGGCACGATGGAGAAGTGCTCAACAAGGACTATGTTGGCGTTGTCGAAGGCCAGCCATTTGTCAGGCTCATTGAACGTGCACTGGTGCAGCAAGCTAAGAAAGAGGGTGAGATTTCAGAGAGCGTCTCGACATCGAGGTAGAGCAAGAATCAGGATGGGTGAAATGTGAAGTTCTGAATTTTTGGCGTGGTTTCCTTCGGAAGTGCGGACTGTTTGTACCTTTGGGACCTGGCGCTTCTCAGTGTATGTTTGGCCAGGAGGTTCTACACGGACGAGTAGATGCGCGGCAGCCCATCTATGACTCGTTCAGGCAGACCAGTAGCCAGGAGCCTGTGCTGTATTGTCTTCAGATGAGTATGCGGCTGAATGCCACCAGCGAGAATGCAAATAGAAATGAGTATTGCAGCCCGACTTCGTGATCGACCGCGACCGCATAGCTTGCAGTGCACCATGTTCCTTTCCTGAAAATATCAGACGGTCAAACAGCCTTTGGGGAACGGGAACACAAACTGGAGAGAGAAGCTCGCATGAGCTTGACTAATAACCCAGCGATCCGCTTTTACGACAAGCAAAAGAGGCGGGAAACGAGAAGAGCTTCGATACCAAGAGCAAGTTACTGAGACCTGGAGCAAAGAGAATCTCCTGCCGTACACCATGCAAGGTAGAAGTGGCCATCACGTCGTCACATCGTCACCAGAATCCGAAGTCGAGTGTGAGAGCCATAACCCGATCCTTGTCGAACCTTTGATACTGAAGTGACCACTGCGATCGCGGGTTCCAGCCTCAAGCTTTTTTCTGTTCGATCGGGCTTCTGGTAAGCAAGGAATGCTGCGACACTGATGAACCCAAGTCTACAGGGGAACTACCATCCACCCAGCCAATCTCCGCAACGTCTTGCCGCTCCAGCATCGTACGATTGTCTCGATTTCTGAAACTGCAATAGCTCCGCCACGTGCCAGGTCGATTATATGAATAGCTTCCTAAGTTGCTCTACTAGGCCATCACCGTTCGAAGTTGCGTCGGGAACATGGGCTCGCCACAGAAATGACCAGAGCGCAAATTTGCCAACACAGAAAAGTAATCCGGGATGTCCTGAAGTGTAGACGACCAGAAAAGTTAGCAGCTCGATGGTTTTGGAGGCGTGAGGAGGAGAAGGTGGAAGTTCATGTTCGTTTTCATCCAGGTGATTACCGACAGTAATTCTATGCAAACGTAGCGTCGTCATCTCCAGATGCCATATCTTCGTCGTGCATGTCCAAATCTCCATCGTCCTCACCCAGACCTTCAAACACCATGAACTTTTCGTTTTTGATTTCAGCTGTGGTCGCATTGTCAGCAAGCATTCTGATACAGAAAGAAACATGGCAGAAAACATACTTCCCCACTTGACCACATAACCAGGTTGAACCTCACATTCAGTCAGGCGCGTTTTGTCCTCGTCCTTGGGACCACCTCCCTCGATTTTACTTCTCTTGCCTAGAATGCAACCGGTGAGTGTGACGTTCTCGCCAACTGTGCAACCTTCCATGAGCAGACACCTGGTCAATCTTGCGCCACTTCCAATGCTGCAGCCAACACCAATGACGGACTCCTTGATGTTGACTCTACTGCCTATCGTCACGTTCTCGGCGACCAGTGAATCAACCTCGCTGACTCGTGTTTGTTGCTGGATCATGTCTGGATGTGCAACCTTTGCAGCATGTGCGAAGGGTGATGGCGTAGCGCCAGTGGCTGTAGCTTCTGCGACAGAGGGTAATTTGGCTAGGCGCAGGGAGATGCTGAGAAGAAGGGATGAGGTGTCGACACGGCGGATAAGAGGCTGGTTGGTAGGATCGGTGAGAGGCGGCTGGACGTACGCCAGAATAGGAGGCACTACCAGGGGAGCTTGTGGCTCGTTGTCTGTTTGGAGGTTTCCCGGCACGCGTGATGCGAAAGTGTCTGGCGAAGGTGTGAGGGATGATGGTGTGGGCTGGGACATTGATGTTGTGCTCATGGCAGCCAAATCGACCTCTTCGTCAAGCTGCATGCTGCTCGCCATCATCAAATCGTCGGCGTCTTGTGCTGAGGGTGCGTCGCTCAAGACCTTGCGCAGGTTCAGCTTCTCGGCCAGACCCTGTTGCCAACCGGCCTTTGCCCACCAGCCGATGACATCCTCGGATAGCGAATCGAACTCTTCGTTCTCCTTGATCATATCCTTGACCCAAAAAGGCAGGAAGTAGACATGGGCGTCTCTGTGTGACGTCTTGATCTTGATCTTTCCGTGTTGGCGAAGCAGGGCGTGGCGCAGAGGGAAGCTCTTCTGCTCTTCTGTAATGTCCTTGACTGTGCTTGTGGGAATGCTCAAAACAAGTTTCTCGACATAAGGACCGAGGTGCCCCTCGGGGGCGGGGACTGCAGGACGTGGTAGAGGGGTTGTTGCGACCAAATCCGTCTCGTCGCCTTTCTGGCTAACGCCTTCGAGGCCTTTCGTAGGGTACCACACGGCCAAACCTCCTCTGCGACCGCTCTTTTCACCACCCATGGTCATGGGAACAGACTGGCCGTCGATTATACCACCAGTGGCACCGCCGAGACCAGCCTCGAGCACCATCCAAGACTGTAACAGCGCGGAGCCCTCCAGGTCGCATATCAAGTCGCAGGGTAGAACGATGAAGTCCGAGACAATGGCTTTTTGGACCTCGGGGGTGCGGAAGATCTCGGCGGTTCCGGTGGTTTGGGTCAAGGATTTGGGACAGAGTAGCTCAGGCCTTGGGACGGGAAGGCTTGTGAGGTGAGGATTTTGAGCGAGGGCGGATTCCAGAGGAGCAGCGCTTTCGGGCGGTGTGACGAGGGTGATGTTTGTGACGCCCATGCGGTAACACCAGTCCAGAGCGTACCATACCATGGGACGGTTGGCGATTGGCACGAGCGCCTTGGGGTAGTCTGCGACATTCGAGGTGAAGGTGTTGAGTGACAGGCCGGGCCCGCACAGGATGAAGGCCTGGAAGCCGGCGTAGGGCATATTTGTCGCGTGTGGCATGCCTTGTGGCTTTGAGTCTCGTCTATACAGACGTCGAATACGCGATTGTCCTCGTCGTGTTTCCGTGCCCGGGCTGCGTTCTGTGTCGTGATGGTAAGATGAACTTCTGACGCATCGCCAAACAGAATTTCGCGAACGAGTCGAAGCCGCCCGCCCGCACCTCGAACGTGCCAAGAACGCGGGGGACGATAATTACCTCCGGCAACAGCCTGGCTAAGAGCCTACGTTCTACCCATCCATCTTTATCACCATGGCTCATTGGCGTGTTGCAGGAAAGCAACCCGTGTGAAAACTTGGGACTCTCGATCGCGAACGTTGTGCAGCCCTTCACAACCTGATCGTCGAGCGAGGTTGGACTCAACGAGGCTTCGAACTCCATCAGCTTGACAAACGAACCCGTTGGGACTGTCATGGCGGGGATGCAGCTCTCGCAACTATCTCTGCCCGCCTCGATTCCTCTGTCGTGTCTTTCCCCAACGCTGTCTGGTATGGCTACAGTATGAATATCGCTGAGCAGGATCACGACTTCCATCGATGTCTCTCAGCACTGTCCTCGCCGGAACAGCTGTGGCAGAACACTAACTGGCTTGCTCGACATGATAGATCAAGGTAAGGTTCTCGCTGGCGATGACGATTATGGTGGTGAGCAGGAGCGTACGACCCCTTGGATTATGCCGTCTTATACCGAGCAAGATCTTGACGAGACTCTCAAAGCCTTCCAGTGTCTGATCGACGCCACCTGTGCTGCAATGCCCGGTCAGCCTGAGCAAAACGGAGATAGTCTGATTGATCTTGTCACTGGTGGTAACCCGGATAGTCTACCGTCTAGCAATTTCTCGCGCCGGTTCCTCTCCCAAGCAAGTAACCCTCCATTCACGTAGCATCGCACCCGGTTTGCACATTGCGCGATGTCAACCTTTTGCAGCAGTGCCGGAGTCTGTGAGACCGGGGGCTCTCTTTCCACTTCTGCTTATTTCGAGCGCTCAGCCCGCTTGTCGGCAGATCCGGCGGGCACCTCGGGGCGAAGGCTTGCCCATCTCGCGATTTCCATACGACTTCCAGTGCATTTCAGGATATCCAGGCGGTCTGTATCTGACAGAAACCGAATCTCAAGGCATGCACCCTTTCGAAGACGGTTGCAAGCTCGTCCTACCGTTCCCTCTCGGGACCAACATGTGTGCACGGACGAGCGATGGCGCGATCATAGGGGAGAACCTGCACGTTCAGGGAGTCGCCGTTGCCTATGGAATAGAACCCACGAGTATGGATCTCTATCAGCTGGGACACAATCGTTTCATCAAGACACACGGTGTTCAGCTTAAGCATTTTGGAGGTGGGCGGAAGTGATTGAAACGGGGAAGTGGACGGTTGATGCTGAAGGAGCGGTGGGAGGGATGGAGACATGAAGGAAGCCGATACGGAAAGCGCCTGGCAAGATTATCAGTTGCCTTTGAACTGGTAAGTTTGTGCGCTCTGCAGCATAGTAGAACAGACGTCGATGGCGGCTGGTGGCTGTATAGCCGTGCAAAGCAGATTCATTTTACAGAATAGCAAGACTTGAGACTGCTCGCCTTCCGGGGTCATGCAACAGCATCTCCAGGGTATGCATGAAGATGGTCAACATGTTGTTACTACTTCTCGCGTACGGTTGCCTAATGTCGATAAGGACATCGAGGACGTCATAATGAGTACGGTTGGTCAAAGCTTCGAAATGTTCAAGTTGACATACCCGGTCCAGCTCTCGAAGGCTCGAGCATCAAGCGAACTGGAGCTCATAAACAAGATGATTCTCACACAATGCAGACGGGCAATACTGTCACCCGCCGTCTCGGCATGTCGCCGAGCTATATCGACCCTTCCTAATAATCCTCACATTGTATGTCAAACCATCACCATCTCAGGTCGTCCGACTCACACAGAATCTTAGTACGTCCACCCACAATCGCCGACGGTCAATGTTCTTTCTTTCCTACCGACCTCGCCTCCCACAGGCTCACTTGCCATTGGTGTCTCGTCGCAAATCCCGCCCACGTCCGACTCCTTGCGCGAGAACCAATCATTCATGAAGGTGCTACAATCCGTGATACGAGAGCATGCGACCAAAGATCCCGAAGTCATTGGACAAGCTCAAGCATATGCAAGCTCAGCGGGATCATCGTTAGGGTCCGGTGGTGTTTTCTTCCCCCAGACGCAACACAAGCGCAGTAAGAGACGCGCAGGATATGGTGGTGGTGGCGGTGCCGGTGGTGACGGAGCCGGAGGTGCTTCTGCTCAGGGCGGCGCGGGTGGTGCTGGAAGAGGAGGATACATCCACGTCAGTGACCAGAGGAACCCTCCAGACTATGGCCGCACCGCATGGCCTGAAGACATCTTTGGAAGCCTCGAGGTCGACGCAGTCGGTAACTTTGTGGGCGAGAACGGCAGCTACCAAGAGAGTGGGACGTACAGATGTGTTACACGAGAGGGAATGTAAGTTCTGTGAGGTGGGGAGGAGGTATCGAACAAGGTACATTTGCTGACACGGTCGTAGCCTCGGACTCAGCCCCTACCTTCGTGAGAAGCTCATTGCACGACTCAAGCAACTCGAAGCAGAAAAGGGTAAATGAGACCTAAAACTTGCGGCGAAAGATAAACACTGTATTGTGCAATACGAAGACGAATTACGGTGCGGAAGCGGAGCATGCGCTGGGTTGTGGCGAATTTAATTAATGACACCAAGAGGATGAGCACAAGAAGCTCAAAAAAGAACTCGCCATCTCGAAATCCCTGATGTGATAAACGCCCAGGTCCGATACTCTGTCCTATGTGCTGTGTCGTTCGATTCGTACAATTTCGTTCGTTTTTTCTACCAGGCTTCCCACTTCTGACCGCCCATGGCAACGAGTCGGTTGAACAACTCATCTCTAAGAGCCATTGCAGTAATGGTGAAGACCTCGCCAGTCTTGCTCACAATCTCCATACCATCAGCAACCTCGCGGTCAAGTGCCCAGCCTACAACCAACTTCGCCTTCCATCCAAGTCCACCGACCTTCTTCATCTCTTTGATGTCAGCAATGGGAACAGTCCAGACTGGATGTAGCTCCTCCTCGCGGCCAAGCGAACCTAATTCGGCAACCTTCTTGTCCAATGTGAAAGACACGCAGGGAATGGCCGTCCTGGTGGAGATGATGGTGTGACCCCTCTTGCCGTGGAAGCGGCAAGCAAAGTCAACTGGGCCGTCAACGTTGTAGTCCTTTGTCTTGGGAATGGCACCGAGGCGTTGCTTGGACGGCTCGCTTCCTGCCTTGGCCTTGAGCTTGTCGGCGCCCAGAGCAGTCTCGACGGTGCCCTTGACAGTACTTTTGAAGAAAGATACGAGCTTGTGTCCCTTCTTGCCATGTTTACTGTCCTTGCTGTGGTCAATATCAGCACCAGCGGTTTCATGAGCAGTTGTGGGGTCGTGGGCCATGGCAGCGTCTAGTTCTTCTTGTGTCGCGTTCAACGGCCAGTCGGCACCAGTAGCACGCAAGTGCACGTCAGTTATCTCTGCAGGAACATCCGGTGGCGGCTCCTTGCTGTGTGGTGGAGGTGGAAGAGGAGCCTTGTTCGCCTCGCCGATTCGAAGAAGAGTGATGGTGAGTTGAGCATTGGTAGGGACACCCTTGAGCAGAGTATTGCGGATCTCAAGCAGCTTTTGCCAGTGAGGAAAGGTACGGTTGAGCCATCGCAAACCAGGTTGAATCACGGGGTCGCCAAAGAATCCGAAGCCGATGCCGAAAGTGACACCCTTGGTGAACATGTAGGCTGAAGTCAACAGAGAGACTCCAATCAACGGGACAACGACAGCAGCCAGACGCAGGCGGTAGAGGTCGTGGGGGAAAGGTGGGGTGGGAGACAGGGCATTGGCAAAGCGCTCCCAGGTGTCGGCCACGTCGGCGAGCCCATGCATGATGGGCCTCATCTTGCTCCACATGGCAGTCTCCATGGGCACCTTTGTCTTGTCATGTGTATGAGCAGCCACCTTGCCTTCAGCCGAGGTTTTTGCAGAACTGGCGCCGATGGCGATAGCAGTAGGATCAGGGACGCTATCGGCAACGCCCCCCTGTCCTGGTGGAGGCTCGGTTTGTGGGTGTTTACCGCTGGCGCTCGCGAGGGCGACCGAAGCGATACTGTTGACAAAGTTGCTGGCCTCTGCTTCGGCGGCCTCGCCCTTGTGCTGTTCTGGAGCTCCTGTGGCCGTGTCCGTACTGCCTAACACACCTGCCTTTGGCTTTTGCACGCCTCCGGTCTTGGCGTCGACGAGAGCGAGAGGAGCGGGAGGAAACATGGCGTCGCGTGAAGGCGGGTAAACTATCAGAACGACGAGGGTGATTGTGAACAACGGGACGAGCATGTCGAGCAGCCAGGCGACAAAGTATGCGGCGCAGAAGTAAGCAGTACGGTTTCGTTCGCGCCATGATCTCAGACGGCCGACCTGCTTGATAAAGCCCATCAGACCCAGGCCGACCGTCATGTACAGGCGTTCAATGGTGGCGCGTAGCTTATCGGGCGAGAATTCGTCTTCGTCGGCGATGTTCAGGTCGAGGTTGCCAGGCACGGGATAAGGATACTCCTTGACGTGGTACATTTGCTGCCGGCGTCAGATTGGAGATTGCTGGGGACGGAAGCTGTTGTCTACACACCTTGTTGAAGCGACGGACCAAGACCCAGAGCTCCTCGTTGTCCATGCCACCGACGAGAGGAGCGGGAATCTTCTCAGGAGGCTCATTCCAGCCCAGGTCCTTGACTTCGGCATTGTGGGCGAGCTGCGCGACTCCCTTCACGTCAATATCGGCTTGGGCAAGAGCATGACTGGCCGTGGGTTCTTCGGTCAGATTCTGGGCGGCTTCCGTCGCGGTGCTTGTCGTCGTAGATGCATCAAACGTATTTGGTTGGGCTGCTGGATGATTGATGGGGTGCAGGTCCTGGTAGACGACACCAGTGCCCGTAGTGGATTCTGACATGGTGCTTGTGATGTCTGTTGCAAGCTACAGATAATCCAAAGTCCAGACTGTGGAGAGGCTCTGGGTCATATCGAGCATGACGAAAAGGCAATCACAATCCCTGCCGTCGTTCCTGCCAAAGTTCATCCCGCCCTACGTCATGATTGTCCCGTCAAGTTTCAGGTTTGGCTTTCGAGCCACGTTTCCGCACCACGTGATTGCGTGTCGCCGTATCGCGAACCAGATCCGTGCCATTATCCTACCATTACTCCACCCACGACTTCTTCACATCTCGGCCGTTCGCGTCTGGACAGACACAAGGAAACCTTCAATAGCGTCAAGCTAAGTTTTGATATGATCTGCGACGCTCACGGCAAACATGGCAGCACGGACAAAGCACTCTCGTAGGCTCGATCCGTCTCCAGAGACAAGCCGGGCTGGAGAACAATACTAAGCACCCACCGAACTTACCACCCAAGACAGAAAGTCTACACGATACCTGCATGTCGCACACATTTATATCGTATACCAGAGGGCTTTTCCAGCTCGCGCTCACATAGGTTGGTCGCTCTCACTCCCTAATGCCATTGCCGTCTCAAGTCTGCCTTTGGTCCATGTTCGAGACAGCCGGTCTAGTTTGGTCTTCACCACCAATTTGTTCTCCATTTGTCACCTCTCCTTTGTATTGTTCTCTCTTTCTGTTCTTGTCCCCTGCTCCTGATCCTTCCACACATAATATCCTTCGCATATTGTTCAAGAACAATCATCTGTCAACGTACCTACGAACTGGCTGCTATTCTTCCTCTTCCTTTCTCTCGTTTGCATTGTTGCTCAGTAGTCGTGTCGACCAAATACAAGCAGCATTGATCAGATCAAGCCACTACACACTCGATCATCTCCAGTAATCCATCCCACTCGATCCCGCCATCAACAAATCGTCTAGCCGGTCAGCAGCCATGTCATCAATGGATCCATCTTTGATAGACGCCTTCCTGGACAAGTCCGCTGTATACAACCAATCATTCACCATAGTCGATCGTCACGGTCAACAGACCCAATTTCCGTTGTGGTACGTCGATACTCTGATCGTGGATGCTGTCATCCATGGTATCATTCCGGGAGTCCAATTCGGTGCGAGCTTGATCCTCTTTCTCGTACTGCTTCTTCTCTCCAAGCACGACAAGCGACGCTCGCCGGTCTTCATCTTCAATACAGCCGCCTTGTTTTTCAACCTCATCTACGCCATACTGCAATGCTGCATCGTGACCAGCAGTTGGTGGGACATCTACCCCATTCTGGTTGGTGACTATGGTGTAGTGACACCAGCTGCTCAACGTCTGACTGTTGCTGTTTCAATATTCGCCACGCTCGTCGCCCTGTGTATCGAGATCTCCTTGGTCCTCCAGGTACACGTGGTCAGCGTTACGATGCGAACGTGGCAGAAGCTGTCTGTTCTGGCCATATCCTCATTTGTGGCTGTGGTAGCTATGGGATTTCGTGTTGCACAGTCAGTGGTCTCGGTCAGATGCAACACCAAAGCAGATGCATTCTGCAGCAGCACGACCTGGCTGGCTAAAGCAAAAGACATCAGCTTGACCTTGAGCATCTGTTTCTTCAGCGCAATCTTCTGCGCCAAGCTGGGATGGTCGCTTCGCGAGCGTCGCAAGCTGGGTATGAACCAGTTTGGCAGCATGCAAATCATCTTCATTGGCGGGTTCCAAACCATGTTTATTCCCGGTAAGTTTCGTCCAATCATCCTCAATCCTTGTATGCGGCTGACATTCTCGAGCAATCTTCTCGCTCATTCAATTCATCAAGGCGGAGAACATTCCCAACATCGGCACAAACATCCTGACAGCAACTTGCATCTCACTGCCCTTGACATCGATTTGGGCCGCTTCTCATGCTGCTGCGCCGTCGAAGGCTGCTCGTGGGCACGATTTTCATCGCAAGTTCCTTGTCGACTCCAGCACCGCCGACTCCACAATCCGCAAGACCAGCGAAACACCTCAATGGTCACCTTCTCAGACAACATCACAATCGACTGCAAAAGGAAGGCTGGGCGTGCTCAACAGCGTGGATAGTAGATCTGATGTTGGTGGTTGGACCAAGTATAGTTCCAGCCCAAGACAGATGACCGGTGTGAGAGACGTTGACCATGATCTGGAGATGCAGGAGTTGAAGGAGAGAGAATGATATCGCTTGATGAGCGGCTGAGGCAGAAGGTGAATGGTCGAGGACGTTGGCGCCGAGCACCATCTGATCCAAGCAAATTGATAAGCAAGGTGTGACGATGTCCGTCTGTCTACTCCAGAATCCAAGGATTCTCTTGCCAGAAGTTATCCTTGATGATATCGATGTGTTCCACCACAACCCTAGCTTTTTGTTTCCTCTTTCTTTCCTTTTCCATTTGCGTTCTCGACAGGGGCTTCTTCTTTCCTTGTTCCGTTCCTCGTTCATTCCTTGATTGGGGAGGTTGGTTTTCCGATGTCGGCTCCTTGACTGATTGCTTATCCTCAAACTAATGGTTCTTGTTAGCATCAACCAACTAAGACAAGGAAAAAGAAGCTACTTTTCTGTATACAACACTGCCTTTTTTCCAAATCTCGTCTTCTTTGTCGTAGTTGAGCTTGAACTTCTGGAAAAGGATCTCGTGCTTGTCCTTTGAAAATGTACCCTTTTGTGTGTCAGCAAGGAAGAGCAGCCACAGTGAAGCAAGGCTTACCTTGAGCGCTAGCTCAGCTTCTGTAGGAGTCATCGCCGGTGTATCTGTAACTGGATTGCCCTTGACCATGTTCCAGAACGTAGTGTTGTAGAGATTATTGACATGACCTGTCATGAGAATCAGCAGAGGCCAAATTTTAGAAACAAGTACGGCGCACAATCAGCTTGCCTCCAACTCAGATAATCTCTCAAGATCTTCTTCTTGGGATACAAAACACACCTCCCATCGAAGGTAGGAAACGGCCTCTCTAGAATCTGTCCGGGAAAATACTTATCCCATTGCATACAGTACTCGACAGAAAACGCTGTTGAGATGCTTGTCGCAAGTTTCGCTGCTCGTCGTTCGAACAGTTGGCAGTCTTCATGGAGCACAAAACTGTATTCGTCCGACTGACCATAGGCGACGACGATATCTGTGAACTGTTTTACAACTTCAACGGCCGCCGCGTTCATTAGGTCTATGGCTCGACGATCGTTAGGCTTAGAAAAATTCTGGCGTTTCGAAAATCTGGTAAAGACATCAGTTGTCTGTTCCAGCGATAGCAAGCAGCAATAGGAAGAGGCCATCTCCAATCTGTGTATGTGGAAAAGAAAGAAGCGTATCTGATAGTAGCATCAAAAATGCTCCTCCATTGTATGCAATACCCTCATCCACACGAACCAACTTGCTGTTCCGATCAATCATCGATTACAACACCGGATGACCCAGAACTAAAACTCCAAGGAGATTGAATGAACAGCGGCAACTGAAAAGGACTTACTTGCTGAATCCTCTTCCATCAATTCGCACGACGATCCAGTTACTTGGCGCAAGCGCATCCCAGTCTTCGAACTTTCGCACATACTCGAATCTGTTTTCCAGGCATTGCAGTGAGCAAAAGGTGCGCATAGGCTTCCGATGCTGGCCAAATTTTAGACTTACTCGCTGTTGGCCATGTTGATGGTCGCTGTACAATTTATCTTGATGTGATGAGGCTGTCGGCGATGAGAAAGTCTGCCCGGCACTGAAAGACGGAAACGCGCAACGATGAACTCAACAACCAGAGCACTGATGGTAATTGATGGGGTTGATAGTATCGGTATGGAGTGGTGGATGGTAACTAGCTAGCTATATGGTTGGCAACATGGAAGTGGCACAGCGCTGCACGTGCCTTTTTTGGTGATGAGAAAGAAGAAGCACGTTCTGTCATCGGCGCTTATAACATACTAGTCGACTCATTGGGTCCCCATCAACGAGTGCGATTCACTCAACACGTCTATACGCTTGCGTTCGTTTAGTCGATATCACTCTGCTGTCACACTTCTCTACCAAACGACGTTGACAAGAGCCAATCGGCTCGGGATTGCGATGGCCAAGGGCTCCGCCAACCAGACGAGGAGCGTGCCCAACAAACACTTGCATGCACGCATCGCCTACCTGCACCAGGCTGCCACCCACCTCGCCCTTCAGGCACCGGCTGTGACACACACTGACCCATCAAATCTGCAACAGCGTGGTCTGCCTCTTCTGCTCACCGCTCAACTCCAAGCCGTCTCACAAAAGGCTCAGATTCGTTTGTCTCATGACATGAAGCGTTCCATCTGTGAGGCTTGCAGCACGCCTCTAATACCAGGCACGACTTCAGAGACGCGCATCGAGAACAAGAGCAGGGCCGAAAAGAAGCCTTGTGCCGATGTCCTTGTCATCCAGTGCCGGAATTGTCATGCTGAAAAGAGGTTCCCCATCGGTGCTCAACGTCAGAAGAGAAAGGCAGAGCGTAGGCTTGCATCTGTCGCCGTCGACCCGAAAGGTGCAAAGAAACAGGTTTCAGAAGTGGAAATGGTTGGCGTCTGAACTCGCCCGGCTTTTTCTGAAGACAGACGATCACTTCAACAGAGACCTCGGGTCCCAAGGAAATACTTGTTGAATGCGCAGCGCTCAACAGGTCTCTCTGTATTCCCTTCCGCATGCTACCACACAGTGCGAGACAGAGGTGACACGAGCACTGAACTCGTCACATCACCACTGTACATATCGCTGAGCGTAGGTTGCACATCGCTTCGGCTGCCGTACTATAGTATCAGCTCCTTAGCCAAGATCAGTCAATCAGACCTGCATTGGAAGTGGTCCCTCATATCAATATCTTCCAAATCTATAATGTTTCTCCACTCTACATGTCTGATCAACTCTTGCGTTTACGATTCGATCTCTACAGCCCAGCAAACAGATCGTCGATAGCGTTCTTCTTTTTCTTCTTTTTGATCGGTCTTACAGCACTGCCCGTGCCCTCGTCTTTCGGCCTCTTCTTCATGAGCTTCGAACTCGTCGTCGATGTAGACGAATCCCGCGAGGGGGTCTTCTTCGATGTCTTTGATGGTGCTTTTGGCACCGGAGCGGTGGAATTGTCGTCCCAATTGACAGCAGGCAATATTTTGGTAGGCTTTGGTTTGCTGTCCGGCTCTGTGAGTTTGAGCTTCTTGCTGGCCTTCTTCTTGTTCGGTGGGAGCGTGCTGGACTCTCGTGAACAAGTGATTGGCGTGCTACCAGTGGCCATCGCTTCCAATGCCTTGCGACTCTGCTCCAGCATATCGCGCTCGGGAGCCAAACAAGCACTTTCGGTCATCCTTAGCTCTTTCTCCGTAGCCCTGGCCTTGGTCTTTATCGCGTCCTCCGTGTCCACGCTGTCTTCTCTCGTCAAGACTTCGCCAAAATCTTCGTTCTTTTCTGCTTCGCGTGGCACAAGGACGCCCATCCCCTCAGCGTCGCCCCACTCCTCGGCAGCGAACTCCTCGATAGCTCTTCTCGTCTCCTCCTCACCTAGCTCGTCGTAGACAGAAATCAATCCAAAGACCCTACACACATGTCCTAAGATTGCCATCAACACCACACCGAGCACTGCAAAGCGTCCATCGGCTATCAGTTGCCCAAAAGCATGTTGTGCTTTTGGGATCAGCACGTCTCGCCAAAACGACACTGTTTGCTGTACCCTGAGCCGTGAAGCCTCGTCTTCGGCTTTCTTCTTGTGCCGAGCAAGATTCGTCGTGGGTACGTGTTCGAGGGTCGTCAAATGTTCAAGCACTGTCCCTAGGTGACGGCGAAAGCTGTTGAAATGACGATACCAAGTGGTCCGACGGTGTTGATTGTGGTTTCGATGGTGGAGGAGATGCATCAATGCATGCAGATGTTGGAGGTCGGCGGTCTGTGAGGTCGAGGGGAGTTTAAGAGGTGCGAGATTAAGTATCGTTGTTATCGTAGTTCTCTCCATTTTGTAGGCTCCGGAACTATATTCTTGGTCTTTCATCTGTATCTGTGACGTCTGCAGTGATCGAACTTGTATTCCGACCTCTCCTATCTGTAGAGAATCGGGCCCTGGTTATGCGGCTTGATTCCGGGGGATCTAGCCTCCTGCCTCGACAGTCGTATCACGAGGCTACTCGATTATGGCTTCAGAATGTAAATTCGGTGCTGACTTGAAGAGTTTGCGAACTTCGTGGGTCACCCCCGTGATATGAGTCAATTTCCAAGACAAGACTCTCCTTCTGAGAGTAGGGTACAACCGAGAACAGAATCTCACTGAGTGAATGTCCGCTCCGTGTGCTGTTTAGATACTCTTGGCGGTTTGCAATAAACTGCCTCGAGAGATTATCGTCGTTGCCGTGGAACTACTGTAGCGGTGTCGAAGTTTTTTCTGCGCCCGCGTTCACTCTCGTCTGTGGCGACGACACTTTGTCTTCGAATGTCATCAAGACCTTTTGCAAGACAGGACCGGAGACTGTAAGTATCTTGAAGATGTCGTTTCGTGTGTTAGTGTTTGCAAGGTGATAGTGAGAGCTGCAGAGAGGGTGCACCGCTGGTGGATGGAATCAGGGTCTGCTGTTGCCAACAAACAATCGCAACCTTAACCTGACAATTTCTAAGCTTCATCAGCATCGGATCTTGGATCATTTGAATTCTACACCGAATACACGCAGCCTTGATTTCGAAGAACAGATTCCTTCATCGAATTCTCGACCAGCCAGTACAATCTCGCACATCACTGAAGATGCCTGGAGGACGTGGTCGTGGTGGTCCCATGCCACGAGATGTTCTGGTGTCAAAGGCGCTGAGCAAACTACTTCGTCACAGTGCCGAGAAGGAAGGCCTCAAGTTAGACGAAGCAGGTTACATTAACCTTAAGGATGTGGTAGGTTCTGTCCAACTTTCAATTCCACCTCTCGATCCTGCACATTCTCGCTCTTTCGACTGAGCTGCTCTGGCTATCCATCATGGCTGCGCGGGATCTCAAACTGACAATAGGCAGATGAATAATCAGAAAATTCGCAGTGTCAAGCCTACACTAGATGAGATCAAGCAGATTGTGGCAGAGAACGACAAGCAACGCTTTTCTTTGATTCACAAATCCGCCGCAGCTTCAGCAGCCAGTATCCCAGCCGACGATGCAGCAACATCCACAGCTTCGGACATTCCCAGCCAAGTTTCAGAGTCAGATGACCCAGCCGACTATCTTATTCGTGCAAACCAAGGACACTCTCTGGAGGTTGCATCCGAGAATCTCCTCACGCCAATCACAGAGGAGAACCTCCCTTCGGTAGTGGTACATGGAACCACCCACGCTGCTTGGCCTCAAATTGTAGCTACTGGCGGTCTGAAGAGGATGGCACGCACCCACGTTCATTTTGCCTCAGGACTGCCCGCAGCATTCAAGTCCGAGGACAACGATGCAGGTGCCGCACCCGTCATTTCTGGCATGCGCAACTCATCTTCAGTGCTAGTCTATGTGGACATCAAGAAGGCTTTAGAAGCTGGAGTCAAATTCTGGAAATCTGAAAACGGGGTTATCTTGAGTGAAGGGGATGAGAACGGCGTTATTGGTCTGCAGTTTTTCAGCAGAGTTGAAGATCGTACCGGTGGCCAAGGAGTCTTGGTCGTGAATGGCAAAGTCTCGAAGGAAGCCCCTGAGTCATGGACCAAGCCCAAAAAAGCCAACAAGCCGAGCAAGCAACTGGAAACCAGAAAAGACCATCCGGACGAGAAGCCAACAGCTCCTTAGAGACGGTTGCAACCATTGAGACCTTGAGAAAGGGTAGCAGAGACAGGTGTTCAAGGCTGCAGAATGAGAATTGGGGCATGCTGAACGAGCCTCGCCGGTGACTGAGAACAAGGCGTGCTCAGACAAGTTTCATTATCCTGCAGAGACACAGGTGACCGAACTGTACGAGAACAAGAGAGACTTCACTTTCCCAATCAAAAGGCTGCATGACATGAACAAGTGGAAATTCTCGAATTGATCGAAGGAAACTTCCACACAATCACAGTGGTTGGGAAGCAAACTCTTTCATCCCGCATTGGTAGTGAAGAACGAGTACAACAGTGAAGTGCTTGAGAAATCCAATGTGGACGAACACGTAGCAAACGATCCCCAATAACTAGTCACCTCAAATCATCACACACACTCTTCCATACCTCGACTCAGGTCAGCAACACGCCACTACTTCAGACAGGAAGTTTATCCCAACTCTCCTCCTCAAAGCACACCACCTTACCACAACCGCACTATCCGACATGATATCGGAAGGAGCGACCAAGAGCCACGGTACATAAATCATCTTAGAGCCCTCAATGATCACATGTGCGCTAACAGAGATTGAAAAAGGTCACATGTCCGCCCAGCATCAAGACTCTGACCACATCACCTCTGCAAACAATCCCGCAGCCCAAGTCGACGGCACAAAGCTCTTGGAGGGTGCAATGAGCAACGATGACGGCCCAAAGAAGTCCATGAGACGCATTCTTCCTGAGAAGATCGCGGAGGTTGGCGAGTGGAAGGTTGCCAAGGAAGACGATGCTAAGAAGTCTATGAGGCGCATTCGCCCCGAAAAGATCGCAGAGGTTGGCGAGTGGAAGGCTGCGAAGGAAGGGCGATGAGGCCGACAAGGAAGACGTTGCTAAGAAGCTGGTCGAAGGCCCAGAGAGCTTCTAAAGCTGACTTCGGTATCCAAGCCGTTTCGCAGAAAGCCGCTCGTATTCTAAGGATGTAATATCAACAAGGAAATGATCCAGTTCTTATGTGCATATTATGGACGTCTATTTGGACTTGTGCTCACTTCTTTTGCTTCTACGCTGCTGCCACCTCTCCCAACCGGCGTCGACTAGATCCTCTGTAACGACAAGATCTCGGAGGCGGAAAAACCTTGCAATCGAAGTGTCTAGCACCCAATCCAGCCAACCAGAGCGGCGCAAGTACGTTGTGAAAAGATACCAGAAGACAGCAAAGAGGACACCTACGACGCAGCCGACTAGAATCTGTTTCTCGGTGTGGTAGTTGAGGTATATCCTGCTCTGGGCGACAGCAGCAGCACCGGCGATGACCAAGACAGACAAAGCAAGTCTTTCAAAAGTAGAGGTCGGGATGTGGGTGGTTGAGGTATTGGGCGCGTGAGGGTTATGGCGTAACAGAAGGAATAGGGTCAAGGAAACAGCAAAGTACGAGACGAACTGAGCGTGTGACGAGGGCATACCGTAGCCTTTGCCGGTCAGAGCTGAAAGACAACAAGTTAGAAGATCAGCTGGAAAGTCATGGTTGGTAGATTGGCATACGGTGGGGTCTCTTTTCGCGAATAGTTCGCTTAAGCATCCAGTTGAGAGCTTCACAGGCCATTTGGCCAGCAAACATGAGAGCGACCTCTGCCTCGCGAGTGCTCCATATCAGAGTGGCATATGTAATACATAGGGCTTGGGGTACGAGGGCCAGAAAGGCACAGGCATGGGCGATGGGATCATTGGGATTCTGAGACGGGGAATTAGCTACTTTGTACTACAGATTGATGGGATAGAAGCACGCGGTAACTCACATAATGGACATGGGTCAGGGAGAGCGACGCCAACGGAGGGTCTTCCATGCTGAATTGTTTCGGCGAAGTGTGTTGTAACAACCAAGACAGTTTCGGGCTGTAGAACAACAACAACAAAATAGCTGGAGCTCTACGTCAGAGATGGTATGCTCGTGCTCGAAATGCTTGGTTGCGCATTCTGCCGAGCGTGGTCGGGCCGTGCTTGTCAGTCGGACCTCCGACTTCGCCGCAAATCTGGTGGCCATGACGCTCTGGCCAGAGACAAGAAGTCGCACCGAGGGGTCACCAGCCATTGAACGGCTCTTGCAATTCAGCTGGATGTTTTCTGCCAATACGTGACTCACTCACAACCAGCATTACCGTCATTCAGAAGAGCAAGGGAAACGGGACAAGACGCATTGAGCGACACAGACGACCAGACACACACCAACATGGCTTCGCATACCGCATCGCAGCGCTACCTGAGCACTAGAGGAGGCTCCTACGACGTATGAATACACCCACACTCCCTTACGGCAAGGTCCCCAACTGAGAAGAAGCTGCTGTAGCTCTCGTTCGAAGACGTCGTCCTCAAGGGTCTCGCTGCAGACGGCGGCCTGTTCATCCCCGAAGAGGTGCCCGCGTTGCCCTCGGACTGGCAGTCCAAATGGCGCAACCTTTCCTTCCAAGAGCTCGCCTTTGAGATCTTCAGCTTGTACATCTCCGACAGCGAAATCCCCTCGTCCGATCTCAAAGGCATCATTCAACGCAGTTATGCCACCTTTCGCGCCAAAGATGTCACCCCCGTCGTCACTCTTGACAAGTCCAAGAACCTGCATCTGATGGAATTGTTCCACGGTCCCACATTCGCGTTCAAGGATGTCGCTCTTCAATTCGTCGGCAATCTGTTCGAGTACTTCCTCGTACGCATGAACAAGGGCAAGGAGGGCACTGACAGACAACACTTGACTGTCGTTGGTGCTACCAGTGGTGACACCGGTTCTGCCGCCATCTACGGCCTGCGCGGTAAAAAGGATGTTTCCGTCTTCATCATGCACCCCAAGGGCAAGGTCAGCCCCGTCCAGGAGGCTCAGATGACGACCGTTCTCGATCCAAACGTTCACAACTTGGCCGTCGATGGCACCTTCGACGACTGCCAGGTCAGTGCACCCTCGCTACTGACATGTGACAGAACATTGACGATTCGCAGGACTTCGTCAAGGCTCTCTTCGGTGATGCCGACATGAACAGCACCCACCGCCTCGCCGCCGTCAACTCGATTAATTGGGCACGTATTCTCGCACAAATCACCTACTACTTCCAATCGTACTTCACCCTGGCCCGCTCGCTCGATACTGAGAACCCCCAAATCCGCTTCGTCGTTCCTACTGGTAACTTCGGTGACATTCTGGCTGGTTACTTCGCCAAGCGCATGGGCTTGCCCGTCGACAAGCTCGTCATTGCTACCAATGAGAACGACATTCTGCACCGTTTCTGGCGCAGCGGTCACTACGAAAAGAAGCCTGTTCACGGACGTGAGGCTGAGGGCGGTTTCGAGCACGATGGCTCAAAGGCACACGTCGATGGTGTCAAGGAAACACTGGCACCCGCCATGGACATCCTGGTCAGCAGCAACTTTGAGCGTCTGCTGTGGTATCTGTCCTACCGAACGAACGGCAGCGAAAATGTGACCGAGCGTCGCAAGGCTGCTGGTGAGCAAGTCAACTCCTGGCTGCAAGCACTCAAGACCGATGGCGGATTCGGCGTCGACAAGGCCATCTTGGACGCCGCACATGAGGACTTTGAGTCTGAGCGTGTATCCGACAAGCAGACTCTTGACCAGATTACCCAGACGTACGCTTCAGGCAACGGCATGACACCGGTTGGCGAGAACAGCGGCGCCTACGCTACTCAGGGTACTGTCCACCAAGGCAAGTACATTCTTGACCCCCACAGTGCCATCGGTATCGCGGCCTCTCTGCGCTCTATCCAGCGTGCACCCAACGCTCACCACATCGCTCTTGCTACTGCTCACCCTGCCAAGTTCTCGTCAGCAGTCGAGACGGCACTCGGTAGCCAAGAGGGATTCAGCTTCGAGGCAGTCCGGCCCGAGCAATTCGTCGGTCTCGAGCAACAGCCTCGTCGCGTCACCATTGTCAAGAACGGAGCCGGCTGGCAAGACGTCAGAGAGATTGTTCGCGAGGAAGTGCAGCTCGAGATGGAGGGCAAGGCCAGCAGCGGACCTGGCGAGATTGTCAAGGGTTAAGTTTGAACATGATGCATCAAAAGTTGATTATATCGGTGATGGATGGTACAACGTAGATACGAGAAATGTTTCTGTCTGATTGTAGAGGTTATCTTGCTGCCAACGTAGAGTCACAGGCAATCGTTGGAGCAAAGTCACAATGCGTGTAATTATTCACAACTCCTCAAACACACGCATCTGTCGTCGAAATATATCATTTGGGCCAACGGCTTCTTGTTGACTCGCAAGTGCTGTGGTTGAGGAAGGCCCGGGCGAGATTGACTCGTGGTTCGGCGGCTAATCGCGGAGGAGGTCGGCGAGACAGGGAGAAATCTGGGGCCGGTGACGGAGGCAGGGAGCGATTTGTGCCAGCAAACAGTCACAGCAACCAAAAAGCCAAACTGGTGCAGTGATCAGCGCTGCGATACGCCGATAGCTGACTAGGTGGGTTGGTGGGTAGACAGACGGAGAGCTCACTTTTTTTCTGGCCATTGACTCACCACCCTCTCCCATCTTTCTTACAACTGCTTCACGTTGAACCAATCTTCCTTTCCTCCATCACACTTTGTTCAATTCACATCACATCTATCAACATGGTCAAGCAAAAGGTGCGTTACTGTTCATGCCATGCTATCTCGAGCGCTCAATTGATCCGTGTGCACAGGTCTGTCTCGCCTACTCTGGCGGTCTCGATACCTCATGTATCCTCAAGTACTTGCTGGATGAGGGTTACGGCGTCATCTGCTTCATGGCCGACGTCGGTCAAGAGGAGGACTTTGACGCTGCCCGCGAGAAGGCCCTCAAGATTGGTGCTGAGAAGTGCTACATTGAGGATCTCCGCAAGGAATTCGTCGAGGAGCTGTGCTGGCCTGCTGTCCAGTGCAACGCCATCTACGAGAACGTCTACCTCTTGGGTGTGTATCAGATGCTTCAATTGGCCACGCTGAGGACCGCCTTCTAATCATGCACCAGGTACCTCGCTTGCCCGTCCCGTTATCGCCCGCGCCCAGATTGCTGTGGCCCAGAAGGAGGGCTGCTTCGCCGTCTCTCACGGCTGCACTGGCAAGGGCAACGACCAGGTCCGCTTCGAGCTGGGCTTCTACGCCCTGCAGCCCACCATCAAGGTCATTGCCCCATGGCGCGACCCCGTCTTCTACAACCGCTTCAAGGGTCGTCAGGATCTTCTTGACTACGCCGAGCAGTCCGGCATTCCCGTCACCAGCACAAAGAGCAAGCCCTGGAGCATGGACGAGAACTTGGCCCACTGCAGTTACGAGGCCGGTATCCTCGAGGACCCCAACGTCACTCCCCCCGAGGACATGTGGAAGTTGACCGTCGACCCCACCAAGGCTCCCGAGCAGCCCGAGGACTTTGTCCTGCACTTCGAGAAGGGTCTCCCCGTCAAGGCCGAGCTCCCCGGTAAGACCGTCACCGATGCCACCGAGCTCTTCTTGGCCGTCAACGCCATTGCCCGCAAGCACGGTGTTGGCCGTATCGACATTGTCGAGAACCGCTTCATCGGTCTCAAGTCCCGTGGCTGCTACGAGACCCCCGGTCTTACCTGCCTGCGCGCCGCCCACATCGATCTCGAGGGTCTGACCATGGACCGTGAGGTTCGCGCTCTCCGTGACCAGTTCTTGACCTTCAACTACGCCAAGGTATGTTTTTACGCTCTATTCTCTCTGTACTCAGACGCATGACTAACCGTACAACCTCACAGATTCTCTACAACGGTCTCTACTTCTCCCCCGAGTCCAAGTTCCTGCTGCAGTGCATTGCCGCCTCGCAAGACAGCGTCAACGGTGCCGTCCGCTGCCGTGTCTACAAGGGCTCCTTCAGCGTCCTCGGCCGCTGGTCCGACACCGAGAAGCTCTACGACATGGACGAGTCCTCGATGGACGTCATTGGCGACTTCCGCCCCGAGGACACCACCGGTTTCATTTCCGTCAACGCCATCCGTCTCAAGAAGTACGGTCGCATGATGGAGGAGGCCGGCAAGAAGATGTAGAAAAAAAAAAAGATGATGTTTTACGCCCATACCCCCCCACGATTTCTGTACCTTTAGTTTGCTTTTAGACGGTTGGTGTTAGCTAGTGGTTTTCGCTGTCTCCTTTCTGGGTCCCATAGAGAGGGAATGGGAGATATGGAAAAGATGCAAATGATACAATCACCTTCAACGCTACTCCCTCGTGTCTGTACACGGTTTATCCAAGTCGTACTGAAAGTGCATTTGCCAAGCTGCATCTCGTGGAAGTGGACATGATCGTTTACTTATTTCTATATACAGTTCATGGCCCATTAATCAGGCTTTGCTTTGTTGTTCGCCCAGCTGGGTTCGATGTTCCTACATACCGACACGTACTCTTCCCAACGCCGCTGGTCAGCCACCAAGTCCGGGTTCGTCCAGAACATGGTCCACTGTGTATCCTGCAGATGCCAGGTTCCCCTCGACCGCTCAAAGTACCACTTGTTGACGGGGTTGTTGGAGCGTGATCGCCAGCAAACGCCATTGGGGAAGCAACTGCGCACCATGGCCTGGAACACGATATCCGCAACTCCAGAACTGCCCTGGGAGCGTTGGAGCACGGCGAATTTGTCGAGGTATGGTACCAATCGTTGAGGATCAGAGTTGGCCCCTGCCTGCTTGGGAGCGGGTGTTCGCGGTTCTTCCCAGGTCAAGATGGCACCACCTTCATATTCTCCCGCAATGATGACGCCGGCTACACGGTTCTTGATGCGCTCAAGGTAGTGTTTGGCATCGAGAGGTCTGCGGAAGGAGTCCTCGATCAAGGCAACAAGACGGGGGAAGTTGATGTCTGGATGGTTGTCTAGGGCAATGGTAGGCTCGCCAGGCTTGGGTGGGGTCCAGGGTGTGTTTCGGAGATCAGGAACGATCATCAGAGGCATACCTCGTTTCACCAGTGTGGAGCGGGTGACATCCTCCGAAGAGGCGCCAGGGACCGTACCATTGGCTGAGAGGCGGGCGGCAGGTAGAGAGGAAGAAATGAGGGGTTTGTTGGTGAGCAGATTGTGGATCAGGGGATTCTTTTGTCGTCGGGTTGTGATGCCAATGGCCGGATCTTTACGAGAGTGGTGCGAAGAAACGGCAGCTTCTTCGGGAGATATGAGCAAGGCCGACGATGCAGGGGGGAGCAGAGCCAGACAGTCCCGAACCAGACTGAGGGTGTCTAGATGATGAGGGCTCATGCCACAGGACTCGATCTCGTCACGAATCATGCCGTATTCCTGCTCGAGGTTGACAAAGACATGAGCCTTATCTTGTCGAGTCTCGGTGGGTAAACCGCCCAGAGGATCAAGCATGATGATTCTGTCTACTGAGGTATCCTCAAGTGGCTCATGTCCTGAATCTGCCACAGCAGCCAGACCAGATAGGGCGCGGGTCAGGGCTAGCATGACACTGCTGACAGAGACATTTTGCACCTTGCAGGTCGAGTCATAGGCTATGGCGGGGATGACGGGGATAGCGCTTCGCTTTAGTGGCTCTGTAATGAGTTTGGGTATACCGAGTTCGACGGCACCCATGACTTTGGGACGTGAGGGTGGCAGTGGCTCCTGGCTCGTGACATTGAGAGCAGAGTCGACATAACGCGCACCCGCATTGTTATGACGCTCCAATGCAGCGACGATTCTGGCACCCTGGCGGCGGTATGTGTCCTTGTATGACTCGTTCCTTTGCGTGACCTCGTGCTCGCAGTTGAGTACGACGACAATCTGCATGTCGAGACGGACTAGTTGTGCCATTGTCAAGGCGATGCCGTCAAGAGTCTCGTCATCAATCAGATGAGGGGCCCTCAGACAGACGAGTGCAACGTGGATTTCTCCAGCGCCTTGTTGAACTTGGGTTTCTTGCTCAACGTGTTGGGAAAAGGTCGGCGTGGCAGCGGCGGCTTGGGTGGGGAGATATAGTTGGCCCAGGTTGACGCCAGATCTCTGGAGCTGCCACTGTTGCTTTGTCTCGGTTGCATCATGTATGCTGGGTGGCTTCTCAGGCTTGCTGTCGGGGGAGGGCTTGAAGCGGGCCAGGTATTGTTTGGCGTCTCTGCGTGTCGAGCTTGCATTGAGCAGGTCGAAGAAGAAATCCTGCTGCTGTCAGAGAAGGCACGGTCAGAGGGTGGAAGCAGCATGGCCTACTCTCTGCGCTAGTTTGTCCCTCTTCTCGCCGCTGGCTGTGTTGTTGTGGTTGCTACGGTTGGATCGACTGGCGGCTACAGAGCCAAAATCACGGTGCAAACACTTGAGAGAGTCGGGTCGCACTCTGCTGCGAAGTGTCGGGAGGCATCCTGCCATTGTTCATGGCCTGTCAGCCGTTCGAGAGAGGGTCGGTCGACGAGGTGGAAATGACGACTCATCCATTACAGTCCGAGGCACAGCGGGAATAAAAAGACTCATGTCCATCCTCGAGCTATCCTTATCTTATCGTCTTCTCCACACGGCCGACTGCGGCTCATGCATCCCGCTGGCTCACGCACCTATCTCCGCATACGCCGCGACAGTGGCTCCAATGCAAACGTGTTCCTCTTTCTTTCGTGCTTCTAGTCGAGTCTGACCTTCGGAAGTATAGACTCAGATCCTTATGACATCCTTACCGTCAACTATCATCGATGTTACTTACACTGTAATTCTCACCAAACTGCCGGTGTGTCTGTGGCAATCTGTAGCTGCACTTCAGGAATGAAGCCTCCGTCAAAAGATAATCACGATTTACTCAATCAACACCACGCCGCAAGGCGGATTGTACTCACACAGTGACAAATAGGAACATAGCTACCTTATGATAAGGTGTCATGTATAATAACATCAGAAGGTGTACATTGGGGACGTATAGAAGATATATAGGCCATGTAGTGCGGGTAACCCTGATTGACCAACGTACCAGCGGTGTCGGCGACGGCGGCAGGACCCCTCGCGCGTCATCGGTCGAATTTTTGGGGAGAGGCCGATTCGAGTCATCCAGGTGTTTCCTGAGCTCTCTCCTTGACATCTTTCAGTTGACCAAACATGGACGTGACAACATTCACAGACAAGTCTCCCGACTTCCCCAAGAAGAAGTGCGGTTGGTGCTCGTCACGCCTTGCCACACCGCGACCAAACTGACATGCTGCTTAGGTGTGCTCGGAGCCACTGGCTCTGTCGGACAGCGTTTCATTCTCCTCCTCGCCCTTCACCCCCACTTCACTCTCCACGCCGTCGGTGCCTCTGAGCGCTCAGCAGGCAAGAAATACAAGGATGCCGTCAAGTGGAAGCAGTCGCTGCCCATGTCCAAGCAGCTGGGCGAGCTGGTCGTGAGAAAGTGCACCCCCGACGAGTTCGCCGACTGCGACATGGTCTTCTCCGGTCTGGATAGCGACGTCGCCGGCGACGTCGAGATGGCCTTCCTGAAGTCCGAACTCGCCGTCTTCTCCAACGCGAAGAACTACCGCCGCGACCCCCTTGTGCCCCTGGTTGTACCTACCGTCAACCTGCCTCACCTGGACGTCGTCCAACACCAAAGAAAGCACTACGGCTTGAACAAGGGGTTCCTCGTCTGCAACTCCAACTGCGCCGTCATTGGCATTGTCATCCCCTTCGCTGCTTTGCAGGCCAAGTTCGGTCCCATCAACCAGGTCTCGGTCGTCACAATGCAGGCTGTCTCAGGAGCTGGCTACCCCGGTGTCAGCAGCATGGACATCATCGACAACGTCGTTCCCTTCATCTCTGGCGAGGAGGACAAGCTCGAGACCGAGGCCCAGAAGATTCTTGGCCAGGTCAACTCGGACGTGACTGGTTTCTCAGACCAGAGCGACCTCAGAATCTCGGCTGCTTGCAACAGAGTCCCTGTCTTGGACGGTCACACCGCTTGTGTTTCGCTTCGCTTCGAGAGAAGACCCGCTCCTAGCGCCGAGGAGGTCAAGCAGGCCATGCGCGACTACGTCTCGGATGCCCAGAAGCTCGGCTGCCCATCTGCTCCCGAGAAGGCCATCGTTGTCATGGAAGAGCCTGATCGCCCGCAGCCCAGACTTGATAGAGAGACCGACAGAGGTTACGCTGTCAGCGTAGGCAGAGTCCGTGAGGACGAGAGCGGCATCTTTGACATCAAGTTTGTCGCCCTGAGTCACAACAGTAAGCGCAATGCACCCTCTGAGAATTTTCAGATCAAGACACTAATTCTCTCTAGCCGTCATTGGTGCTGCCGGATCCTCTATCCTCAACGCAGAAGCTTGCGTTCTCAAGGGCCTCGCTTAAAGCAGTGGCTGAATGATTTTCATGTAGTTATGGATGTGTATAAAGCACCAGTAGAATCAAAAGCTAACGTACAACATTTGCTCTCCGGAAAAGCCATTTCGAGATTCGCGCTCGACTTCTCATGCATCGCTCAACTTTGTTGAATCCCGAGTGCGACACCGGAAAAAACGTTCCATATGATATCGTCGAGATTCGGAATTTCGCCTTGCATCTATCTCTAGTTACGTCGATGAGACGACGTCCAGCATGTTCCACCCTCACGACAACGCAGGAACAAATACCACGTGCTATACAGTCGACTGGTGACAGGATTTCTCCAGACTTTAAAACTATAATCTAACATAAATCTACATTTTTATGCGACTTTTGCATTACTTCTTCTCAATGGTCTGCTTGATGACCTTGATCTGCTCCAAAACCGAGCTCTTGCTGGTACCACCTGACGCGCTTCTCATCTCAACACTCTTCTGGTAGTCGAAAACCTCGAGAATATCCTCCTCGAATCGCGAATCGACGCCCTTGAGCTGTTCGTACGAGAGCTTGTCCATGGGGGTGCTCTTCTCCTCGGCAAGAGCGACCACTCTGCCAGAGATGTGGTGGGTCTCACGGAACGGCACTCCCTTACGGACGAGGTAGTCTGCAAGGTCGGTAGCAAGCATGTCAGGCGACAAGCTGGCCAGCATGTTCTTGGGTTGGATGTTGAGGGTGGAGAGGACACCCGTTGCGATTTGAATACTGTCGCCAACAGTCTTGACGTGGTCGAGCATAGGCTCAACACTCTCCTGCAAATCCTTGTTGTACGTCGAAGGAATGCCCTTGATTGTCATCATCAGACCTGCCATCTGGCCGTATGCTCTGCCGGCCTTGCCGCGGATCAATTCGAGCGAGTCGGGGTTCTTCTTTTGAGGCATGAGCGAACTGCCGGTCGAGTAGGCATCTGCTAGTCTAACAAAGTTGAACTCAGCACTTGAGTAGATGATCAAGTCTTCGGCCCAGCGACTCAAGTGGAGCATGAGCATGCTTCCCCATTGCATGGTCTCGACAACAAAGTCGCGGTCGGCAACACCAGCCATCGAGTTGTAGATGAGAGTGTCAAAGCCCAGCTCCTTGGCCATAGCATCACGGTCGATGCCAAATGGGTTGCCAGCCAAAGCACCGCACCCGAGAGGACTGCGGTTCACACGCTGCTTGACTTCACGAAGTCTCTCAAGATCGTTGGCGAAAGCCAAACCGTACGAGAGCATCCAGTGTGACCATCTGATGGGCTGTGCGCGCTGAAGATGGGTGTAGCCAGGCATGACGTGCTCAATCTCCTGCTCTGAGCGGGCAGCAATAACCTTGAGCAGATCGACGAGGAATGACTCGATGTTCTCAAGCTGTTCGCGCAGCCACATGCGCATGTCAACAGCGACCTGCTCATTTCTGCTGCGGCCGGTGTGGAGCTTGCCAGCAATGTTCTTGCCGATAATCTCACCCAAGCGACGCTCGTTGGCAGTGTGAATGTCCTCGTCCACGCCGGGCTTGATGCTGAACTTGCCAGACTTCCACTCGTCTTCCACCTCTTTGAGACCTCGCTCAATCTCGGCAAACTCTTGTTCGTTGAGGATGCCCTTGTTCTTGTTTGCACGGGCCCAAGCAATAGAGCCACGAATGTCTTGCGAGTAAAAGGCACGATCGTAGTAGATGGACTCGTTGTATGCCGTCATGAGGGGATCCTGGCCGCCTGGGGTACGTGTCAACTGACTTGTCCTCTGTCGTTCATCGCAAGGATGGTGCAAGCAATGGAAGAATAGCTGTGGACTCACCAGTAAAGCGACCTCCCCAAAGCTTTTCGCTGCTAGGAGCACCTGCCATGTTTGCAATGATGTTGGGTAGGTTTGAATTGAGGAATCAGCGAGTAAGATTGAATCAACAGAGAGAAGACAGTGTAAAAGAGAAAAAGAATAACATTGGCTCATGCATGTCGGTTTGCAGTGACTCAATTGCTCTTTCCTTATCGCGCTTATCAGCGGGCCGACCTCGCTTCCTGCTCTCTCCCCGCCTTGTGTATACTCGTACTCGCGCTCAACTTGCCTGCATTATTGGCACATCACGACGGTTAGCGAGTGTGTCAAGGGCTGCGGACCACTACGAATCGTAGCTATGGAGAACATCTGGCACCACCGCAAGGTCGCTGAGACGGCCGCAAAGGGCTGTATGGTCTGCTACAAACCCTCGACCAGCGTGCTGATCACCCCCGACAACAAGGACTTCTTCTACATCTGCCCCTCACATCTCAAGGACCGTAACTTCGCTTTGCCGACCGATGACGAAGCCAAAGCCATGGCCGACAAGAAGAAGAAGGAAGATCTGGAGCGCGAAATCGAGGCTGTCAAGAAGGAGTTTGACGAGAAGATGAAGAAGAAGCAACAGAAGAAGGACAAGGCAAAGGAAAAGGACAAGGATGCCAAGGACAAGGACAAAGACGACAAGAAGTCCGACAAGGACGAGCAAGATAGGGACGACAAGATCAAGGCTCTGACCGACAAGGCCGAGGCCTCATCGGCAGCAAAGCCAGGCACAGACGACGGCCCTCGTGTCTTCCAGCTGCAGAAACACTTTTACAACATGCGACTCGAGAAGATGCGCAATGCCGAAGCTGCAAAACGCAATCGCGAACGGATGAGGAACCCGGCCTTGTTCCCTTCGGTGCCCACCGGCAATCCTTGAGACAAGTAGCCACTCCTCCTACACCTCCTGGTGCGACATCCGCCCGTATCAATCTTTGCTATCGCCTTCCTTCCATGTCTGCAGTCACAATCCTGCGTGACATCTTCCCAGGGCACACATGGATATACTGCGTTTGTTCTGCAATGGCTATCCTCCGCCTGTTGCCCTTCGTTGTCGCCATGGCTACTGTGCCTCACAGTAACTAGCTCTACCCCAACCTCCTTAAGGACACCAGCTTTGTGGGCCTCTCTCGCAGGAAGGCAGAAGACAATCGCAAGATGGCAGAGATAAAAGCTCAGCGCCCGGCGACAAGAGATTCGGTGGGACGAGCGAAGCGAATGCACGCGAACCTGGATGATGGTTACAGCTGCGATGTGTGGTTAGGGAGATCCTATTGTTCATCACGCAGTCTGCTGCAAGGAGTACGATCATCTAGGCAATTCATGTCGCGAACGTCAGCCGAGCATCGCACTCTGCCTGTCTAGACGAGCAAGCCGAGGGACATTAGCTTTGCTGACGTACCATAGAAGGGGTGAAGATGGCTCGTGTCTTGTGTAGCTTATTCTTGATCAAACACCGTGTTAAATAAATCTGACTTGAGCCTTTGCAAACATTCGACCTGGTGTAATTGTTCTGCGTGGGCATGTTTCAGCCTTTGTGATTCGAAAAGACCTTGGTGGTTAGGGCTCGAGCTTTTTTTTGGTATGGAAATCATCATTCTGAAATCTTTCCATGCCCCTTCTCCACAGTTCATTCATCAGGCAACCACCGTGATTATTCGCGCATAACTAACTCATCGTGCAACCTTTCTGTGCTTCACCGTCATTTTCACTCATCATCGACATCTGACCGATCGAGCGCCTGCTTCCAAGCGCTCCAGACCCGTCACCTTTGCCTACGCCCCGACGCCCTGTTACTTTCTTCCACCAAGCGCACTACCGCAAGATCTCTCCGACTCACCACAAATTCAACCGCCATGGGTTCCGTCGTACTCCCCCATCTCTCCAGCGGCTGGCATGTCGACCAGGCTATCATGTCTGAAGAAGACCGTCTGGTCGTCATTCGATTCGGTCGCGACTGGGACAAGGACTGCATGCGCCAAGACGAAGTCCTCTACCGCATTGCTGACCGCGTCAAAAACTTCGCAGCCGTCTACGTCTGCGATCTGGATCAGGTGCCCGACTTCAACCAGATGTACGAGCTCTACGATCCCATGACCATCATGTTCTTCTTCCGCAACAAACACATGATGTGTGATTTCGGAACCGGAAACAACAACAAGCTGAACTGGGTTTTGGAGGACAAGCAAGAGCTGATTGACATCATTGAGACCATCTACAGGGGAGCCAAGAAGGGCAGAGGTTTGGTTGTGAGTCCCAAGGACTACTCAACCAGATACAGATACTAGTGAAGAGACACGACGTGCACGACCTTCGGGCTTCTGCTCAGAAAGACCGCGAAGCGCTTGTCTTGCACGAACACATCCTCTCTGGCCAATATCTCCGGATCGTCACACAAAATTGCCCGACGGGCCTGCAAAATCCTCATCCAGCTCTCGACTGAATACATTTTCACATACTGCGAAGTCGCTTCCCACGGATCGCTCTCGCGCAGGCGTCACCACCAATAACACAACTGCGAAGGTACCAACAGTACGAGGTAAAGACAAAGGTACTGCTCTCGCACCTGCTACAAACATCTTGTTACAGAAGCCCATCGCCTGGAAATGTTCGAAAATGCTCGTCGATAATCACAGCAGGATAGCTACAAGACAGATTCAAAGGGATCACACGCTAACAGCTATGATAATGAAAGCAAATCCAATTTGGCATTATGCCATCAAGTGTCCGTTTTGTTTTACAGTGCAAGTACAAAAATATGGTGAAGGGCTGCATCACAGTAATGTCGTGTCTAGTTCGGAACAGACGTGTAAAGGGTGTTGTTTTCTCTGCAGTCTGGCTGCAGAACACTCGGTCAGTTCGCCAGCACAAGCTGTGGATCTTGCACTCGCGACGAGACCGTATGCTCGGCTGTCGATCATGCATCAAGCGCTGGTGTCAAGCCCATTGTCTTGCAGTTGCCATCAAGAGCCACAGTCTCTCTGACTCTCAGCGAGTAGACAACCAGAACGGATGGGGAAATGGCATGGATGTCTGGCACGGAATTTGCGATTCTGGAAAGCTTCGAGGCTTCTTCCAGCGGGGCTCTGCGTTCCAAGGCTCAACGTCGCAGCGGTACGGACGTATCTTGCTGATGCGCAGGCGGCTTCCGTACCCGCACGATCGATCGCGCACGCATGATGGCCGAAAACGGACAGCCGCACCCCCGGCGTCTGGTGACCTTTGACGCGAGGTAGGGCAGGCAACCATGATCATGATCAAGACGTAGTAGCTGATGGCAAGGCTGCCTAAAAACTCGGCCCGCCTCAAGACCTGCCTAGTTGGTGTGCGATCGTAACCAACAGGACATAACAGGTACTTGCCAAATAATGGACGGCAAACCAAGGTCGAGATGAGTCGGAGGTTCTGAATTCGTCATGCTTGGCTTTGGGGCGCGGTGGCGGTCACTTGAATCAGATTCTGATGGAACTGGTGACTGGACAAAGTTGGATCTGGGCGGCTTCGGAATCGCATCCTGTGGGGGAAGAGTCACACCGTGTCAGCGACTCAGCGGGTGCTGGGACACCACCACTTCGCAGCTCTTCTCCCCCCCCAAACACTTTACAACCCATCGCAATAATGAACGACCAAAGCAACAGGAACACTCGCGTCGCTGCACGCGAGTAGAGTCTGTCAAACACGTCGAGTCATCACGCGTGAACAAAGAAATTACAGCTTTCTGCAACTTGTTGCGGTGTTGAAATCGTTTGTCGCGCGCGGTGAGTAACAATTGCTTCCAGGCAGCCTCCGCTTCTCGCTCGCCATCGCCACTTTGCCTCTCCGCCGCCCCCAGTCACCTTGAGTCACCTTGTCCATCTTGGTCGATCAACCCTCTTATATCCTCTGTTTGTTTCTGTCCCTCGTCTCCTTCCCAATACCTTCTCCGATATTTGTCGTGAGGGGTCTTTGTTGGTTGTGTTTCCGCATACTTTCTCTTTGAGTCTCTCTCCACTCTGTCCGCCCTAGGCTTCACCTGCCTTACTCCACGCAAGCACCTAATCGCCGCTTAAACCCTCGCCTTCATAACAACAACCCGACTACACGTCACCCCGAGAACACATCTGTCAACCTGGCTCTAACCCTGGCGCGCTCAAGTTAATCGTTCAACTCTTCGTCACCTCCGTCCCCGCCGCTCTAGGCAGCTATGCTTATTGGGTCCTCGCTTGCTATCACTCCAGTCGCTTCTTACTCGAAATACATTACCAAAACTCAAGAGATGGGCTCGTACATGTGGTAAGCCCTCGTAGGGCCAACCGCTGTCTACTCCTTGCACTTTCTGTCTAGACAGGAATCAAGTGCACTAGGAGTCATCATTTGAATCTTGTACCTTTCGCGTACTCACGACTGGAAGACTGGTCTTCTGTCATATCTTCACGGTTTACTCTCTCTGGACACCTCTACTTTTGTGCAACAACACACCCACAACCACCTCCTTACAACATGGACCTCGGTTATTCATCATTATGTGGTCGTTTGGTCTCCTCCGAACTCGACCTATCCCAAACACACCAGCTACCTCACAGCCAGGACCTCAGCTATTCGTCTCTCTGTAGCCGTTTGATCCCCTCTCACAACGGCAAATTCAAAACCTTCTCCTCGAATACTCTCTCCGACAAACCTCACACGCTATCATTTGCTACCCTCCCCTCGACTGACTCCGACTCTACCTCTGTACCTCTCGAACAGCGTCGCCATCCTCGTCGCAGCCAAGGAAATGTCGCACAAAAACCCCCAACTCTTGTTCGTCAACAAGAGCGCAAAGCTACCTTTGTCGACGGTCTTGTCGGTATGTGTTGTTTATTGTGTTTTTATGTCCGAGCCCGCCTAACATTCATAGACTCCGCCGCTCAAATGGTAGAAGTCATTTGGCCCTTGTCAGTCGCTAATCACAAGCCTCATTCTGGTGGCGTCTTGTCCTTGCGCAGGTACATTGAGGAGACACTCCGCAGATCTAGAACAAGCTACTCTACCTTGCAGGTGGCTTTGTACTATCTTGTCCTGATCATGCCTTGTGTCCCCAAGTCTGATTTTACCATGCAGCAGTCGGTCGATTCGTCGTCGGTTCGTGCCCTGCAATGCGGTCGTCGCATGTTCCTCGCCGCTCTTATTCTCGCCTCAAAATATCTGCAAGACCGCAATTATTCTGCCAAAGCATGGAGCAAGATGTCGGGACTCAAGGTCGCTGAGATCAACCTCAACGAACGTACCTTCCTCGAGGCTGTCAATTGGAAGCTACACCTCCCAGAACCGCTTTTCAAGCGTTGGACTGAAGTGGTTCTGCGCTACACCCCTGGCCAGGCACCTCAACCAGCTGAAGGGAGCGAATGCAACGGCTCATTTGACGATGGGGAATCCTTGACATGGAAGGACATTATTCCCAAACTCACTCCAGATTTGGATTTTGTTGCTCCTGCCGCATCAGCGACGATCAATCGCCAACGATCAGAGTCGCCAGCCGCAACATATGCCACCCTACCATCATACCTCGAGCCACAGCCAGAAGTCAGACCCCCAACTCCTGTCCTGGGCGTCAACTACCTACCCACACCTCGTTCTACGCCTTCGCCAGCCCGGGCTCCTGCAGTGAGCATCGTCAGGCCGGAGATGTGTAACGTGGTTGGCAAGTTCAGCCGTCGCTCATCGTTTAGTAGCCAGATCTCTTCTGTGCCAAGTCCAGCCTCGATCTTGTCCGAGGCATCACGTCTGTCACCTGCATCGTCAGTGACATCCGTGGGCTCGTACAATTCATTTACTCAGGACCGCATTGCCAAGATGCCAGCAATGAGATCAAATACTTCTTTTTCGATTTTGTCATCACAATTGACCGCGGATGACGCTCAGCCTCGGGCCAGCCGAGCGGTCAAACGCAGCCAGGAGCAAATCTCTGGCTCAGAGGATGAAGAACGACGAGACGCCCTGCAGACGAGAACATCGTCGCTGCTCAGCCGGCAGCAGGGAACCAAGGCCTTGCCCATTATTCTGGACGACGAGGACTGCGCCAGCAACTGCATGGCAGCGGAAGTCGCCAGCTCGAGGGCACAGACTTGGTGCGCATATAGTAATGTCCCTTCTGTGGGAGAGGAAAGCAAGCGAATGCGCGTGGCATAATTCTGCGAATACCAACATGAAGTGTGCCGACCAATTTTTGGCATGCGCTGCATTTGCTCTTATCATTTGATCCCAAAAGCCTCTTGTATGATTTCAATGCCAGAAGCCACAAAGTCATGTAAAGTTAGATAAAAATCCGAACAAAGCCAATCAACAGTTACACAGAAGCAAAGACGAATATCAACAGTCAGATGCGATCATTGGTTTGACATGTTTGAGGAGCGGCAGGAGGTAACCTGCTTGGAATACGCTCGTGCTGTTGGTGTCGTAGTCGTACTGAAAAGATGATAGATGGTCGAGTCAGTTGCGGGATGACGTGGAGCCGAGGGAAAGTTTTGGGCACGTCGACAGAGACGAGGCAGACTCGATGTTGCTGCCCGTTGTGTCTTTTGTTCTGCTGCTGCTGCTTCGCCTGTCTCTCCGAATCCAATATGCTATAGATGCACCACGACTGAAACCCGTCTCAATGTCTCTCCGCCGAACCCTCCTCCGCCCCCGACTGCCTTCGCTAGGCCGACCCTTCGCCCAAGCCCCACCCATCAGGAGTCAGTCCACACATGCGCCCTTCACGTACCGACTGGGCGCCTCTTCCAGCGGCAAGGGCAGCCCCGTAGCCCCTCCGAGCGACAACAACATATTCCCTCAGTCTCTGCTGGACCGCGACGAGCCCTACTTCACATCCGTCGACAAGTTCTCTGGGGAAGATGCCTTTTTCATGGCCAGGATCGCTCGTAGTGACAGACACGTTGTTTTTGGTCTTGCCGATGGTGTAGGCGGCTGGAGGGACTCGGGCATTGACCCTGGACGATTCTCACACGGCCTATGCAGGTACATGGCCATGAAGACGCATCGCCCAGACGCCGAGCGAGACCTGAAGCCTCGTAACCTGTTGCAGTACGGCTACGAGAACGTCATGAGTGACAGGAGCATCCAGGCTGGTGGCTGTACTGCCTGCATTGGTGCCATTGACCCGTCTGGCGCTCTGGAAGTCGCCAAGTGAGTCGCTTTGACCGCGCACCCTATACCACATACTGACCATTGCAGCCTAGGAGATTCGGGCTTTCTCATCCTCGCCCCTGGCAAGGTCTCTTTCATGTCTCCGGCCCAAACACACGCCTTCAACACACCTTATCAACTTAGCAAGCTAACCCCACGCATGCAAGCACAAAATCGCATCTTTGGCAACACCGGTCAGATCTCCGAGACCCCTGCTCAAGCAGACGTTACATCTCACTCACTGCAGAATGGTGAGCTCGTCATCTTGGCGACTGACGGTGTTTTGGACAACCTGTCGGGCATGGATATTCTCAACATCGTCCAGCCCATCATGGAAAAGCGTGGATACTGGGCCGCCGCGTCCAGAGGAGCCTTCGTGAAGGCCGACAAGCTGCAGGATCCCAAAGAGATTGAAGCCCTTTCCAAGCTGCCTTCCGAGATAGCGTATTCCATCATGCGCAATGCCAAGATCGCTGGCATTGATACTCGCAGAGATGGTCCCTTTGCAAAGGAGGTCCACAAGTACTTCCCCAACGAGGAGTATCATGGCGGAAAGCCGGACGATATCGCCGTTGTTGTCGCTCTTGCTATCCAAGATGGCTCCCCTAAAGCAAAGCTTTAGTGTTTTTTTGCTTCACTTTTAATGTTTGCATGGATCTGGAGTTGACGGTCTTTTTTGACATTGCATCGGCGGTGGTCCTGGGACTTGGTAGTTCATCTTTACATTCCCGTATATAACTTCATCCCGCGATGGGAGTTTTGCATATTGTACTGGAACATGGTTGTCGTTGTGAAACAGAGAGGTGGGAGACAAATAGCGTGCGATTCAATACCGCGTGTTGGGTCACACCATCGTGTGACTTTTTAAATGGTCAGGAATAAAGCACAGCGAAATCAGCATTGAAGAAACAGCAACCTTGCTTGGAAAATCAAGCAGATTACAGTACACAGCTACGAAGACAACACAATGGGATACTGCGACTGATATTGCGATCGTAGAGAGATGGTCCGGGTGGTATGCACAACGATAAAAAATGCCAAGCCTTTGCGACTCTCTTCCACTCGTCAGATTGAGCAGTCCGAGTAACGCATTTCGCGAGCACATCATCCAATCCTGCAGAGATATCACATTGGAATCGAAGAGAACCCAAGCCGGAACTCGTAAGACCACCAAGTTGCAAAGAAAATCTTGTTGTAGATCGACCACTACACAAATCAGAGCCAGTGTTCCAATATCGCGCGGGCTTTGAAGATATAAGAAAATATAATTCGACAAAAACACAACAAAAAGTCAGAAAAGTTCTCTCTGTAAACCACTGCCGCTCCTCGAGAACCAATTCACAATGCTGGACATTGGCAAGTCGCCAAGTTTGCCTGCGCCAAAATGCTACTTCAGCACCACGAATCTGGCTACCTATAACGACTCCTCGGAACTACCGACGAAGAGGGCACCTTTCAAACTTCTGCATAGAGCACCATACTACCACACCATAACGCTGGTTTCACCGATGTCTTCTTCCCTCAATATCGCATCACATCCATCAAAATTTGCACGATTACGCTTGCCGCTTCTGGGTCTTCTGACAGCGGACTTTTTCAACCAACACATCAAGACCGGCAATGTATTACTCTTATCATCACCGCTGAAAGTGGAGACCACATCCTCTGAAGCGAGCTTTACATTGGTGGATGGTGTGCTTACTATAATTTGTGACCGGGCACTCTACGAACGCGCTGGTCTTACAGGTACGGCTATCCCAGACCCTCACGCCAGAAAACACGGCAACTCCAAGTTTCGCATCGAGCTTAATCTGCGATTGCCTTCGATGCTTGCTGGGAAGAAAGGATTCGAGCGTATCCTACGGGCTGCCGAGACGGTGTTCACAGGAGAGATCTCATGGTTGTTCTATGATGTTTCTGCAACAGGAGTAGTGGAAAATGATGCGACGCTAGGGAAGGAAGCCCAGATCAAGACTGTCGAGACAAAAGCAGAAGACTTGGGACATATTCTGGTGCCCAACTTCCCAGCGCAAATCTCTAAAGCTGCATTCGAGCAAGATGATCTGGCTGACCTGCTAGAGTGGATCTCGTTCGCGGCCATCGGGTCTCCGAGGATACAGCAAGGAGATCTGGTCGATGAAATCATCAGTCGCTACGAGGTGCCTGTCATTTCACCAATCTCTACCACAGGTGCAACAGATCAACCAAGCACAGGCACAACGATACAGAATCTAACGAAAACAACATTTACTGGATTCATGCCTTCCTCTTATCTCAGCTCCATCTTTGGAGACGCTCTGGTACAATTGAAGGAGTCTTGGTTCGCATTTCTGGTTCACGGATTTGAGGACGGGAAAGGCTTGGTCATACTCAAGACGAAAGACAACAGGCTATTGAGTTGGAATGTCGAGGGTTGAGCATTCCAATAATGCACCTCTGCGAGCATCAAATAACATGTCTTATATCATGGAGGCACATTAAGATCACGGACATACATTTTCTGTCTAGGTCCTACAAACAAATGATACCACACCTTACAGAGATCCAAAGATATGCGTGCGAGGTTATGCTCACTCCTACCTTGTTTGTAAACATAGTACTCAAAACAATCGTAAATCACTCATGAGAGAGACTCTGATTCTTTTCTGAGACGCGATCAATGCACATCTGATCTGTTCGTTTCTTCCCATTGCCTACCTAATATGCAGTCATAAGTCATGCCAAACGGCTGTCCCCAGGTGCGCCTCGCTAAAATCGTAGAACATGTAATGCAGGATGTATTACCCTCGCCGCGCATTTTCAACCGAGGCGAGGTCGCTTACCACCGCCAGATTGACGCTCGTCCCGCATGCGTTTTCTGTCCATCTCCTCCCTCATGATGCGCTCTGCGGCACTCATCTTCTTGGGTTCTTCGACCACCTGAGCTGGCTTCTTCTCCTTGAGGGGGTTGGACTTGGACTTGGACGCAGCCGCAAATACGTTGACTCGCTTGGGTTTGGAACCAAGGTCGAGAGAAAGTTTGGGTGCAGGTGGGGGTGCGACAGGCGCCTCGGCAGGCTTCTCGTCTCCAGTCTTTAACTCCAGAATAGGCTCGGCTTTGACTTCGGCTGGATCTGCAGTGGGCGATGGCTTCTTGTCAGTAACCGCTTCTGTTGAGTCCGATGCTGCCGGCTTGGATGCCAGACCCAGACTGAACGACAAAGGACCTTCTTGAGCCTTCTTAGGTTTGACCTCTTCGTCCTGATCTTTGTGGTTGAGACGATCTTCCTCCTCTTGCTGTCGCTTCTTTTCCTGTGCACGCTTAATTTGAGCATCGAGCATGCGTGTCTCACGCTCTTCGTCGCCCTTTTCCATAGCTTCCTTTTTGCGAACCATTTCTCTGCGTCTCAATGCTTCGGGACTGTCGTCGACCCAGGCAATCTCCAAACCTCTGTCTCCCTCTTCAACTCTGCAGATACCTTCTCTTCCAAGGTACTTGACAAACTCGGTCAAACTAGGCCATTTGGTCGAGTTCATGTGGATGTGTTCTTTGTCGTGAATGTATTCCTGGTAAAAGTGGTTGGCATAGACCTTTTTTTCTCCATGCGAGGTCCTGAGGAGCGTCAAAAAGTCCTTCTTGAAAGTCTCCGAGTATTGGGCAATGTATTTCTTGGGGTCCTCGCCGACCAGCAGCATTGCGCGCACGTGTCCTTCGGAAAGAGTGTGTTGCTTGAAGCCGTTCTCATCGCGCATTTGGCGCTGGCAGACTTGACAGTACCAGCGCAGGCGCTGCAGGCCCTTGGACTTCATGTTGTTGGAGAGCCATTTTGTGCTGCCGACTTCTGCCTTGGGCATGATGGATGTGCGATTTGATAGTGGTTATGTATGCGACCAGGTTTCTGAAAGAGTGAAGGGTGTTGGAAGAAGTTGGTTGATCTATGTAAAAGTCGAGAGTGAATTATCAATCTTGGTCGCAGTCAGAGCAGTGGCGTCGCGAGTCGCGTGGTTGCAACTGCTCCCCCGGCTTCTGCCGCTCCTCTACTCTGACTGATCTCTAGAGTTGGTGTAGTACAACCACGACATCTACCTCGCTTGTAGCCTTAGTCAATGGAGAGAAATGACTTCATTGTTTAGAGTTTCATCTATCTAACCATGTATGTACACAGAAAAGGCCATCTGATCAGATGGCTGTCGTGAAATGCTTTTGCCGTCCCTTGGCTTCATCCGCCTGCTGTCTATGAATGCCAACAACAACAATGCTATGTATGCTAAACGCTAAATCAATCGAGGAAAGTAAAAAGATTGGTGTGGACCACGTTGAGCGCTCTGTTAGCCTCGGCCTCTTCGATAACGCAAGAGATGTTGATCTCGCTGGCACCCTGAGAGATCATCTCGATGTTGATGCCATTCTCCCCAAGCACACTGAAGAAGCGACCGCTGATGCCAACCATGCTACGCAGCTGGCGACCGACAAGACTAATGACGGCCAAGCCAGGGACAAGGTCAATATCACCCCACACGCTGAGGTCGTCGACCGCTCCCTTGAGGGCAGCAGACTCGATCTGAATCTCTTCAGAGTCGGGCCCGGCACCAGACAGGAGGGCGACCTCGGAGTGGAGAGCCATGGATACATGGACTTCGGACGACGAGATGAGGTCGACGGACAGATGCCACTTGTCGAGGACAGAGAAGATGGACATGAGGAAGCCGTGGGCGCGCGTACGCTTCTTGGAGTGCACGTTGAGCACGGTAATACCGCGCTTAATTGTGACAGCGGTGGGACGCTTGGGCCCATCGTGGGTGCTGAGACTGACCAGGCTGCGGTTGCGGAAGAGAGAAGGCTTCTTCTCGCCGAGGTCATCGGCTTGATCGGGCCAGATGACGGTGCCCTGGTTGCGGGGGTTCTTGACGTTCTTGATGCGGATTGGGATGCTAGCCTTGATGACCTGATCCATGGTGAAGGGGTGAATGACTTCAGATCCATAGAAGGTCAACTCGGCAGCCTCGGAAGGGGTGACGGAGGGCAGCAGGCGAGCAGTGGGCACCTTGCGAGGGTCTGCGGTGAAGATACCATCGACCTCCTTCCAGATCTGCAACTCGGAGGCGCCAATGCCGACAGCAACCAGAGCGGCGCAAAGGTCGGTGTAACCACGTCCAATCTGGGTGAGGAGACCGCCAGGGACGTCGCCAAAGTAGCCAGTAATGACAGGAACGGCATCACCGCAGGCGTGGACAGCGGCAGCGAGAGACTGGGCCAGGTTGCGGTAGAAGGAGTCATCGATGCGTTCGCCGACGGGGAAGTCGATGACATTGCTCAGATCGACGTATTTGGCGTTGCAGCCACGGTCCTGCAGGACGGCCGTCATGTACAGACACGACAGCTTCTCGCCCTTTGCGACAATCTTGTCCTCAGTACGCTTGCTGACCTCGGTCAAGTGCTGGGCAGACTCGAGAATCTTGATCAGGGAGTCGCACTCGGCATTGACAGCATCCGAGTAGGAGTCGAGAATGTCGGCCGACGAGATGGTGTCCTTTGCGACGGCAATATGGTCGACGCGGATGACATCGACAATGTCGACGTACTTGCGCGAGCCAATGCGTTCGGCCTCGCGGGCAGCGCGGAGCAGACGGTTGGTGGTGCCCTCGCTCTTGGTGTAGGTGCTGCGGGCAGAGCACACGATGGCGGTGCGGTGGTCCTTCAGGCTAGCACTGGAGATAGGGTCAGTACACAGGAGGGCCAGGCAGAGCAAGAGTCGACGTAGACGTACATGACAATGTCTTTGGCAATGTCGACGGCAAACTTGCCGACGCTGGTGCCGCCAAACTTTTGCACGACCCAATTGCCGCCGCCGGGCAGGTTCTTTTCCTGCTGGTGAGGTATTGACTGTTCGAATCCGTTGGTGTAGGCCATTGTGAGGGTGATTGAGGGGGAAAGTGGTCGTGTGTGTGTGTTGTTGAAGTGACTATGTGTTTTTGCTATTGTTCTACAGCGAGGACTCGAATTGACTCACGCGGCGTTGAATGCCATGGCCCCCCCGATTTCGCATCTGCCCCACTCCTCGATGAAAGACGGCTCTGACGTCCGCGTCTTGATTAGTTTACGCCAGATAATAATACACTCGCATCACTTTCGTTTCCATCCCATCACGACCCACAACTCACACGATGCCGCCGAAGCGCATGACCGCGAACCCCCTGGCGCCTCTGCGCTACCGCCCGGGAAAAGCTGTCGGCCAGCAAGAATCATCATCAGAAGAGGAAGACTCCGCCTCGGAATCTGAAAACGAGTCGCAACAACAGACCAAGACAACTACCGCCCCGCCAAAAGCAACTTCCTTTCCCAAATTCAACTCGAACATCACCAAAGCCGACCTCGAGCGACGGAGACAAGAGGCCCAGCTCTTGCGCCAACAGAACGCCGAGCTCGAAAAACAAGGTCTAGAAGGCTTCGAGACAGCTTCCGAAAGCGAAGGTTCCGCCAGCGACGATGAATCCGCATCCGACCAAGACGACCAAGACGATGAATCAGAGGACGAAGCACCAACTCGCAAGTTCGTCGCTCCAAGCTTCATTCCGAAATCACAGCGCAAAACTCCCGCCGCACCAGTCCAAAACGAAGAAGCCATAGCCGCCGAAGAGGAACGCAAGCGCAAAGAAAAAGCCGACGCTCTCCTCCAAGCACAAATCGACAAGGACGCCGCCGCTCGAGCTGCTGGCCGCAGAGCTTGGGACGACGAAGATCCTGACGCCATTGAAGACGTTGACGACACCGACAATCTGGACCCAGAAGCCGAGCTCGCAGCCTGGAAGTTGCGTGAACTACGCCGTGTGAAGCGAGACCGCGAAGCCATCGAAGCTGCCGAGAAGGAAAGAGAAGAGATTGAAAGACGACGAAACCTGACGGCCGAACAACGAGAAGCCGAAGACGCAGCTCACATTGCCGCCCAAAAGGAGGAAAAAGAAGGAAGAGGCCAGGCGGGCTTCATGCAGAAATACCATCACAAGGGCGCCTTCTTCCAGGACGACGAACAACTGGCCGAAATCTCCAAGCGCGACATCATGGGCGCCAAATTCCAAGACGACTCTGGTAACCGTGAGATTCTGCCTCAGTACATGCAGATTCGCGACATGACAAAATTGGGCAGGAAAGGAAGGACGAAATACAAAGATCTCAAGGCAGAAGACACTGGACGTTGGGGCGCAGAGGACGATAGAAGAGGTGGTGGGCCTGGTTATGGAGGCGATAGGTATCAGAATAGGGAAGGAGCCACCGGTGCGAACGCTGCTGCTGTGGGTGAGCGGCGAAGGAGAGACGATGATCGTGGTGGTCGCGACGAGAAGAGGGCCCGCTACGACTAATCTTTTGCGAAAATAGTCGACGACCTTACGAAGAACTTATTATATACCCTGCGGGCTAGCTATGCCATGTCCGCTCCCCCCTTCTGGTTGTTGGATACACCGAGGTTTTGACTGCATAAGAGACGCAAGACGAAGATTATAGCTGGTCAGGCTAGAGGTGGGCTACCTAGCCGCGACCAGCAGCCTCCCCATACTGCCGAGGTAGCTTCTTGCTACATATATAACGAGAGCAACGACGATAGACCATATTCATCGCATAGCATATAGCATCATTGTTGATAATCAAATATCTCCACAGCAACTCACACATGTGCAAGCTTGGCATGACTTCGTCACTCGTCTCTGTTCACATCTTCGTTCACCTTTTGCGCCAACTCACCTATCTCGCGATACACTTCTCCCAACATCCACCATGGCGCATCAGGCAGATGCTACTCGCATGCTCGATGACCGCGGCTACACGGGCACCCTGATTCGCGGCCAGAACCCACTCCTCCTCTTCGAAAAAGCCGTTCGCGATCGCATTATCGACTCGTACTACTGGAAAGAACAATGTTTCGGTCTCAATGCCGCCACCCTCTGCGACCGCGCCATCGATCTCTCCTTTATCGGCGGTACCTACGGCATCGGCCAAAAACCTACTCCCTTCCTCTGCCTGGCTTTCAAACTCCTCCAGCTCACGCCAGAAAAAGAAATCATCTTGCACTACCTGCAGCAAGATGACTGGAAATATTTGAGAGCCTTGGCCGCGTTCTATATTCGTCTAGCCTGGGAGCCTAAGGATATCTACGAGACGTTGGAAATGTATTTGAGCGATTACAGAAAACTGAAGAGGAGGACGAGGGATGCGTATGCTTTGAGCCATGTGGATCAATTCATCGATGACTTGCTTACGAAAGACCGCGTTTGCGCCACCTCACTCTGGAAGATGCCAACTCGTACACAACTAGAAGATCTCGACGTGCTCGAGCCACGCGTCAGTCCCTTGGGAGATGAGATTGATGAATTGGATGCAGAAGATGAAGATATGAAAAACACAAGTGACGGCGGGGTTGAGGAAGTCAGGAACGGAGACTCGAGATCAAGGAGCAGAAGTTATGACAGCAGAAGTAGGAGTCGTAGTTACGAGAGGAGAAGGAGCAGGAGCAGAAGTTACGATCAATACGACAAACGAAGCAGGAGTCGCAGCTTCGAGAGAAGGAGAAGCTATAGCCGCGATCGTGATGGCAGAAGCACAAGTCACAGCCGTGAGCTGCCAGACAGGAGGAGGAGTCCGCAATCGAGGTCAAGATCGCGCTCGAGGGGTTGAAAACATGTTCGATGGAACTCAGAGAGACAGCTTGCTGTGGTCTTGAGTTTTCGAAACATGCCGCGACAATCCAACCACGGTGGTGTACACACACGGCCTTCATCGCTCCATGTATGTCCAATGTCCAACCACAGAGCCTCTGGACACCCGGCTCCTCAGCTACAACCGAGACAGTCAGCAAGATACGAGTGCCGCACCACGACGTCCAATACAGCAATCTACAAGCTTGCCCGCCGGGCTGGCAACAAAACACCACGAGATTGCACTCAATACATCTGTCTCCAAGCTTACAACAAAGTCGAGGCACAGGAAAGAAATCAGCTCCAAGCATCCAAGAAGCAATGAACCACTTCTCTAGTAAGAACTCCGTCAGAAACATCGAATGCCTTTGTCCCTCTCGGATTCCGTCTCTAGCGTGTGCCGCTATTGTTAATTTGCAAACCATTCTCCAGACTTTAGAGTTTACAAAAAGACCAGAGTACTCGGCTACAGGACTAGTCACGATAGACGTTTTGATGATCATCAGGAGAGGAAGTTTTACACGTGTGAAACAGCTGCAGCAACGGGAGCCAAAGCCAGCCCCGCTGTCCAAGTTTTGACCAAGAGTGACGTTCGAAACTGCAGAGTGACGCACGATTGCTTCCACCATACCATCCCTGCTCTTTGACGCGATCGATCTCCAGCCATTCTTTTTTTGCTAATAAGCTGAAGGGAGAGCTGCCCTGCCGTGCCTGCGCCTCATCATTCTCAATTCCTTGATCAAGCCACGATTTCTTCCTTCGTTGATAAATAACCCAGTTCCTCGTTCTTACATTCCAAGTCTTGCGATACCCATTTTCGACATTTATACTTAATACCTTCCTACTTGTAGAGGGGGATCGAACAATTTCTTAGAATGGCAGAACACCAAGATAAGCCTCTCAATGAGTATGTTTCACGCGACCAAAAACTTCAGCCTGTATGAGAAGCCGAAACGCTAACGGTAGTCAAATAGGCTTTTGTCTCATGACATGGTCGACATCTATGTCGGTCAGGAAAACACCAAATGGATTCTCCACGAGAAACTCTTGTGCTACCGCAGCAAGTTCTTCCGCAACATCTTCTACAGCAAGGAGAACAAGAACCGCCAGTTTGGCCTTCCCGATGAGGAGGATGAGCCTTTCCGTCTTTTCGTAGGCTGGCTCTACAGTGGACACACTCCCACACCCAAGGAGGAGAAGGACCTGACCATCCTCCTGGATCTGTACTTGATGGTTCGTTGTTTCGATGATGCAAATCTTGAATACAAGCTAACGACAATTGCAGGCCGAGAAGTGGGAAATTCGCGATCTCACCCTGGAAGTTCTCAAGAGCGTCCGCAACTGGTACAAGGAGTCCGACACATACCCCGCCCTCCGCCGCGTGCAATACATCTACGCCAACACCGACCTCGAGTCTCCCATGCGCCAGCTGCTCATCAGCAGTGTCGCCAGAAACCTCGTCACCAGCGAATCGGGCATGCCTCCTCAGTGGGACAAGGCTCTCAGAAAGAATGGCCAGCTTGCTGTCGACATCATCATCGCCATGCAGAAGTGGAATCTTGAGAAGGAGAGCATCCCCGACCCCAGACAGGACTCGGTCAAGCCCATTCTTGAAGAGTCTGAGCAGGCTAAAGCCCAAAAGAAGGATGGCCAGCAAGACGACGAGGACCAGAGCAGCGAGCAAGACGGCGAGGAGAACGACGACGAGAACAATGAAGAAGAGACCGAAGAGGGTGCTGAGGATGGCGAGCAAGAGGAGGGTGAGGACAACGAGGATGGCGAGCAGGAGACCGAGGAGCCCCAAGAGTAATGGGTCACAAGATACCCGATGAGACGAATTCTTTTATAATCTTCGTTGTAGCAGTTAATTTTTCTGGATAAGCAGGTAATTCAATTTCAAGATATTTTTCACCTTTACTCGAAGACTTGATTGCGCATGGGGTATCAGAGGGATGGCGCAACTCGTCAAGCATGTCCGTAATGACAGGAAGCGGAGGTTGAAGCATTGGAAGAGAAAGGTGTGCTTTACATGCGTCTGGGAGCGGGCATGTTCTTCTTCTCCTTTTGCGAGACCTTCTTTCTGCGTCTCTCGATGAGTCTCTCTCTGTCCTTGGACTTCATGCTGTCGAACTTGTTGACCAAGGCCTGTTGCTTTTGGTCCGACTTCTTCAGGTAGAAGGGGTTCTTGCCCTGTGCAATGGCTTCCTTCTCCTTCTTGCGGTGCTCGCGTATCACTTCCTGTTCTCTTTCCTTGTTCTCACGCGCCTTCTTCTTGCTTTCCATGCTGAGCAGCTTGCGCTTGAGGACGGCCTTGTCATCTTCGTTCTTGCTCTTCTTGATGGCAGCCTTGAGTTCGGCCATCTCCGAGTCCTGGTAGTCGTTGATGAAGGAGTACTTTTTTGCAAGGGCAGTATCGTCCACGGGGCCACCTAGTGGACCGAAGCGAGGGTCGCGAACTTGAATCTTAGGTACATCAATGACCTGGCGCTTTCGGGTGACCTGTCTGTTGGATGCTTGTGCCATGGGGGCGTGTTTGGAGCTACGGGCATGCGGAGCGCCATCCTCGTCCGAATCGCTATCACTGTCGTCGCTGGCGTCCTTTGTTGACCGTGACTTGTTTGCTGCGGGTTTGGTGGTGGATTTCTCTGCTTCCTTCTTGTCCTTCTTGTTCTTCTTGGGGGCGGGCTCGGCTCCTGTTGATCCCCTCAGCTCTCGCAGGCGAGCGCGGAGAGCTTCCAGTTTGTCTTCTTTCTCAGTGTCGTCTCCTGCGGGTCTTTTGCGCTTTTTCGAGATGGACTCCTGTGCTCTCGACAATGTACCGAAAGAGATGCTGCTCAGTTTGTCCTTGACGTCTTCTTCAGCGTCTTCGTCGGAAGAAGATAAAATGTCGACCTCATCGCCTCCAGTCTCAATGATAGATGCTGACGAGTCGTCTCCGGAAAACTCTTCGTAGTCGTTCTCGTTGTCTGAAACGTCGGCGCGCGCCTTGACGCTTTTTCCAAGCGGTAGAGGCATTGCGTTTGAGAAATCTAAAATGTTTGGTGGAACGGAGATTTTCTGGTCGACGAGTTCCTGAGCGCCAGCTGCGAATCGCGATAACGAATGATGCCAAGCTTTTGGTTTCTTATCGGCGGCCTCATGTCTTGCCCACACAACTTCCATTGCTGCAGACGTGTCCTGAGAACATGAATACATCGGTTGAACAAAATGCTCACTGAGAGCTGTAGACATGGAGTTTCATGAACGAACTTGTGTTTGGACTTGTGGAAAAGCGAAACAAGCAGCTTTTGATTCTGGCATGCCGCATAATTGACTCCAGATTATTCAGCCCGTCTCGCGCGCGCAGCCAACGTCAATCACGAGTCCCTCTCGTCTGCCATTCCAAAATACAACACCGACAAAACCATGGCCAAAATCTATGCCGAGTATCTGTCCAACATCAAAACTCTGGCTATCACCACAGTACTGGGAACTCCCAGGAACGACACCACTACGTTATGGCTATCGAACGACCGCACAAAACTTGTTCTCGAACACGATCATCACAGCCATCGCATATTCCTACCAGCCAAGGTCCCCGGTCAAGGAACCCAACATCTACAGCTTCCCAACACAGGCGAGCTGCAATGTGTAAATCGTATATCCGCAGAACCTATCTTTGATCAAGAAGAATCTGTCAGTCTCTGGTCTGCAACTCATCTTGACTCAGGGACGGCAGTGAACTGCAAAAACTGCGGTACTCTCGTATCGAGCGAGAGGATCCGTGTCTGGAAAGATCTCCCGTCCGAAGCTTGGGCTGAGATGATGGACCTGTGGCATTGCCACAAACCAGAGGAACCCGAGACCAATTCCGACGATGCCCCAGCACAGAAAGGTTATGCTGCTGGCAGTAAGCTTATAGCTCAGGTTGGTGTTGGTCTAGTCGATGTCATGAGTTTCCTCCTCTCAGAACACGATTGTACTGTCGAGGTAAGCCATGCATTTCACTTGCTACTCATTTCTCTTCTCTCGCCCCCCTGCCCCTTCCTCTCACGGGTTTCAAGAAGGAGTGCTCTGTGACCACCGTCGCCTCAATCAGATACCGCTTCGATACAAAAACCCAAGATGAAACCCGATGCTCGGTCAATGAGCAGACCCTCGGCTCAGCTAGATGGGTCGCTTACTGTATCGTTAACGAATCGTCCCTGTGAATCATCGTCGTAGCTTAGAGTAGTTGGCTATGACAAGATACATCAGAATGGCACATCCTCGCCACCGTTGCATGCTTGTATTGCTTGAACTAACAGATTCCATCAGTACCGATCAGTTGAGAACGACGACAACATCCTTCAAGCTCATTGCAAGAGTTGTGATGCAGTCCTAGGCCATCGTGATGCTCAGACTGAGGGTGTACGGCTGCAGAAGCCATACCTTGCCCTTTCATCCAAGAAGAACAGCACCACACGATCCTACGACGCAGCATATTGGTTCTCTTGCTATCTCAATCAAGCGATAGAAACCCAAGGTGTGCGAAAATTCGTCTTTTCGACCCTTCCATATGAGATCTGGGTGTTCTCGACAAACCTGGCCTATTCGTCACTGGATTGTCCAGATCCAAAGCAAGCAATGAAAGTCTTGTTCAGAGCAAGACAGGGTGGTCAAAACGTCGAGACGCTCCGAGCAGCCAATCTTCTGATAGAGACGCTGACCCTGTCGTCAACCATGGAGAAGTCACTATATCAGATTCTACAGCGGGAGAACTCCAAGCTACCAGGGAGTTTGAGGAGTTTCATGGGGTGGGAGGTAGCGGTGTTGCCTGTCTTGTCTAGCTCCAGCATCAAACAAACACGAATCTAGATCAATGAACTTGATCTATGCTTGTCCAAGCAAAATCAATCATCACATCTTATCGCAAACAAAGTTCCTGGCACAAATCATCATCCTAGGCTGATCCGTTTCAGCTTCAGTGTAACGAGTGTCTGCATTACAAGCCCGGTGACGGGAGGTAGTCTCCGAGCAGAGTTCTGAGCTAACGGTTCAGCAGCATTGTATGAAATGCATCGTCAAATTTTGTGACATTTCTTCGAGTCTCTTCAACAGTGCCGCCCGCAACAGCATCAAGATTTTTGCACCGTATCATCGAGTCTGACGTTCCTAAGCCCATCCGCCGCCTTTTCCGCCGAATCCAGTGCTCTCCTCCACAGGCTTTCTGTTTCCGCCCCTCTGGCTCTTCTGCTGCGCCGCTTCATGCTTTCTCAGCTCCTCTGGAACCCTCGAGATTGAACTCTTACCCAGCATCTGCTTCAGATCATACAATACATCATTATCCTCTGGTCCAAGGAACGTGATAGCCACACCAGACTTTCCAGCACGACCGGTACGACCAACACGATGGGTGTAGGATTCGATGTTGGTAGCCATGTTGAAGTTTACGACCAGAGATACGTCGGGGACATCGATACCACGACCAGCCAAGTCGGTGGCGACGAGCACTTCTGTTTTGCCTTCGCGGACAGAGAGCAACGCTGCTTCTCTCTGCTCTTGTGTTTTGGAACCGTGTAGCGTGACGGCTGAGTATCCCATCCGTTGGATGTCTTTGGCCACGGCGTCGCAGTTGCGCTTGATGTTGACAAAGACAATGATCGGGGGTGCGAATTCTCTGCTGGACAAGATTTCGCGGAGTCGGTTCTTACGCTTGTCTTCGCCAGAGACGAACTCGACACGTTGTTCGACTGTGTCTACTGCTTCGCCGACGTTTCCGATGGTCACAATGGCAGGGCGACGGAGGTATTTGCGCGCGATGCGTTCAACAGCCGCAGGCATGGTGGCTGTGTACATCATAGTCTGGCGGTAACGACCTCTTCCGCTGACGTGCATCTGCATAGCTTGACTATTTTCTGCTTCGTCCGTGTCTGGTTTCTCGTTGCCTACAGGTAGGGCATCGAGAATCTTGTTGACAGGTTCTTCGAAGCCGAGATCGATCATGCGATCGGCTTCATCCATGATGATATAACAACATTGGGAGAGAACGAGAACGCGACGTTCGATACAGTCAACCAGACGACCGGGTGTAGCAATGATGATTTCGGCTCCATTGCGGAGGTTATATGCCTGTTCTTCGATAGAGTGACCACCAACGATGGACACACAAGTAAAGCCTAGAGGTGTTGCGAATTTCTTTGCCTCAATCTCGATCTGTTGTGCCAATTCACGGGTTGGTGCGAGGATAATGGCGTAAGGACCGTCGTTTTTGGTGAGTTCATTGAGAGCAGGCAGTTCGGAAATGTAAACAAGGAGAGGTAGGAGGAACGCGGCAGTTTTACCAGAACCAGTCACGGCAACACCGATGAGATCTCGTGCTTGCAGAGCCACAGGGATAGCTGCTCGTTGAATTGGCGAAGGATCCGTGTAGCCAACCTGGTCAATAACCTGCAATAGTCGGTTGGGCAACCCAGACTCCTGCCAGTAACGCATAGGATTTGGGATAGATCCACCCTTTGTGCCAATGTTGAAATCTTCCTTGAAGATGCGCCAGTCTCGTTCGCGCATCTGAGTAAGCTCTTTTTCGCTCCAGTGCTTGTCGATGGCGTTGCGGCTCTCGTGAGCCTTTGTCCGTTCCTTCATGTCCAGAATCTGTTGTGCTCGTTGTTTTCCGGTTTCGGGGTCAAGTGTCGGCAGCAGTTTTGCGTACTTTTCGGCAGCCGTCTCGTCTCCATCTGCATATCCCCCGAGCCTGGTAGCAGGAGCAGCTCTATCCTTGTATAGCGGATCGGTGTCGGCAGTTGTGTCTTCTTCTGCGTTCCATTCGAAGTTGAACTTTTTCTCGGTGGTTCGCTTGCGCTTCTTTTTTGCCGAGAAGGTTGATTGATTTTGGTCTGCTCCCATATATCTTTGGCGAATCGAGGCTTGGGCGGCCTCTTCTACGGTGGGCTTCTTCACGGTTTGGTTGCCGTTGATAATGGCAGTCTGTTTGGGAGGCGGCGGAGGAGCCATGTCGTAGCCTCTGTTGTGCTGATCCTTGTTCCTCCATCCAGAGGGACCTGAAGGAGGTTGGCCGCCTCTCTGACTCCTGGGACCAGTGGGAATGGCTGGGCGACCGTCCATGGTGCGATTATTGCCCGTGTTGATTTGAGCATGGCCACGACCAGGCTGCGGCTTGTTGAAAGAATCGCGCTCAACCTCTGCCCTCTTCCTTGCATCTGCAGCCTCCCTGTCGAGCTTCTCCTTAGCTATCCTCTCACGCTCGGCACGCGACAAGAACTTTGGCTTCATGGCAGCTGCATCGGCGGCCTTCTTCCTCGCTAGAATCTCCTCGATGTCCAGAGGCTGACTTTTTGGTTTTGCAGTAGGCCATCCTTTCTTGAGCTTCTTCGAGGGCACCATGGATGGACCGAGTTCTTGGTCATTGTCGTTCGGAGCTGGTGGAGGGGGCACATCTGCGACCGGCGGCGGCGGCGGGGCGGCAACATGTTCTGTGGGAGGAGGCGGTGGCGGTACATCTGACGGAGGAGCTGGCGGAGGGTCCATGGTGACTGCGTGAGGGTGGGCGAAGAAGGAAGGGCTGGTCCAAAGCAGAAGAACAGGCAGGCAGCCAACGATTCGCATGTGATCGAGGCGCGGCTGCCCGCAAAAGCTGGAAATCTTGCGGCGCAACTTTGACCTGTAAATCATCACCCACGCCGTCATCATGGACTGAACAAACCATGCCCAGCCATGTTCTACGACCTGAACGTCGACTACAACCCGTCGTCGACCTCCGACGCTGACTTGTCCAAGACTCTGGCCTTCCTGAGTGAATGTGAGGCCGCACAACTCTTCCCCCGGGCCTGTCATATGCTAATCTTGACCAGTAGGATACAATGTCATTGCCTTGAACCACACCATCTCTGGCAGGCTGCCATCAGACCTCGTGAGTCTCGTCCATCCGACCATGCGACACGCACACTAACACAATCCAGTCCTGCGCCATCCCCGATCCTCTACCATTCAAGACCCCGCCTTCCTTGACTATCCTTCGTCGCTGCACCTTGATCTTGTCCGAGTCTGCCACAAACAATCGCCTGGGCGCCCTCGCAAACAGCTACGACATCCTCGCTTTGCGCCCCGTCGACGAAAAGACCTTCCAACATGCCTGCGGTACCGCCGACTGCGACTTGATCTCCCTGGACATGACCCAACGCCTGGGCTACCACTTCAAATTCAAGACCGTCTCGGAGGCAGTCAAACGCGGCGTCCGTTTCGAGATCGCATACAGTCAGCCTTTATTGGCTGAGCCTGCTGCCAAACGCAATCTCATCAGCAATGCCACGGGCTTGATTCGTGCCACAAGAGGTGGTCGTGGTATCATCATCAGTAGCGAGGCCACCAAGGCTGTTGGCTGTCGTGCGCCCTGGGATCTTGTCAACCTAGCTGCTATCTGGGGACTGGCTCAGGATCGCGGCTATGAGGCTGTCAGCAAAGAGGCTAGGAGTGTTGTCGTTAGTGCCAAGTTGAAGAGAACCAGCTTCAGAGGCGTCGTAGACGTTGTATATGGAGGCGACAAGCCGGCAGTCAAGGAACAGTATGAGAACCAAGGGCAGAAAGACAAGACCAAGGTCGCAGCTCTCAAGGACAACGGCGTCAAGAAGAGAAAGGCCGACGAGGTCGAAGACACAACGACAGATGCTTCCGAAAAGCCAATCTCAAAACGAGAGCAAAAGAGAAGGGCAAACAAGGCCAAAATGGAGGGTCTGGGTCAAACTGCTTCTCCGGCCCTGTAGACACAGAATCACCTCAAACGAACATGAGCATTCCAGAATCTCAAAACCTCTAATCAGACACGACTGTGATTCTCTCCATCCAAACGTCTGGTATAACTTTTCGCGAGGCTCGGCCTCAGGTATTTGAGCTGTTGGATGCAAGTGTATAGGGGTATCATTATCGTATATAAAATCCAGGTCAAAATTTCCAGACCGCTATGCAATTTTCCTTCCCACGTTGCCCACACCTCTTCCCACGATCGACACAACCACATCTCCTGGGTTGCTGCCATCTCTCAATCCCCAACCGCTCATTCCAAACTCTCTGAGATCTCGTGCCAACTGCACAACCTCGTCTGTGCCCACCACATCCCTGCCCAGCACCAGTCTGCCCACGTCTTCGCTGCCCATGGCCATGAGTGTGAGCATAGTGGGTGCTGCTACGATGGACGCGCAGCCGCCTTGTGAAATGCTTTCTAGCAATTGGTATGCGCATGCTTTGCCGATATCTTCTGGTGCTTCACCGCCTGCTGCCGAGCTGGCCACGTCTGCAGAGTACAGAGTTCCTGTGTTTGACTCTGCGACCAGACTGAGTCCGAAACCCACACCAATCTTCTTCTTCGCAGCAGCGTTATTCTTTTCCGGCGCGGGAACCAGAGGTGCGGACGAGACGTCTGAGAAGATGTAGGTGTCGGCCACAAACTGATTAAGCACGCCACGCGCCGTATCGATCATTCTTGCGTTGTTGGCGCCTGCAACTCCAGTTGCATACGCTACACCGCGTATCCTCTTGACTCTGCCGGCATTCATTATGTGTATCGTTTTCGGCAGTCTGACTTGATGTCCAAACACCAACTGCACCTCTCCACCACCTCCTCTTCCACCAGGACCGGGATTCGAGCGCTTCAAAACCCTCAACTCGATGTTGTTCTGAATTCCAAAGTTCTTGTAAAGCGGCAGGATAGCCGTTCGCACTGTGTCCACACTGACATCGCCTTTGTCCGTTGCGCTCGTGATGACACCAGGACCAGTGAAAATGACATTGACTTGGGCTTTGGAGAAAGCAGCCAGCATACACAGGGGTATGAGGAACCAACTGACGCCTCTAGCGCAATCTCTGGGCAACTCGTGCTTGATCACACCGCCACTTGCGCCGTAGCCGGCCGCACTGCCCACGATGAGTCCGGGCTTATACACCAGCGTCGTACCGGTCATGGAGAATTCGATCGCCGAGCCGTTCGTTACAGCATCCAAGAGTCGAAGGAATGAAACTTCGTGAGGGGCAAGACCAGGGTTTGTATGGGACGAGGCGCGGATTTGTGAGATGCGGACGGGGCGGCCAGTGAGGGTTGCGAGGACCAGACGGGTGGTGAGATGGCCGGCGCCATTGAATTTGAGCGGTGTAGTTGGTTGCGTGGTCGCCATTGTGCTGAGCAGATTTAAGAGAGAGCCGCTCTCGTGAGTGTTGTGATTGTTTGATCCTGATAGCAAGAAATTCTTGGGCCCAGGCCTCTCTGAGATTTTTTGTTCTGACCTCGGCGTTTTGATGAGCTTAAATCCGGCGAGACAACCTTCCCCACAATGTACCTTCTCGGCTGTGGGGATGTTCAACTTTCTCGAACGTCGCTCCCTTCGATACTTGTCGCTTCCCGTGTCCTTCCTCGACGCGAGGAATCGTGTTCGACAGTTCACTATGAACTAGAGCAGTACCACGAGCGTCAAGTATCACGAAGGATTGAGTGGGAAGTGTTTGCTGAGGAAGATGTCCTCATTGGTCTCGATCTCGAAGCGATAGCATTGCTCAACCATTGCATAGGCCTGATCGCACATTATATTGCGCCAAAGCCATGTCGGATTTGGTTACAGAATCGATACTCGTCTTCGACTTTGATGCAAAAGGTGAATGATACTGGTGCTACTGACCATAAAGAGTGCCAATCTTATCTCCATCTCCCCAGTCCAAAAGCCACCGCCAGCGACTGATAATCATTTCCTATTTGTCTCTTTCTAAGTCTGCTCTCTTGTTTGACCTTGCTGTCTGCTCCTTCTTTCCGTCTTCGGAGACATATGACTCTGAGCTTCGTCCTGCCCACAGACAATAGTGATCATCCTTCCTCGAGCGTCTGTTGATTTGCTCCTTTTTCAAGGTGCCATTCACGATAACGATCTGCTGTTAACCCGATGATGTGTGCGAGGATAAGCGTAACTGCCCGGGTACCCTCGTTCCACTTGATGGAGTGGGCGGACTCCTCGTGAAGTTCAACGTCGCTCTCACCTTTGATTGCAATTCCGACTGTCCATATGGGACCCTCGAGTACAAAGTAAGGCACTGGCCATTCGTAGTCTTGATACGCAAATTTGTTTTGCTCAGACAGGCGAAGTGACTCACAAGCCACTTCTTGAGGCGGCTTGTCGTGTCTTTGTGAGTCCTGTTGTGGACCACGACGGGACAGATGGGGACAGGCTCAATAACGTTGCCTTTTGTCCAAATGCTGCTTGCCAGAGACAGAACCATGTCAATATCATCGTTCTTCCCGGATCCCTTGCCACAAACGACGCCGTTCTCCAGTTCGTGACAGAGGCGTTTCAAGAAAGGGTAAGCGCATGACAAATCCCAGTCAAGAGACATTGCTAGGATGATCGGAGGCACATATAGCATCATGTAGGGCTTCGTAGACATACTCGGTTCGTTAAAAGCCTTCTCGAGCCAGATACTGTCCAAAACGTGCCGGATAGTTTTCATCATCGACAAAACTCTGGGCGGAAGGCGGCGTCTGGTTAGATCGGAAGAGTCCCAGCGCGATGTGATCTCGCTGCAACACTCCTGCACACAAGCCCTTCGCGTAGACTGATGAGGATTGTGTCCCCATCTGTTGTCTTCCGATTTGTTGACATAGAAGAGTGCGTTAGGTGCTCGTACCAGAGTATCGGCTGGACCAAGTGCAGAACCTGTCAAGCGGGCTTGCTTGGTTGCACGAGGGCTCGGGTCCATGTTGTCGCAACAAAATCAAGTCTTGTTGAGGTCAGACAGTTCCGGTGGAGTGATGGTGTAATGAGATGTTACGGCGATCCGAACGGCGTTGATAATGGTAAGCAATGCGAGCAAATATGAGCTTCGCGTGCTAAGATAGAAACAATCAATAATCGGGTGGACTGTCGATGGTATGATCGAAGAGCAAAGGACACTCTGTGAGAAGGCCTATGCAGTCAAGTGGGAATGAGGAAAGCGCAACTCAGGCAAGTACCACTTACATCGCCATGTGACTGATGACTTTTAGCTGGATAATTCGCTGATTTGCGCAAAAGGCAAGTACACTCGAGTTCATGGTTACCAAAACAATTCTGGAAACGCAAGTACGATATAAATCAGAGTATACTCTGCGGTGCATCGGACAAGACAATGCCTTCCTCTGATAAAATCGAAGACCCACAGGACTGGCTACGTGTATGAGAGGGTGCCCTTACACTCTTCTTCGCCAATGCAGAGGCTAGGTATATTTTACACGAAGGCATCATTGAGATCTCCATCCTGGCCGGATCTGAACAGGCACCTACTGGGAAGGATGCCGAGGAAGCAGTTTGCTTGCAGGGCGGTTACTGGCCATTTGACGAATGCTGCACTATTCCGTTCAGTACTATACATTTCTTCAGCGGTCTTCGAGGGATGAGGGAGCGAGTCGCACATTTTCTGGACAACACCAGTGTTCCTATGATTGTGCGGAGAAAGACCTGGACTGCGCGCGAGGTTTTGTGACGTTATACAGAGAGTCAACTGTAGGAACGTATTCGAATGATTTCAGGAGTGCGATCTGACAGTCTGAATGTTGCGTGGCTGGTTGAGACCGGTGCTGGGCCTGGAATGGAAACGGTAAGCTGAGCTTTTGGTCAGCAAGGCAGACGATTGGGCGGCGACTCAGCGCAAGGCACGCCCAAATTGGTCAAAGTGACGTGCTATAAAAGTCGAGCGCGGGCCTTTGTTTGCGTGCTTTGACGACGTTTGGCAATCCACTTTCCATCCGAGCATCGGGACGTCTCTTCGTCGACCGGTATCAATTGTACAAGACTCGACAGGCAAGCAGGTGCCGCAGTGGCACGCCATTCTCGTGTGGATTGCTCTCATCGCTTGCAATCGCGAAACCGCCGACACAACCTTGTCGACAGGCCGGCTACCCCGCACTCGCGACATTGAGCGGGCAGCAGCGACGGCTCCGATAGGGCAATTATCACGCAAGAACGAGTCGTCGAGCACGCCATCCTTCGGCCTGCCATTATCAGACATTATCAACATCTACCGCTGCTACCTCGCCCGGGAAGGACCCGCCGCCATGAACTATATACTCGTCTACTCGCTGTCTCTGCTGCTGTACCAAGGCCTCTGCACCGCTGAGCAACACCGTCTGCGACACTACCTTGACCTGCTCTCCAAGCCCACCAACCGCCTCGATCTATCCCAGAACACTGCCCGTCGAGCCCGCAATCCTCGCTCCCATCATGGCTCCAACCGCCGTCCAATTGCCGCTTGAGCAGCCCGGTTATACCGCGACATACCACAACCCCTCGCCCAAGGTCTTCCCCGACGGTGTCAAGACTGCCGGCCAGTTTGATCCTCTCTACAACCAGCTTGCTCCCTACTCGGCCTTCCCCAAGCAAATCACTGGCCCCACGGTATGGCAGGCTGAGGAATACAAGCACAACCCCGAACGCTGGACACACCCCTTCAGCAGCGACGAGATTGCTGAGATCAGCAAGGCTGCCGACGACTTCATCGCCTCGTCCACTCCATTGACTGGCATCACCAAGGAGAAGTTCCCCTTGCCTTCTGCCACCGGCCGTCTGCTGCACTCGCTGCGTCACGAGCTGCTGAACGGCAAAGGCTTCATTCTCTTCAAGGGCTTCCCCGTCCAACAATGGGGCCTGCACAAGTCGGCTGTTGCCTACATGGGTCTGGGCACCTACCTCGGTTATTTTGTCAGCCAGAACAGCCGTGGTCACGTCTTGGGCCACGTCAAGGACGTCGGCGAGGATTCTACCCAGATTGACAAGGTCCGCATCTACCGCACCAACGCCCGTCAGTACTTCCACGCCGATGACAGCGACATTGTCGGCCTGCTCTGTATCGCTCGTGCCCTCGAGGGCGGCGAGTCTGACCTCGTCTCGAGTCACGCCGTGTGGAACGCTCTGCAGAAGGAGAACCCTGATGTGGCCGAGCTGCTCACCCAACCCATCTGGTACTTTGACCGTAAGGGCGAGAAGTCGGCCGGTCAGCAGGACTGGATCCGCACATCCGTCTTCTACCTCGAGCCCAAGCCCGACGGCCGTGTCTATTCCAAGTGGGATCCCTACTACGTCAAGTCTCTTACCCGTTTCAGCGATGCCGGTGTCATCCCGGCTCTCTCGGCTGAACAACTTCGCGCCGCTCAGATCCTCGAAGACACCTGCGTGCGTCTTTCCCTCCACATGATCCTCGAGATTGGCGACATCCAATTCTTGAGCAACGAACACGTCCTCCACGCTCGCACAGCCTACAAGGACCACGCTCCTCCATTGCCCAGACGCCATCTTATGAGACTCTGGCTCGCTACTCCGGATACCGAGGGTGGCTGGACCTTGCCCTTCGAGGACAGCTCTCACAGAAAGCGTGGTGGCATCCAAGTCAACGACAACCCTCCTGTCGCTCCCCTCGATGCCGAGTAATGCCCTTTATGATTTCATGTTACCAATATGTATATATCCTCAATTGTTTAGACTAACGCAAAATTGACTAAGATTGTTATTTCTATCAAGTCTCCCTTCGCAGTGCACCACACCTCATCTTGCGATACGAGGATGCAATATCATCGATGCGCTCCTGAGGCAGGCCACTCACGCCGAATATTTGGATCGAGATTTCTTAAATCTATGTCAGTGTTCATTAATTACTGTTTGCATTCTTCGCTCCTCCATCCAGCAGCCAATTGTGAAAGGCCTGAGGAATGCAATGTGAATTCATTCCAGTGTCATTCCCCATACCCCGTGTTTTGATGTCTCTTCGACACAGGAATGCCACCATGGCTCGTGAGAAAAGACAAGATGTGGCTTGCTCCATCTTTCCGACAGCTCGCTGGCCACACTCCTTTCTGCCACGATGATGTTCGGACGCTCCTTCGCATGTTGCTTTTTGCCACTGTCGGCACTCTTGGGCGATGTAGCCGCAGCCCTACATCCTTTCAGACATGAAGCTATGGAGGTTCGCCGCAGGCAAGCCGATGCCAGCAATGATTCTCTGCTTCAAACTAGCACCGCAGGCTCGGTGTTGACCTATATCACTCCATCTCCAGGCGCTTCGCCAATTGCCGTCACGCGACAGAGCCAGTTGGTGTCTTCTGATGTGCCCATATTCACGCTATGTGCTCTGCCGCCAGAAGCCTTCTTCCCTGTCACTGCAGCACCTACACAAACAACCGCTCCATACCAAAACTACTCCATCTCAATACCTCCTGGTCCTGGTACTTGCACCACAATCTACAGTCCAACCGCTATAGAGGTTTGCGCTACTACTCTGACTGGCATCGACCGTCTTTACCCGGTAACCGCTTGCGATCAAGAAATTACCTTCTCAAGCGACTTTGGCTACATCATAGAAACGCCCAGCCCGACCTCGAGCAATGTGACAGATACGAATGGGTCAGCTGTGCTCATCACTCCAGCCCCTACTGTACAGCCGCTCACCACGTACTATGTCGCTCCATGGACCGAGCTCACTAGTGCTGGCCCTCCCTCAGACGTGGACAAGAAGATTTGTGCAACCTTTGCAAACGGCACAGAAGAGTGTCTTGTCGAGTACTACGTGTGGAAGACTAGTCTCGTCACCATCCCAATGTCTACTGTCACGTCCATCAATCTGACTACCGTTGTTTCTGGACCCTCGCAGCTGATCATAGAGACCTTTGTGGCCAATGTGACGGAGATATTCACAACATTCTCCCTGTCCACAACCATGGAGTTGACCTATTCTGTCGAAACTGAAACGACCAACATCGCTACAAGGCCAACCGTTTATACTGGGCCTACCGTTACGCAGACGTACACTGTGAACCAAAACTCGCTGCCTACGGCGTAAGATGATGTGCAACCCGAAATCTTAAACATGAATTGACAGATTTTACAGCCGCACGACCAGCACGTCCACTCGGCGCGTAACGAAGACCGTCTACATCTCAGGGGGTACCGTGACAAGCACAGTACCTGACTCACAGGCTACGACTGCCCCAGACGCTGAGTAAGTCTCTCGACGATAGATTTGTTAGCACTCACTGATACGTGCTCCAGACCTTCGTCATCTGCAGCCCCTTCGACCTCCATTGATGTAGCGAGTATCTTGGACCTCAACAAATGAGGATTGAACATCTCAATCTATTCTTCAGGTGGTGATTGTTCGATAGAGTCGACCGCTGCAATCTGTTACACTCTTTGGTGTGCTCGACATGTGACTTTGAGTGTCGTATGTATGGGCTTGAGTTGTGTTAATTCATGGCTGCTTTTTGTACTCTCTACTTTGATAACTGCCTACGATCAGTACGAACACCTATAAACAACTGTTTCCAAATGCTGGATGCTTGTGTTCGCTTTGTGTGTCAAGCAAGACTGGTGTTACTCGTGTCAGACCGTCTTGTTAATTTCGTGAGATCTGCAAGACGGTACGACTTGTGGCTTGAATACTCCTCGTGTACTAGAGTTCCTAACTTCTACCGTGTTCCTGCCAACGCATATGCCAACATCCTCTCTCTTACAAGGTACACTTGTCTTTGTCTAAGATATCTCGAAGAGAGTCCGAAACACACCGTGTTTTGTCTCTCGAAAACATTGTGCATTTCTCGAAGTCTAGAGAGCATGGTGTGCATCGGAGGAGGCTGTAGAATGAATAAGAAAGGTTGCAATCATTCTGTGTTTGATCGGCACAGTCAGGTCAATCCAAGACATGAGCCTCCTAATGTTTGAAGTGAGATTGGAACAGTTCACACAAGTCAGTTGCTGTGACATGGGTATCAGATGTGCAGCATGATGAGTTGTAGATAGTTCTCAGGGTTGCTCTGCCAACAACGTGAAGTGATCTGTGCACACCTGTACCACTAGCCTTGGCGAAACCAGAGACGCGTTCGACATTCAACTTCGCAAGTCTGCTCGTGCTCACTACTGATTATTCTGTGTTGAGACATTCGTATACGACACTTCAGCATCCTGTGTTGAGATGCGACGCGTGTCTCTTTTCTCGAAAGTCTAGCACCTCTCTGAAGCCTAGTGGATGTCTGCATTCGCGGTTAGCCGTGTCACTTTGGAGGGGGTCGTGAATCGCTCGAATGCAAGTTCAATTGAGAACACACAGATTTGAGACCAATTCCTTTCTTCTAAGCGATTGAGACACTCAGTCGTATTGGCCCGAAGTCCTGACTGCCGCACTCTCGCAGCGCCGGGAATGCTACCGTTTCCACTGAACGAGGCCGACCTCTTTAATACGCATTGGGACGACGATTGGAATATCACGTGGCAAAGTAAAGGCAGTAGATTGGACGAGGAACTCAGGAAACTGAACGGCGGAGGAGACAATAGCCAGAGGTACAGCGATGACAAAGGCCAAAATGACAAGCAAGACGACAAAAAACATGAAGAGGACGACGTTGAACAGATCCGGGAAGAGATATCGAAAGTCATTGAAAATGTCATGCGAACTAGCGTTGACCGAGACGTCGAGCCAGCTCCTTCCTATCTTGGAGTTCAGTTCCCAAGCAGCCCTTTCGAATTGCGGCATCGCGCCTTCCCATCGAGGCCAGAGTCATCACCTCGTGGATTGCCGGCGGCGGAACAACTCGCTTCTTCCCCTCCGGCCGGCTTCGAAACTCACCACAACCACAACCAACAGCCAATCAGAGGTAAGGAATTGCACCACAACACGACCGCCAACTCGAGAGTAACAATTCGGCAGAAACGATTGAGCATTCGCCAGAGACGCCAAACGTGTCTCCTACTCTGCGCTTTTCCAAACCCGTTCATCCTGAGAACGCCCTTGTTCACCTGGGCGAGCTATCCAGTGAAGAGGAGTCGAGCGAAGAAGATCTTAGTGAAGAAGATTCTAGCGAAGAGGAGTCTAGTGACGACGAGTCCGTGATAGCTGAGTCTGTTCAGGCCGAGATCTGTGAAACAGCTGCTCAGGAAGAGCCCGGCGCAGAGGTTTCTAGCGAAGACTCGAGTGAAGAAGATCTTAGTGAAGAAGATTCTAGCGACGACGAGGAAGAAGAAGAGTTTGTTGGTAAGCAGTGTCGACTGCGAATCTAGTCTCATCACATCACGCTCTAACAGCTCATGCGACAGGACGACCATCAGGTAACGCGAAAGGACAATTGTATGGAAGCGCAACAGCCCCTAACGAGCCATCTCCCGTACGCGAGGCTAGATCATCTTCTTCTGCAGAAACATCCTCCTCCATGGAAGCATCCTCCAGTTCCTCCGCCATGCAACTTGACTCTGATCTGCCATCTCCCTTCGAAGAATACTCTGTTCTAGGGGATGAAGACGATGTGAAGATCTACGCCATCTGTCTCGAGGGGTACCTGGATGAAATGGACGATGATCACGAAGCGCTGACTGGAACTTGGCTCGCTAGAGCCAGACTCTATCAACGTCCAGCCGGTTATACACCAAAGAACCGCGATGGACCAAGAAGAGACCCATTCACAAACCTCAAACCTTCGAAGACTGGTCGTACGGTCACTCTTACCGGCAAAGCTATCTCACAGAGTAAGCCTAGGGGTGAGACGATTCGAACGTCAGTCCGTGTCTCATCATCGAAAGCGACCTCAGTCGCTTCGACCGAGGTGCCAAACTACACGCACTACACCAGAATCAGCGCCAACGTTCTTGGAACCAATACTCGTCAATTGCAGGTCTGGCCATACTTCGGAGAGGATGTCGACGATGACGGGACCATCCGAGAGAGATTTGATGTTATCGTAGAGGACCGTCCACGTAAAGTCCTCATCTCACAGCAGGCAAGCACATACGGACCTTATTTCCTGGCATTTCTTCAAGAGATTGGCTGTCCTATCGAAGTCATCCTGAAGTATCTCCTTGAAGCATGCGAAGGGCCTGATGGCTTGTTGTCGAGATTGAAAAGCTTCTCGGATGACGATAAGCTAGCACGCAAGCTGGTACGCGCCAAAGAGAAGTATTGCAGGGATGACTTTGACAGAACTAGCCAAAGATGGGTCTCGGTGGCATCTAGTCTCCCAGAGATTGACGATGAGACCTTGTGGAAAGCTGCCGTGGTCTGCCACGCATTTTGGATTCGAACCAAGTTCAGCCCCTGGCAGCTTGCTCGAAAATACGCCAAATTCCCCGACAACAACAAGATCGAAGGCCTCGTTACCTTTGATGAAGCTGAAAAGTACGCCAACGTGGCCTGTAGTATTTGTCAACTTCATGACTGTCCCTTTCATGGTACTATACTTGAGAGGCCCAACGGCAGAGACGACAGCGACGAAGAAGATGTCAACTCTGTTGATGCCCTGGATATCGACTACCCGCCAAGAGTCAACTTCAAGGAGCTCGCTACAGCTCCTCAAGAGAGAGAACCTTTAGGAATAACTTCGCGCTCCCAGCCGAAAAAGTCTCTAAACTGGTGGATGAACGAGGCTAACAGCGTAACATGGGATCACAGTCAGCGGGGTCCGTTCTTTCCTTGCAGCCACGTTGGTATCTCCTGCGAAGATGCACGATGCACATGCTTTGAAGCCCAGATCTGCTGCGAAAAGACGTGCGGATGCTCTAAGAATTGCAGTCGGCGCTTCGAGGGATGCAAATGCGCCAGACGATCGAAATGCTGTGCACAGGACGATTCTTGCGAGTGCTTCAGGATGAACAGAGAATGCGATCCTGATCTCTGCGATTCATGCGAGGCACATGTCATCTTGAATCCAGTCAACAGGTATGACGACGACTACCTTCCACAAAGATGTCGGAACGTCGCCATCCAGCGCAGCGTGCCGAAACGAACACTTCTCGGCCGTAGCCCTGTTCATGGCTTTGGCCTGTATGCTGGAGAACCAATTGCTAAGGATGAATTTATTGGCGAGTACCAGGGAGAGATCATCACGAGAGACGAAACCGAACGACGAGGCGCCATCTACGACTTTCAGAAGTTGAGCTATATCTTCGACCTGAACAGGGATCAAACGGTCGACTCACAACGAATGGGCAACAAGATCCGGTTCATCAATCACGCTGCGAAACTGAATCAGCGCAACGTCTACCCCAAGATCATGCTCTGCAACCTAGCCCACCGGATCGGCATGTTTGCCCATCGCGATATCAAGGTCGGTGAAGAACTGTTTTTTGATTATGGCGGCAGCTATCACGAGAAGCTCTACGGCGAAGAGCAAGAGCAAGAAAAGGCCCGCAAGGAAAAATCCAAAGGAAAAGGCAAGGCAGTGGTGACACACATCCGACCATCAAGAAAGAGCTACCAACCACAACCGGAGATCATGGACGAAGCGCCAGGTGAAATACACGATGACACATATCGAGCCAATGACAACCACAGTTCAGACAGCGAAGACAGCGAAGACGAGCGCCCGACAAAGCGCATCAGACGCTCCCGCCTTTCATCCCCAAAACGACAGAAAATTCCTCCGCCAGAGAATTCGCGATTGCCTCCACGCCCCCTCGAAAAAGCATTGACAAAGTCGAAGTTTTCAGCTAGAAAGACTGAAGATCGGACCCGTGTGCGAGGAGGATCAAACACAACAACCCCTGCAACAGTCGGAAAACCCGATCAGTCGAGATCCAAAGTTGCGATCGAGAAGACCAGTCCGTTCAACTTGAAAGCTGCAATGAAGTCAGCGAATTTGTCCAAAGCACTCAGCCGCAGCAGAAGCAGGGTCGTGGTTGAGAAATCTGACGATGAGTCTGAGGAGGAGTCGGACGATGATTCAGATGACGAAGATGAGGTACCGAGACGAAGCAGTCGTCCAAGGAAAGTATCTAGGAAACTCAGAGAAGACGCTTGAGGGCTTGAGGGCTGCAGTGTACATTATAGAAAGACAAGCATGAATCATGCAGTGTAATCAATTAGCTATGGCAATGAATAAGAGTTGCTAACCTTGGGTGTCCACGTTCGTTGTTGGCTGCTTGCTGCTGTCGGTGACATAGACCTGATCGTAGCTGACATCCAGTTGCATAGCACAAGCCCAAGTAGAGCATGCTGCTACTCACTGAGCCTTTGACGATACAGGCGCCCCCCCCAGTTTCAAGACGAGCGCAATCGACCAATTGAGCTGGGGATTCTACTTACATCCGTGCACATAAAAAATCTCAATGGTCAAAGACTTAGCAGTACGACAAATGAGTGGGAAAAGAGAGATGGATCAATTTCTTTCTTTGATTAAGATGGCACGAGGCATTCCCCGTTACCACGCTCTCTAAACTTGGAAGACGTTCGCGTCTCAATCTCGTGTTCATTCCCATAAAAACATCCTTTCTCGCATCATAAAAGAAACTTTTTATCTTTGTTTTGTGGTATCATGCGGAAAAGTCAAAAACACTCCTTCCCAATCGTGTGAAAGGAAGAGAGAAGAGTAGAAAGCCCACTTTAGACTGCCTCATTGAGTCTGAAAAAGAAAAAAAGAAAGTCCGGTGAAAATGTGTCTCATTCAGTTGGTGGGTTTGAGCAGTTTGTCCACATCAGCGCCTCTCTTGAGAATGTCCTCGGAAAGTAGAGTCTCTTTCTCTGCGTACAGGCTCTTGTAGGCGCTGCGGATCGTGCTGTCACTAACTTTTGCAACTTCTCCGATGGCCTTGGGGGACCTGACTTGATCCATGAGCAAGCTGGCCATGTAAATACATGCGGCAGCCCCAGATAGAGGCGAACGACCAGCAAGAGCACCAATACTCGCCATTCCCAAAGCGAGGCTCTTGGCGACTTCGGTGGTGGCAAAGTCCATGCCGAGTTGGGCACAGAAACGACTGCAGAGTTCGTCGGGGTTGGTAGTAACAGTCCCTTGGTATGCTTCGTGGATGCCCACAACACCGTTGCCCATGACTTTGGCCTTGCCTCCAGATTGCCTTTCTTGCTTGGCGAGCATTGACTCGAGCAGCTTGAAGGTTCTCCCAATCTCTTTCTTGGAGACATGGGTCATGTCATAGATTTCACGGAAAGTACGAGGGACTTTGTTGCGGCGACATGCAATGAAGATGCAGCCGGCAATGATGGCCTCGGTCGACTTGCCTTTGAAGTTTTTCGAGTCTTCTGCGTCTTTGAAAATGTGCTTGGCAGCATCGGCAACGACGTTGGGAAGATCATAAGAGTCGCAGTAAGCACCAATCTGCTTAAAGGCTTGCAGCAGGTTTTTGTTTCCCTTGTCAAGGTTGGCCTTGCTTTGTGCGCGGTGGAGCTCTTTGCTTCTCAACGAGCCATCGCCAAAGGCAATGTTGGTCTGCAGCTGACTGCCGTTCAGCAGAAGATTGGGACCGTCACCGACACGCGAAGGGTCATCGTTGCCTTGGTCGTCATTTGCGAAAGTACGCCATTCGGCACGCTGATCGATACCACGTTGCGAGAGAACCATGCCACAGTCTTCACAGATGACATCGGCAGCCTGAGGGTCTTCGACAAGGTTGGGAGGGTCCTCCTTGCAATCAGGGCAGACCATGCGCACGCTGAGATTCTGGCGCCACTCGTCGGGAACGTCAAGCTGTGGTTCGACATCAGGGACGGCGCCCGGCGATAAAGTGTAACTCATGTTGATCTTTGACTTTTGATGCGAAATCCGACGGGATAAGTGACGGCGCTTGATGGCGCGTGCGGTTACTGGGAGATGGAATTGTTTTGCGCAGCAGCGGATGAAGAGCGGGGAATACAGTTTGGCGACGAGCGACCTCTGTGAATGTGACGGGTGACTCAAATGAAGAGTGACAGGCAACTAGAGGCAAGAGGTCAGCATGAGGCCGATGCAGGGGAGAGCGGCCATGTGCGGATGGTGAGAGAAGCCAAGTTGAGTGGCGAAGACTCTCGGTGCTATGCTAATGTAGGGCAAAGCAGCGGGCTTACCCAAACATCTAGCGGCAGATGGCCTTGATGAGGTGTCTGGGAAGCGACTGGCACTTTCGTGGCAGGTCTTGTCTCTGACGACTGACAAGACTAGGCAGGACGAGTCTTGAGTCCTTTGAGACGGCGGCGCACAAAGAGCAGTCGAACGAGCAGGCGCGTCGATTCGGAGGCTGAGACGTGTACCGGGAGGAGCAGTCGGCAAAGGAGAGACAGTCGTCGACGACGAGTGACGGGGGTTGATCAAGACGGGATCGACTTGACGAGGCGTAGAAGGTGTTGTCGTTGCAGCCTTTGGTGCATCGAGGGAGCACGCAGCCAGCCACGCGCACGGGCCGCATTCCATCGGTGTTTGTCAGAAGGAAAAAGAGAAGGAAAAAGAACAAAGACGGGCCTCGGACTTGGTGCTCGGTCTGGACCCTGGACTGTGAGGGCAACTTCTTTCCTGCTTGGTAAAGAATTTGGAGGGCAGAATCCAAGCTTGTTCTCTCTCCCGTTGACTGCACAATGCTCAGTGAGCATTTCGCAGCTTCCGTGTCGGCCGCGGCAATTGCGCCCAAGGCCGCAGCAAACAGCGTCAAGGATGTAGGCATTTCCGTCTTCGAGAGCCAACCGCATTCGGGCCAAAGAGCGTCCTTCAAAAAGTCAAACACTCCTCCCAACTGTCTGGCTGTCAGCCCCTCGCACATCTTCGCCGCTCAGGCCGACAAGGCTGTCGTCAACGTCTACAACCGCGAAAAGGGAAACCAGGAGGCAACCGTGCCCTTCCAAGAGAGGATAACATGTCTGGCCCTGGCCTGTGACGATACCGTGCTGGTCCTGGGCTCGCAAGCCGGTCGCATCTTCATCTGGGAAACACACACTGGTCGCGTCGTCATCACATCGCAGGCCCATCTTCAACACGTCACTGCCTTGGTCGTCGACCCCACCTCCAACTTCGTCCTGTCTGCCTCGGCCGATGCCTCGATTCACGTCTGGTCGCTTCCTTCGTTGCTCTCTTTCTCCAATGCTGCTGCACAAGGTCAGCACTCTCCGCTACACACCCTTTCAGGCCATCGTGCTGCTATCACATCCTTGGTCGTTGGGCACAGCGCTGGCTTCTGCAACATCGCCATCTCGGCCAGTGCCGATCGCTCATGCATCGTCTGGGACTACCACGAGAACCAGCTGTTGCGCACTGTATTGCTACCTGAAGTCCCTCGATGCCTGGCTCTCGACCCCGCCGACCGCGCCTTCTACACCACCTACGATGATGGGAGCGTTCAGATGGTCGACTTCTACAGCGAAGCCTTCTCCGCTGCAAACCCCGACTCGGTACAGCACCCGCTACACGATCCCGCACAAGCTGCTATGCCCGTTCAGCCTCCTCCGCAAACTCGCTGGACCCCGCCTTCGGCAGATCAAGGTGCTGCCTTGAGCGCTATCCTCAGCTACGACGGAAGTATGCTCATGACTGGCCATGCCAGCGGAAACGTGCTCATATGGGACGTCCCTCTTGGCCGCTATTCTTCCACCTTCACATCAGCGCCCATGATGGGCCCTGTCACAAACCTTGTCTCCTTACCTGTTCAAGGCTTCCCCGACTCTCGTCCTGCTCTTTTCAGCCAAGTCACCATCGTCAAGCCCAAACACGCTGCCTTCGACAAGTCTGATCTCGACGGTGCTGTTCCGGGAAACTACAATCTGAGCTTGCACTTCTCTCGCCAACTTCCTATGCCTCACATCTCCGCCTCAAGGAAGCAACCCGTCGTCACAGAGTCCGACTTCCTCACCGCTCTCACACATCCCGTATTCCCCGAGTCATTACTTGCCGAATCTCTCGCCGAGCTTGCTAGCTGGAATGGGTCGGCCAAACCGCAACCTGTGGTGTCTGCACCTTCTAACGTGGCTGCCTCTGTTACTATTGACCCTCCAGTCGCTGAGCAACAACCCTCGGATTCAGCTGATTTCATGTCTCTCGACGCCCCTGCATCTACCTCTGGACCATCTGTCGAACAGCAGAATGAGGTACTCAGGGCCGAGCTTGCAGCTCTGAAGCGTGTTCAAAGGGCTAGCCTGGTACAGATGGAGGCTTTACGCAAGGAAAAAGTTGAGCTTCTGGCCAAGATCAGGCACGATATTGATGACGAAGTGGAAGATGAAATTCGCGAGGATGAGAAGAGCGAGAGAGCATGGGGAAGACTTGCCTCGACGGGAGAGTACGTCGAGAGCGATGATGAGTCGGAGTAGCATGCATATCATTCTGTCAATACCCCAATATCACATGTGGCGTTAACTGGCGTCAGCAGGCATCAAAGAAAAGGAAAGGTTGGTTCTTCCATAAAAATTGTATACTGTTTAACATACATCTGCTCTCCCTCTTCGCGGAAGTTTAACCGTTCGGCTCCAGCACTGAGTCCTTCCAAGCCAAGATAGTGCCATAAGTGTCGAACTCTGTGGTGTGGTACGGTGCCTTCGTCCAAGCCAGCACTTGACAGATCACACTTCCATGTACTGTGAGTCTGACCGCCAACGCTTTTTGGCCTTCCTCGACGAGCTACATTCATTGCACTTTCACCTTTCACCTCCAACATCAACCTTCTATTTCCGACTTCAGTTACAGCAAGCACTGGGCCCTTCTCAAAGGATCAAGCGACATACATTGTCAAAGACGGTGAACAATCCTTTCTTCCTCTGATCTATATATACTGTCACTCCTTGCCTCCTCTCCCTCTCTGCCTCTCAGCGATCTAAAGCACGATATATAGGCACAGTCATCTCCACATTCGAGCTGAATCCAAGGAGACGGCATTTCAACCCCGTCTCTCAATGGATGCCAAATTTATTCTCGACACCACTCTGCATCTTTATATTGACCTCTGGAAATCGACTTGACGCTGGCGAGACTTACGATGGTATGATTTGGAAAGCTCATGTTTGGCTGCAGACATCTCAACACGACCCTCAGATTCTTCAAAACTCACCAAGGGCCGACCTCAATATTTTCGAGGATGCGCAGAACACGATAGGCGACTCTGTTGCCGCCGCCAACACCCAGCCTGATATCACCGCCGGTGTGACATACACCATCCAGGCCTTCCATGGCATCCTACAGACGGCCGCGCGACAAAGTCGTTTCGAAGAGGTCGCTGCCATGAAGGCAAAATACTGGAGAACAACTCTCCGGGGTCGACGCACTCGTTACTATCTTCTCTCCTCTCCATTTGCAAAGGTTGTTAACGCGTCTAACTATACAGATGCACAATAGTCTCGAGGACTGGATCGTATCCATCGAGATGCGCTGTTCTTCAGGCTCTCTTTGAGTACATCTCTGGTCTACAAATCACCGTGCCTTCCGGTAGCGAGCATGACGCTCTATATCTTGGGCGGGAAAAGAACTTGACTGGGTGCAGCAGTACCAGTCAGGTCACAATCAGAAGGAATAACCAGAAAAAGCGCGCCATGCCTCTGCACGAATATGCACTTCTCGGAGCAATCATGTCTGTCCACAACTCCAAGCATGCTGGCGGCTCCAGCTCTGCCACACCCGCCACAAACACCGCCGCCTCTTCCGCCAACAAATCTGCCATCTCTGCCGCCAAGAGCCCTGTCGCCGAACCATCTGGCCCCGCAGTTTGTGTCTGCGGTGCTTCACCTGCTATCGCAGCCATTGGCTCCACTGCTCTGTAGCGAACGCTACAAACGATATCTTCAGAGAGAGCAGGCGTTCGTCCTCATGAGTGCTGGTCTTAAGTTCAACGCAAGTCTGTTGGTTGGACTGCCATCCGTCATGTCTCGTCTTGTGAACTCCCGCCTGGGCCGCACCGGACCTGCCGTGATCGCCGAGGAGTTCGTCGAGAAGGCATCGTGGCTGTTCGAAGACATCCCTAAGGACAAAGCATACCCTACAAACACCTTTGCGATTGCACTCATTCAGGCCTTGCTAGAGTCGATGCGCCGTCATCCCAACGACGAGCCTGACTTACATGACCCTCAAAGAAGAGCAAATCTGGTGACCATGTATCAAACCTCGCCTGTCGAGCAGCTTTTCGTTGCCTACTTCGTGCATACGGCACATTGCATGTGTGGCAAACTCCACGAACTCGAAGTGGGAACCTGTCTGGTCAACGTGAACATTAATGGACGTATCCAAGTTCCTGGTTACCACCGCCCGTTCCAAACCTGCGAAGACTGTGGCCTGGCTCTCAAACCCAGCGTGGAATTGGTGCAGCGCCCCCAGTTCATTCTTGTCTCAAACTCCAGCCGCGACCCTAACTCATGCTCGGTAGAAATGGGGGTGGAGTTGGGTGTTTCGTACGACTGCTGCGGGTGCATTGGTCACAGCGGTGGGAAGCAGTTTGTGGCCTGTCCCCTGACCAAGAGTAGTGAAGGTACCGACATGACGACGTCTGCCATCGTGAAGAATCTAAACTGAAAGGGTATGTCACCATCACCTGGAAGATTCTCACACAGTCCAAGACCGCTTGTTGACCGTAGTAAGGCAGGTCATCCATATCAAGTGCCAATCAGCCTCAGTATCAGGAAAGTCAGGGTGGAGGTAGGGAGGAATAAATCTGACTTGCGGAGCCACATGTTGACCATTGTTCCTACCACACACAAAGCAATCTCTCACACACCGCATCTGCAATGTGCACATCCATACGAAGAGCTCAAGTATATTTGGCGTTCGTCTCGGTGTATTCGATTCGGCTGTCGTTAGTGTGCAACAGTATATCGCTCGTCTTTGAAGTCAAGTTCCATGGGAAAGGTGGTCCGTCTTTCTTACCCAAAACTGTCTTTTGCGATGCACTTTAACGTCATAATCGTTATCTCGATACAAACACCTGTGTCCAGACCACGAGTCAACAGATCATGATTTCGAAGCGAACAATCCTGACGACTCGTGATCGTCTACATACAATCGTCTTTAAGGCATTGACAGCGCAATAGAGATACACACTGTGGGTTTCTCTTGGTTACTGCTATGTCTCGGTGTCGTTATTAGTCCACTTCTTGTTCGTCGTCATGATCTTCTTCTCCTTCCTGCTCGTCCTCTTCCCCTCTTGTGCGCCCACTCCCTCTGTTCCCACGGGTTGTTTTGGCTCCATGTGACCTTCTGTACTCCGATGACTGAGTGACCTCGACACGCTTGTCGGCCATGTATTCGAGCAAGCGTCCCATAATCACATCATTGCGAATACCTCCATCGTGGCCCACGTATCTCAGACTGCTGGACTTTGCATATACGCGAGGGCTTGATGGCATTCCGCCATCCTCTGTGCAAATGTCCTTTCCGGCATCGTAGCTTTGATTCGTTTGGAGCTCGGAGATGATGAGACTGAGGAGACCGTATCTTTCGTGGTATGTCTTGAGAAGGTGGTAGAGTCTCTCTGTGTTGCGGGTCCAACCGTCAAGGCCCACGATGACCACAATCGGTTTGCGATCGTTGTTGATTGCGTCTATTATCTCGTTCAATATGGCGAAGGAGAATCTCTCCGCCGATATATAATCGCGGCGAAAGTCACTCATTGCATCGCCGTCTGTTCGCTGAGCCTTGTAAATCCGACCAACGCAAGTGAGATGAGTTTCAGGGTTGACATTCTCATAGAAGGATGGCACCATCTGGCTCTTTACGTCAAAGTCGCGAACATTGTCAAAGTTCTGTGTCTTGATCAATCAGGCCTTTCGAGAACAGATTCTGAGCGAAACCGACAACCTTTTCGTCGGGGAAGATGATATTGTATGTGACCTAAGAGGACATGCTTTTTCCTTGATGATAGCACTGCTCTCATTGGACTCTCCTTACTTCTCATAAGAACTGTGCATTTTTATAGCTACTTACGTAGCATGCGTTTGCACATGGAGAGAGGCCTATCCTTCCCTATCTGGGGCTCTCATTGGATGCCAGTGGGTAATTGTACAGAACTCTGCATTTCTATAGCAGCACCACGACAGATGTTGTCCATTGAAATGAACGGAGATTCAGGCTCTCACTGGACATCATGACATTTTCAGAAAGAACCTTGCATTTTTATAGTGATGTCACGCCATGGCGGGCCTCGATGAGAGACAGAACAGACCGTGGTGGTGATCAAGAGGAGGGCAGGCTGGTGTACGAGGCAATTGCGCTGCATGAGGAGAAGGCGCGGCTGTACCAGCAGGAGGATCGACTGCATCGGAAGAAAGGTTGGCTACACCGGGAGGAGGACCGGCTGTGTCAGGAGACGGATGCGCTGGCATTCGAGAGAAGTCGGCGTCAGGAGCAGCGGAAACTGGTGCCTGGGCTGTGAGCGAAGACTGAATGGCAGCTCTGAGGGCAATCGACGATTCTCTCGGTGACAGTGGGTTACGAGACTCGGCGGTGCTATCTGGTATAAGCCACGTGAATGTTGATGGGTGCGCACTGAACTTGCGAAGCAAATGATACTCTCAGCTTAGCAGCGCGGGAGTCCTTGAGGGACTGCGCCTTCTTTCTTTTCTTGTCCATGCTGACGCGGTGATGGAAGAACGATGTGAGGTTGTAAGAGCGGCGTAGGCTGCGAGATGTGAGGCGTGAGGTGTGGAATGAGAGAGGTAGGAGCAATGCAATGTAGAGTTCAAGAGCAATGTATGAGTGGGACTGTGAAGTGAAAGTAGAAGCGCAAGTGAGAACTGCGAAGCAAGAGAACCGAAAACACAACGCGAAAGGAACGAAGTGCGATGTAAGTGCCTCGTGGATGAGCCGAACAGATTTATTCACTTAGCCATCAACACTGGTGCAGTTAAGAATGACATCCGAGCATTGGCTTTTCGAGCAACGGATGAGCCACTATGTCGACGGAGTGAGCTGGAGAGAATCAACCACCTGACCGATCGACGCTGATGCAGTTGATAACGACATCTAAGAGAGTTCTTTCGACCAAGCGAATATTTCGAACTCCTTCCGCAAAGCTACATGTGTACCAGACGCGCTGAAGAGATTCCACCACCTGGCCGATCGACGTTGATGCAGTTAACAACGACATCCAAGAAAGTTCTTTTCGACCAACAGCTGAGACCAGTGTGCTTCGGACAAGCTTCATGTATTCGTAGATGAGCCGAAGAGACTCTGCCAGTTGGCCAGTCAACATTGATGTAGTTAAGGATGACATCCGAGAAAATCCTTTCCAACTAATCGATAGATCTAGTCTACCTTGGACAAGCTTCCTGGATTCGTAGACGAGCTGCGGAGACCTCTTCAGTTGGCCGATCAACATTAGTGCAGTTAAGGAAGACATCCGAGAAAGTTCTTCTCGACTAACAGGCCAGACTGCCTTTGGACGAATGGACGGTCGACGGACAGAGAAGCAATCTCGAGTCCCTCAATCTTTTCCGATGCAATTAAGAAAGACATCCGAGAAAGTTCTTCTTAACTAACGGGCCAGACTGTCTTGGTACGAATGGACGGTTAACGAATAGAGAAGCAGTCTCAAGTCCATCAATAGTCAATAGTTACGAGAGTAATTGACAAGATTACCAAGCGTCGAGTACGATAGCATGAAGCGGGAAAAGAATGAAATCGCATTGGCCTATCACAACAACTGATAATAAGACATGAACATGGAAAGTGAGACATTCGGAAGAGGAGGTCGCGTTGAGCGTCAAGGTGTTGAAGCACGACATACTACGTAAATACATACACTGCTTGCTCAACCCTGAAGACGAGGCCTATCTTTCGATCGGGAGATGGTCGCGCTGGGTGTCAAGGTGTTGGGGCACGACATAGTACGTAGAGACACACACTGCTTGTTCAACCCTGGAGACGAGGCATGTCAAGCGTCCGGCATCCATGAGGGATGCGTCAGAGCCGAATCACAATATGATACGGTGGAGACTTGTACAGCTTTCTCAGCCCTTGTTTTGAGGCCAGGGTCCGATGTCATGAGTCCGAAAGATCCATGAGATGGAGACAAGGACCAGAATCATGACGCCAGCACTTGATGCTCAGAGGTAGCGTCCTTGGAAGCTGAGATTTGCTACACTTCCCGTCTCCTTATAGCTTGGTCTTAGGAAGTCGTATAGAGGCCAGGCGCGGATGTCATTTTGAGTAGATTAGTCGTAAGCGGCCGCTACGCGTGAGACAAAAGTGTTGACCCTGTGAAGCCTCGCGACTGTCAGAATTTTCTCAACGATTTTTTTTTTGCTGTAATTACTAAGTTTGCTTCCTGCAGGCACAGAAATACTACCTATAGCACATCTCATGCAGCCTGTTTCGCTGACGACACACGCTTTTCTCTTGTTCGCTCTGGGATGGAAAAAATAGGGATCGTCTATTAGTCGGGTATTCCGAGCCCTAGCGACTAACAATAAGATTCACGTTCTCATAAGGTGGCCAAAGAAGCCACAGCAGCCCCTGTGGTCTAGTGGGTTCGTTTTCCCAGCCTCTGTCATTAATACCCTCCAGTCTAACCCATTTTAGTACGATACTTGCTTCGGGTAATCCCATCAACCTCAAAGGCTTGATACTGAATGTGAGTGGCCCCGGGTTCGAATCCCGGCGGGGGCCCACCTTTTTGAGCCCTTGGGAAGGTGGTACAACCTTTTGGAAGAGGTAGGAAGGTTGTAGGAGAAATTTTTGGTGAGGCTTCAGACAGACTCGAACCGCGGTCGCTGAAGCGTTGGAGCACGGACCACAAGTGGGGCTCAGCTTCCGACGCCGAGGCCGACCCAACATGTGGCGCCCGCACTTTCCCAAACCCTGGATGGCAGCCTTCGAGGTTGATGGGACTACCCGCAGCAACTATCGTACTAAAATGGGTTAGACTGGAGGGTATTAATGACAGAGGCTGGGAAAACGAACCCACTAGAGTCTGGACGGTCGCGTGAAATACCTCAACCACAGGTGTCCTGTGATGGTACGTACTGACATCAGAGGCACGCGGAAGTCGCGGACAATAATCAAGCCGAACAATTCACATGGGCAACAGGCAATCATTCAAGGTGAAAGATGAGCAGTGCACAAAGACAAGAGAACTTTTTGATCATAGCTAGGATTATGTACTGATTCCTACGCAGGTCGTCTCAGACGGTGGCAACCTTAGGCTCGGCAAAAGGAGTATCAGGTCTCTCAGCGTGGATGGATTTGACAGAAGTGGTGGCCTTTGCTCTAAGGGCCTCACGGATATCCTCAAGACTTCTTTGCTCCCAACCTTCGTAACCAGTGGCACTAAGAGGGTGCAGTACACGGTTGTTTGGAGCACGTGCCCAATCCTCGACGCGAGGAGGAGGAATGCTGGTCATGACATCAATATCGGCAGCCAATTCGCGGCAGTAGTCGTCTAGGGGCAGGTCGTTGACATCGTTGCCGAATGGGTTCTCAATCTCGGTACCACTAAAAAAGGGTTAGTCTGATCAAGTGGTAAGGGGGAAGTAGGGAAGGAGAACATACATCTTACTGAGACCGAGAATGATGTAAGCAGCCAGTATGGTGCCAGGGATGGTAACCCAGTCGAGATACTTGTACAGCTGGAAGGGCAAGACAAGAACATATGCCCAGGTGATTTGCGAAATAGAGATGGTATAGGCGATGGGTAGAGGAGTGTTCAGCACACGCTCGGTACCGGTGAGGACATCTGCCAGAGAGCCTATGTTGTTCATACTCCAAGTTTGATGGATCGGGCCTGGCATGAGCTTCTCCTGCATGACATGTTCCATGTAAGAAGACAGATAGGTCAGGATCTCGAGTGGTGGATTGCCAAGGTTCTGTGTACAATGGTCAGCATGATCTTGATGGCTTCCGTTCGACTCAGCTTACATCATTGGCGCGCTTGATCAATTTGCGGGGGTTGGATTCAGCAAACGAGACGCCCAGGTACTCGCCGACGTGCTTCCATGGGGTAGTCTTGCCCTTGCGTAGGGCGACTTGATCAGCAGTACCAGCCATAAGGTTAAGATGGGCAACCAATGGCTCTAGATCCGGGTACTCGAGGGCTGGCTCGAAACGCAGGCGATGCTTCAGGGCAACGGCGAAGGCATTGACGAGATTGAGAGCACTGAGCTTGTCCAGCAAGTCCCGCTTTCCCAGCTCCTCGGACTCGCTGTGTCGCTCTTCGACGTGTACCCAGATCAGGCGTGCCATGTTGCGAGAAGTCAGCATCAGCTGCGACCAGTACTTGCGTCCGTCATTGTAGCGCTCATATGCTGTCGATGAGCGGAACGACAAAGCCAGACCGACCACGAAACCCAGCACTGTCAGCAAGAGTGAGTTGATGCCCAGGTTGGTAACAAATTTCGAGATGAGCGTGATTGCAGTTGCCCAGCCGCCGATGAAGAGAAGCGGAAGGATCATCTTTGGCAGAACACTGCCGTGCAGGCGCATGAAGAAGGGTAGCTTCGAGTGTCGTGCCATATCTCTGGGACCGGCGAAGTAGTCCTCCATTTCGAGGTGGTGGGGTTGCGGTCTACGGGACGAAGCATGGAAACCCTGGGCCTTCCATGTTGCCTCACGAGAGACATTGACAGATGGAGTGCCTGTAGACATGGTGGCCGTGGTGCTTCCTGCAAAATCGGACGAAGCCATGGCGCTTAGTTGTTGAGTTGATTGCGCTAGATTGACTTGAACGGATGAGTTCGTGAATGATGGAAGAAAAACTCAAGCAAGTGAACAAAGAGACATACGACAAAGGAATGTAGTCGAAAGCAAGTGAGTGAGTGAGTGAACGCAGTTGAAAGATTCAAGTGCAGTTTCGACAACAAAGAATACCGTCGTGTTTCATCATGTATCGGCATGCAGCAATCACGGCGCCACCGGGTCAAGGCTCTATTGTAATACGAATAGCTGCGCAAACAGACGACAAATCAATCAAGGCAGCGCGCGCGCGGTCCGTCACATTTTGTTTGAGGCTGTGCAATATGCAAGAAAAGAAAAGCTCATCAAAAAGTCCCCTGAGCAAGAGTGACAGTGCAGATCTTTCTCCGCTCGATCGATCCTGGGGATCTCGAAAGTTGACACGCGACATTTCGGCTGTACCCGCTCGGCCACGAACCCGAGTTACTCAACACTGGCCTCTCCAATGCTGAACACCACAAGAACTTCTCGCAGTATCCATCCATGCTGAGTCCAGATGTTCATCGGAACACGCTGACCGGCAAACCACGAGAATGACTCCCTGCACGTCTTTCTCTCCGCCTCAGCAAAGCCCCCCTGACTCGCCGAGAAAGCTTCTCTTGGCCATCGTTTCGTCTTCGTCATCGCTTACCAAAACATGTCGCGGCCTCTGCATCTTCTTCGTCGTGTCAGATTACTTTCTGGACAGCTCAAACCTCTTTAGCAGCATTTTCCATATGAATCGCCTGGACCGGCAACTGCTGGTCTGCTCAACCATGCCCGCGGTTGCCTCACTATGCATGCACCTGCAACACTACATTTCCGTACCACGACATGCTGCTATTTTGTCACCAACACTACAGAACAAATTTCACCTCGGAATCCTTGCAAAAGCATATAGCGGACTTGGAAAAGAAGAACTTGGAAAGCATACATGTTAGAAGACAATAGGCGTACACCTATTCATGCCGTCAAGCTCGCACCCGGCCACAGCCTTGTAGACGACAAGTTCTCCTCGCTTGGGCAGTCAGTACTGCCTGTCTTGAGCACATCACATACTGGGTGGCCCTAGTTGTTTCTTGGACCAAGCCAGCTGCGAGTAGTCTCACACTCAAGCCTAACAAGACAGTTGTTTTGCATATCAAGCCGTTGCTCGTAACTGAAAGAGAAGAGGTAAGGGTCATCCAAGTGCATGTACAGAAGCTTGGTGTTTTAGTGGGCAGAACGCTGAAAGCTGTTCCGAGTCAGAATCTATTGATGAACAGGCTCCTTTGTGCGGAAGCACAACAGAATACATCACATTAACCCTATGAGGTCGACTGACTGGGAACGGCTCTACATGGATTGCCCTCATAGTCGTGGCTGAACAAAATCCGTGCTCACTAATTTTGTGAGTAAAAATAGACCAATTCAAAGTTCGCCGCCCCGGATGCAATTACAGAAGACTACGTCGCCCTCGTGGTTCGTTGCCATCCTGCTACTGGCCTCGACGAATCGCTGGATCATTGGGCCAACAAGGATCGTTCCCGCAAAACGGATGAGCAACACAGTCGGGACACTGACATATCATGCCAAAGACCAGCAAGAGCATTTGACTGGACCCTGATGAAACAAATCTTGGCGACTTTCGGCAGAACCTTCCCGAGCATCCGCTCCTTTCTCTCCAGACTCAGCGGATCCACCCTAATGGTCTCGACCAAGCTATTCAACTCTCCTATTGCCAGTGCACCTCCTGTCAATTCCGGCAAACACGGTTTGATTAGACTCGAAAATCATGGTATATTCTCTCTTGTCCTTCCTTCTTTGCCCGAATTGGTGCTTCTCTCTTGCATTTGCGTGGTTGGCTTCCAAGCGTTGAGCTCGTAATTCCTGCTTTGCAAGTTGTACTTGTGTGTAACCACAGATCCACTCATACCAACCTGCTGTGAACACAACCGACCTATCGTTGTAAGTATGTTATCTCTTTATAAGTTCAAGTCTAGCAGAAGAAATGTTCCTGATCAATCTTCAATGGCAGAATCAGAAAAGCACATCTCAATATGTGGCTCGAGAACAAATCACAACCTCTCGCCGGGAATCTGACCCAAGTCTATGATGTTGTCGAGCTCTCAGATGATGAGGACCAGAGTTCCATCTGGAGCTGGTGTAAAGCGAAACTACCGCATCTGATTGGCACACCGCTCTCCATCTTGTCATGGGCTTTCTCACTTCGTTTTCTACTGTTGCTTTGGCGATCTCTTTGGGATGGAGATGGCAGGCCAGAAATTGTTGCTGCATGCTACTTCGGCACGCAAGTTTCACTGATAAGTATGACGTAGAATCCTTTCTACTGTAGCCACTACTGACAGTCAGACAGTTGCACGAGTGGCCGATGATGGATGGCGATTCCTCTGTACTAATTCTCGCCTACGACCCAGACTTCGACTCGTTGGTCCAACAGTTCCACATGCTGATGTTATCATCACAACATGCGGCGAAGAAATTGACGTTGTTATGGACACTGTTCGAGCAGCATGTGATCTCGACTATCCTGCAGACAGATACAGGGTGCTAATCACTGATGATGCTGCCAATCCAGACTTGGAAACACAAATAGCAGCTCTGGCAATCAGAACTCCGGTCACACTCTTGTACTATGCAAGAACAACCAAAGGCGGTATGAAGGCAGGCAACATGAATTCCGCGCTCAACTATCTGCACAGTCTTGGTGCAGCCGAATTCTGCACCTTCTGTGACGTCGATATGGTGTTCGAACCAGAATTCCTTCGCGCCACGCTTCCTCTGCTAATCAACGACGATTCAGTTGGAGTGGCTGTTGTCCCGCAGGTCAGATCAAGCCAGAAGCTCTAACGTTTCATGATCCAGACTAACGCATTACTTCTATCAGAGGTTCTATAACGTACCGACCAATGATCCGCTTTACCAAAGTCTCAACGTGGATGGAAAGTTCGACGAAATCCAACGTGATAGCATGAATTGTGCATGGGTGACCGGCCCCGGTGTCGTGTTCCGTTGCAGTGCGATCAGAGACATTGGAGGATTTCCTGAGAATGCCCTGGCTGAAGATATCTTGACTGGCTTCACTCTTCAGGGTCGTGGATGGAAGGTCGTATACTGCCGCGAGGAGCTACAGTTTGGTCTCGTACCAGACACCTTCAAGGCTCACGTCACGCAACGAATGAAATGGGTAGGCGACTCCGACCGCTATTCTGATTTGTCACGGATACTGACAACTTCCAGTTCGTCGGACGGCTGCGCAACTCCCGCAGGCTCGACTGCGCTATATTCTCACCACTGGTGAAAGGCATGACATGGAAACAGAGGATCTCCGCGATATGTCATTGCGCCTCGCCCGTCGCGTCCATGATGAACAGGCCGCTCTGTTCCTGCATTATTCTTGTGCTCATTGCTTCGGGACGACCACTCATTACCGCAAAGTCGAGTGACCTGCAGAACATCATATTCGTATACTTTCTGTTTAGGATCACAAGTTTCATCGAAGATTTACTCGCGAGTACAGGGTGCGGCTATCTGGCGCTACGTCGAAGAATCGAAGGTATGCACTGGCTGCATACCCACCTGTTCTTTGCTCTCGCCAAAGATCTGTTCCCAAAGTCACTGGCCGGACCTCGTATTGGATTTGTACCGACTGCGTTGGCAGAGTCCAAGACCCAGGAACGTCACCCTGATCGCCGTCCTGGACTCGTTCAACGGCTGCGAGTGATGTTCCTTTATCAAGACCTGTGGTATCATGTTGCCTTGGCTGCATTCGCAGCAGCAGTCTTCGTGTTGGGACTCGTGAAAGCAGGCGACCACGGATCTCTGCAGTACCTCCTGACCCATGTGCTGGTTCCCGGCGCCGCATGGAGCAGCCACTTTGCCTCGCTCAGACCAATCGCATATGCTGTTGCACCTCCAACCATGCCAGAGCGACGGGAGCTGATGTATCAGGACTACGCTCGTCCAAGACCAGAGGAAAAAGAGAACGAAGACCATCTCCAACTACACCTGGAAGATGAGTCCCACGGCCACATATTTGAGGTCTGGCGACCAAAGGCGGAGCAGAAACTCGAGAAATGGGATGCTTGGGCATTCCTACCAGAGGTTCCACGAAATATTGGGTTGGCCTTCTGGGTTGTTGTTGGTCTGGGATTGTGACAGTGATTTCATGCCATTTGGACATACTTACTTAGATAGAGAAGTCAGTGACGCGAGGATGCGTAACGCTATGGTGCTAGGATAATAAAAGGAGTCTAAGCAGGCATGACTGTCATGACACAATCCTCAATCTGGTCAACATGTTCGAATATGGCCTGTCTGAATTTGTGTGCTCGCCTAGCAAGAGGTTAGCGCGTGCCAACACAAGCACAGCGGACAAACAAAGGACTGCCTTTCAAAGCTTCAGGAGCAGTACAAAACCAGTGCCATCAATCGTGATGGTGCAAAAGGATATCACCATCAACGGATCAAAAGGTTGTCGCAGCCGTGAATCGAACACGGGGCTCGTGCACATACTATTGCATGGCAAGCACGAATTTTACCACTAAACCACTGCGACTTGGATGAGGCTACTGGCGCTAGAAACACATATGATCTTGATCCTGGAAGACGTCTCTGCCGAAGGCGGGGCCTGTACCGGCGACTCAACCAAACCGCGGGTTCGGCTGTCTGAGAAGCTGTAGTCAAAACGTATCGAGCTTTCAACAACTGCAGTTTTTTGTCTGTCATGTTGAGAACGATGTTCTCCATCTGGATATTGTAACAATGGAATTTATCCGTACAATTGACAACCGTTGTCCAGACTAAACTTTGGCGGGATACCAAAGTTTGACGCCCACCCTGTCCGCCAAGCTCTGCTTACCGCGCCGAAAAAAAATTGTTCTTCACACCCCCCTCTCCCACCACGTCGACATAGTAAAAAAGACAAAAGAATAGTCAACTGTTTGTAGGAATAGCCGAAGGCGGGGCTCGAACCCGCGACCTTGAGGTTGGGAATATCTGGGAAGATAAGAGCCACACGCTCTACCGATTGAGCTACCCCGGCAGGTCTGATGATCAAGTTCACTGTGTGAACTGGCTGCTGACTGATGAAAGCAGGATCTCAATCTGCGTATATATACCTTCATCCATAGGAGCAGCTACGCTCAAGCTAAACGACATCAATACAAACTTACAACAATCCTTCCATCGCCTAATGTAACTCTCGCATCGTTCAACAAAAGGTATGCACACGTTACTATCTTCCCTTAAGACTGTTTCCTTCTCAAAAAGCGGAGCATAAAGTGTAAGGAAAGGTAAGTCACGTAAAGGGCTTTAACTTAACTCAAGAGAGTTATATTTGTGGATGTAAGCCTAATGCTATGACTGTCATTGTTTTGCTATACTTTAGACGATAGTTTCAGACTGAGCAGCAGGATCATTCTGCTCTTCTTTCACATCCGAGGCGATAGTCCCAAACCGAGTAACCGGTGCATTTTCATCTGATTCTTCATCTGAGGTGATGATCGATCTTTTGCGCTTTGTACCAGCCAAGACAGAGATATGGTCATCGGCGGCAGGAGACTGAGCGGCGTATGAAGCAGTGTCATTGGCGGCAGATGGAGCTTGCTGGGCTGAAGTACGAGTCTCATCCTCAGCATGAGTAGACTCGCGAGGAGATTGACCGGCTTGAGATCCAATCTCATCGGGGGCGGGAGCAGTGTTACCGGCTGTCGAAGGATTGGCACCGGCGGCGGGAGCAGTTTCGCCGGCTGCGGAAGGAGCAGGAAGGTCGCGCGCATTGGTGAGTGCTTGGACCATTGCGGAAGGCAAGGCAGGTGTTTGGACGTTCGGAGTGGCTCTCAGCGCCTGCATGCGAGGTCCAATGGCTGATGGCTGAGGTGCGCCGAGAGTGAGTTGACTGCCGAGATAAAGTCAGTAATGAGGCAAAGAAAGCGTCATCAGAATGTAGTCACCGATTTGCACTCAGAGCAGTACGTATAGCTCTTGCCAATCTCATGGTTTGATTGTAGGTACCGTCAAACCCGCGCTCGAGGAGTACTTCGGCGATATCGTAGAGTGAACGAAGCTGATCGTTCGACAAGTGAGGGTCGACTTGATGTGCCCATTCGGTCTCACGATTTGAGCGCTGGTTCTCTGTCTTCGCGTGCCGAGCGCGCGCGATGTCATGCGGATTGAATGGATCCATCTTGCGAAGAGTGTAGACAGAAGAGTGTAGACCGAAAAGTGTAGAGGAGGAAAAAGAAGGACGAGTGGACGGAAGCGAGTTGTCCAGATGGATGAAAGACAGGAGAGGATGAAAAAGCGCTAGTTGAAGTCGGTGACAAGGGGGCAAACATTCACTTCAGGCACCGTGTTGCGGTGTGCTCGAGCTACTTTCACATGCAGTAGTCTCAGAACCCGAGCAGACCTGACCGGATGAAATGTCAATGCATCCTCGAGCCCACATGACATTGAGATGTCGACCATTGTAGTGTCCTCCAGTGGTTTCTTCTTCATGACCAGGTACTCCATGGGTGCACACGACCTCATCGAACGAAATATCGACAAGTCTTCGAGCCTGTACAAGACTGGCCTGTTGATCATTGTTGTATGCTTTAGCTCCTCTTTCTCCACGACCTGGCATTTCGAGGTCCAATCAGACCTGGGTGACTGGAATGCCGATAGGTCTTTGGGTCTGTACAAGGCTGACATATTGACCGTTGTAGCATGTTCCAGCTACCCCTTCTCTACGACTAGGCATCTCCAGATCCGAGCAGACCTAGAAGAATGACAGCTGGTAGCGAATGGAGCCAACATATGTTGGGAGATTGCTCGATGTGATATGGAGCTGCTATCGGTTCAGCACATACAGGAAGCGAGCACAATGCAGCGACGTGTATTGAGCGAGCAGAGGAAGCATCAGGGGATGTATACATTCGAGTAACAATCGTCGAAGAAAGCAACTTCATTCCAGTCGTGAGACACCATTTCTTCTCACCTCAGCCATTAAACCTTTTCTCATCTCAACAACTTTTCCACATCTCCCAGTCTCGACGCCTTGGTCTTGCTTCTCTTGCTGTCCTTTTCTTGGAAAGCCATCATCATGAGTTTGCGCTTCTCGGCTTGAATTTCGAGGGTGCGCTCTTCGATGCTGTCTTCCATGACAAGACGGAAGACGCTAGTCTTCTTTGTCTGTCCCAGACGATGCACACGATCGACAGCCTGATCTTCAATGGCAGGCGCCCACCAACTGTCCGATAGGATGACTTGATTGGCAGCGACGAGATTCAGACCAACGCTGCACACGCCCAAGCTCGCTAGCATGATGGTACAGTCTGGGTCTTCCTCGAGGGCGTGCAATGCTTGGTCTCGGAGTCTGACAGACATGGTGCCATCGAGTCTGCAGTATTTGAAGCCTTCGCGATCAAGTCTCGCTTGTACGATATCGAGGAACTTGGTCTATCGTAATGTGAGTCAGCGATCGCATATTAGCTAACGTTTTCACCATCACGTACCCATTGAGAGAAGACAACAGTCTTGTTTCCTGTACCCTTCTTTGATGCCTTGAGAATGTCGATGAGCGCTTCGAGTTTGGTGCTGCTAGCAACGAAATCGATTGACTCATCCCTGGCCTCATCACCAAAGTCGTTGGCTGGCTGAACGAGGACTGAGTTGTCCTTGAGCTCCGCGCGGCACATTGGGCACTTCTTCTGTGTTTCAATGACCCGCTCAATACACTCCCTGCCAAAGACATGTGCGCAAGGTGTGATGACAGGATTGTGCAAATCATCGAGGCAGACAGCACATTCTTCCTGTGATTGGATGCTCAACGAGAGCATATCCTGCAGAGCCTTGAGGTTTTCTGGAGTCATTTCGACAACCTTTTGTTTTGCAATTTGCTCCATCAGGTTAGTCACACGCTCTGAGCACATCTGCCAGTGATTGCAGACTTGGCGCAGGCGGAGAAGGATCTAAGAAAAACGCGTTAGAAAAAGTGTCGACAGTTGTGTAGAGCATAAAATCTCACCTCCAGCAAATATCGATACGTTTCAGCAGCTTTCTGGCCTTCAACCTTGCGGTATGATGACAGAGTGCCTTGAGCTTCTTTTAACAGTGCCGAGTATCTTTCCCTTTCCTTGTCTGCGAACTCGATACGGTGAACAAACTCAGACAGTTCTGGCAACTTGAGATCAACAAACTTCATCTCCTTGCGACGGCGCAAAGTGAATGAAGACATGATTGCCTGGAGAAGAGCTATCGCACTAGAGTCATTGTTCTTGACCGGACGAACGAGGACGCTGTTGAAAACTTCCAACTTCTCTAATCCTCCAGTAATTCCGATAAAGCGGAGCAAAGAGTAAAGATCCTTGAGCGAGTTTATGATAGGCGTGCCAGTCAGTACCCAGCGTGAGCGTGCAAGCACAGCAGTAACAGCGCTAGCACCTTTGCTGGTAGGATTCCGGACGTTGTGACCTTCGTCAAGGATGACACGTCGCCAATGGACCGAGTACAGTCCCTTTGACTTGGGTGGCTTTCCACCTGAAGCCCAACCGCTTGCAAGTGTCTGATAGGTGGTGATCACGACATCGTACTGCGAGAAGTCCTGAGGACCCATCGACTTCTTTCCGGCTCCATGGTAGGTGTATACACGTAAAGGTTGATCCTTACGTACATGTCGTGCAATCTGGATATGTTAGTGATGTACACAACTGTAAATTATGCGGATCACCCACCTGATCGCTCCAGTTGGACATTACAGATAGAGGTGCGACGATCAGGGTAGCACTCGATTCGGCTTGTTGACTTGGCGTAAAGTCCTCGAGGTCCGACACCAGCAGTGATATCATTTCCAGTGTCTTTCCAAGACCCATATCGTCAGCAAGGATACCACCACCTGCGAGAACAGGCTCCTTGTCCTTGATGGAGAAGTTGGTTGCAATGTTGGTGAATGCGTTAGGATAACGCTCGTGTCTGCGCCAAAGCTGTACGAAGTCTTTGGAGCCCTTGGCAGGAACTTTGGGATTTTCCTTATCAAGCATCCATGCAAGTGCTTGAAGCTGGTACGGAAGCATGGTTGTACTGAGTCGCATGGGCTGTTTGGCCTTGACCATGGCTGCAAGATCGTCCTCAGAAGTACCAAACTGTTCCGCAGCTCGGCTGACGTCTCTCGGATTGAATTGTTCGCTGCCACTGATGATGTCTTCCATAGTCTGCTCTTGTGAGCTACCACCAAGACCAGGTGGCTGTGAAGCAGTGAACTGAGAATTGGCAGCTCTCTTTCGTTCCACGGTTTGCTGCATTTTCTTCTGGTCGCGCTCAAACCTACTAATGTCCTGAGTTGGCAACCTGTCGACCATCATGCGTTCGCGAACTTCCTCACTCAAGGGTGAGCTCAGAGGAGGTCCAAAGAAGTCGATATTAACGGGACAGTCATATTGGCCGATGTCTCCAGAGAGCGATCCTTCCATGAGAAGCCAGCCGTTGTCAATGTATTTCGCGAGCTTGGCTGCCACATTTCTGTGGTATCCTAGTTAGTGTACTGTTCTTGTGATCAACAAATATCATGTCTGTGTACCTTCCGATGTGACCAATTTGCTCGTTTATCATGTTGTCGATTCGAACTTTTGAGTTTAGTGGGTGATTTGCAAAATCGCACCTTCTATAACTTACTAGCATTGGAGTCATAGGGATTACTCGGTTCTCGCTTTATGGTAATCCTCTCTCCGACAGTTGCAAAGCCTGTGTAAAAGCGAACACCAACGATTTTGGTGTCGAGAGAGCCATACTTCTGATACTGGTCGTGGGCTACAGGAGGGGATTGCGAAGATGCGACATTCTCGAAGATATCGTTGTCTTCTTCCTGGAGCCAAGCGTCGCGTTCAGCCTGACTGTGCTGCTGAGGTGGAGTCCATGGTGGGACTTGAGCGGTGCGACTTCTTTGCGATGAGGGACTTGGTTGAGTCCACGAAGGTGTACGAGCAAGACTCCGGTTTCCAGCAGCAGAGCTTTGTGAGTGAGAAGGTGTGCGCGTTGAAGATGTGCGCGACGTTTTTGGCGTCTGACGCGTCTCCAAGTTATCGCTCGTAAGATCAACGGCTTCTTCGCGTTTACGTTTCGAGGAATCTGATGACTTCCCTTGCTTGCCACCATTAGGGGCCATCCAAGGTATGGATCTGGGAGGCATGTTGCACGATCAATCGTTCGCAGATTACACCGACTGAGAAGAGTGGAATTGAATACAACGTGAATCTTTCGTGGTGCTCGAGTCGCTCGAGTCGAAGCCAAGACGTAGATCAAGCATACCCTGCACTAGCCAGATAAGGAAGGATGGCATAGTGGCCATTGCCCTTCCTATATGCAGGTTTATGTCATGCAGATAGCTATATAAATGCACAGTTCCTTTGATAGATAAGGAAAACACATCAAGATGCATGATTGTCGGCTCTCCGTGGTCTTTGCTACAATCTAGAAAGGACTGTGTACTTCGACGGCTTCAGCTCCGTCTGATTGTTGACGTGAGAGGGGGTGATAGTGACAAAATTTGGCACAATGGATCATTGTACTTGCATTAGAAATTCTGATTACTCTCTATATGCGTACATACTGTACGTGCAAGGTGCGAACCACGCCCTTGATGGATGGTATCATTCAAATAACAAAGAAAGAAGAAAAAGATAGAAGAGAAAGTTCATCATTCCAAACCAAGGCTGAGCTCGTGGTTTGCCCTTGCTCCAACCGCCAAACTCCTGCTTTTTGTTGGTATTGGTGTTCTTCAGCTGCCTTGCACAGATGCTGCAGCAATTAAAGCCATCAGAGCAGAGCTATGAGTCGATGCATCAGCCTTGCTGTATGGCCCAGACCACTTGAGTCCAAGACGGTTTTGCGAGTCGCGATCATTCTTCCAAATGCTCTGGGCGTTGGTCTCCAAGAAGTTCTTGAAGCCAGGATCTGAAGTCGCCGTGTATAGCTGGGCCAGGTTTCTGTTGAATATGCCTTTGAACTGTGACACATCGCCTCCGCAACCCTTTTCGCAGCTATCGTGCAAGACACCGTTGCTGTCAGTAAGAGTCTCAATCGCAGCCCAAGCGATGTCCCTGGCTGTGACAAGGTACGAATCGTCGAAACTGGCTTTTGATAGTTCGACCAGTGCTCCAAGAATGACGCCTTGATTGTAGGACCAAACAGTGAAGCCATTGTTCTTGCAAGAGCCGTCCAGTCCGTCGTTGATAGTGTTGTTCTTGGTGATCATTCCTGACTTCTCAAACCACTGCCATTCCTTGACTGCCCAGTTCAGGTATTTGATATTCCACGTCCGGCTAGCAAGGTGGGCAGCGACGCTCAAAAACAATTCTAATGACCACAGTCAGCAGAGTTCTGTGGAAGAACAGGTATGGTACTTATGCAACAAGGTAGTTCGCAATTTGAGCTCGACATCAGCGGGATGGCGTCCTGGACGCCGTCTCATCGCTGTCGACCAAACATACAAGACTGCCTCACTGATTTGTACCTTCAATATACGCACCATTTGCAATTGAATTCACGTAGGTCTTGTCCTTGTCCCACCAAATTCCACCATTGCAGTTGGTGGTCCAACCTTTGGCCATGTCGTCGAAGAGCTGCTCTGCGACGTTGAGGTACTTCTGGTCTTTTGTCAAGTCGTACGCCTTGATCCAGGCCAGAGCCCACCATCCTTCGTCATCGTAAAAGTCGCTTTTCGTCGTCCAAACATTCTTGTTGATCTCGAAGGTGTTCTGGAGGGTGTCCAAAAAGTTGGATGTCGAATCCAGGCCTTGCATGTCGGCCAGTGCAGTGATACACTCTGCACTGTTCCACCATCCTGTACCGTTGAAGACTCCAGTGCCCTGGTTGTACCAGTGCATTAATGCATCAGAAGAAGACCGGGCATGGGAGAGGTAGTCGTAAGCTGGAGCGGCTTGTGAGAGAACGAAGCTCCCGAGGAGCGGTAGAAGATATTTTGACAATCGAGCCATTGTTGAGGTATGTGATTGTGTTTGGGCAATAAAAGATAACAAAGAATGAATGTCTGCGAGCAAAGGGTCTGCGCCTGTAAAGATCTTATAAACTGTTTCGAAGGAGTGCCCTGGCTGAGCAGTTTCGGCCCAGCCACATAGTTAGTCCTCATGGTTGGTTTGGCGAGCAAAGCTATATTGGTTGCCCAAAAATAAAGAGGCTATAGCAGGATTAGGCGGTGCTTCATACAGATCACTCGCCTTGGCTGTTACAGCATGCCTGATTCTGATATGGTTCGCGCAGGTGAGACGGTGACAGCGGGCTAAGAAGATTCCAAGGACAAGGCATAGCTTAGGCTGTTCCAGCCGGTTTTTGGGCTCGCCATACTCGATAGTCTTGTGTTGTTATCTGAGAGTTGGGCGGATTCTTTGGGCTGTGTTTGGACCCTTGTGATAGAATAGCCTTGTTGCTTCCTCCTGACCTACCTATGTGCTGTGCCTCCAGCACCGGGTTCAAAATGGTTGTACTTCGATAGGCTACGACGTGCCGAAAGGGCCGGTAGATCGTCCAGAAGCTGGGAGCGGCTGCTAGAGACAGCCAGATCCGAAGCGACAGAGAAGCTCATGGAGTCAGTGCACTCGAGTATGTCCCAATGTGTCCAAGGCCATCCTACTGCAATTACGGCACGGTGATCCGTTGTCGCAAACATTGCGATTTTGCATAGCGTGTGATCTGAAACACACGCAGGAAAGACGGTATGTCAGATGCGAAGTTCTGACCACGGTCATCACCGTCCAGCAGCTTACTGTCTGTCATCACTGCAGCACATCGTGAACTTGGCGATTCGGTGTCCGACGTACATCTGCCTTGAACCGGGCTATGTGCCTTCGGCCATGTTGGTGGAGTGGAGGAGCACTATGCGCAGTGTTGCAAGACAACAAGTAGAGTGTGGATTGAGTGTCTTGTTAAAAATAGTCCAGGCTCGCTCAAGTCTTGGCTCAGGAGGATTGAGAAAGGCAATATGAAACAGCCAAGTCTTTCAAGACTTTTTAGACGACCGCACCTCGAGTTCTATCGAGTACTACGACAGTAAACAGAGATGATTTGCACTATGCCGATATGCTGTGAAAATCTAGCCGTGTTCACAGTGCGACAATGACCGGACTTGAGGACGATCTGCATAGCTGCAGCGGATTGTGGCATAACCATGTGGATGCGGCAATGCTGCACGAGCAGCCACCTGCACGACTTGCACGAGACAAGATGAGAATACCAGGAACTGAGTCTTGGGAGGTACGTGAGTTCTTGCTGATCAAATGCTGAAGATAAGGCAACGGTACTACCCTGGAGACTAAGATGTTGTGCGACTTGGTCACTCGCAGAACGATCTGCGTCTGTTGGCGCCCGGGAACGAGTAATATATTTTGCCACGGCGAAAAATACTTCAATAAAATCAGCTATCTGATCAGGTCTCGTGGTCTAGCGGTATGATACTCGCTTAGGGAGATCGTTTAACGACGTTCTTGAAAACTCTAAGTCTATATTGCGAGTGGTCCCGGGTTCGATTCCCGGCGAGACCCTTCTTTTGCATGTTCAGAAGTACTTTTGGTATAGGGGAGGAAGAAGGGTGTTGTTGGGGTGAGTTCTTGGAAGGTTTGGTGAGAGGTGGTGGGGTGAAGCCTCGAATTTTGAATTTGGACGGCAAGACTTTCTGACGAGACCTTCTTTTGCAGCTGGCATGAGTGGGTGTCCAGGGAATTGTTTGTTCAGGGAGAAAAATAGATGAGTTTAGATCCGGTTTTGGAAAGTTTGGGTTAGCAGACGGTGATGGATGGCTGCCCGGCGACGAGACCCTTTTTTGTTCTCCAATGCACGGCGAGACTTTTCTTTTGCTCATAGCATGTCTGTCAGAAACATACTTTTTGCCTTAAAGAGGACGCGACCACTTTTGGTGATCAGATGAAAGGTTGTTTGAAATTTTGTGGTAGGCTCCGTGCATCTCAATGGGAACGATGCCACAAACATATCCATCCCCATAAAGAGGCACAAACATGTTCTGATCCCAGAAACGTCCATTGAGAGCCCTTAGAGCCACCCCCTTATCAATGGCTCTTCTTGGACACACCACATGTTCATGACATCTTTATGGCTCTCCATAACCCCTTAGGATGCAGCAGGTTTGTTTGGAGGATGAATTTCCTCGAGATTTTGCTCTGGTTCCACGTCAGAGTGGTGGATGTCGTCCGATATCATCAGTAAAAAGGAAGGCGCGGCAAGATTCTCGCAAAGCAGCCGAGTCAGGAGCTCTTGAGAAGGCACGAGCAACTCAGGAACTAAGCCTCGAATTTCTCCAGCAGGCACATACCAGTTCGCGGACAGATTGCTCATCAAGTGATAAGTGTTTTCACAAGCCTCGAAAACCTTAGAGGTAGGATGAAGCTGTTGGTCCCAAGTCTCATTCCAGTCCACACCGCTGTCAAGGCATCGGTCGACTCTACCAGCGAAGTAGAAGCGATGAGACATTTCAACCTCAGCGCTTGGATAGTCGAAGAACGACTCAGGGATACCTTCTAGGATTGTGTGGTGTGTGTCACTGACTTTCCTGCCAGCCAGATCCTGTTGTGTCTCATGTATTCGCTGCATGAGTGCACGGGTATGGTTGTCATCCATCTCTTTAGGCAAATGTCCTTCCTCGTAAGGTCCAAATACACTGTGGAGTTCCAGACCTGTAAAACGTCAAAGCCTGCTTTGCTGCAGCTTGCTTCCAGGAGGCGCAGAGCGACAGCCGGAATTTCTTGTAACTTGTCAGGCGAGGATGTCGGGATCTTCAGGCGAGTTTTTTTTTGGAGGTGAAGCGGCGCTGGTGCGGGAAAGGTGGAACGGGAGAGATGAGCTGCTCGGAAGTGAGGCGGCTTGTGGTGATCCTGGCGGTGACAGTATAAAGATGTATGTCTTCTCTTTCTTGTATATCGAAGTGAACGTGGTCATGTTATGAAGGTAAAGAAGCTTAACATTAACAAAAAGTGGTAGAAAGTACAATATATACACGAAAAGGCCCATGAGATAAGTCATCCCAGGAGAATGTTGGTAGCAACAAGAGAGAGTAAGAAGAGAAGAAAAGACAGCGATGGCAGGATCAGACGGCTGGGATCGCTGCCCTGACATCGCTGAAGATCAGAATAGAAACCAACATATCTCGTCGGCCGAACAAAGAACTACCATATATCAACAATTGACAGGTATGGTGCAACACGCAAGATTAGAAAAACGATAACACAAATTGGCGAGTCCGCTTGGGGCTGAGTTCATCAAGAGCTTCCAGGAATGGCGGCCACAGATCTGGGCGGCGTTCAAAATGTAATAGATACAGCTTGCATGAGCACGGCTCAGCAGTCGAGAGTAAGAGGCGCCGAATGAGCAGAACGTGAAGTTCGTTTCCCGCCGTGAACGTATGGTCAAACACTTAGTCGGAGAAGACAAAGTAAGCAGTTCCAGATTTCACGGAGACGGTGCAACCAGAGGTGGAGCTGCATGACTCGTAGTTGCTGCCACTGCAGTACTGTCCGTTACTGTATCTGCATTTGCCGTCCATGTTGTCTCCCTCAAGGGTGATGGTGAAATCGAGCTTCTCGTTGGTGGTGGGAGCGTTCTGGAAGATTGCGAGCCATGCAGCACCGTTGGAGTAACCAACACCAAGGTTCAGAGGAGCATAGTTACCCCAAGGGTTAGCAGAGGATCCCCATTGGCAGCCATCTTCGGCTGAGACACCGGCAGGGTTGACATAATACTGGGCAGAGGTAGTTTTACCAGTCCACTCGTAGTAGGTGGCATCAGGGCAGGTCAGGTTTGCAGTGCTGCCGGGGTTGGCAGTAACGGGCACAGTCTCGCTCTCGGTACCGGGGTAGTCAGTACGGCAGACAGCAGCGCTCGAGGACATTTCGTTGCGAACAAGGACAGTAACCTCGGAGGTACCAGTGATGCAAAGAGTGTCGTGCTTGGCGTTGGTCTTGTAAAGCTTGCCGTTCTTGCAGAGAAGGCCACCAACGGACTGACCAGTCAAGCCCTGGGTGGAGGGCCAGTGGGCCTTTTGGTAGCCGGCAGGGCAGGCGTATGAGCAGTACATACCCTCGGAGCAGCAGCCGCTACCTCCGCAGTTGGAGTGAGTGACGGTCTTGATGTTGGTCAGACCAAGGAGGGAGCTTCCGAAGCCGGGCGACTGGACACCAGTCCAGCCACCAAGACCGAGGTAGTTAAGAGCAACGGCACCGTATTCAGAGGGGAAGTCGGAGCAGTCAATCTCTCCATCGGGGAATGTAGTGTCGAGACCAGCCGACGAGGACGAGGAAGAAGAAGAGGAAGCGGTAGAAGAGGCAGCACTCTGCTGGGATGAGGAAGCACTAGTGCTGACGAAGACGCTGGTCGAGCTGGAAGAGCTGGACGAGGTCGAGGTGAAGAAGGTAGTGCTGGCAGCGGCGGGGGGGGAAGAGGTCGAGGGCACAGCCGAGGACGAGGGGTCGGCGAGGGATGGTGCACCATTGGCCCAGACCAGAGTACCGTTCTTGATGCCCTCGAGGACTTCGGCCTCGGAGACGATGTTGCCGTTGAGCGAGTACATGACGATCGTGGGTCCAGCAACAAAGACGTCGACGTTCTCAGTTGCGGTAGCATCACGCTTCATCTCCTTGTGGTGTTGGTGGTGGGCGTGGTGGTTGTGACGAGGCACAGCGGCGGCCAGGCCAAAGGCGGCCGAGAGCATGACAAGCGAGGATTTCATTGTTGATCCGGTAAGAATGCGATTCGGTGTTGTTGGATGAGGTTGACTTTTCGTGGATGGAATGCGTTGCAAGTGAGTGACTGTCGTAGAGATCCAAAAGAGTGGATAGAAGCAGAGGCTTCAATTAGGTCGTCGATAGGTCCGGGGGAACGAGTGTCGGGTGCTACAACATGTAGATGGGCGGCGTGAAGGTCGAAGAGGAAGGAAGGGAGATGCGGAAGGGACGACCTTCAATGAACTATGTAAAATGATCCTGCCCGTTTCCGCCCTCAAGGCTTGTCGCAAAGGAGGCAAGTTCGCGTGCCTGCCAAGGTCATCTCGCGCCAGTGAGCCTCCTTCGCATGCTAATCCCCTCATGGCGTGTGTTGTAAACTGCTGCCGAAAGTCTAGAATATCACTGCCCTCCGAGTCTTGTTTACATATGCCTTTTTGTCCAGCAACTGACTCTCCAAAGCACTCACAACTCAGTGCGCGTAGGCACGTTATGCCAGCGACTACCTGTATTGTGAACAAGCTCCTCTGCCAGCTCCGGTGTGCCAGCAGCACGTCGAAGAGGGAATGCTAACAGGAACAAATAAACTCATCAAATTTCCCCATGCATGCTTGTTGGTCCCGACCGTTGATGGTGCCAAAGTCAATGATCGGCCGTCAACACACAGACCCTTGCGCAAATCACAAGATCTCGTCCTTTCTAGCACAGAACAAACCCCCGAGCTCCTGCACCTCTCATGCGAACCATGCGAATCGCCTTCGACCGTCGCTCTTCTGCCGAGCTGCCCGTCTTGCACACTGTTGAAGAAGCGCCCACGCGTGTTGGGAAGCCATGTAAGCGGCCAAGGGCACTGCCATGCTCGGTACTTGGCGATTGAGAAGTCTACAGTGTTTGTTGAGAGACTTGCGAGGAATGTAAGACCCTTGGCAGCTTGAAGACAAAGGTATGTTATGGTGAGAACAACAAAAACAGATTTGCCGTCTTCGAGATCGCTGTCTCTGCCGTCGATTCGTAGCAGGTGCTTCTTTTGTATGTTGCAATCTCGTTGCAATCTCCTTACTCCTGCCGGTTTACCGCCCGGATAAGATTAGGGCCTTGCTATACGATTATCGATACCATTCAAGTTATTCGTCATCGTGAAGTCAAAGCAGGGGCACTCGTCTGAACGACTTTCTGCATGCTGCATACTGTCTCTGTTATTCAAGATATGAGCATCTGCACGTCAACTTGGGTGTCCGATATATTCTCCAGTACTTGCGCTCCGGCGCAAAGCATGATCAAACTGTAGCGACTCGTGTGAGGAAGACACTTGAGCCTTGTTGGCAACATGATTGATGCTGTTGAGCTGCTAGGCTGTCGACTACGTAGCCGACACCCAAGCTTTGAGACATCAGGTGGGTCAATCTTACAGCAAGCGAGGGTAGGTCTAGATCTTGAGCTACACCATTCCTCGCACAACATTGTGCAAGAGCCATAACGCTCTGCATTGCATGTTGCAAACGTGTTCAGCATCCAATCTTCGACCTAGTTGCTACTGGTATGACCCTGGTCTTCTTCTGTGTCAGTCCTTCAAACACGACCCAAGCACTTCATCGACTGTTTACACACTCTGTTCATGTGCGTTATGTGCTTGAATAGCCAGTGTATGATGGTGAGTGTATACGCGCTGAGATGATCGCGTTTGACTAAAATGTCAATCGTCAGATAAAGCACCATAAGATTTTGGAATGTTTCTATCCTCATGCAAGAACCACGCCACGCGATGCACAAACAATTTGTCAAAGCAAAAGATAAAAGCAGCAGTAACGTCAGGATCCATCATTATCGACGGGCTGAGCTGCGTACAAGAGACCTCTGGCAAAAGGGAGGGCATCGTGAGCAACAAAACCAAAAAGACGTTCGCCCGACCAGAGGCTCGAACTCTGAACCTTGAGATCTCTAGTAATAAAAGTCTCACGCGCTGACCAATTGTGCCAGCCGGGCAAAGATAAGATAAAAGCGTAGATACAATATATATTCGTATGCCGAGACGCCAGACTCCAGTTGTTCAAGAAACCGTAATCAAATTCCCTACTCGTACCTCGTTGCATAGTTATTCAATGTGTATGTAGGTATTAGCGGAATATGTACGTGTCCAAGAGACTGCGGAGCAGGCCTGCTGCAATGGCAAGAAATTTACATGGAATGTACCAAATCCAAAATGTGTTTCTCGCAATCCTCCCAATACCTCTCTCTTTGTTCGTTCAGACGACCGGCACAGATCCAAGAGCAAGATCTGCGCAAGAAGGGTCGGAACAACTCGCTTGCAGAACACATCTCGCTGCCAGGTCCAACGTAATAGTAGTCAACCCACTGTGCCCTGGGTACAAGAAACTGCTTGCTGCAAACCGAACAGTGTTGCATACCAAATTCCTTGCTTTCGATTACCTTTTCGATCGCCGTATTGACAGGTGGAGACGCGTCTTCCGGGAGGAGTGCAGACAACTGTCCAACGTACTGAGAGCGAGCACAAGCGCGCGCACTCAATTCAAAAAGAGAAGGCGCAGCAGATCGTGCGGCTGAAGGCGGCGAAGGTCGTGTGAATGAAGCGGAATAGTCTGGTGCGGAATATGCGGTATACGCGCGAAACCGTGGACGGACCACCGACCCATCGATCTCGAAGAAAGTTGGAGACGATGAAGCAACATACGTAGATGTGGATTTGAGTCCTTGAGAAGCTGTATATAGTCGAGAGGCATATAGACGATGCAGCAAAGCCTCGTGTGATGGTGCAGTCATGTCGATCTCATGACAGTGTTTGCGTAATCGATGTAATTCGCGCAAACACTCGTCGACTTTGGAAGGAACGCTTCTGAGCATGTTCGAAGTCGGCAGAGGCAAAGGCTGTACGAAAGGGTTCGGGCTTAACGAAAGCTGCACTAGCTTGTTTTCGACCAGAGCAAGTAGCTCGAAGGGAAGGAAGGGAAGCTGATTGCCGGCGATGTTGAGCTCGTGGAGGTTGCGAAGACGGCCTATGGAGGGCGAGATTTCGGCCAATGAGTTCGAACGTAGACTCAGAACAGCCAGGTTACCGAGGTTCCACAGCTCGGACGGTAGCTGCTGCAGGTCATTTCTGGAGAGAAACAGCTTGATGCTTGGAGTGAGTGGTGCAAAATGGTCGTCTGTGATCTTCTGGGCGTCGTTGATGGGGACAGGAAGGCGGATAAGCTGATGAAGTGGCTTCAGGGTTTCGTTATCGATTCGACCAAGGTGCATGTCGCTGTGCGAAAACGTTAGTCGGTCGTGTGGAAACGATTTGGCAGCCAAACACTCACGAGAGATCGATCGAGTCCTTGCAAGCATCTACCGAGTTGAATACTATACTGGCGGCATGCTCCTGGATCGAGTCTTTCGGCTTGGTAGGAGTCTTCGAGTCTTTCGGTTTGGTTGGAGTTTGTAAGTCTTTCGACTTTGTGGGAGTGTGACGTTGAGTCAGGGGAGCGCCCTTCTGCATGTATTCATTGAAGGTCAGGCTCTGCATGCGTCGGTTGCTGCTCCCAATGCTGTCGGTCGAACTGTCGGAACCCAGCCAGACACCGCTATCGGGCTTCCTCGTCTCTCCTCGCACGCGTGCCATGATGGGAGAATTGGCATGCTGGTACCAAGGGCCGCGCACAAGTCGCTTGCGCCTATAGCCAGTGGCTTCGGACTCTTCGGACGCGTCCTCACTGAAGATGGGATCGCTGGACATGCTGCTGTCGTAGTCCCATCCCGCATGCCGCTTGCGGGACGGGAAGGCGGCCGGCGGTAGTGGCGGCGAGCTCGGAGGCTCATTGAAGACCTCTTCCGGGAGGACCGGCGGCGACGAAGGGATAAACATGGTCGGGAACAATCTTGACGAATTGCCCAGAGAGAATAAAGGAAGAGGAATAAAGTCGCGTCGCAAGCCTTGAAGACGCGTGCGGATCAACCCCGCACTTTTTGTCCACCAGCGTCATATCAGTCCATCCTTATCTCACTCACGTGTCGAGTTGCACTGAATAAGGGTCCGGGAAGGACGAAACGGTCAAGTACTCCGCAAGCCGCTTGATGTGCTTCAGTTGACTACACTTGCTGCCTCCACTGGATGCTACCAGCAGATTGTCAACCTTCTGTTATTACTAGCTCAGATCCAGTGCTCCATGCGCGGACCCTATTTTCAACTCGCTCTATCTGTGTCGAGCTCCCATATCCTCGACTCCTTGCGAGCGCAGCAATGTACTCATACTCCTCATAAACATCACCATCGACCTTGAATGCCCAGGGTGCTTCTTCATGCCTGTCCAAAATCTTCATTTCGGGGTTCAGCATGATTCTGACAAGCGCCTCGTCTGAGGATCTCTCCATAAGATCCCCGAACCACAACTGCCTCCTCTCCATCGTCATCGCTGGCCAGCCATCCTCATCGCATTTCACAGACTTCTCGCCTTTCCAGATAATGTAGTATATACAGCGAATAGGCCTGTGGCAGGCACAATCGCGCCAGTAGTAATTGTTCTCGCATCGTTGACCTTTCTCTGACTATCAGAACACCAGAATGTCAGTATGCATGCCTAATTACAGGTTGCTTTCGGCACAGTCTCACCCATATATGGGACGATTTATCAATCCAGAACTGTTCCCTTGTTCGTTTGGGCTGAACAGTACGTTTGCTTGTACGTCTTTGTGGCACGTTGGAGGTTTTGCTGACCATTTTGCTTTGTGCTGTAATTGCGTGTCCAGTGAAATTTTAGCGGTGTGTGACAAGGACTGTAATACGCTATGAGGCAGACTGCCGTCTATACCACTGCGACTCACCTGATGTCGGCAGATGATCATCCCAGCCTCCGAGGCTGGTCGACTCAACATGGGTGGAGTCTTGGACCCCTGGTCTTCGATATCATCGCTAGTGGGCTGCTACCGAATTCATGGCTAAAAATCCTGCTTCCACAAGACGACAGGTCGAATCGTTGAGAGGGTCTGGATGACAGGATAGGCACTATCGCCATGACCTGCCAGCTTCAGCAAGCATGGCTGGGAGCAAGTATCATTTTTTTTCTTTTGCGGTGTGCTCTCGTATTGCTAACGCGGGATGGTCTATGCGACGTTCAAAGCAATCTATTTCGACACGGCCCCCGAATTTTTCTCCACCCCTCGAGCGATATAGGAATAATGGGAATTACGCTCTACAAATGCCGTTGCCGGTGGTTCGTCACTGAGCGGCCGGGTCCGAGTCTTCATCATAGAATTCACACATACGTGTATCCGCATCCAGAGCCCTAGAAGTACGGAGCGCTTGTCACGTCAAGTACGAGGAACTCTTGGTTTGCAGTTGATGTATTTGCACAGGTTCCCTCGTTGTCGTTGTTATACTTTGCAATTCTTCAGGTAGGAATGAGTCACTACGGAAGTTCATGCAGGATGATTAACATGGCGGCTGATTCAACACGTCCGTGAGCGGCCATCTCATGCTTCATCTACTATACCACCAACCACCTGAAAAAGCAGTGGGTCTCTGCACTCCCAGCCTCTTCACAGGCTTGAGTCGATCAACGGGAATCAGGCTGAAATAGAGGTCATCCCTCAGATGCTCACGCTATCAGCTGTAACCAATCATCTGGACCTTCGTTCGATCTTTTATCATTTGCCTTGCCGCTGCTGGGATTGCGTGCCCGCGACACACGAAAATGAGATCTGGAAGTGTCAGAGACTCCGAGTTGGAATGGCTCGACGGCCAATCGCCAGGAGTGAATCATCTCGAGCCACGTGCGACCAGGAGTGGTGTCGTCTACGAGGTCACAAAGAGCGACGTGGATAGCGAGGACGAGATCACCACCACGAGCAAAAGAAAGGTCAACACGAGCAAAAGAAATGTCACCCCGAGCAAAAGACATATCAGCCCGAGCAAAAGACATATCAGGCCGAGCGAGGTGATGGCAAGCACGAGCTACGAGCGTATCAATACGAGCCATGAGGTAGTCGATCTGACCGACGAGGATGAAGAGGTCATTCGAGTCAGTGTCGAGGCTGATACAAACACGGATATCGCATCACAAGACTCCAACGGAGACGAATCACAGCCAGACGAGGAACCTGCGTCCCGCAGCTACCCAGCTGATGGTGGTACGACCGTCGATAGTTGGCTAGAAGAATGGCCAGACAAAAGTCCAGAGGAAGGTGACTTGGCAGTAAGTCTCAACGAGCAGCATCGAACGACGATGCAGGCAAATGCTAACATGCAGTAGGATATGCAACGATACTCAACAGCAGAAGAAACGTTCGTGGTGCCAGGAGAAAGACACAGCCAAAAGTTCAGAGACAAGAAGTATGGCAAAGCGTCAGTGTTTCACATCTTGGTGGTCTGGTCACAAATCCAACCAGACGACAGGCACTTCTGGCTACCTTCTGCTTTTGACTATCCTCGCGGCAGACCGTACGAGATTATCTGCGAGAGGGTATGGGCTTCGTGGCGTAGATGGCGACATGATAGTCTGATGATGGATGCTAGTCCTTCAATCGAGCCGTTTGGTAAGAGGGATTGGCCGAACGCCGGGCCCAAGATGCTGAATTTCCCTGAGCATCGTATACGACACAAGAAGCCACGCTCGAGTGATTAGTCGGTGCGTACACAAGTATGTAGTATTTGGCAAAAGTCCATTGTCTTGTACGACCGCCTTTCTGAAGTGCAGTGGTGCTGGAATGCTGTGCTCAAAGGATGAGGAGAGGGTCCAAAAGACTTGCGTCATGCTTCGCCGATGGCGGGGCGCGCCGGGCGATTGGTCAGCAGCAGACAAAGCTCCATAGACCAAATCCTGGCCACTTTCCACATCGCATCCCAAGCACACCATGGACGAACGCGTAGACTCACGGGCGGCCTCAGTTGAAGGCAACGACAACGCCGACATCAACGCACCCCTCAAAGCCGCTCCCAAACTCGTCGCACCCGAGCCCGAACACTGTCCCGGCCCCGAATCGCAAAGCGCCGGCAAAGGCGATGCCTGCGCGGGATGCCCGAACCAGCAAATCTGTGCCACCGCTCCCAAAGGCCCTGACCCCGATATCCCTCTCATCACCGCCCGCTTGGCTAGCGTCAAGCACAAGATTCTAGTCCTCAGTGGCAAGGGAGGTGTGGGCAAATCGACATTTACCACTATGCTAGGCCATGCCTTTGCTGCGAACCCGGATGCTCAGGTTGGAATCATGGATACCGATATCTGTGGCCCCAGTATCCCCAAGATGATGGGTGTAGAACAAGAGACCATCCACGTGAGCAATGCTGGCTGGAGTCCTGTCTGGGTCACCGAGAATCTGGGCGTCATGAGCGTTCAGTTCATGCTGCCCAACCGTGATGATGCTGTCATCTGGCGCGGTCCCAAGAAGAACGGCTTGATCAAGCAGTTCCTCAAGGATGTCGAGTGGGGCGAGCTGGACTACCTTGTTGTCGACACACCTCCCGGCACTAGTGATGAACATCTCAGTGTCAATAGTTTCCTCAAGGAGTCTGGTGTTGATGGTGCTGTCGTCGTCACCACACCACAAGAAGTCAGTCTGCTGGACGTGCGAAAGGAGATTGACTTCTGTCGCAAGGCTGGCATCAAAGTCCTCGGTATTGTCGAGAACATGTCTGGCTTTGTCTGCCCCAAATGCACCCATGAGAGCCAAATCTTCAAGGCCACCACTGGCGGTGCCAGGCAACTTGCTCAGGACATGTCCATCCCTTTCCTTGGAGCAGTTCCTCTGGATCCTCGCATTGGCATGGCTTGCGACTTTGGCGAGAGCTTCTTTGACAACTTCCCCGACAGCCCTGCATGCGACGCTCTTCGTCATGTTGTTCGCAGAGTCGGCGAAGAAATGGGTGTCGACACTTCTTACCAAGAGGACTGAGCTCTACATGATATGAACAAAGCAACACATCCAATTGCTTATCTGAACATTTCGATAACACGGAGGAGCTTGACATGCCGCTGACCATCCGAATGCGGTACGTGCTGCCATTAGTGCTATCTGACTCAAGAGATCCCCACATCAAAGGCCAGCTTCTGCCGTCCGGCAAGTCCTTGATGTCTCAGAGAAGCAGTACCGGCTACCATAGTCGCCACCTCACAGATTGGTGTGGGTTGAGGATCTGCTCCCACTGGGGTTCATCAGAGTCCAAGAACGATTCATCGGAGATTCAGCCAGAACCGTGGCGTGATGGAGGAAGGCGAAAACGAGACTGGACGGTGGTAGCTCAACGCTGAGGCGCAGAGTCAGGTCCTAGCTTTTGCAGCAGGCGATGCACTGCATCCGCAGCAAGGAAAGATATACTAAAGCATGGACGGGGTCGGCATATCCCCATGCTATTCTCCTACAGAACCAAAGTGGCGAAGAGGCAAAGTGTGCCTATAGCATTGCCGAAGACATACAGTAGGTAGACACAAAATCCAGGACTCTCCCTTGGAGCAATCAAAGGATCTGTCATCTCAATCCAATGGTGTTATTTTCAAAATCAATCGCTGTTCACACACCCGTCAAAAGACACAGATTTCGTCTATGTAAAAGAAGTTCTTCTCGCAAGGAAAATGTGTTTCCTGGTCATCGAGCAGAAAGCTAGCGAGAGGATTGTGTAGTGTATGTATAGCTACCGGAGCGTGCTCAGCTATCTCATGGATGGATCTAGTCGCCTCCTTTTCTTCTTCTGTTAACCTCCACCACGGAGACAGGCAAGAGCAAAGCAGCTACAGAAGATCTACCCCAGCAAAGACAATATCGTACGGCCAGAACATCATAGCCGAGCCATCATCCATCACCCCAGCAGCATCGTCTCGCACCTAATCATCCACCGGAATGGGATCATACCATTGGCCTTTCGAGCCGACTGGTCCCTTTCTCTTTCCCTTCAACTCTGTCTGCGCCTTATCCTTCGCTTGCGTCTTCGCCTCCCGCTTCTCCTTCGACTCCCTCTTCCTCTTCTTCTTAGGCCGAGAGAGAAGCATTGACTGGCTGGTAGATTCCCCAACCTTTACATTCACCTCGTCCGCATCGTCAGCGTCATCTGCCTTGCGCTTTTTGCTGGTCCTCTTGGGTGCTTGGTCTTGCTTTGCCGTAGCTTTCGACGAAGGGCGATCCTTTGCACGAGCGCTGGAAAGCTTTCGACAGATACCACGGTGAGGCTTGTTACACGTGCTACAGCGTGTGACCAGCGATATATCTCGACAGGGTCCCATGTGCCGTTTGCCACACGTGCTGCATACACAGGGTCGACAGGATCCAATGTGTCGTTCGCCGCACTTGCTGCATAGAGGCCAGCACTCGCCGAAGTGTCTTCCTTTGCACGTCTTACACAAAGGCCAACACTTACCGAAGTGTTTTGTCTGGCACCTCTCACACCACTGATCTTGGCTCTTAGTCTTGGCTTGAGGTACAGACGATGATGCATTGGTGATAGAGACCTCAGATCTTACTGGCTGCTTTCCCGCTGCTCGCAAGGATCTTCGAACGGCAACGGACTGAGCTCCAACAGGAGGCAGGGGTTTGCCATTCGAATGCAAGCTCGGAGTTCCAAGTTCAGTCGGAGCCACTTGCTTCTGGCTCTCGGTGGACCCTGGAGTCTTGGTCACACCTCTGTAAGAAGATCTGGCGTCGAGGGCTGGCTTGGCAAAGGAATGATTGATGCATATTGATGGGCCAGACAATGGTGTCTGCTGTCCGACTCGTCCAGTCTCAGACTGCGAAGGCCTTACGCTATCAACTGGAATGCTTAAGCGGATAGGCATTCTTTTCGGGGCTTGTGATGGACCCGATTTAGGGGCATGCGTTTGAGTGACAGCATTGCGAGTGCTAGTGGTGTCGATGAGAGTTGTTCGCGATGGATGTACCGTACCGGTAGCGCATAGAGCGTTCGACACAGAAAGAGGTATGCCGGATAAGCGGGTGTCTACAGCCTTTGGTTGTTGAGGTGGTGATGCTCGAGGTGCTGGACCGAAGGAAGCTTCTCCAAAGCGAATAGGGGCTTTACCTTTAGTTCTAGACAGTCCACTAGGAACTGTCATATGTGCAGCAGGAGCAGGGACTGGTTGAAGAGTATGGTTGGCAGAACTTTCGGATCCTGATGCAGCGGCTGGACCATCGGGTACTGGACGAGAACCATCAGACGGATGAGGAAGCGGCTTACGCAAACCACCGTTAGGTCCTTCAGGCGCATTTGGCGGTGGAAGGTTGTCTGGCCATCCCGTTTGGTTGACAGGGTTGGCAGCAGAAGGCAATCCTGGATCTGGCTGCTCTGCGATGTTACGGGCTGCGTCGCCCCTAGACCGAGCGCTTGTCGGATATACAACCCACTTGAACTCTTCATAAGGTCTTTTGTCTGCGTTGAAGGCTGTTCTCGCCAGTCAGAGACTCCTGAGATTGTAATTCCAGCAGGAGAGAAAAGCTTACCGTATGGAGCCAATTTCCAGCAACGTTCATTGCAATACTTCCATATAGCCCTCAGCTGGAAATTTGTGTGACGGACTCTTGCCGGCCATATCTCAAGTCGGACTTCTGGCAGGCGAATTTGGTATTCTTGTTGCCTAGAACCCTGGTTGCCCTTTCAGGATCACGTTGGATCCACTCTGTCAGAGGGTAAACATGTCTCAGCTCCTCGAAAGTCTGTTTTGTCAGTTGGATGCGCGGTAGCGGAAGACCATGGAGAACACACCTCTTCTGTTGGACTATCATAGCCTCCTGCTGTCACCTGCCAATAAGGTAATGAATCGGGTCGCCTCACAGCCATCTTCGACGCGTTAAAAACTGTGCATTACTTGATGAAAGGACTGTACGGTTTGCTGTGGTGATTGAAGAGTGAAGGGAAAGATGTGATGGGCGCAGGGCAACAAAGAACAGTAGCATGCGCAGAGTGTCGCGTTGTGGCAGGCGCGAAGAAGATTGCTTACACACGCAGACGGAGGAACTCAAAGTTGCCAACCTTTTTCGAAAGATCGCACGACTGGACCAGCCAAGGAAACCGGGACCCAGAGGTAACCTATTTGGGAACACTCCTAATATCTACCGAGTTTAAAGCAACTGTATCCGGCCTCTCGTGCAATGATCAAGTTCAAGCTACGTGACGGGCAAGTCGAAGATCTTGTGGAGCTCGAAAGGATACAAATCCATCTATCACATACCTTGTCTACCTGACCACTATTGAACATACAAATAATTGTGAAAACACTAGTTGTGATACATCGTACAAGCCACGTCCCCACAAAGGCATCCAAGAGATTGCCTAGTTGCGCATTGTGACCCTCCCGTTGACCAGAAGCGGTCTCTTGCGTCGTGGATCCTTCGATGGTTTGACAACCCTATCGCCATTCACAGCACGACTCAATACCTGTGGTCGAGGACCGCCAGGAATAGCAGTGGGAGAAGTAGGAGGTACAGGATACTGTTGTGGTCGAGCAGTACTAGCTCGCACTCCTCCAGCAATGCGGCGACCTCCGTCCTGCGACCTGTGTACTCTGTCCAGATGTCCGTTAGACTGAGAGCTTTCTCCAGTCTTGAATCCGACGTTCCCCTCGTTATTGAATGTGGTCCTTTTGCCTTTATCAAATGTGGGTTTCCCTCCACTTCTAGAAGAGTCGCCACCAGCATCGGGCATACTGACATCAACACCGATGTTGTTCCTAAGCCCAAGTTCAGCTCCGGCCGAAGAGCGGGGAGATTGAGGATGACTCCCGACAGTAACGGTAGATGCATTCAACATGCTAGAGAGCTCTTGCGTATGGTTCTGATCCGGGAAGTATTGCTCCGTAGGTTGATCTCGAGATGTTGAGAGTCTTGGTCCCGAAGAGCAGGCTACTACAGCCACGGCCTTTGTGCGAGATCTACTCGCCGCATCCCTCGTGATCACCTCCGTCGAGACAAGCGTGTTGCGTGGGCCTTCGGGGCTTGTAGAAGGCGATGTACCATTGACTTCAGAAAGCGGAACAGGGGCTGGACGGCGTGGTGACCGGGGTCGTGTACGCGCCTGGGCTTCGAAGGCCTCGAGAGCTTCCAGATGGATTCTCGTCTGTGTCTGGAGGACTACAACTTCTTTCATACCCGCAGTGAAGTTTGTTAAGATGCTGGCCATTTGCTCTTCCATTTTCTCTTCCATTTTCTGCAGTGACACAGCCATTTCACTGATTAATTGTAATGCATCTCGGCTGTGCAGTGTTGAGTCACCCAGCATGGAAGGAAGGGCGTACGAAACTTGTTGCGCCATGGTAGAGGAGAGGAATATTCCCTATTGATACCGGATAAACCAGAGAGATGTCAAGGCGATAGGCTTGGGAGTGGTTGGACAGAAGCAGGTCTCGCACGGTGAAGTTAAGCACGAAAATCTCAGAAGCCATGATTCTGTGATCTGACATAGTGGCGGGACACGCATCGCCGTCGCTTTGTGTTAAGCGAATCTGGGAACATATGCGGTGAACACGCTCTCGTCTCGAATGGAGTTCGAAGTGGAGTTGGTAGGCGAAGATCATGGAGTTGCAGTGGCCCCTGACTCGGTTTCCGCACCTGATCAAGCGAACCCGGGTCCAAGCTTACAGGGTCTCTTCTCACGCGAGAACTCGAACATACAGACGCGACATCAACACAGCACCTGTGTTGAAAGAAGGTCCCAAGTAGCGGCATGTGCGTTCTATGGACCGCGATGGTATTGGGAAGTTGTTGGCGGCACGAAGTCCAGATATCGTAGCTATAACGCAAAGCGTAAAAACATTGTCCAAGCTCTTAGCCTCTGAGCTGAGGACCCGCTCGACATCACAGTCTGCGAATATATATTGAAGCGACATACCGCGAGTGCCGGCCCCCAGCCACCTCGAATCAAGATCAATGATCTCTCGAGAGATTCATTATGACTCTATTGGTGCGGTGATCTGTGAGGAAGAGCAGGTGGACACACACACTGAAACTCGGACTCAGCAACGAGTGGAAGTCCGGATCTTGCAACATTCCTGTTTGGAGGTAGCCAAGTCGTCGATAACTCAAACAGAGACCTTACTGACCTTCCAAACAGTCCAGAAAGCACAATGTACGGACATGCCATTCTGCGAAGGAATTCAAACGGGGTGCCTTTAGAATGCGTGATTCCCAAACCGGGCTATGAAGGGCCGAGAGGTGGGACACCCCATCTTGCACAAATCAAGGAGTCAGGCCGTACGTTCGTCCCAACGTTCACAAGAGTCCGGAGAGGATCCAAAAGTTATGTCGAGCCACGGGTCGACTATTGCTCGACAGCTTCTCAATTCAAGGCAGTGCGTGACGGACTTGTCAAGCACCCAACTTGGGAACGGTTGGATCTTCAGGCTTTGCTGAAAATACAGTATGCGCAGCATCCAAAAATTCGCCATCTCTATGCTGGATACGCGTTCCAGCGAAACGGTACACCTAAATCAGAGTATGCGGAGCCTTTGGCCATATATGCAAGATTGCATCCAGAGTTGGTGGCCGAACACAAGGCCAAGCGCCTGCGCGAAGAAAAGCGACGAAAAGACTTGAGACTCGACTCCAGCGCGAGAACAAATGCGAGAACAAACAAAAATGTCTTGCCACCCTCCAGTCTACACCCACGCGCAGTTGGCTCAAGAGCAGTTGTGGCTGTACAGAGACAAAACATTGTCTCAGCAGAGACAGACGATGAGGACATATCTGACACCGAGGACGAGAAACCAGCGCGAGGTAGAGATCGAGAGGATCGAGAGCCGTCTGAGAATCGTGGAGAATTATCATGGATGGCAAAACTTGATGAGGGCCGCGAGTTCAGAGAATCGCTCAAGGAGCGTCGGCAAATGGCACAGGATAGTTTGTGTCGACGGGGGCCGAGTCCTGATTCGCAACGGACGAGACTGAGATGTTGACGTGCAAAAATCGAGGCTGAGGGTTGGCAGGATGGAAAGACGAGGACAGGTGCAGTATGTAAGAGAAGCATTATTGTATTGTTGTTATGGTTGTATTTACAAGTTCCAAACAACGACACGACCGTCGACGCCGCTGGTGCTGATCTGTCTGACCGCATCAGGAGAACCCGAGTATGCGCGGACAGTGCTGATAGAGTTCTGGTGGACGGTCTTGAGCTGAGTGTCGTCGATGGTTTTGCCGCGGAGGTCCATCTGTCTAAACATGTTGAGAGCAGACTCATCGCGCTGGTTGGCCGCACCAGACTTTGAGGTGCTGTCAAGGGATCCGACAAGCGACCATCCGGATGCCGAGCCCGAGAAATGGAAAGGTTCGCAGTCCTAGAAGGAGGTTAGGAAACGACATGGTAGACAATGAGAGCTGCTCCTTCTTACATAGCCGGCACAAACAATCTCGCCTTCAGCGATCCAGAGGAGATCGGCAAAGGGAAGGACTTGAGTGCTGATGTTGATGACTGCATGAGGAGGCTGGCCTTCTCCAGCAGGGTAAGCAACAGTCATAGTCGAGTCGTGACTGACGAAGGCGACTGCATCTCCAGAAGGGCTGAAGGCAACACTCTTGACCCAACCTGCATATTGTTAGCTTCTTGTCTGCTTTGCAACAGATGGACGTGAGAAGTTGTCATACCGGCAGTCTGGTTCAAGAACTCTCCACAGATGGTGTTGAAGGGCAAACGCTCACCCCAAACCGAGGGAGCCGGTCTCTCGTCGACGCCCTTGATGAAGGCACTGAGAACACGTGCATGGCCGTCGGTGCTGCCCAGAGCGACTAAGACACTGTTGGGGTGCCAGGCGACGCTGGTGACGGTGCTGCGAAGGGGCTTCTTCAGGTGCTTGGACACCCACCAGTCGTTCTCTTCCTCAAAGTAGCAGACGGCAGCAACCCTGGCACCGCTACCGACGGCGAACTTTGCCTCGTTAGGAGACCATCGCACACATGTAGCGGCTCTGTTGATGCGGAGGAGGACGAGAGTAGGGCGCCAGGAGCCGTTAGAGGGTTCCCAGACGTATGCGTTGCGGTCCTGAGAGCAGGTGACAATCTTGCCCGAGTTAGGAGCAATGTCAACGCCGGTGATGAGCTTGTCGTGACCGCGTAGCTCGTCGTTCAGGGCAAAGCGGGAGCCATTGGACGAGTACAGCTCGACCGTGTTGTCTCTAGCGACAGCGAGCGTCTTGCGGTCGGCCGAGAAAGAGTGGTCGGCGATGGGGTGATGGAAGAGGTGGTGGACTTGAGGAGCGGCCATGGCGGATGGAAAGACAGGAGTCTCTCTCTACTGTCTCTGTTGTGTGGTATAGCAGAGGAGGGAGGGTGTTTGGAGCTCGGCAGGAGGCAGTGACGACGACCGCGGGGGAGTTGGCGCATTGGCCGCTCTCGAAGCCCGGTCGCTCCTGCTGCGCTTCGCGACGCCAACAGGTCTCTTCTGCTTGGTACTTTTTTGTGTCGTTCGACCACGTCCTGCCCAAACCACATCAAACACTCCAATCGCCTTGTCGCGTTACCACCAGATGGCTTCTAAGACTGCTGCTCCGGCAAATGGCATCCGCCCCAGTCACACCCTGTACTGCTCAAACTTGCCCGACAAGCTCCAAAAGGATGACTTGAAGCGCGCTCTGTACATGCTCTTCTCCGTCTATGGCTCCATCCTCGACATCGTCGCCATGAAGACCTCGAAAATGCGCGGCCAAGCCCACGTCTTGTTCCGCGACGTCTCATCCAGCACACAAGCCATGAGAGCTCTACAAGGCTTCGAGTTCTTTGGCAAGGAGATGGTATGATTGTCTGCGGCGCTACTCCCTGCATGATCGCATTAAGCTAACTTGCGCGCCAGAGAATCACATACTCGGCGACAAAGTCTGACACACTTGCCAAACTCGACGGCACTTACAAACAGCCTCCTCCTCCTGAAGCCCCTGCCGCAGCACAGCCAAACAGTCTCCAGCAGTCAATCTTCTCAGGTGCTCCAGGCGCCTCTACTGCTCCTGGGGCCACTGCCCCGCTAGCTCCGCCTCCAACAATCGACCCGGCTGCCAGTGTCCCTGCCCAAACAGCTGGTGTGAAGCGACCCAGGGACGAAAGCGATGACGGAAAAGAGGAAGAAGCTCCTATGGATATGGACGATGAAGCCATGGAAGAGAGCGACGATGAATAGACGGCTCCAATCATGCACGGTGCAATTCTGTGCTCGAAACACTCAGACCAACACTCGCTCCAACAATCCCTAGCCAAACAAGCATATAATCCCGGAGATGGACATCTACAGATGGTGTGGCACACATGGCATCTGCAGTGCGACAAGGATGTACAAAGTATGCCGGCAATCCTGTCAAAGGATGGTCCTGCCAGTACAAGGTCAGCTGGAGAAGCTGGTTCTACAGGATCGACAATTACCGTCATAGATAAAGCACCCATGACCCCTACTTCGCGCATCACGTCTCGAAAGTGGAGTGGCACAACAAGGTCAAAGAAACGAGAGAGAGGAAGCGGAGGGCTGACGGTCATGTATACCACGGGTACTCTGTAGCTGGGGGACAGCAAGATGTCATAATGTACAGTGACAAACGAATCGTCTTGAGAGCTTTTGATGATGGCTTCTTCGTCGTGGTCCTCTGGTGTATCGAGACCCGGGTCAAGGTGTTCCTGACAATCGGCGTTAAGTTCCGAAGCTGCAGCCAAGCGCCGGGTGATGCGCAGGCATGCGAATTCAGCAGTGGGCACAGCGCCATCGGGCAGGAGAGGTTGGATATGGTCGCAAGCTTTGACAAACTCGTCGACTGTGAGGAAGGGAAAGTCAGACACCTTGTCCATTGCAGACGGACGTATATCATGCAAGACAGGGCAGATGGCCGTGGATTTGCAGCCAAAAGCGAGAACGATCGAAGGCCTCGATAAAGTTATCCGGGGCTTGCTTGGCGATTCCATCATAGTTTAGTCGCCAACTGCAGAGCCAAAAGGTACGAGCTGCATTGGTCAGACTCTTAGCACTCTCTCCGTCGACGGCCGCTCTGCTTGGATTGCTCCTGCTTCTATTCATTTGCGTATCCATACTCTTTCCTTCAGCTCGTTTCCCTCTACCGTTGTATCTCATTGCATCTTCTCGCTTCGCATCCCACGACTCAGCATCCGGCCATGGCCCCTTCTGCGGACGAGAACCAGACTCCACTAAAGAGAGCGAGGGTGTGTTGACCCGCCGTGTTTATCCTCTAGCTTTCGACGCTCTTGCTTACACCAATTGTCAGGCTTCGACGGATGAGATCGACAATGATTCACAGAAGAAAGCCCGCTTCGTCCAACCCACCCATCTGCCATCGCCAGACACGCGCATAGCTTCGAACTCGACCGAGGGCCAGTTGTCGGCTTCTTCTGGTGCCTCGCAACCATCCGAGAAGCACGCATCTTCTCCCTCCGTTACCGCTGGCCTACATTCGCCTCCATCCGACACCCAACCCTACAGCCAGTTCTTGCCGCCGCCACCCATCAGCTATGAGGTCGAAGACGAGGAAGCCGAGGGCGTCTGGGGATACCTTGTACCGCTTGATGGAGTTTCCGAGCCTCTAGTCCTGAGACGCCGTGCAGCTTGTCCCGTCCCCCAAACAAAGGTTGGCCGCACCGATGGTAAGAGTGCTGTGTCACGCGACGAGTATCTCAACCAAGAAGAGTCCTACGAAAAGGAAAAGGCAGAGAAGGGAATCCCCGCTGGTGGCTATCTAATAGGAAGACATCCCGAGTGTGGTCAGTGTAATTTCTCACCCAGAAAAGACGACGGACTGACAATGAATGACCAGATCGTATCGTCAAAACACCCACTGTCAGCAATCGCCATTGTCTGCTGTTTTGTGAAAACAAGAACAGCGACCAGATTGCTGTCGTCGAGGATCTTTCGGGCAACGGCACCTACGTCAACAATGCTATTGTGGGTCGAAACAAGCGACGTGATCTTTATGATGGCGATGAACTGTCCATATTGGATGTAGCTCGCTTTATCTTCAGATACCCCAGCATACGCGACACTAACGGCTTCCGTCAACAATACTCGATTCAGGGGCAGCTTGGAAAAGGCCATTTCGCGACAGTCTACTTGTGCACCGAGAAGTGCAGCGGTGCTCGCTATGCCGTCAAGAAGTTCGAGAAGCGACGAACGACCACCAACTCCCAGGCCGCTGAGGAGAGGAGTAGAGTTGATGGCTTGCAGCAGGAAATTGGTGTTTTGATGGGAGTCTCGCATCCCAACGTTCTCTGCCTCAAGGATACATTTGATGAGAGCGACGGCGTGTACTTGGTCCTCGAACTCGCCCCTGAGGGCGAACTCTTCAATTGGATTGTCGCCAAACACAAGCTGAGCGAACCCGAAACCAGGAAGATTTTTGTGCAGCTTTTCCAAGGCATCAAGTATCTGGTATGTTGTGATCCGAGTGATTCCTGAAATTCCATCACTGACAATCGCCTTGCAGCATGAACGCAACATTGTCCATCGTGACATCAAACCGGAAAACATACTTCTCATCGACCGTGATCTGAACATCAAAATCGCCGACTTTGGGCTGGCCAAAATCATTGGAGAAGAGTCGTTCACATCCACTCTTTGCGGCACACCTTCATATGTCGCGCCCGAGATTCTGGAGCAGGGCAACCGTCGCAGATACACACGAGCAGTCGATGTATGGTCTTTGGGTGTTGTTCTGTACATCTGCTTGTGTGGGTTCCCGCCGTTCAGCGACGAGCTCTACTCACGAGAGAACCCGTACACGCTTAGCCAGCAGATCAGAGCGGGTCGCTTCGATTACCCAAGTCCTTACTGGGACAGCGTCGGTGACCCGGCTCTCGATCTGATCGATAAGATGCTTACAGTGGACGTTGAAAAGAGAATCACGATAGATGAATGTCTCGAGCATCCTTGGACTACTGGGCGTACGGAAGGACATATGAGTTTCGGAGCAAGCATGGAGAGCACAGATGGCCTGACAGGAGAGATGGGCAAGTTGGACTTCTCTAAGCGAAAGCCCGTCCGTGAGAGAACATTGCTAAGCTCGATCAACGACGCAACGTTCTTCAAGACGCAAGCGACAGAGAAGGATGACCGAGACATCAAGATTTGGGAGCAAAACAAGGATCAAGACAAGAAGACAAACGTCAAGGAGGCACCGGCGCACCAAAGAAATCTCGACGAATTTATCAAGATGGGAGGCAAAGGAGATGAAACGCTTTACGGAGATGAAGAGATTGCAAAAGAGAAGGCCAAGGCAGGAAAGACCAAGGCATAACGCATAGAAGAAAGACAATGGTACGATGATTGTTCATGAAAACCTATGGAGAAAAAAAAGTGGCATGTTTTGATGGTACAGACGAGATAAGGGCATGATGACCTTCAAGGCAGGTCATCGTACGTGGATTGAGTGGTGGCTGGCGCTCGCTGGCCAAGGGGCGGGCTGCGGAGGCTCGGGAGGAGATGATCAGACCATAATTTCAGGGACGGGGACAACAATAATAATTACCAAAGTCAAAGCCGCCCAAGACGGCGACTTGATCCTCTTCTTCAAACCTCAGCAACACACAATGGGAATCCTGGCCACTGTTACTGACGCCGTTTCGGTGCATCTGGGCGACAAGCCAATCTGGCTCGCCGTCTCCATCGTCGCCGCCGCGACTTTCGCCCTCGCCATTGTCCTCAATGTCCTCTCGCAACTGCTGCCCGTCCGTCGCAAGGGTTCCGAGCCGCCCCTCGTCTTCCACTGGGTGCCCTTCATTGGCAGCACCATCACCTACGGAATTGACCCCTACAAGTTCTTCTTCAATTGCCGCGAACAGGTTTGTTGCTCTGTCCCACCAGCCTTGCCCCAACCCTCTCGACTGACTCTCTTGCTCGCAGTATGGCGATGTCTTCACCTTCATCTTGCTCGGCAAGAAGACAACTGTCTGTCTCGGTACCAAGGGCAACGACTTCATCCTGAACGGCAAGCTCAAGGATGTCAACGCCGAAGAAATCTACAGCCCCCTGACCACTCCCGTCTTCGGCACCGACGTCGTCTACGACTGCCCCAACTCCAAGCTCATGGAGCAGAAGAAGTTTGTCAAGTTCGGCTTGACCACCGACGCTCTCCGCTCATACGTATCTGTCATCTCCGCCGAAACAAAGGACTTCTTCTCAAACTCCAACTGGTTCAAGGGCGATGCCGGCCAGCTCAACGTCTCCAAGGCCATGGCCGAGTTGACAATCTACACTGCCAGTCGTTCGCTCCAGGGCAAGGAAGTCCGCGCCAAGTTCGACAGCACCTTCGCCGACCTATACCACGATCTCGACATGGGCTTCACCCCTATCAACTTCATGCTTCCCTGGGCCCCTCTCCCCCAAAACCGCAAGCGCGACGCTGCTCAACGCAAGATGACCGAGACCTACATGGAGATTATCAAGGCTAGACGTGACAGCGGCAAGACTGAGCCTGAAGACGGCGAGACCGACATGATCTGGAACCTGATGAACTGCGAATACAAGACTGGCCAGATGATTCCTGACAAGGAGATCGCCCACATGATGATTGCTCTGCTCATGGCTGGCCAGCACAGCTCCTCCGCCTCCATCTCATGGATTCTTCTCCGTTTGGCTTCTCGTCCTGACATCGCCGAGGAATTGCTTGCCGAACAAAAGGCCGTTCTTGGAGCCGACTTGCCCGCTTTGACCTTTGAAGATCTCTCCCGCCTGCCTCTGCACTCTCAAGTCGTCAAGGAGACTCTGCGTCTTCACAGCCCTATTCACAGCATCATGCGCGCCGTCAAGTCGCCTATGCCCGTAGAAGGCACTCCCTACGTCATCCCTACCACTCACGTCCTGCTCGCTGCTCCTGGCGTTACATCCAAGTGCTCCGAGTACTTCCCCGAGCCTAGCCTCTGGGAGCCGCATCGCTGGGATGCCGAGGCCAGCGACAAGTACACAAGCCTCAAGCCTGTCATGGCCGTCAACGCCGAAGACGACGAGAAGACTGATTACGGTTATGGCTTGGTGTCCAAGGGTGCCAGCTCACCTTATCTTCCTTTCGGTGCTGGCAGACATCGTTGCATTGGCGAGCAGTTTGCCTACGTGCAGCTACAGACCATTCTAGTGACCATGGTGCAATCTTTCAAATTCCGCAACCTCGACGGTCGCAAGGGTGTTGTTGACACTGACTACTCGGTATGTTTCAATGTTTGTGCGAAGTCTTCTGAATAATGCCTGTACTAACTCGTGTTTGCAGTCTCTGTTCTCGCGCCCATTGTCACCGGCCTCAATTCACTACGAGAAGAGAGTTAACGAAAAGGCATAGACAACATAGAAGGTCTTAGATTTGTACAGCTTTGTAATTCACGGCATGGCGATAGAGGATAACGTTTTATGGATAAGCATCAATATCCCCCAGGTGTGCATCTTTGGCACCCAATGCATTTTTAATTTCAGTTCTGGTTTCTTCTTTCCCACATCTGTTGCCTCTCGATTCTACAAGTCACCCAAGCCGTTGGACTGACCAGTACTGACAAATGCCGATGCTTGGTTTCGTTGAGTGAACTGCGCAGAGAAAAATGCTTGCTAAAAGCTCGGATCCGGGCGAACAGGAAAAGTTTGGTCTAATTTGCGACGACAAAACTTTTGTCTTTTCCTCTTCTTCACCCTCAGCAAGACAAATCGACGGTCGACACATATTTGAGCTTGATAACCCAACCATCCAGCGTCCTTATCACTGACGATTACTTCACAAGAAGAAGATTGTTACATCTGGCCGGCGTGCTCAAGTGGTGCGCCGGACCGTCTCGAAAGGAGGGGGCGGCGGTACTTTGTAATCATATACCTACAGACTGTAGAAGTTGTTATTAATCCCTGTGACGCAGCGGCTAGCGTGTCGTTCTTATAATTGCTCCAGCGGAGCAGATTATGCAGTTATGCGAAAGTCGCGAGTTCGAATCTCGCTAGGGATACTTTTTGTCTTTTTGACTGATGTCCCCCGTGGCAACATAGCCTTTGCTTTTGCACCTCCTGGCGGAGAGAGACACTGTCATCGCTTAAGGTATTCTCTCACAACTCTCGCATCTACGACATTTGGTGGGAGATCAGGAATGTCGTCTCTGACGTGCTTCAAGACGTGAGACAGGCTTCATTCAGCTTTGAAGCCTTTGGTATCCGTCATTGAAGAAGTTCTTACTCACATGCACGTAGTTGCGGGAAGAATTGATTGCCAGTCTTATCTGTTGACAAGTAACACGTGCTTCTGCAAGGTTGATAGACGGATTGTATGACGGGCATCCGCGTGAGACCGGCAGGCTGCGATGTCATTTGCAACATGGATGGGGAGGCAACAGCGACGCTTTGAAAACTTGCAAGCTGTCTCTCTCATTGAAACAACACATTTCATGTACACCACTGCTGCCTGGACTATGGGCATTATTTAAAGGGATACAAACGGACAATTGCAATTGAACCAACATATCGCGACCGCAATCCGTCGGCTTGAGCAGCGAGACCGGAGTTAGAAGCATCGGAGCTCCACGTGATTTTTCAGCAAAAGATACGGCAACCCCTCATAGACTCATCCGAACGAGTCTCGATCGCATCCATTCACCCAGAACTTCGTTTCCCACCCATACACGACCAATCGTGCCTCTGCATTTTTGCTTTTCGAACCCCGATCAACTCTGTCACAACGGCGTCTTCCAGGCAAACAAGACTCGCTCTCATCGCCCGTCACACACCCACCACGCCGCCACCACCCCGCCGTCTGTTCGGCGCAAAGCCGCGACTGTCGCAAAGACCGCTTCTCGTGGCCAACACTCTTCGCCAATTCTACCACCAATTCACGACCAACTCCTTCGCCCAATTCACCCAATCTCAATCGTTCCGAGTCTTCCGGGATCGCCGCCACTACCACACACTCTCCAATCTACTCGCCATGTCCTCTGCCCCCAACGGAACCATGACCATGAACGAATACACATTCCCGACCGAACGCTTGCAATCACAACTCAGAGACCCGTCGAGGACGCCACTGGTACTCGTGGCTTGCGGTTCCTTCAGCCCCATCACCTTCCTGCATCTGAGAATGTTTGAAATGGCCGCCGACTACGCCCGCTTCAACACGAATTTCGAGGTTGTTGGTGCTTATATCAGTGCTGTCGGTGATGCATACAAGAAGAGTGGCCTCGTCAAGGCCGAGCATAGAATCAACATGTGCAGTCTAGCAGTTGAGCAGAGCAGCTGGATCAGTGGTATGTGTTGACAGCCGCGATGACTTCTGGATCATTGAGTATCTGACTTTAATCCTGTAGTGGACCCATGGGAGGCTCTTCACGAAGACTACCTCGAGACAGCAAAGGTCCTCGACCACTTCGAGCACGAAATCAACACGGTCCGTGGACCATTCAACACTCCGGAAGGCCCTAAGAAGGCCAAGATTGCATTGCTTGCTGGTGCAGACTTGATCCAAACAATGTCTGCACCTGGTGTTTGGGCACCCAAGGATATTGACTACATTTTGAGCAACTTTGGCGCTTTCATCATCGAGGTACGCTGCTACCACATCCAACCTTGTAATGACCGAAGTTTAACACACATAAACAGAGAGCCGGCACAGATATTGACGAAGCCTTGTCAACGCTGCAACAATGGAAGGACAATATTCATGTTGTACAGCAGCTGGTGCAAAACGACATTTCTAGCACAAAGATCCGCCTGTTCCGCAAACGCGACATGAGCATCCGCTACTTGGTGCCCGAGCCCGTGGTAAAATACATTGAAGAACAAGGGCTGTACGATGAGGACGGTGCCAGCAGCACGCACGAGGCGCAGAACTCGAAGAAGGCTGGCGAGAGCGCAGGCGCTTCCTCGCAGAACGTGTAATAATTCATGGTTTGGGCTCGGTGTTTCCTTTTGCAAAGACCCAACATACACACACTTTCAACGCTTTCTCTCCCTGACCTTGAACTTGACGCCCTCCTTGTTGACACCTCCGACGGTGTTGTTCATGCGTGCCCGTTGGTGCTCGAGTTGGCTCAGGGCGGCAGACAGGTCGCGCTCGCGGTCTTTGAGGGCGCCGAGTTGGTTCTGCAGCACTTCCTGAGCGCGTCTCTTCTTCCGTCGCTGCCTGATCTCCTCTTTTGAAAGACCCTTGGTGTCGCTGTCCTCATCCTCGCTCTTGCCGTCCTCACTGCCGCTGCCTTCTCCGCCGATACCGTCCAAATCGTCGAGTCCATCAAGGTCGTCCAGGTCTGCAAGGTCGTCGAGATCCAGATCCATGTCCTCATCGTCGTCGAAGTCCGACTGCTGTGCACTGATCTCCTCGACCTCCTCGCCATTGTCATCAAACACCTTCCTCTTGCTCACACCACTCGCGTCAACACCCGTCGCCGTCAACACCGCCTGTCTCTCAATCTTTTCCCTGGCACGGCGCGTCTGTTGCAGCACCGTCTGTAGGTATCCTGCATCCTGTGTCTTGAGAAGCTTCACCACATCCATGTTCATGGGTGTCTGGGAGCCATTGTCTTTTCCTCTGACCGATTGCTGCACTCCTTTTTTTGTGGTCCGCGAGATCATGCCAAAGGCGAATTCGTCCGGATTGCGCTGAGCGACCTTTTCGCGGAGGACTTTGAGGCGGCGTTTCTTTTCATTGTGGTCTTTTGCTCGGAGGGAGTAGTCCTGTTTTTGAGGTAGTTGGGTTAGCAATGAAATCGTTCATTTCTTACTTGAATCGAATTCGTTGTGGATTTTGCGGTTCGTGGGGTGGATGTGATACAGAAGGGGTGCGAAGTAGAAACGAACCTTGTGCTTTTCCAAGAGACCCCATTTCTGGCGTTCGAGCGGTTGGGCGCGCTCCTTGTGGTTGCGCCTCTGGACTGCGTTGCGCATCGACGACATGATGGCGGATGTTTCTAGTGGTTTGTCCCTTTCGCTTCCTCTCTTTTTCCTTTTGCTGGCGGCGTGTTGTGGACGGATAGATAGTGTACTCTCAGATTTACGAGAAGAACGTATTCGTGGCGGGAAAGATGAGTGGTGTGAGAAGAGAGTCAGTCGGTGGAAAAAAGTTCTGGATGGAAAGTTGAGGGCTCGGGCGCCGGGAGAGAAGCAAAGCGGAGGCAGTCAAACGCTTGGCGGTGTCTCGCTGGTGGCTGAAGATTGCAAGTGTCTGTTGGTGACCCTGTCTTTCCAGTCCCGAACATGATCACAGTGACGATGGATCGCACATTTTTTGTTGGAACTAGCTTATAGACGAGACAAGGAGTGGTGGACATGGTACAAGTGGCCATTTCATTGGTAGCTCTACAGGATGTGATGTTCATGACGATTGTCCTTCTTCGTATCATCGAGTCTGATGCACTCTTCGCAGCTGCGCGTCTGCTACTAGGCAAGACTCAAGGACAGCAGCAGAGAATTTACATCTCGAAGGGTGCTTCGATTCGGTTGGCTGCATCTGAGCCGTTTAGCGGCAGTTAGCCTGCGTAGACCTCTTGATTCTTCGACGCGAAGTCGGTGATATATCTTTCGGCCTGCCTCAGCTTTGCATCCCGAATAGACGCGGAAATTGACATCTTCATGACTTGCGAAGCAGGCTGGAGAAAGTCGAGGCGAGACAATAACGTGCGTGGATGCAGCATCAGAGCAATGGTCAACAGACTTTGCATTCGCTCTGGTCTTGTGAGCTGGACGTGAGGCGCGTGCCTAGCTTTGGCGTATGCTTGCTTCCATTGTCGAGCAAAGGAAGTCATTGGTGGTATTAAGTCTTCGACAGGTAAGCTGTGTTCACAAATCCGGATCGATATGCTGTTTGAACTTCCTGTTCGCACGGTCGGCAGGTCTGTTCTCGAACTGTGTTCCATGAAGTTCAAAGACGAAGGGTCTTCGCGATTCGACCATCTGACTATCACCATCGTCGTCTTGTTCGGCAAAGGGTACTTCGAACCTGAAGACGGTGTACTCCTTGGGCACAGCTGTTGGATGTCAGCAAAGAGGCATAAGTCTTGGAGAACGAAGGCAACATACTCTTGAGCTCATTCTTGGGCGTGATGATCTCCATGGTGAACTTTGTATCCTTGACAACGATTCCCTTGATGCCTACTCTTCCCACACAGCGACACCTGACGACATCAACCATCGCACCGTGATAGTCCGCACTAGCCAACAAAGGTCCCACCGCAGCAGCATTCACGTATCTTGACTTTTCCATGCCCAGGATCTCTCGCATATATGCACACCACAACTTCCAGATGGGCACATAGATGTCGAATTTGCGCTGTTCCTTTGGTATATCATAGACACCGAGTTCTCGTTTTTGCTTTGCGGTCAGAGGACGAGGTTTCTTTGATTTGCGATTTGCCCTTGCTTTTTCTAGTCGTGCTTTTTGTCGTTGGGAGCGCACATTTTGGGCAGGGTCAGGAGAGGAGGGTCGGAGGAGTAGAGGTCGATTTTGGACCTTTTCGCGGAAGATCTGGGCGGCGGTGGTGGATTCGTGGGCGCGGGCGAGGAGAGACTGAGCGGGATGCTCTTTTTCTGGCGGCGGCATGATTGTGTAGGTTGTAGCAGTCAGAGGCAGAAGTGGTCGCAGAAAGATGTGGATGTGGATGGATCCAAGCTTGGCAGAGCATCATCAAGGTGGTTGGTTTTGCGACTTTTTGTTCCTGAATTCCTACCAACTCATCATCACATTACATCAGCCATGGCTCCATCGACTCCTGACCTGTCGACCAAATATGCAGTCCTGCAGTTGAGTGTCATATCTTCGAGCAGCATATCCAATCGGACCACGTCTCTGATCAACCACATCAAATCAATACCAGCCGACAACAAACCTGCTCTTGTCGCTCTCCATGCCAAAGCTGCTGTGGCCAACAAACTCATCAGCATTGTCGAAATTGCAAAAAGAGAGCTGAAAGACAATGATCAAAAAGTCTATCAATATAATATTCTTGGCTCTGAGCTCATTCAGTCTACGCCTGCCCCCAAGGACGCTGTTGACCAAGATGCCATGAGCGACAACGAGCCCGCGTTTGAAAAGACTGAAGGGAAACATGCCGTTCGAAACGTGCCTACCATGACTATCTATCTGAGTCTTGCCTCCGTCAAGGAACTCAAGCAAGCTTATGGGTACTTACATCTGTCCACCACGTCTCCTGCATGCCATGCTGACATATCGTTCTGTAGCGAGCAGATCAACTAATCTGTAAATCACAGCTACACGACTAAACCCAAAGAGCACACTATTGTCTTCCTCGACATCTCCAGATCGGTGTTGTGACTATTCACGGCTGGATACTGGCATTACCTTCGAAGAACGACTGCAATGCTCATAATCAGCTGCCTCGAATATCATGGTCCTAGATTCCTCGCCCTTATTTCGTTCTCGCCGAATTTATCCCTCCTCTGCTGGGACCTCCTGGCTCAATCGTAATCCAAGCCTCCGATGGGCCATCCATCTGCATCCTTTTCTCCTGTGGGCGACTCCGACTCGGATACCGCTCCTGCCTGCGTCTCATTGTCAGTCTCGCCTCCGTCTCCCGACTCCTCAATCTCGCCCTCTGAATCCTCGGCTCCAGTTTCTTCCTTCGTTCCTTGTTCAGCCGTGCCGGGAATCTTGCGGTCGCATGGATCAGCTTCATGCACCACTTTAGTGAGTCGTCTGAAGAGATTATTCATGAGCTCCCATCGACTATTCATCGCTGCCGAGACGGATGTAAACTCCAGATGGCACACGCCCTGCTTGTCTCTGTATGCGTCGAGCACGTTGCCATACTTGAGCCCGCGCGGACAAGTGGTTTCGCAGAGATCCTTCAATGAGACGTTCTCATGCAAGCCGTGAATGGCCAAGCAGCGTGTGATGCCGTTGTACATCATGTCATCGGCCAGGTATCCGTTGACGGGGTAGGTCGGTGTCTTGAGGATACTGAACTTCGGCTCGACCCTGTCCTTCACTGATCTCACGAACTCACGAGCGTCCTTGGCTTGCAAGAACGTGATCATCATCGTCTTGCTGTTGATGGTTGGCGCAATGTTCATCAATCCAGTTTTCATCGATTGGACCTTGACGACCATGCCTCCTGAGACCATGCGCATCACATCTGTCTCTGACTTGTTCTTGGGGATGTCCGTGACAAGAACTGTGCGAAGCGTGTCCTCGCTAGGGGCAGGATCAAACATGACCAGTGCTTGGTTCTGTCGGAGCTCTGCTGCACGCTTTTGCTTTGCCTCTTCGAGCTGCTCCTCAGTCAGAGATTCCTTGCGCTCCTCGACCACAGTTTCTTCAGATATCTCATCATCCTCAGTGAACTGCATCAGATTTTCTTCCACCTCTGGCTTGATGACTCTCTTTCCTAGTGCAGCCCATCTGGATGCGTTGAGAGACGGTCCTGTGGGCGTCTGATTCTTGTAGCGGTGTGACAAGCTCTTGAGCGTAAGGAAGTCTGGCGTCTTTGCGACTTGTTCGCCGAAGTCTTGAGAGGGTTGTGCAACACTGCCGTTGCTCGGGAGCATGTTCTCGCTGCAGATGTCACCGCTGTTTTCGAAAGTGAGAAGTGTACCTTCCTTCTCCTTGCCAGTGTTCGCTACCTCGTGTTTGGCGTCATTCTGCTTTAAGAAGGCGAGACATTTGGCTCTGAATGTCTGTTCGGAACCAGGACCGATAGGAGTAGGGCGTGTCTTGCAGGGTACCAGAGAAGGCGAATGCACAGAATTCACTGGCATATCTTCATCATCACAAGTGATGAGATCGTCCTCCTGAACCTTCTGTTTTCCAGTCTGCTCTCTGCCTCCATTGCCTCCTGGTCCTGCATGCTGCCCGGTCTCTGGTCGAGTCCTGGATCCAACATCGCGATCAAATCTCTCGAGTCTTCTGCCGCGGTGTTCGATGGTTTCTCTGAAGGCTGGTGTGGCAGATCTTTGATCACGTCTGGCAAGCTGTTGGGCCATGTGAGTGATGCATTGTTGTGCCAATGCATGTTGCTCCCTCTCTATTCTCAATTCGGTCTCCAGTGTCGCTAGTCTTCTGATCATCTCCATGGTGTCGGCCATGTGAGTATCTCGTGCCGTGTTGGCCATGTTGATGGAAGGAAGTTGTGTCGGTGTTAGAACTTGAGAAGGAGCGTGTCGAGGGCCGAAAGAGAAGGGAGGATGTTGAGGATAGAAGGAGGAAGGGAGAGGTTGAGGACGAGATGTGTGTTGAGAAGAGAAGGTAGAGGGTGGTAGCTGCCACATGTTGGTTATATAGATAAGAGAGAAAGAGACGTGTGATAGAAAGCAAAATTCCGGCTCTGAGATGTGAGAAGGGTGAGTGGTGTGAAGTGCCGCAAGTGCCAGAGGGGTGGTACTTGGGATCGATACTGAGGCTAGCAAGAAGCACTGAAGTCGCTCTTGCCTACTTCAACACTGAAGTGATGGTATACAGAGAGACGAAAGTGAGCCAACCCTAACCCAACCGTATGTTGGAGAGCCTCAAATCATCACGATAACTTGTACAACTCTTTCGCTCATGATAGATATTGATATAGTAGGAAGTTAACAACAAGAATATATCTCGCATAACCTCATCATGCCTTTATCGGGTATCTGAAGCTTTACATTGTCATCTCAGGTTCATACGATGGCTATTAGTTCATGTTGTTTCAAGTCAGGAGTCGATGTCTGGCTACTACAGCACGTGAAGTGTGGTAAACAGGCTAAGCACCGACATGATTCCGTACTCCCTGGGTACTCGGGTTTTGTTGTCCTCATACAGAGCTCATAGTTATGAACGAGATCGTCTCGATCTTCACACTACTTTTGGAGATGTGCAACAAAGTTATCCGCGAACAGGTATCACGAGAGTCAATACGATGGTCATCATTTGTCTGGTGCTAGATCCAGGTCTACGATCGTGTGAGCCTTCAAGCCACAAATGTATTGTTGTCGGGAGGAATGTCACTACAAGTCCAGGGGACAAACTTCAGAACTCAGCTTATGAAGTTGTGATGGGTTGTGAGAAGAGATGATGAACCCGGTGGTGACGAGATGGTCCATGAGACTTTAAGAAACAGCGAATATCCTATATCATGTCTCTTGCGTTCAAAGCACATGTCAGTTGAACAATTTTAGCGATCTCCCGAACAGAGTCGACTCTTTGGATATTCTAGTTGTCTCCCTGATTTTGCGAGTTTTCCCCGAGAAGTCTCATCTGGTACCACTTGCCAGTGGTGATTCGTAAATGTCCATGTCGAAGTAATATCACTGTCCAACGATCCAGACTCCTCTGCTTCTGCAAAGTTTCGAGGTTCTAGATCTGCCGCGAGGACAGCGCGTAAGTTACTCGAAGCAGAGCTTCCCCTGTCGATGGTCAGCTTTCGTCAGTTGCATGAATGAAAGTTGGATGTCAAATAATCAACCACTGCATACCAACAACGGCAAGAACCCCGATCTCGGCCAATGATACCCCGCACCCCCAGCATTTTTCTCCACCACCCCAGTCCTTAGCTCGACGCCTCCCTTGGCTTTCATCAAGCCCTTTTGCAAACCTTCTGAGATGATAAGCAAACACAAGCCATGCCACTCGAAAAGGCGCGGAGAAAAGTTGTCCAAGGCGTGTAATAAGCTCAACGTCATACCGTTCATCCTCAGCCATGGCACGTTGTCTCGTCAATGATAGCGTCTGATTGGGTGAGAGACAACGTGCAAGGGAGACTCGATTGGACAAAAGCAAAACGTATATAAAGGATGATCACATGAAAGCATGTATCTTTCCCGGCTGGAGGGATCGTCGGTTATCTGTGATCATAGCCTGACCCGTCGCTCGAGTACATAGCTACCATCGTCCGCTCATGCTTGATCTTTCCTTTTGGATTTCTGGTTTCTTGTGTCACCTATCTGCTTGCAGAGGAATTCTAGCAACAATGTCGCAGTCACCTATGGAAGAAAAAGTTGGGGTCTCCAAGCTCGAGACTGTTAATACTGGCGACTATGATCCTGATGCTGGACTCAGCGATGAAGAGAGAGCAAGAATAGTAATGTCCTTCCTGTTCCACAATCATACTCAAGCCAGGTCAACTGACCATGTACGACAATAGGACAAAGCTCTCGTCCGAAAACTCGACTTCAAACTCATCCCATGGGTCAGTGTTACTGTTCGCTCCTTGCGCCTTCGCACCATGGCTTATGCAGTAACAGCTCTCGTTCCTATACCTCATCTCCTTCCTCGATCGAACAAACATCGGCAATGCCAAAGTCGACGGCTTGGCCAAAGACCTCCATCTCACGCCTGGCCAATACAACGCAACACTCTCTATTTTTTTCGTCTCATACTCGGTCTTTGAGCCCTTGACCAACGTCTTGCTTAAGAAATGGAGACCTAGTGTCTTTCTTCCCGTCATCATGTTAGTCGCATTCCCTAGAGCCTTTCGAGTTCTGGCACTAATTAGACTTGAAAATACAGGACACTCTGGGGTGTAGTCATGGTAACCATGGGATTATGCCACAACTTCGCTGGCCTTGCTACTGCACGCTGGTGGCTAGGTTTTGCAGAGGCAGGACTCTTCCCTGGTGTTAACTACTATCTGTCGTGTTGGTACAAGCGCAAGGAACTTGGTATCAGAGCAGCCATCTTCTTCTCGGCGGCAGCACTGGCAGGATCATTCGGTGGACTCTTGGCAGCTGGAATCGCTCAGATGAAGGGAGTTGGAGGCAAGCCAGGTTGGGTAAGAAAGACTGAGAAAAGCAACATCCTGAAGCTTCATGCTAACAAACTCTGGATCTAGGCTTGGATCTTCATTCTTGAAGGCTTGGTCACCGTAGTCGTTGGCATTGTTTCTTACTGGATGGTCCACGATTTCCCCGACGAGGCAACTTTCCTCTCTGTCGATGACCGCGCCAGAGTAATCAGAAGACTCAAAGAAGACCAGCAAGCAAGTGCCGAACATGAGGTATCCCCATCCCCTCATCCAACCCAACTTTCCTCGATACTGATAAAACTCAATAGGAATTCAAAATGACCTACTTCTGGCAAAGCATCTCGGACTGGAAAACCTGGTGTTTCGCAGTCATCTACATGGGAGCCGACGGCGCACTCTACGCCTTCTCTCTCTTCCTGCCCACCATCATCAACGCACTCGGCTACAGCGGTACAACAGCAAACTTGCTTTCCGTACCTCCCTACGCCTGCGCTGCTGTATTTACTGTCGTCATCGGTGCTATCGCGGACAGAACGCAAAAGAGAGGGTTGATCAATGTGTTTGTGTCGCTGATCGGAATCGTGGGCTTTGTCATGTTGATCGCGAGTCAAAACCCGCATGTCAAGTATGCGGGCACTTTCTTGGGTGCTCTGGGCATTTATCCGTAAGTTTCTTGAAATGGTGTGTCTCTTTGGAAAGGGTAAATACTGATTGACTTCATATGTAGTCTCATCAGTAACAGTGTCACCTGGTGCTCCAACAACGTCGAAGGAGCCTACAAAAGAGGTGTCACAATCGGCATCGTCATCGGATGGGGTAACTTACAAGGCGTCGTGAGCTCAAATATCTACAGAGCTAGGGACAAGCCAAAATTCTACCTCGGTCACGGAGTAGTGTTGGCATACCTGTCTCTCTTCCTGTTCTGCGGCAGCTTGATGACACACCTCTTACTCAAGGCCGAGAACAAGAAGAGACAAGCAGGCAAGCGCGATCACTGGGTCGAGGGCAAGGACGACGCAGAGATCAGAATGTTGGGAGACAAGAGACCCGACTTCCTCTACGTCACGTAAAGTAGAAAGTGCCCGAATGACCAGAAGGCAGAGAGCGCTTCTACCTGCTTTCAATCTCAGATTGGTAGAAGTCAAGATGCGAAACGAAATGCAAACGAAGTGAAAATTTCAATATTCAGGGGTATCACAAAATCTCGAACATCAGTTTCTCCAGACACGGACTTGCTTGTCCTGACCTCCACTGCCCACTCTATCACCATCTGGGCTCCAGTCTACAGCAAAGACTTGGTCCTTGTGCCCAGGCAGATCCTCCTTGAGTTTCCCTGTCTTGACATCCCAGACCTTGAGGGTAGTGTCCTTGCTACCGCTGACAAGCAGTCTGCTATCGGCACTGAAAGCGACTTGATACACAGGACCAACATGGCCCTTGAGTGTGAAAAGGAAAGTTCCATCAGCAGCGTTCCACAGCTTGATCAGGTTGTCGAATCCAGCAGAGGCGAGAAGGGTACCGTCGGGAGAGAATGTGACGTGGTTGACTTGTTTCTGATGGCCTAACAGACGAGTGACTGGTTTCGTTGAGCTCATAGGTGTCCAGAGGTAAATTGTGCAGTCATCACTGGCTGAGACCAGTCTCTCGACAGCCTTTCCACCATTCTTTTGGTTGTTGACGCCAGCAGCAGCCTCATAGCGCTCTTTTGCCTTTGCGCGCTTCTCCTCAGGCGTCGCCGGAACGCCCTTCTTGCCAGTGTGATCGTAGAAGGCGGTACGTAGGGCAAAGTCGGTAGATAGAGCGAGATGATTGACCCAATGGGCGTGTGAGTTGAGGGTGTGAACGAGAGTACCAGATTCGGCAGACCAGACCTTGATGGTCTTGTCGTGTGAGGCGGTGTAGATAAGACCAGCACCTCCCCAACGTACGCAAGACACGTTGCTCTTGTGTCCAGTCAAGACTATATCAGCGCGCTTGCTGGTGACATCCCAGATACGAACGGTGGCGTCTTTTGAAGCAGAGGCGATCCGGGGTCTTCCGACTTCTTGCATGTGATATGGCTCCCAAGACATCGACGTCACCCACTTGGAGTGACCCTTCATTGGGCCCCCGAGAGGCTTGCCGGTCTGGGCATCCCACAAGCGTATCGTGTTGTCCATGCTACCCGTAGCTAGAATGTCGCCATTCGGGGAGTAGGCGACTGTGAGCACCCATCCGGTGTGACCGGCGAGTGTGTGCATAGGCGTACCGGTATCGCAATCCCAGATACGTGCAGTCTTGTCACCACTACCAGTAGCCAGACGCGAAGACGAGGATGGAGAGAATTGTGCTGCCAGAATAGCCTCGCCGTGTCCGCTGATCGCGGCGGAACATCTCGTCACAGCTTTGACACGGAAGACTGCCTCTGCGCGACAGGGGATATTAAGCTGGACTTCGGTTGTCGAGTCGCCAGACAGGAAGGCTGAGATGATGGCTTGCTGATCGAAATCGCCGGTACCGAGGGGATCGTAGAAACGGTAGGGAAGGCGCTCGCTGGGGTCTTCGCGGCCGAGGAGAGTGTTCAACAGCAATGAGAGGTTCTTGGGCGACAGTTCTGACAGAGGTACAGTGACTACGGGTCCTTGAGACTCGCCCGAGTCGGCGTCGATGAATTGAATGCGCTGGATGCCATCGGGCATCTGCTCGGGCTCGACCTGTTCGCGAGCCCGGGCGGCGGCCGCAGTCTTTTGTCGTTTTGACGGGGGAGGTAACTGTGTCGACATTCTGTTTTGTTGGATTGGCGTGCTTTGTCTTTTTCTTCGTCGACAAGTTCAAGAAATTTTGGACGTCGTCGCTCGCGCCTGCCTCGCAAACTCCGCAAAGTCCGGCGCTGAAGCTTCACTTCCTTCGTCGAGCGTCGCTGCTCCTTCCTCTACTCTATCGCCATCAAAGCAATCAACTGTCTGTGTGGAAGTGCAAAAATTAGCATTACCTGCAAGCGCAGATGCTGCAGCTATCATATAGTGTATGTACGTCCCATGCCTCATATGCTGTTCGAGCTAAGATAGAAAAGAGAATCAAGTACTTTTGTCCTTCCCAGTTTGCAACCTGCCATTGTGTGTCCGCCATGATCGTTCATAAAGCAAATGCCCCATATATACTCCTCACTTCCTCACTTTCTCGCTTTCGGTCAGTGCAACTCCTCCGTTCGTCTCACTATTGCGACTCCGAGATGGGTGCCGAAATGGTTCCCTCGTTGTCTTCGTCGTCATCATCGCCAAAACTACCTCCGTACATGCCGGAGAACAGGGGGTTTGCGATGCTGCTTCCCATGCCGTACCCAAAGTAGTCCCATGTCGCCAAGGCACTTGGGTCGTACGAGAAGGGGTTGTTCTGCTCAGCCGGGAATTGATAGTAACTCTGACCCGCCATGTAATTGGGCTCGGCTGGTCTGAAGCCCATAGGTGCTGCTGCAACGTACATCGGAGCCTGTTGATATCCAGATGTGAGTTGCGACATGACGACAGGCTGCTCGAAGGTGGCTTCCTTCATGTCGACCTGAGCCTCAACCTCCTCTTCGGCTTCGTCGATGGGAACCTTCTTGCGCTTGTTGCGCTTGATCTTGCGGCGTGCCTCCTCCTGAGAATGATCCTCTTCCTGCATGTCGATGGTGACAGCAGCATCGGCTTGCTGCTTACGACCTCTTCTCTTGGACTTGGCGCGAGTGGCAGTTTTGATGCGGGCGTTGGCATCTTTGTCTGCTAGAGGCTTCTTGTCCTCTAGAGGCTTCTTCTCTTCGAGAGCTTTGTTGTCGTCAAGCTTCTTTCGGGGTGCGCGCTTGACCTTGGGTGGCCTAGAAGGTAGCTCCTCGCCTGGCAGCACATCGTCCTCGGGCTGTGGGTGGCCAGTGATGTCACGCTTCTTGCAGAGGCTACCGGCCGAATCGAAGATCAGCTCTTCTTTCTGGACTCCCTCAGACATGGTGGCAAGGCGTTCGTTGACAGAGATGTCTTTCTTCTGGTTGCGCTTCCTCTTCAACTCCGGAGTGGCTGCGTCGAAGAGGCCCATACCTGGCCAAACAACACCCTTGAGCTTGCTGGTGTCATCTTCCTCGTCAAGATCTCCTGTATGAGGCGTCTCGGCCTTGACCTTACGCTTTCGCGGCATGACGGGAGGCTCACTCGGAATCTGCTGATTGTCTTCCTCGAAGAGTGAGTCCTGCCTGTGATGCAGGTAAGGGTGAGGTGCCCAAGTGTACATGGGTGCGTATGCAGCGTATGGGTGAGGGTAAACCGATGGTGCGTCGTCGTAGGATGTTGACGATGGAGTGAGCGTTGGCGAGTGAGACTCCTTCTTGATGGCCTTGACGTTGGAATGAGGCTCTGATAATGGGATTAGTAAAGATGATTCGAGCGAAAACAAGCAGCTAAGTACCAGTCTTGATCTTCTTGCGTTCCTCTTTGTTCTTCATACGATCCGACATGGAAGACTCGATGTCATTCTCGGCGTACCATATGTCGTAGTGCTCGACGGTCTGGCGAGCATTTTCATCGGAGCTCGAGCGAATCTTCAGCTTGTAGTAGGTCGACAGGTGAGCCTTAGAGCTGATGTGAGTGAGAAGATGAGATAGATCGCTGAAGGTAGGTTTCAGTGGGCATATGTTGCAAACAAGAGGGACATTCTTGGTCTGCGCATGGCTGCTGGACGCAAGAGCCAGCGAATCCATCAATGCTAGCGAAAAGGGGAACAAGAGAGTGAATACGCAAAGGCAAGGGAAGGAGTGAGCTGATACAGAGTATCAGTGTTGATTCTGTGTTCGAGACAGCATTCCCGAGTGTGGAAGGTGGTGCTTCTCGCGCACGGAAAGAGCCCCTCAATGGCCCGCCCGGACCTCTTGGTTGCGGCTAACTCCCGGCGATAGCAGAGTTCGACGCCAACGAGGTCTTCCTAGCTCTGACTTCCTCAATACTCTTGCACTTGTCATAGAGCCGCTCGTTGCACAGGTAGTCCGAAGAACACTGAAAGCCTCATCTGACAGCGGTTGCAGATCTCGAAGCCTATGAGGGCTAGATCGGAGGAGTCGATCACGTAGCCTCTCTATTCAGAGAGAAGCAACAAGCTCTTCGACTGATAATTACGATCCGCCTTCATGAGTCTCTACCTGCAATCGCTTCGTCGAGGCAACATCGTGGTGGGCAGTGACCTCGAGAACCTGTCTCTGTATGGTGAAATCGTTCGTTGAAGCTCGACTTCCGATCGAGACCTGTCCTATATACTAACCGATTCCCTCTGACAGAACAATAGTACGTTGGAAGCTCAATGTCTGATCGAGCACTCGACACAGATGAAGGGGAGACGTCGAAAGGCTTCAATTTATCGGTACCATTTCGGCGATAGCGTCGCTATCGCCGACCTGGCAGACGACATCAACCCCGCATGACGTCTTACTCTCTAAACACTATCGATAGATTCAATGACACGCTCTTCTATCGCTCGACTACCACCTACTGCGTATACATTGTAGACCATCGGATCCAGATACGATATCAAACATGGGATCCAAGAGTATTCCTCAAGAGATGCAGGCTATCCAGGTCGTCGGGGTATCACACAATTCCCATCTGTTCACAAAGCATTCAAGCTAAATGAACAATCTAGTTTGACAAACCATATGTAATCAACACTATCCCTGTCCCCAAAGACCTTGCTCCAGAGGATATTCTAGTCAAGATCGGTGTCGCCTCAAACTGCCATACGGATTCCATGGTACAGCATGGCACATTCGGAACCAAACTTCCCGTAACAGCTTCTCACGAAGGTGCTGGCACCGTGGTCGCAGTCGGGGATGCTGTAAAGAACTTCAAGGTCGGAGATCGCGTCATGTGTGGACTGCCCTACCACCCCTGTGGCCGGTGTCAAGACTGCTCTGGCCCAGAAACGTGGCGACAATACTGCACGAACATCGAAGGCCACTCAGGTGTACACAGGAATGGCTTCTTCGCAGAGTATGCACTTGTGGATTCCAGAACCTCAACTCCCATCCCAGACGAGGTGACGCTCGAAAGTGCAGCGCCACTTGCATGTGCTGGAAGAACAATCTGGAATGGTGTATTGGAGGCCAACCTCAAGAGTGGCGAGTGGATTGCCTTGGTCGGGTCGGGGGGTGGTCTCGGACATCTCGGTATCCAGTTTGCAAAAGCACTTGGTCTCAATGTTATTGGTGTCGACGCCAGAGATGAAGGACTTGCCGTGTCCAAGGAGAATGGTGCACATGTAGTTGTTGATGCACGTAAAGGTAAAGAGAGCGTGGTTGCAGAAGTACAAAAGGTAAAATCGTCTGCTTTTGGATACATCAAATTTTATGCTTACATACTATCGACAACAGGTCACCGGAGGTGCTGGCGTTGATGCGTCAATCACGCTGAGCGATGCCGATGATGCTGCTGGACTGGCTTGTGCATTGACCAAGATGCACGGTACTATGGTACAGATTGCTCAGCCAGACAATGTCACCATCCCATTCGCAGAGTTTGTTTTCCGTGATATCAGAGTCAAGGGATCTCTGCTCTGTTCACCTGAGCAGAGTGTAAGCATGCTCAAATTTGTCGCAGAGCATGGTATCAAGGTGAAGACCAACCCATTCTACGGTCTTGACAAGATCGGAGATTTGGTGGATTTGGTCCATGGAGGAAAGATCCAAGGCAAAGCAATCATTGTGGTTGATGAAGAACAAATCAAGAAGGAAAAGGAGCTGGGAGCCAAGTTTTGATCAAGCAGATGGTCGAGCATTATATTTTGGATCAGACATCATGTCTGCAGTTTGGAAGCAAAGACTTGCAAAATCTGCTACAGTTTTGGGAACTACTCACAGGACACGAGAGAATCGAAGTGAATGTCGACATGGATTCGCTAATAGCTCAAGCTTCCTGCGCTGAACAAAATGGTGGTAATACAGGTGTGTGTAAGGTCAAGGTCGGTCCGCTCAAAGCAGGTTCTTGTTCTTCTTTCTAGTAAAGGCTCTCTGGTCCTTCAGCCATCGCCTGTAATCGGCAACACTGTTGATCTTCTCGCCGTAGTAGTCCGGCACCGGATTGTTGACAGACGAGCTGGCGGGGTCGGCGCGGAATCTCTTGATGTGCGAGTAGAAATCCTTGTCTTTCTGTAATTGACATGCGGTCAGTAAATACGTCCCCAACTGAGAGCAGAGTGAATCATAGCCTACCCTAGCAAATTCTTTCCTCACGCTTCCCTTCCAGATGTTGAAAAAGGTGGTACCCAAGAAAGGACCCAACAGCCAGCCAACAGCACCAACACCCATCAGACTACCACCAATAATGAACATGGGATCCAAGCCAGTCATCTGAGCACCAATGTTCTCGATCTCGAACTCGGCGAAAGCCGGGACGGCAACACCGATACTGGCAGCACCACTGAGTGCAGAGGAGCCAAGGTTGATGAAGCGACGAGTACGGCGGAGCTTGAGGAACTCATCCCACGTAAGCTGTGGTGTTTGCGACTGTGTGGGAGTGGTCGAGGTCGAAGCAGCGGATGACGCATGACGCGAGAGGACAAGGGCCGAGGACAAAGCTGGCGATGGTCGTGTAGCGTGGAAGACTGATGTGTGGACGGAGCGACCGAGGAGAGCAGGTGCTCTGAGGACGCTCAGCGGCGTTTGCATTTTTGTGGCAGCCATGAGTGTGGTGTGTGATTGAGCGTGATACGAGAGCTTCAACTTCTCTTTCGGTCTCAGTGGTGTGGATGCGGAGAAGGCAGGCGCAACTCTTGGCGCAGACTTGCCAGGCAAGTGCGCAAGCTGCCCTAGGGAAAGAGCAAGAGCGACCGACTCTTTAATTCTTGCCATCCATCCATCAGCCCGCACCACGCCGTCGCATACCTCCGCTGCCTCTCTCGTCCCCGCCGCACCACTCGCGCACACCTCCCGGACCACCAACTTCCTCTCTCACAGCAGTCGCGTCCGCGCGCATCGACCTTCAGCATGGCCGCGAACAAGCAGGGCAAGATGCAAGGCCTGATCAACTACCGCCTGCGCGTCACCATGATGGACGGTCGCCAGATGGCCGGCCAGATGCTCGCCTTCGACAAGCACATGAACCTCGTCCTCGCCGATACGGAAGAGTTCCGCAGAGTAAAGCGCAAGCCCAACAAGTCGGCTGCTCCTGGACAGGCAGAGCCCCAATTCGTCGAGACCGAGGAGAAGCGTACTCTTGGCCTCACCATCGTTCGCGGTGCTCACATCGTTGCCTCGACTGTCGAAGGTCCTCCGCCCGCAGATCCCTCGGCGAGACTGGCCAAGGACGGTCCCGCTGGCCCCGGTGCTCCCACCATGACTGCTGGCCCTGGCATCACTCGCCCGGCAGGCAGGGGTCTTCCTCCTACTGGTCTTACTGGTCCCGCTGCAGGTGTTGGCGGCCCCGCCCCCGGCTTTGGTTTCCCTGGCGCTCCTGGAGGCTTTCCCGGTGCTCCTCCACCAGGCTTTGGTGGTAGAGGTGGTCCTCGTATGTTTTGAACCTTTGCTGTTCCCGAACCTCAGCTAATTTACGATTCCAGCTGGATTCCAAGGTCCTCCTCCCGGCTTCCCTGGCGCTCCTGGCGGTGCTCCTCGTAAGCTGACTCGTAACGATCTCCATTCATGCAGTCATACTAATATCAAGACAGCTGGCTTCGGCGCACCTCCTGGCTTCCAGCCTCCTCCAGGACAAGGCAGAGGCTTCCCTCCACCAGGCTTCGGTGGTCGCTGATACTTTGTCGATGAGATTACCCGAACTTTCAATGAAACAAACCCAATTCTTGTTCGCCAAGAAGTACTCCAAGACGATGCAGATATCAGGAGTCAGAGCGCAAGAGCATAGCGGCGCTTGGAAACTGGCGCATATGGCGAGGCAGCCGGAACGTCTACGGGGCGTGGTCAAAACCAGCTTCACCGCCCTTAGGCAAGAGTATGAGGTGCGAAAGTCACGACCGTGTGTAGAAGAAGCATTTTCTGTTCAATTTTCAAACTTTTCAATTCATTTCCTCTCTACACTTTCGGTTTGTGAAATGACACCCGATCACGCTGATCTGCACGCCTTTTGAAGAGTCTCTAAGCTTTCCTCTTATCTTTCTCTATGCTTCTCGTATCCTCTGAATTACTTGAAGAACCCTTTCCTGCACCTCACCAAAATACATTCATGTAGCCAAGTCGTGGTGAACGCGAATGAGAGGTTATCATGGTATACAGAGCTTGCCATGTTTTCGTTCGATGCACGACACCAATCGATGCTTTTTCATTGCACTCGGAACAGTCACCGATTCGTGTGACTTTTCTTCTGCATCCCTCTGACCGCAATCGGACATGTGTGTGGACAGAGTGTTATGGACAAGTCACAGGTAGACATGGTTCATGGTAGATTTACAGTCAAGCTTTAACTTCGGATTTAATTTTTACGCATCACACCAACGATAGCATTGATTGACACAGATATAGCATGAGAAGATAGATGGAGATATCTGTATATCACAGCGAGTATGAGATGTCCATCAGAATGCAGCTGGAAGTCCTAGTGGTAGATGAATTGTGACGACAGGGTGCTCCTCCCAACCAGATGCCCCTGAAACGGTACCCAGGAGGCTCGAGGCAGGGTTCATGGAAGAACACAGCACACTCAACAAAGACTTTGGAAGAACAAGTTTCATATCTCATCTTGCATTCAAGACCCAAGCAGGCCAGCCACTAAAACGGTCCGCCATTACGTCCCCCTATCTCTTTTTCTTCGTCGCTGCAAAGTAAAAAAATCGCTTGATCGTACACAGGCAAAGACTGCCATTGCTCCTTTTTTGTCCACTTCTTGCTTTTCGACACCTCCCACCGCCCAGATCGCCGACCCCAGAGAACGCCTAGCAAAAGAAAAAGAAAAGCACAAAAAAACAACATTGAGGGGTATATCAACTCGTACATACAAAAATCGAAGGAAGGGGCAAAGGCAAAGAAGCAAAGAAGCAAGTGATGAAGAGAGCGAAACAGACGCCGTCGATCTCGGAGGAGTCCAAAACAAGGTCCAGCCCAGTTGAGTCACTCGTCTTGTGGAAAAAGGACCGCAATACCTGTCCACGAGTGTTAAGAAAAAGACGACGCCATGATGTCGATGCATCCAGCCTCTTCAAGGGTTGGATGTCGGTCCGCGGTAGAGTGGACTCGAGTTGAAACGCATCGGTGACAGGCCAGTCACATCAGAAGAGCTGCGGTTATTTTTCTTGACAGGAGTGATGAACGGTTCATCACTCTCACTGGATTGCGAAAACAGAGTATGCGAGGTTGCAGGGCGCTGGACTTCGGGAGTGAAAGTGTCGTTGGCAGGTGGAGCACTGCCCTCAGAGGATGAGATGGCACGCTCGTTGGCTGCCAGACTGTCCTGAATGAACTGAGGATAAGGGTGCTTCAGGTAGTCGTATTCCTTGACCAGGTAATCGTTTTCGGTGACACAGCCAGCCCAGCACAAGCGCCAGTTTCCGACGAGAGTGTAGAAAATACGGCCATCAAGCTTCAGAGATTGGTTGAAGCAACGATACAAGTTATCCAGAGTCATCTTGTTCTTGTGCTGATACTCGAGCAACAGGCTGAGATGGCAAGTGATGGCGAAAAGGAGATAGTAATTGAATGGTGGAAGATGCTGGAGCTCACGGCGTAGTACCTCAGGAACGAAGCCTTTGTCGGGTATTTCGGTAGGCAATTGAGAGGTGATGCGGTGTTGGGCGTCCTTGGGGAAGATGTCCTCGGGAAGCTCACGAATCCACTCCTTGAAGAGAGATGCGATAATGCTGGCATCGTACAGTTCCGATTCGTCCAGAAGATTAATGTCGAGTTCTGTGCACGAGTCAGCGCATATTCGATATGATTGAGAAGTTGAGATGCTTACCCGTGTCGAAGCGTCTCCTCCACTTTCTGACGTTGGCGACACCACCCGAGACTCTGTAGAGGCCCTCTTCTTCACATTTTCCGTTCAGATAACTGCAGAAGGTCAGCACATGACATGAACAGGAACCAGAAGACATACTCAATCGCGCGCCACGGCAGAGCGGGCATCCAGAACTCGGTCTTATCCTTGCAGTCGTCATACGATTGCGCGATACGCGTCAGGCGCGTCTGCTCAATCAAGGGCTTGTTGAGCACTTGTACGACATAGTCTCCATCGTCAGTAACATGGTGAGGTTTGCCGTGGTTGCTACCACCACGGGTAATCTTGCTCAGGAAGCCTTTGCTGGCCTTGGTGATACCGTCTGTTGCGCGTGATGAACTCTGGCGGAAGTCGAAGAAGGCCGATGAGTTGTTGTTCTTGTACATGTGACCCTCGCGGTCCTGGGCCTTGTCCTTCTTGACCTTTGCTTTGTTGCTCGAGTCGACATCGGCTCTGTCTTGCGAGCGGTCGCGCATGATTCCCATGAACTTGCGGCTGTTGTCAGGTAGAGGCTTTTGCATGGGCGGCATTTCGATAGCTGGCGTAGATTTGCTGTGTACACCGTGCTTGGACTGCTTAAGTACAGGCGACTTTGTTTTGGGTTTGCTGTCGGTCAGGTCGTTGAGCTGGTCTTCTGCACGCAGTGACTTCGATCTTCCTAGGACAGGCATGCGCTTTTTAGTGGGCTTGGGTTTTGTATTGTTCGAGTTGAGATTGGAGGCTGAAGTGGAAGAGACGACTGGAGAGGGATGTGAAGCAGCGGTGGTGAACGGGCGCTGGCTTTGATCTAGCGGAGGAATGGTCGGTACAGGAGCAGCTAGTAGACAGTACCGTCAGTGACGCATGTAACAGCAGGCACAATTCAGACTCACTCAAAGGGTTGTCGCTGTCTTTTGCACGAATAGACAAGGCTGGAGAGGAGCCCGTAGGTTGCCTGGAGGGGTAGATCCAGGTAGAGACTGAGCGAGAACGAGATTCGGGTGGTGGGTCAAAGTGAGAGACATGGTCGTCGTCGGTAATGCGGCCAGCAGAAAGAGAAGGACTGTGAGCGGATCGCGAGTTCTGGCGGTCGACATCTTCACGCGCGCGCGAGAGGTCGGGTGAGGCCGAAGGCAGCGAGGACAGGTCACTGCCCATAGTCAAGCCAAAGACATCGCGAGCGTCTAGAGAAGAAATGTCGATTCCGTGGAGCGAAATGGGACTGCTCATGTGTTTTGGGCGGGAGTCGGCCAGGGTCGAGGGAGATTTGTGAGCCATTGTCGCCTCGAGAGTGCTTGCGCAGACGGGCAGGCTGGGTAGAGGCGTGTCTCGGAGTGCTGCTACTGCTGCTGCGTGCCTGCGTGAACGGATTCACCCATCAACGTCTAGGGTGGGAGCGAACACGGTGGGCTTCCCTTTCTTGTTGCGGACGCTTTCAACAGGGGGGCTCGGCTGCACTGTCCCCGGTAGCGAGACGCGCCTTTGTCTAGCAATGCACGACTTATGCGCTTCGGCAATAATTGCTGCTGCTGCTACTACGGCGGGCACGAGAGAATAGAGAGAATAGAGAGAGGCAGATGGTCGGCGAGAATGGAGGGAAGGAGCGTGTTGTCTTGATTGATGAGGTGGCTCGATCAAGTGTGTCAGGCAAAGCTCGTGGGCTGTTGCACGACTCGAGAAGGTGCGCGTCCAGGGGTCTCAAATGTCGCCTGAGGAATGGAAAGTCCAACCAACCCCGCGCCTTCTTTGTCGACACCCGCTCCTTCCACCGCTGCTTCGTATCCACCCTGTCGATCCGCCTACCATCCACTGCCATGTCCCTCGTCGCCGGCCCCGGACGCGGAGGAGCCATCTCTGAACTGCCTTCCCAACTGCAACTCTACGCTCAGAAACACGTCGATTACATACAGTCTCTCGACACGGTCCGCCGCCATCGTGCCCCCGCCGCTCGCCCTGCTTACTGACGCTAGAAACAGCGGAAGCATGAACTCGAGTACTGGCTCACCGAACACCTGCGTATGAGCGGTATATACTGGGGCATCACTCCACTCTACCTGCTCAGCCAACCAGATGCCTTGCCCAGATCCGGTTTGCTGGACTTCGTCTTCTCCTGTCTACACGAGAACGGCGGCTTTGGTGCTGCGCCCGGCCACGATCCTCACATGCTCTACACCGTCAGTGCTGTCCAAGTACTCGCCACCTTGGATGCATTTGCAGACCTAGAGCAAAAGATACCTGGGGGCAAGCTTCGCATAGGTCGCTGTCAGTATATACCAACGAGCGAATGCTCAGTCACGTCGCTGACAAGCTATAGTCATCGCTAGTCTTCAGAAACCTGGTAACGGCACTTTCGCTGGTGACGAGTGGGGTGAGACCGACACTCGATTCCTTTACGGTGCGTTCAATGCCCTCTCCCTGCTCGGTCTGATACATCTGGTCGATGTCGACAAGGCTATAGAACACGTACAGTCTTGCGCAAACTTCGATGGTGGCTATGGAACGGGCCCAGGAGCAGAATCACATTCGGGTCAAGTCTTTACCTGCGTTGGGACTCTTGCCATCGCGAACCGTCTGGATCTTGTCGACATAGATAAGCTTGGCGGCTGGCTCAGCGAAAGACAGCTTCCCAATGGCGGCCTCAACGGTAGACCAGAGAAGCTTGAAGATGTGTGTTACAGCTGGTGGGTCGTGAGTAGTCTGGCAATGATCGACAGAATCCACTGGATCGATCAGACCAAGCTAGCAGAGTTCATTTTGAAATGTCAGGACCCAAACATGGGCGGCATCTCAGACAGAGCGGGTGACATGGTTGATGTGTTTCACACACATTTCGGTATCGCTGGTCTCAGTCTGCTGCAATACCCCGGACTGCAAAAGATTGATCCTATCTACTGTATGCCTAAAGACGTAACGGACCGAGTGCTCGGTCGGACAAGTAAGTAGCGCACCCCGAATACACGAACCAACGTCAACAGCCTCTGCTTCTCTGTCCACATCACGGACCGGTACAATTCGATGAATTTCGAGTAACCGTGAACGATTGGTCAAGGCGTTCATCAACGGGTCAGGGTCGCTCGAAGCTAATGTGAAACGGTCGGTATACTTGATAAGATTAGATTAGATCAGATCCTAGGTATTCGTACGTGTGCAGCAGACGCCTTGAACATTACACAAGCATTGACCCCTCGCAAGCAGAGACTAGAATAGTGCCCTCTAGTGAAGGTTGAAGGGTGTGATATTCATCGTGCTTGTAAAGTCAGAAGTGAAGTGGACTTCCGCAAAGTGCTTGACCGCTGGTCAAACGCGTTCCCGCAGCGAAGTCGCGTGCGCGTCACCCAGCCGGGAGCTCTCTCCATTCCTCCAATCTTTCTGTACAACCTCCCAACGGCCCACCTTATCTTCCCCCGGCCGCGATGCGTATCACCGTGTGGGTACTCAGGCCTCCTGAAGCGCCTGAAGGAGACATTGAGAAACTCGCTCTTGTTGTTAATCCGGATGACACCTTCCAACAGGTCTGGACTCGATTCCAGCAACGCTACAAAGAGAATTATAGCCGTGGACGCAGGAAGTGAGTAGAGACCAGACGTCTAACGTGATACCGCCGAGCTGATATATGTCGCCAGTGATTGCTACATCAAGAAGATACAGGACAGCACCGGAGCTGATATTGACATGCGCGATACCGTCCAAGACATACTCGGAGAGTTCCCACCCACCGAGCGGATCGTACACGTCCAACAATTGCTTCATGGCAGAGACGACACTGTACCATTCGACTCTTACCTCCACCCTCCGATAGTGGCTCCCACGGCCCAAGAACAAGAAAACATCAACCGGCGACGCACCGAACTCGATCGTTACGGCACTACTCTTGACAACCTCCATCCAGACCGTCCGGTCGAATCACACGAGCGTCCAGCCGAGAAGCGCCTCGACAAGGATGGATTCGCTATGCCAGCACTGCCTCCTCGCACCCGCGTCGCACGTAGCGACCAGGCCATCCCAAGCTCGCAGCTACTTTCACAAGACTCTTACGAAGACCACCTTGTCCAATCTCCGGAACTCGGGTCGCCCCAGAAAGTCTTTAAAGCTGTCCAGCGTCTGGCGACTCCTTCTAGGGCAGCCAACACGGCCTCCCAATATACCACCCTCGATGCGGTCCCGAGCGCCCAGAAACCGCCCACTGCATATGCACGCAACAGAAAGTCCTCCGCTGAAGTACCGGTAGACAGTGAACCCGCACTCGACTCGGCCGACCCCATCTCAGAGGATTCCCAGCCGCGCCTCAGCAGCTCCATCTCGCAGACACCGGCTCGTTCGTCGAAGAGCAACAAGAGAAAGAGCCTGGACAGCAGCGAGACTCGCGACATCAACGCGCGAAACCTTTCCAAACCTTGGACAGAGGACGAGAAGGATATGCTGATTGATGGCCTTGCCAAAGGACTCAACCCTGCGGAAATGAAGCCCAACTTCCCAAACAGAAGTGTCGATAGTATCAGGAAGAAGGCAGCTGCCATGACCAAGGATAACCCTTTGGTTGTTCAACAACGAAAAGCTAGTCTGGCAGCCACTTGGACCGAAGATGAAGATACATACTTTATCCGCGCAATACGCAGCAACCAGGCCTGGAAAACTCTACACGACCATCGTTTCCGCAACCGATCCGATGATAGCGTCAAACATCGCTATGTCGAGAACCGCAAGCGACTGGAAGAAGAAGACAAGACCAAACTTGCACGCAGCAACTACGAAAAACAGCTAAGGAACGGAAATCCCTCCACTGGACCGAACGAGAAGTTCACACCAGAAGAGGATGACTTCCTTCTTGCCTGTCGCATTGAGAACGTCGAGATGAAACGTGTCGCCCAAGAGTTCTTTCCTCTTCGCCTCCCGGAGCAAGTCACCAGTAGAGCCGGTAACTTGTTCCAGAATGCAAAACGAGCAGCGGCCAAAGCAACCCCTGTGAACCTTGGAAGATCTCCTTCTGTTGAGTTCCTGTTTGAGCACGACCCGGAAACTCGTGAGAGAATTGAACCGCAGCGGGATAAAGCTAGAGAGTTCAAGAAGAAGTCGGGTAATGTCAGAGCGAAAGAGGTGGAAGACATGTCGCATCGCAAGTCTATGCTCAACAGCGACAAAGAGCGCACAGAAGAACGGAGAGTAAAGGGAGAGAGACAACGGAGAGTTCTTGAAGCTTCTGAGGAAGCACAAAAACAAGGTGATCAAATCAAGCGGCGCCGCCTCAACGACGACATCAAGCGCAATGAGGACTACAACCAGCGATTCTCCGCCTGGAAAAAGCAAGCAGCGATCGACGAACGAGCCGGTCGTCCAGTGCAGCCATGTCCCGAACGTCCAATGGGAAGTAGCATTGGCACTGAAATTTTGATCACAACCCATACACCTCATCTAGCTTCTAGCACAAAGAGAACCGATGTTCTAAGCCCAGAATCCGGATCAAGTGCAACGTCGCTTTCGAGTCAAGGCACCAAGAAGCGAAGATCTTCAAACGTCGAAGTTCAAGTTGTCATTCCCTCTTACAAGAAACAAAAGACCGCAGCGGCTGCAGAAGCCACTCCTCGATTCAAGCAGTCCGACTCAAAGGCGTCTAGCGCCTCGAAGGTTCCAGCACTAGCAACGCCAGATCAAAAAGCTCCTCAAGTAATGGCACGATCTGCTATGGCAAAACTTGGACGTAGCCAAGTCGGCGCGGGCTCCAATCCTGCTCGTGACAGGCCCAGTGTCACCTTCGCCTCGTTCTCTGCCACGCAGCCCGTTGGGTCCAATGCGGTCAAGAGTCTTACGCAGGACAACAAACTACGTGAACTGACTTCGCCAGGCGTGTCCACGGCTAAGAGCTTGCGGCAATCAAAGCTAGCTTTCCTACGTGATGGCCAAAAACTATCAACATCTTCCGCGAAAAAGTCGACACCTGCTTCTGTGGGGAGATCATCGACTGTATCTGCCACTCCGCGTGCGCATATCGCCATCGACGACAGTATATTCATCTCTTCCGATGAAGAATCGTCATATGATGACAAGGACATCACAGACGAAGAGCTGAACGCTGTCGCTGAACGATCGGAAGCCATGTACAGTAGTAGTCCCGTGAAGAGCCCGCAGAGGAAGAATGTAGAGGCCAGCATGCAGCATCACCAAAGAAGCTTAGCCTCTCCTACTGCAAGCGATTTGAGGAGTAGTCCTCCTGTTGCTCCTACGCCGAGATCAAAGATTGGAGTTCTTCTCGGAACTGCGGCCCTCCAATCTGCCATGAAATCAGGGTCATCTTTCTCATCGGCCGTGCCTTCTGTTCCGATTACCAAGTTAAGCTCCAGTACACACAGAGAGCCTCGAAAGAAGTTGGATACACCTGTCGAACACAACGATCTGACCGCGACTCAAGGCGACGCACTGCCTCAATTCGAGATGAGCACAGCAGAAAACGCAGTCAGTGACCAAGAAGAAGAGGAAGAAGAAGAGGACAATTTCATGATGGAAGAGGACCAAATCCAGCATGCCACCCATTCCACTCCAGTGCTCCCTAGTTCAAGCCCAGAAGCTGGAGCTCAGGACAACATCAGGACGGCAATACCAGATCAAAATGCTGATGTTGACACATCACCTACCGGCGACGACTCTGGGCAGCTCGCAACCGAAAGACTTGGACCGATAATTCCCGTTGCGAGCAATCACAATACGTCGAATAACGAGAAAGAAAACTCACCACAAATGAACTCAGATACAGACGATGTTAAGAAGATTGACTGTTATCGAAGCGATTCTTCAGATGTCCAGCCAGAAGGAGACTGGCCTAGCGTGCCTTCCGATAGAGAGGCGGCATTACTGAAGCCTCCCACCAAACCTTTTCACCCTCCCATATCGACCACCGAGCGTGCACCGAACGCAGACGCCGCTGCCCCCCCTAGGAGTCAGTCTCAAATAATACCCGACAAAGCTTCCACGGCGTCGAAGGAAAATGGTATCGCAGAACAGGCAATGAGCATACTTACTTCTTCGCCTTCGAAAGCCGTGAAGGTGCCGTCAACTGCTTCACACCTACAGGAAACTTCACCTTTGTCACCCTTCAAATCGAAGGGTCTCTTTGAAGGACCTTCCACATACCCAGCGGCTCACTCCTCAAAGACCTCTCCAGAGCACGCATCAGGCAGCAAGAAAGCACGTAGATCACAAGGCCGCAGAAAGGGAAGCCGCATCCTAGACGATGCAGAGTCGTTCATGCCACCACAATTGAATCCACTCCCTGACCTCCTGAAGGGGGGAGGCTTGAGAAAGCAAATCAAGAAGCCGGTAGAGAACGGTCATGAGACCATAACAAAAGAACCGGTTGCAACAAATCTCTCGGAGCACGATAGCATTGCAGATCCGCCATCGATTGCTCGTACTACAGCCAATAGCAAACGGTCGGTAGGACGATCAAAAGGGAAGAGGCCATCTCTGAGCGTCGAAGAAAGCGTCAAGACCATGTTGGAGAAAGGTCAAGCCCTTGGGAACCACCCTCAGGCCCCGCCAGTCTCTCAGAAACGCAAGATTGACCAGCCGGCATCGACTCAACCTGTCAAGAAAGTCGCACCCAATTTCGTTGTCAAAAACTTCGCTTCCAGTCAGCCTGCCAACGATCCCAATGATGGCAGAGTCATCAATCCGCACGCCTTTGATTGGGATAACGCGCAGGATTCAGCGGAGCTCATACGTCAGGCGGATCAGAGAATGCGGGATGCTGCGAATATGGCTCCTGAAGATTTCTGGAAACAGTCAAACCTCAACAACGTGAACGAAGAGCAAATCCTGAGCCATATGATAGCACAAGGCGTCAAACGCTCGATGGAAAGACGCAAGCGCGAGAGAGGTAACGTGGCGGTTGTCGAGGAAGTGGACGACTTTGCCGCTATCATGCCTGCAACACAGCCAATCCAGAGGTCAGTCAGTGCCATTGGCCATACACCTAGACCCGCAACCCAGCCTGTAATGCGAGTCTCCCACCAGGACAGCGACGACGAGTCTTCGTCGAGCGAAGACGATGACAGCGAGGAAGAGACAACAGAGCAGAGTCTCGAGAATCTTGCAAAAAAGGCCGAGGCCGACCGCGAAGAGAGGAGAGGAGTTAATGCTTTGCCATACTGGTGACGAGGAGGATGAATGTGAATGCAGTAGTCGGGAAGGAGTTTATCGTCGTGGCAGCCGTAGCATCTCAGGACTGTCTGACACCATAGCACCTGCAGGTCGCTTCCAAGTATCACATAGAATGCATATCTATGAAGTCAATCCACATGTTTTAACTACAGAGCACAAGTGACGAATGCTGTCTGGGGATGTGTCGGGAGCCGTCAGACGTACAGCGGGAGGCTGCGGTCAGCAGTCATCAACGTCAGCCCTGGGTCACTACAGCACGCCTGATTTGCAATGGAGCTGCTGTTCTGTCCTCCCAAGCATTCGTATGCTCTGGAGATCATAAGCACGAGACCAACACCAACTGTATGGAGTGAGGATGCACAGATAGCCCGAATCCTATTTCCAAATACAGCTTCCGGGATTCTCAAAATTTGGTCCATGGTTCGGTACTCCGCCCTATCGATGCAAGCTGGACGATGGTTCCGTTAGCTGCAGGAGATTTCTGCACGGCCCGATCTGGAGATGTGATAAGATTTTGGGCGTATACTATTGAACAGCCACATGACTACTTCTCAGCTGGCAACCGTCACAGTAAGCGATGTTTCCTATACAGATTCATATATAATCGAGCAAAGAGACCTCCTCGTAGTTATTGAAAGACCTCGTCGGATCTGCGAGAAGGCAGCAGAAGATCACCAAGATTGGCCAATCAATACTCCGAAGCGGGGAGCCAACGCTGCAAAGAGTCTATTTTCGGACGCAACAGCGGGGACCGGCCTCGGCCAATCTTTTCAGCTTACCTGCGTGTGCTTCCAACACTCCATGTTTGTCGACTCGCGGACTCGTCCAATCTTTGTCAACCTAGTTGGTACTTGATTGCTTCGGCTGCCGGGATGTTGCAGTCTGTGAGAAGCTCGTGGATGTATTGGCGGGACAGCATCCCATACTCGCACCCGTGTCTTCCATTATCTTGCCGTGATGCCCAGTGTCACCTTGCTTCTCAGCCATGTCATACCTTTCTTTCCTCTCGGACATATAATATCGGTGGTCTCACAGGAATCCCCAAATCTGCGCTCGGAGATTGAACCAAACGGGTCTATGTCACATTCGAATAAGCTATCTAACTCACCAGGTGTCATCCTTTGTCAGCTTTACTATGGACCATCAATCATATTCCCGCTCTTCATGTCAGATCGATCATGAGTGTAGGAGGAGCGTGTCCATATTTTCTAGACGAGGAACAGACACTCCTGCTCCCACAACCTCATTGATCCGCGAAGCCATGGCAGACCTATACCCTGGAACAAAACAGACTGCATCCCCAACCAGCCCGAAGAAGAGCTCTTGGTTGAGCAAACTAAGACATCCATCGAGGAACCAAGAGGGTACGGTCTTGCATGCAGTACCGGCACGTAAGGCTGCACGTCTAATGTCTGCTTTGGATATCGCCATGGCTGTCTCTCCAAACGACGAGATCTTGCAAGCCATTGGAAGGAAGAGTCCGTTCAGCACAAGTCAATCTGCCTCCCCACTCAACAATTGCGTCATCGGGTCCGGTAGCCAGACACGGGGAGTATCTGATAGCAGGATTGGAATCTGGCGTGATGGAGTGGCTCTCTGGGACGTCGAATCAAGTCTTAAGCGAAAGGCAGAGTCGACATTCCAAATTCCGACTACCACACCATCAACGCCAAAGGCAGACAAGACAGGCCGACCACGACTGTCAGTACAAATTCCATGCAGCAAACTACGACAGATTCTGGGCGAGGAAGCACCGATACCACCTCAACCGTTGAAGTCCACTCGCGCCAACCATACTGCAATCACTTCTCGGCAATCTTCAGGATCGCAGACCACGAATTCAGACCAGATTTCCATTCACCCAGCTTTTCGTACTACAGGTCCCGTGGTGGGGAATTCTCGAAGCGAGGCCACATCCCTATCAAGTCGCGACAACAACAGATCTTCGGTCTCGAGCAACACGATCTCCCAAGATGATATCTTCGACATTGTCTCCTGTTATAGCAGACATTCGTCGACGACAAGCTTGGGATCAGACTCTCCGAACGTAGCTGTACCAAACTCGCATTGGAACTACCTGGACGTGCCCAAGCGGTCTGCAAGCGCCGCTTTCTCCATCACCGATCCAGTCAAGGCAGGCATCTTTGATGACGCAGCAGAACACAAGAGTGTCTCCTGCGATACTTCTAAATCTCAGTACCTCAGACCTGCTACTCACCCAAGCAATCGTGCTCCGAGTCCTACCTTTAGCGAGGCTGTTTTGGATTTGCAAACGCAGCTCAGCACGATTACCGAAGGGCTCTCGGCAACATCGCCTAACGAGGCCACTGCCCACCAGGCATTGAACTACCGTCACACTATCGACGACGTGTCCCGAGCACCGACCTTGCCTAAGAAGTCACGCAAGCGCCAGTGGATGCAATCCACTCTGGCACAAGTGGTGCCTGCGGCGATGACCACACCAGTTCGCCAGCAGTCAGTACCACACAGAAAGCTCAGAGAAAGCGACAGCCGTGGAGGAGACGTTCGTAGAGTCTCAAGCGCCCGATGCTCGTTGTCTGCCGATCTCGGATCAATGTGGCTGTCTTGGAATGCTTCGTCGGGAAAGAGATCACCAGCTTTGGCTTTTGAGCAAGAGGCAGTGTGCTCAAGGATCCTGGCCTTTTCAAAGTCCTTCGAAGATCTCAGGACGGTTTCGATGGTGAACAAGACCGTGAGGAAGTATTTTGAGGGCAACAAGCTACGATTGTTGAAGTCTGTGTTATTCAATGTCTCGCCGCCAGCCTGGGAGTTGAGAGAGCTTTCTCCTTTTCCATTCGGCAATTTCATGCCAACAGACTTCCTCGAGGACACTGAAATCTCTCCTTCAGCCTACGTCTCGTGCGTGCTGCATGATCGAGCGGTTGTCAACGAGCTCAAGGCAATCATTGTCACCAAGTGCCAGTCGTTGGTTCGTCCGGAGACCATCTCTAGTCTCATGACTGGAGGTTGCACAAGATTCGAAGATGCCATCTACCGTATCTGGTCTTTCTGCAAGATGTTTGGCTGCGATAGAGGACGGGAGAACGACAACAAGGGTCAGATTGACTGGCTCAAGGGCGGCATATTAGCACATCAAAAAGGCTGTGCTGCCACCCTGAGCTTCAGTCCGGACATCGAGATCGATGGTATCCTTCTCAACGCTCCAGAACATTTCGCGGGTGGAAACGGCGCTGGTCTGTCTGCCGAACAACTCTACGACATGTTAGAAATCTGGATATGTCTTTACGCTCTGATGCAACCTTACGAAGGTGAGACAGCAAAAGCACACAGCTGTGGTCTATTCCAGCCAATCGGTGAACATGTCGGAAATCCAGCGGTACAAAGCCGTGTGATCGAAGAGTGGATAGCCTACATTCTGTCTCTCGGACCATCGGTGGTTTTGGAGCTCGCAAGATTTGATGATGCGAATGCTGGTCTTGACTTTGCTCATCTGAACGATTGGACAGACTGGACACCTCCGCATTCTGGTATGACTCGTCAGAGATTCTTCCGAGAGCCTGTCTCCCAGGTTTACGAAGAAAGACTTCTTGCTTCCACGGCCGGCACACAGACGCAAGATGTCACCAGGACGTCACTCCGAAAGCGTCAAAACGAAGAGATGAATCTTGCTCATCGTCAAATGTCGCAAAGAAACCGAAAGACTGACGCCACACCATGCGCATTGAGTCGCCATGACAGTGCACTCGCTCCAGAGGTCCACAAGAGACCGTCTCCAAGAAGGACCTCGACACCCACATCTCCCAGATCCCCTTCACAGACCATGTCATGGTCACCAAGAAAAGTCAGCCCGATCATCGAAGACAGAGTCGACACATTCAACAGATTGAGCATGCTGAGTTTCGATGGACTGGCTGAGGATACGAGTGGACACGCCATCAACAAAATCATGGATATCGGTTTCTCAAATGCACAGGCAAAGGAGGCGTTGAGGATCACGGATATGGGTAGTGGGTTGAGAGTGGACCGGGCCGTGGATTGGCTGTTGAGACAGAATCGTTTCTAAGTTGTCTTCTTTTATGATGGTGTTGCGAAGGTTATCGAAAAGATGTTGCCTCAAATTGAAACCACGATTTACGATCACATACGAGGGCAGTCCGGAATATAAAGAGCCAAGACTGACGAGCAAACAAATACACACACCTTGACACACAGATCTCACGTCCGCTCTTTTCTTCGTGCGCAATTGACAAATTCACATCGAAACAATGAGTCCATCGATGGCGGCCTCGCCTGACTCTCCTGCCTCTCTTGCATCTTCCGATTCTGATTCGGATTGGGAGACTGATGATTCTGAACCTCGCCCTTCTGCACCACGCAACTCAAACGGACGCGGAAACACAACTATCCGACGTCGTCGACAGATCAGAGAAGTCTTATCACCTGCATTCGACATGTCTCCCTTTGGTGATGGCGCTCTGGGCGACTTCATGTATGGACTTGAGGCAAATGGCTTTGGTTCGATGCTCAGAGACGCTGGTATACCGCACATGGGTTCTGAGTATGGTGACTTTGGTACCTTTGACGATTCCGACAGTTCTGACTCCGAAGATTCTGACTCTGATGATTCTGATGAGTCTAGCGATTCTGACGACGAGGACGATCCTGGCGACTCTGACGATTCCGACAGCGAAGACGATGATTCTTCCTCTTCCTCTTCAGGCGACTCCTCTGATGATTCAGACTCCCAACAGAGGAAGAAACGTCGCGTTGAAGACGCCAGGGCCGACGATTCTTCTTCAGATGACTCTTCCGAGGAGGAAGCAGAGGACTGGGCCGTATGGGAGAGGAAGATAAAGGCAGAGCACCAAGCCAGGGCCGCCGCTGCTGCAACAAAGACTTCTTCTAATGGCCCCTCCAAACAGCCGACATCAGCACAACCTCCAGTCGAAGCTCAGAAAACCCAAGATGAGATAAATGCCTCCTCATCAACGGCCCAAGGCAACTTCCAAGACAACGACTCGAACTCAGCACAACCTCCAGACAAGATCCAGCAACGCGAGGATGATCCGGATACTGCCTCACCAACCGTGGAAGAGAAGTCCACCGAAGCTCGTAATCGCGGTAGTGATCTGTATCGCAAGCGCTTATTCGATGAGGCGACCAAGGCATACTTTGAAGCTCTGTCGCTTACTCCCAATGATCCTGCACCACTCTCCAACCTCTCAGCTGTACAATTCGAGCTAGGAGGCTACCCTGGATCCATAAAGTACGCCGAGAAGGCCCTTCAGTTGCTCAACAACGAAGCAGATTCCAACCCGAAGAAGCAGAAACTCTTCTCCAGACTTGCGAGGGCACAAGCACTTCAGCTACAGAACGCAGCACCTTTGGTATCCAAATTCGAGTCCTCCGATACGATCCGCAACAGTGCTATTCAAGCAGGAGTCACTTGGATGGGTGACGAGATCAAGCTTTCTCTAAGACCTTCCCCCGAACCGGAAAACTCGGCCAAGCCTACAGACGCAACATACCCAGCCTTTAAGGCCACTATCGCCTCAAAGAGGACCACTGCAGAATCATCCGCATCCAGAACACAGAAACCATCACCATCATCCATACCAGCGCACATCTCCAACGACATCGATCGCAAACTTATCAAGGAGTTCCAAATCACTGTTTCTCTTCTAGCATCCATCGTCACTACCAACGCAAAAGAACCAGGCTTGTCCAAATCCGAGAGAAGAGATCGTCGAGAATACGTCCGCGTCGTCAATGAACTCCGTCGTCGCGCAGACCCCACCTTCAAGCCTCCCATGCCTAGCGAATTCAGAACCTGGCCTCTTCTCGAGCTCCTTTGTGAAGTCAGAGGAGCTGAATTCATAGCGGTCCATGGAAACCTGTTGCCAAAGAACCTGTACTGCCAGAGACATATCTGTAGACTTGTTGCTGGTACGGTTCTTTCGCTGGACACGCCTAGCAAGAAGTCATTGGAGTACATGAAGGACTTTGACGAGCATATCCGAGCCAGAAGGATACTGTACAACTCCACAACCGCTCCGGAGGCACCCGTATCGGAGAAAGAAGCATTATCACCGGCATCGATGCCAGATCACATATCCAACGACGTCGACCGCAAACTAGTCAGGGAGTTCCAAACCACCCTCTCCCGTTTTGCCGACGCCGCCGCCAAAGATGCGAACGACGAGCATCCATATATGCCCAAGTCGATCAGAAAAGCCCGTCGAGAATACGTCCGTGTCGTCGATGAGCTTCGTCAACGTACAGATCCTAGCTTTGCACCATTCAAACCAACCAAGTTCGAGAAGTTGTCAGATGGAGATCTCATCAACGAAGTCAGAGAAGCAGAAATGATGGTCATCATGGCTCCGCTGTTACCCAAGAATAAACAATGCCAGCTACATATCTGCAAGCTTGTCTCTGGCGAGATGCCTTCGTTGGAGGTGCCGAGCAGTGAGTCTCTGAACTTTGTGGAGGAGTTTGACAAGCACATTGAGACGAGGAAGAGATATGACGCGTGGAAAGAGAAGGAGGTCAAGGAGCCCAAATCGGAAGGACAGATGAACCCAGATTGTGCTCCACAGTAGGTAAGCATACTTCTGAGATGATTAGCAGGCTCAGTTTTGCCGACAGCATCAAGTCATGGTAGTGATGAAGGGCTTTGGGATATGGAGTTACAGGATGAATTTTATGCACAGGAGCGAGAAAAGCTCCACATGGTATACATAATGCATGAATTGATCGATTGCTGCTACACTATCTATGGAATGTAGTTATGCCCTGACTACACACATTCGCGTATCGGTGTCATCGATCTCAGTATGCTCCTGGCAGGTGAAGCAATTCCGAATTGGTTGAAAGCAAAAGAGGTGAACGAGCCCTTAACAATCGCGCGTTTAACAAAGGAAACTTTTTTTCTGCTTTCGTTCATGGTTGAAAGGCTGGATGACTGTATGTGCGGGTTAGTTATCAAATTACAGATACTGGGCTGTTCCACTTACTGCTTGGACAAAGGTAAGGGAGAGAACAGCATGAAGGTGGTCAAGTGCATATGTTCCTATCTGAGCGACTTGGGCCGAAAGACCAATGACACTTCGAACTTGTCCTTGAGATAGTCGTGGGCGGATTGCGTTGAGGGGACGTGTACTTGGCTATTTGGTAGTTGTGGTGGGTTTTTCCTTCAAGGAGCTTCCGTCACGACGTCCGAGAAGCGCTCGGAATCAGGTGGGTTGGTAGCACGCCAGCTGTCGTAAAGACTCATACGGTGGAGATGGGCTCTGAACTCCTTTTTGAGCTCGGATGGCATAGCACAGTGCTTGTCAGCTGAAGAACGATTCTCCAAGGGATATGTTCTGTTGACGATCTTGATGATGTGTTTGATGCAGGCCGTGGATGGAAGCAAAGGGGTGCCCACGACCTCTTCGTCGACAGCTCGAACTCTATCGATCAGGTCCGTGATGGAGAGGCGATGAACACCAAGGTCCTTGTTGTGGTCTGGCCATGCATGCTCAATGCGTCTGCGTAATTCATCCAGGCAATGTTCATCCCTCTCCATGCCCTTACGGATTTTGCGTACCTGATTGACCTTGGCTTCGTCGTCGGGTTGAGCATGAGGGTCATCGAATGAGCAGAGTTCTTTCTGAGGCCATGGTCGACGAGCCACGGACTCCGAGGTTCGCATCAACAAAGAGAGAAGTCCCTCCACATACTTACGCTCTTTTGTGCTGAAAGGTACTTTGGCGAGTGGTCTGTTCATCAACTCCAATTGCTTCTTCTTCGGGTCGCCGAACGGGTGCTGGTTGATTACACGTTGGAATTCAGGACGCCACACATCATCCAACAGAGTCAGTGCCCAGTCGTTGAAGGTATTTCGCTCCTCCTTGCTGTCATCGCTCATCTTCCACGCCAGATTGCGTAGATGCTTGAATTTCTTGTCTCCAGGCAACTTCTTGATCAGCTTCAGTATTTTTGCTTTGGTCTTCTTTTTCTTGACAGGCTCTTCTTCAGGATACAATTGGTCCAGAAGGGCTTGCATTGGCTCATCTACACCGAACAAGTGGACGTAGCGAGCGAAAGCACCAGGTTCCAAGATCTTCAAGGCGGATCGCAGATGTTGGAGTCTCATCTTGGCAGACGAGCGATATCTGTATCGTGCATCATCCGCAATGCGAGTAAGGTATTTTTTCGAGTGTTCAGAGATGCGGCTGGGCCTTGTTTTATGCTTGTTACCCAGGTAGCGATGAACCCTGTAGAAACGGCCTGATTTGTGGATGTGTGACTTGGGCTTCGTCTGAGACGCGGACATGTTTCTTCGAGACATGCTGGTGATGCCGATGAGAAGTGGTTGAAGTGCAAAGGTTGGTGATGGTTGGGTGCAAAAGTGAAGACTCAAAGAGAAAGAAGTGCTGATCCTACTGATGTTTTGATTGCGCCTTCCGTCGGCGCCTGGAAGTCTTGTTGTTGTGACGGTGCGCCGCGCGAGTGTTATCTTGTGTGGTGAGCTTGGTCAAACCACTGAGAGAATGCACAAAGTCTTCCAAACAGCAAGACTGGCAACCGGGGAGGATCTGCCTTTGCAAATATATATCACGACAACTTATCCATACATCAATCTTGAGCCTTCATCATCCTAATACCGTGGCAGCTCAACCACTTTTTCATCTGGAGTCGTCACGAAGGTACATGGATGGAAGACCAATGCTCACACTACGAGATGGATCCGTCAGAGTCCTCACGGGTCAACCGGAGACACCTAATCAGCTCCAATGTAAACTCCATCGATCTCATCAACAAGTGTTCCCCCCAAGATAGGTATCGAAAGGACGCGCATGTGTGAGTCACTTGGTAGAAGTCGAAACATGAAGAGAACAGGTGGTAGATGTTCACTGGCCGTTGTCCAGATGAGGATGCGATCCGTTGCACAAGAGGCCGAGTCGCCAAGTTCGAATGACGCGCACGATTTAGGACACGTAGGAGGGGGACAACTTCAACCACCTGTCTTTATCGGTTTAGCCGTGTATAAGAAGAGAGAGAATCACAAGCAAAAAGACAGAAGTGATTGACTTTGAATTGTCAAAGCGCTCCGGCCCCTCTCCATACCCCGCAACGTGTTCAGGACCCTCTTTGGATCTCGAGTCGAGAGTCGAAAAGCTGAAGGAGCTTTACCCCTGAATCGCAAACAAAACCCAGAGCTGCATCTTCGCTCGTTGTCCTCTCAGTTCATCTCGCATACACCTCATACACAATGGCAGCCGTAGCAGCATCAGTCATCCCGGCGCTCGACCAGCGTCCGGTCAAGAACACCATCTGCCTGTTTGACGTCGATGGCACCCTCACCCCTGCCCGTAGAGTGTGTACTCAGCATTGAAGCATATGCAAACAGAGAGACTGACATGTATACAGACCGTCTCGCCCGAGATGCTCACTCTCCTGTCGCAGCTCCGTCACAAGGTCGCCATTGGCTTCGTCGGTGGTAGCGATCTCGTCAAGCAGCAAGAACAGCTCGGCACTGCTTCCGTCCCCGTCACCAGCCTCTTCGACTTCTGCTTCGCCGAGAACGGTCTGACCGCATACCGCATGGGCGTCCCCCTCGCCTCGGCATCCTTCATCAAGTGGATTGGCGAGGAGCCCTACCAGAAGCTCGTCAAGTTCATCCTGCACTACATTGCCGACCTCGAGATCCCCAAGAAGCGCGGTACCTTCATCGAGTTCCGCAATGGCATGATCAACGTCAGCCCCATTGGCCGTAACGCCAGCATCGAGGAGCGCAACGAGTACGAGAAGTACGATCTCGAGCACGGAATTCGCAAGAAGTTCGTCGCCGACATCAACGCTGCTTTCCCCGACCTTGGCTTGACGTGAGTCTTCTCCTGTCATCCTGTATTAGGCGACTAAAGCTAACGACATCTGTAGCTACTCGATCGGTGGACAGATCTCATTCGACGTCTTCCCAAGAGGCTGGGACAAGACATACTGCCTGCAGCACGTCGAGGCCGAGAAGCAGCTCGGAACCGAGTACACCACTATCCACTTCTTTGGCGACAAGACATACAAGGGTGGTAACGACTACGAGATCTACGAGGACCCCCGTACTATCGGCCACAGCGTCAAGACCCCCGAGGACACTGCTGCTGAGCTCAAGAAGCTGTTTGACCTTTGAGAAACCCCACACATGATTCGAAGAGCTCGATTGTGATGGTTGAAGAGAAGGCACAGACACGGTTACAAGGAGCTGGAAAGGGTATACCACAAAAGATACTGGAGCATGGAGTAGTTCGGGTGATGGGCAGAAACATTGATGCCATCAGGATACCAATCAGAATTTCGTTGAACCATTTTCGCTTGGATTTGACGTGCAACAGTCCAATGTTGACTTGACTTGAGTTGATGCGGCGAGGACCCTTGGACTTTGATGCTTCGGAGGTGAATGTGATTTCCCCGCGTTCTGGCGCGCCAAGGCCGAGCGCGATGCAAGTGCTTTGGCGTCTTTCTGGAATTTGCGGCGACAAAATATTCTAAAGATCGCTCTTTCCCTTTATATAGTTCGCTCCATCCAACCGCAAACATGCCTTCAACACATAACGTAGACAAGCCCTGGGACACAGACGACATTGACAAGTGGAAGGTATGCTTTGCGCTCTGCCCTCTCATCTTTCCATGAAGAGAACACCAAAAGCTGACTTTCTTCCGTCTACAGATCGACGACTTCAAGCCCGAAGACAACCTGGGCGGCACCTTCAGCGAAGAATCCTCCTTTTCCGTTCTCTTCCCCAAATACCGCGAAACCTACCTCAAGGCATCATGGCCCCTCATCACCCGCTCCCTGGAAAAGATAGGCGTGGCCTGCACTCTGGATCTGGTCGAGGGCAGCATGACGGTCAAGACGACGCGAAAGACCTACGATCCCGCCGCCGTACTCAAAGCCCGCGACCTCATCAAGCTGCTCTCTCGTAGCGTCCCCGCACCCCAAGCCGTCAAGATCCTCGAAGACGACATGGCCTGCGACGTCATCAAAATCAGAGGTCTGGTACGCAACAAAGAGCGCTTCGTAAAGCGCAGACAACGCATCCTGGGTCCCAACGGCAGCACCCTCAAAGCCCTCGAACTCCTCACATCCTGCTACATTCTGGTCCAAGGAAACACAGTCTCTTGCATGGGCGGCTACAAAGGCCTCAAAGAAGTCCGCCGCGTCATCATGGACTGCATGAACAACATCCACCCAATCTACCACATCAAAGAACTCATGATCAAGCGCGAGCTAGCCAAAGACCCGGAACTCGCAAACGAAAACTGGGATCGCTTCCTCCCTCACTTCAAGAAGAGAAACTTGTCAAAGAGACGTGTTCCTCATGTCGTCACAGACAAGACGAAGAAGACATACACGCCATTCCCTCCCGCCCAAGAAAAATCAAAGGTGGATCTGCAAATCGAGAGTGGAGAGTACTTTTTGTCAAAGCAGGCAAAGGAGAGACAAGAAAAGCAAGCGAGAGAGGACGCCATGCGCGAAAAGATGGATCAAAAACGTTTGGCCAGGCAAGCAGATTACATTGCTCCCGACGAGCCTGGCGAGGAAGAAGCCGTCGCCAAGAAGGAGAAGAAGGAGAAAAAGGAGAAAAAGGAAAAGAAGAGGAAGCACAGGGACGAGGATGCACAAGACGAGGAAGAAGTGGTTTCGGAAAAGAAGAAGAAAAAGTCAAAGAAGCACAAGGAGGAGGTTGCCGAGGAGAGCGACTGATTTCTCGCTGCTTGTTGGCGTTATCATCCTTCCGTTCTGTCTCACAATATCCACCTCCTAGCATAGTATTTTTTTTGGGGGAGTTTACTGCTGCGTTCAGCGTTGGGGGCCTTTGTGTCTACCAAAAATCGTATTCTTGTTCCTCTCTGAGTGCTCAACACTTTGATTTGTTCACGCTTTCTGCATCAGCTCGAGCTCAAGTATGAAGATCACATCATGTTCGTAAACTGATCTCATTTCAGTATTGCAGCTAAGACCCCACCCTAGCAAACCATGTGTATGTTCTACGTGACTTTTTGACCAAAGATTCCCTTGTACTTAGTCTTGCATATGTCCCGGCAATCTTATGTCTCTCTAGATGGTTCTCGAGTTCTCAATCTTGGTGACAAGAATGTCGGTGGCGCCAATGGCAGTCAGCTCGTCCATGGCGTTGGAAACGTTCTTGCGCAAGACCATGGCTGAAACAGCGACCCAGCCACTCTCTTCCAGGCTGTTGACGGTGGGCGCTCTCTTGCCAGGAGTGATCTTGGCAGCTTGCTCGAGGTTACTGCGCTGGACGTTGTATGTGCAAAGAACGTATTTTTGAGCGGCTGTGGAGCAAAATGTTAGCATACCCATACTTCTCTGAGCGGAACAGGATAGTATCCAACGTACTGATGACACCACGGATTCTGGTTGCGATCAGATTGACAAGCTCGGGGTTGGTGGGGTTCTTGGAGCGGATCAAAATGGCGGTGGTCTCGAGGACAGTCGAGATGGCCTTGAGGCCTGCTGCGCGCATCGTTTCGCCAGACTCGACAAGATCGACAATGCCGTCTGCAACACCCAGGGCGCAAGCAGCCTCTACACTGCCACCAACGTACTTGATGTGGGTGTCGAGCTTCTCTCCTGCCTTCTTGCCCTCGAGTTCTCTGAAGTAGACCTCTGCGAGGTTGGTGAAGCTGGTGCAAATGTTCTTTCCTACCAATGACTTTGCGTCTGCGAACTCTCCTTGCTCGGGAACCTGGATCTGAAGCTTGCAGCGACCAAAGTCGAGGTCGAGAACCTCTTCAACACCAGTGGACTCAGTTGGGGGTTCGGTAACCTCATACTCTGCGACTTGATCGCGACCGGTGATACCGAGATCGCAACGACCCTCAGAGACGAAGGTAGGGATATCGGAGGCGGGCAGGAAGACGAGAGCGATGGGGAAGTTCTTGACAAGAGCAATGTCGAGACGCGAGTGTCTGTGGAACTGGATGTCGGAACCGTGGAGAAGCTCAATACATGCTTGGTGAAGACGTCCCTCTGTGGTGAGAGTTAGACTCGTGTTCTGCGAGGTATGGAGGGGCAGTGAGGGGTCAATTACTCTTTGGAACGGCAAACAAGAGACGGTCGGTGAGGCTGAGAAAGTCGCGTCAGGACGAGATTGGGAAGGATGGAACAGTCGCATTGACATACTGGTTGACGAGATCCATGGCGAGCGAGAGACTTGGGTGATGGGACAAGTTCTACAGAGAGGAAGTGGTAGCTTTGGGAGGAAAGGCGCAATTAGAGACTCTTGATATTATGACTGATGGGAAACGGAAAGCACTATCTTTACACGTGGGGCAGGCAGTCGCGGTCGGCTCTTCAAACACATTCTCTTGTTTCCCGTCTCGCTATTACAGGTTTACTCTGAGGGCATCAAGAATTGGAACTCAGGTCGCCGACTATTATACTTGAGTCTACAGTAGTATATGATTGCTAATTGATCAGACAATCACATGTGATTCAGAATCGTTCGTAGACACGCCAACCAAATTTTGCTTGATCAGCGATGACGGAGAGCAGGTTGCGGCGAGCGGCTCTCGGGAGTCTTGGCAGGCCAGCGCCGACGTGCATCGTCACTCCAAGCTCTCCGCTGTGAGAGGCAGCATACAGCTACCTCTAGCTTGACTAAACATCAACCACGCCCTCATCTCATCGCATCATCAACCATGGCATCCTCAGTGACAGTCGCCATTCCAAACGGCCAGCCTGGCTACTCCTTCTCGCAAGCTCCCCAAGTCACCGTCAACTCAGGGCCTCGTCAACATGCTGGCTTCTACCCGTATGCATCTCATCGCATCCTCGCCATCTAGCCATGCTCTAACCCATATCGCAGATACACCGATAACGGTGGTAGCACGCTCGGAATCTCTGGCGCCGACTTCACCATCATGGCAGGCGACACCCGCCACACCTCGGGCTACAACATCAACACCCGCTACGCCCCCAAGCTCTTCCGCATCGGCGGCGAGGGTCCCGAAAAGACCGGCGCCCGCATAGTTCTCTCCGTCGTTGGTTTCGCCGCCGACGGCAACGCCCTAGCCGAGCAACTCGATACCATCGTCAAGATGTACCACTACCGCCACAACAAGCCCATGACCGTTTCAGCTTGCGCCCAGCGTCTCTCCCACATCCTCTACAACAAGCGTTTCTTCCCTTACTACGTCCACGCTATTCTTGCTGGTCTCGATGAGGAAGGCAAGGGTGCTCTGTACTCTTACGATCCTGTGGGCAGTTACGAGAGAGAGCAGTGCCGTGCTGCTGGTGCTGCCTCGAGTTTGATCATGCCCTTCCTCGACAACCAGGTCAACTTCAGGAACCAGTACATTCCCGGCTCAGGAGAGGGTCACGCCCTGCAAGCCCGTGTTCCCGAGCCTCTGCCTCAAAAGGATGTCGAGGAGATTGTCATGGACGCCTTCACCAGTGCCGTTGAGAGACACATCGAGGTCGGTGACGGTCTGCAGATGATGATCATCACAAAGACCGGCATCGAAGAGAGATATGTGCCACTCAAGCAAGATTAGAGAATTGATTTCTTGCGCTTTTACATGTGTTCACGACGAAGGATATCTGTCCCACCCTTCGATGGGTATGGGAAGAACAGATGGTTGTATTTTAATCATATCAGGCACGGCTTTTGATGCATGGCGCGCGGCGTTGGCTTACAAGATGGAAGGGATCATGGAGAATCAAAAAGATCATTCCACCAACCAAGAACTTTGAAATGCTGGCAGTGCAACTGCGAAACTCGTCTACAACTTCGACCAAGCTTTGTACATGTGATCGATTTCTCGTTCGAATGTTGACAAAGTTGCTTTGCGATCCACGCTCCCCTTGGCCGTTGGTATCATCTTCTTCTCAGCTCCGACTACAATCACCAGTTCCCGCTGCAACCTGGCAGACTCATGGTGTTTCTCATTCTCAGCTTCAACAGTCGGCCAGATCTCATCCACAAACTCTGCTTGCTGCTCCTTGATCGTGATTGTCTCAGCAGGTTCGACCAGCAAAAACGGTCTGCTGCGATACTGACCGCCCACCAACGCAGTCTTCACCGCCGGATGAGCAGAGACCGCTTCCTCAATCGCACCAGCATACATCTTTACCTCTCCACTGAGCAACACCAAATCATCTTTTCTGCATCTATACCTCCACAGCCCCTTCTTCTCTGGATGCGGCGAAAACAAATCTTTAGTCCTGAATTCTGTGATTGTCTCTCCCTTTTCGAATCCAAAGTGCTTTGCTAGATGTGCTGGCGTGCTATCCACACATCTGAAGAAATTCGTGTAGGCTTCTGAGTGTGGTGTACGCTGTATAACCAGTTCGTAAAGATCGGCAGAGGTGTGTTGGAACGAGGTGGACATGAAGGGGTGGAAGAGGAAGTAACCGTGGTCCGAGGGTGAAGGTGCTGGGCCTGTGAGCCAGAGTCCGCCTTCTGTGCTACCTAGTGCTGAGGTCACGGTGCCAGAAAATTCATCGCTGACGATATTCGTTGCCCAGGCAGATAGTGGAGAGCCACCGTAGACTATCTTCTTGAGTTTCTGGAGTTCTTTGCGGGATACAGAGTCGGCGAGAAGTTCCTCCAACAAGTTTGGCGGGAAGGATGCTGCGCTGACAGGTGCATTACGCAACACTGCCAGAACAGTCTTCTTGTCAGGTCGAACTCCCGAGGGTCCGAGAATGATGATTGTGTTGAGATACACAGGCGTCAAGAGACTGGCTGTCATGCCCGAAGTGTGAAAAACAGGTAGTGCACAATAGATACTTTGACCTCCCACTTGCGTTGCTGCGCTACCTGGCAGAGTATGTAGTCTGTCGACTGATGCCAGCATATCGTGAGTCCAGATCACAGGTTTTGGCATTCCGGTTGTTCCTGATGTGTGTACAACCATGACCGGATCTGCATATGCTTTTGAGTAGGACTTGGAGTACTCGTATCGCTCGCTTCTCTTCGCAGTCTTGGATCCTTCCAGAAAGTTGCCCAGAGATGTTGTGCTGATGTACTTTGCACTCGGAAATCTTTCTTCCAGCGATTGTGCTAATGCAGTTGTCTCGGAGGCATATATCACAGCTGTACACTCCAACGCCTCCAGAAGAAACAGATGTGCGTCAGACGATGCAAGATGAGAAGCCAACAGCACTTTCCTACCCACCTTCGCCGCTGCAACGACCACAACGCAATATCCAAGATCCCTAGGTCCCAAGTACGCGAAAGTTGGGAACGTGCCATCGGCTTTTCCGAGGGTTTCGTCTAGCCAGAAAGATAGAGAGTCTATTGCTCGTGCAAACTCTACGTATGTGATGGGTTGGAAACCTTGAGATAAGTCTGTGTCGTCGATTGGGATAGATGCATAGACGCGAGTTGGTGTAGCAATGGCGATCTCGTCGATGAGAGTCGGAAGCAGTCTTGTGCCATATTCAGGAGTTTCTCTCGTCATACCGATAGCAGTCTCGACCGTGATCGATGAAGGAGATAGAGTTGGTGGCAAAGGTGTGTATTGAGGAAGTTGAGACAAGGTACTCATTCAGACGTTATGCAAGCTTTTCCACTATGTGACAAGAGCAATAGAGAAATTGGAAACAGAAAGCGGCGACAGACGATAAATATCACACTGACCCACACGGCATGACCACGGCTCACTCCTTCAACAGAACGACAGCTGAACATCACTCACCATAGCAAACCTTACTCTACGTACGAAAGGAACAGCCTCGTCTCGGGCGTATTTACGCGATTACCAACCATTGCAGTGATACGAGGTGTTCGGTGGGTACTCCGATAAAACGAATGCGAACGGTTTCGCGAAATGATAACGAATCGGTATCGTTATACAAGGCGGCTTAAGGTAGCCGTGGACGTCGTTGTCCCGAGAGTTGTCGTCGGTCGGGGAATGCTTCTTCATTGGGGCTTAGAGGCTTGGCTTTTGAAATGCACCTCATATGGACTTGTCACACACCGCTCTGGAAGGATTTTACCTTTCAAAATCTGTATGTTTTGTGTATATTGTATAGTGACATGCTTCTGAAGGATGCAGACCCACTGACGGATGTGAGTGATGAGTTCTGACGAGTGCTACCGTATCATGCGGAGTGGATACCTCTTTCCTACTCCTATTCGCAGTGTTGCACTTGAACCGCTGATGCGCTGGCCTATCTGAGTTTGGGGCTCTTGCTACATTCATCTGGGGACTCTCGACAGCAATGTGCGGATGCAGTCGGGTCTCATTCTCCCAAACTACGTGAGCTCGAAGACACCTGATTTAGTACTATCGTTACTGCAAACCGGATCCGCACCATAGCCAGAGCTAGGACAGTTCATCAAGATATCATACGCGAATTAGAAGTTGTAATCTTCGTAGACCACTTCCTGGCCGCTCAACCATTCCAGGATAATGCTTCTCTGCTTCGTGCCCGTGCAGACATACCATCTCTCAATCTTCAGTGACAGTCCGTCAAGGTCAGATCTATCCATACGACGCGGCACAATCTGTACACCGGAACTCTTTAGTGTGTCCATGGCTGCGTCCTGCTCTTTGTTTCCGGAAGAGATGCCAGTGACGAACAGAGTGAGACTCAAAGCCAGATCTTGTGTTTCCTCGACCATATCCACAGCAACGTTAAGATCGGCTGCTCGCAAGGTCCAGAACAGTCGAAGATTCTTCAGCTTGATTGCCGGCAGACAGGGCATCAAAGGTGTTATACCTACTCCGGCAGCAATGAACGCAACAGCTGAGTCTTCTCCAGTCTGCTCAACCACAAACGATCCTCCAAAGCCTTTGATTCCGACTTCAAGTTCAGACCCTTTTGCTGTGGGACCCAATCCGTGTTTGAACAGGAAGTCGGTCACTACACCAACCTTGCGAATTGTGATCTCAAACTCATCATCAGCAAGACGCTTGCTCGGGTGTGGTGGCATACCAGGAGGTGAGGACACGGTGAATGTGCGAACAAAATCATCGTTTAGGCTACGCGGGTCGTCATCTCGCATGTGCGAATACCCAATATCCATGTGTTCCGAAAAGTCGATTGTGACATACTGGCCCGCGGTATAGGAAGTTGCATTCGACAACGCGAATTTGAAGCGCGAAATGGTCGGTGTGAGCGATGTCTGGGCAAGCAGCTTCGCGGTAACTTGGTTCGAATTCTGGGCTGTTGTCCGTCCACTTGCTTGCTCGGTGGCAAGATACCGCACGACGGGATTATATGGTGAGTACTCGCCAGTATTGCCTCTGAATGGGAGTACTGATGCAACCAGACGAGCTGCTGTGATGGTGACGCGCACTGCCAGGTTTGAGCGAGGCATGACTTCCGCTGCTTCCTTCCCGAACAGGACCCCTGTGGTACCGGTCACATAGAGACAGTCACCAGTCTCGAAGTCTGGGAAGCAGAAACCAGCTTTAGGTTCTAGCATCAAGTTTCCCAGACTTTGGTATAGACGGTTGCCAGAGTACTCTGGGTATACGAATCGTGTGTAGCCATCTTCTCCTGAAAGACAGCGTACGAAGCCTGGTGGACCACCCCGGTGGTTTGTGTCCATGCTAGATCCGCTGCTTGTGCTAAGGAACATCAGATCCACTTTGTGAACAAGTTCGACTGCCCGTTCGCCTAAAGGGACAGAGTCCGAGATGAGTTTCGGGTCTGTAGTCGCTGGTGATACCTCGCGTCTGTTCAGATACTTCGGACAGTTGCCTTTGTCTGTATCAGTTCATTGTCTCTAAGGATGTTGAGATGAACACACCCAAGGTTTCGTCGATACGTGCAACGATTTGCAACACGCCTTGCCGTGAATCGTCCTTTGCCGTATCATCTTCGTGGACACTACCAAGAGTACCTGCGACCATTCTTCCGGCGAGCTTGACCCTCTTTCTGGTGTCCAGGTCAATGGCCAGTCCGCTGAGTAATCTACCTTCTCCCTCTTCCTTCACAATCTCGCCCTCCACGCCTTGACCTACCAAAGCTTCTACCACTGGGTCTAGCTTCAATGCGACAAAAGTCCGGATGCCAATCGTGCTGTTTCCCAACGGTCGAGAGAATCCGGTACGACCTCCCCATACGGTCGTCCAAGGCCGTCCTTCGGAGTCTAGAGTGCCGAATGCCAATAATGGTGCGCGTTGTAGCATGTTAGAAGCTTGAGGCGATAGCATCGGTATGGTGGGATTATCCATCTCGGGCACATGTAGCTTCCTCTGCATCAACTTCTCGCCTTGGTGAAAGTCGAGTGCTTGGTAGAACGTCATGTTTCGTTCGAATTTGTTCGATTAGTGCGTGGCAACTTGTGGTGCTGATACGCGTTGCTTTGATGGGAGAACACTCCGTAGACGTGCTGGTATAGCTGCTGCTTACGAGATCAAGCATTGGAGAGAAGAAATGCCGAGGGTACTAGAGGTCTGACGCCCCCGCCTTGCGCCATCTCCAAACCTTGCTCATACGGAAGGGCTCACACACGTCTCTTGAGGCGAAATAACTCTGAACGTATTTTGTTCTGTCAGTGTGAAAGGAAGGAAGTTGCAACGCGAAAGTCGTCGCATGTAAGTTGATTAGTGACGTGCATAACTTTGTGCATTGACGTCATTAAAGTATGACCAGGGTGCTACCACAAGCACTGGTTTTCGACGGCAAGAAGCATGTAGCATGCCAACAGCAATCGAATTGACAGTACTATGTATATCTGAGCAAAGTTTGAAGCTTTTAGAGGCGACTAGGTGTAACGGTGACTAGAGTCTTCAGACAAGTGGAATTAGATCCATCCTGGCATTGAACAACAGATACTGTGTCATGGTAGTGATCATTGACCCATGCAACAATGCCGGCTTCTTGTGTATCCATAGTAGGATTGAAAGTCATGTCGACGCTGAAGGTGTAGAAAAGTCCGTCTTGCTTTCTCAGGACCAGAGCCATACCGTCTAGCGCGTCCAATGTAGCCGTGGTACCTCGAAGGCTCAGCGTGTTATTCTCAACGCGCCACCAAGGTCTGGATGGTGTGCCTCTGAACTCCCAGCCGAGTTTCAGGGAAGATCCCGAGAAGTCGTCGCGTAGCGTGTGGCTAGCATTGGACTTTGCAGGCAGATTTGGGTCTTCCATCTCAAATGTAACCAGGTTGCCGTTGTTTGCCAAAGGCCAGCCGTCCTCGTTCCAGGTGACAGAGCTCAAGAATGTTTCACGACCAAGTTGGTATGTACCGTTGATGTTTTGAGGTAGCTGCGGACGCACCGCGAGGAAGACGGAATACCATTTACCATCGGGACGCTGGAAGATATCCGCATGACCAGTCTGCTGGATAGGAGCCGAGGGATCGCGACTGTTGAAGAGCATAGGACCAAGAGGACTCGCTTCCCATGGTCCTGAAGGCGATGGTCCACGGTGGATAGTTTGACGACGCAACACTTCTGTGCCGCCTTCGGCTACCGAGAGATAGTAGGTTCCGTTGATGAGATAGACATGAGGACCTTCGGCCCATCGGATGTTTTCAGGCAACGAAGAACGGTAGATCATCTCTGGTTGAGTCAAGGAGTATCCTGTGGTCAGATCTAGTTTGGACTGCCAGATAGTGCTATTTCCTCCCTTGGGTCCAAATTCGGGGTAGCCAGTGCTTAGGTATACGGTTCCGTCAGTATCCCAGAAGAGATCGGGGTCGATACCAGCTTGATCCAGGTACAAAGGTTGTGTCCAGTTGTTCCAGAAGGGGTCGTCAGTGGATACGATGAAGTTGTTCTGCTGGAAAGGGAAGAAGTCTGGAAGGAAACGACTATCGTTAGTTATGCTTCGGCGTTCGAGAACATGATGAACATACTATCCGCATAAGTCGTGATGATGTAGAATGTACGATTATGATGGCGGATTGTTGGAGCGAAGATTCCTCCAGTAGTCAGAAGCTGACGATCCGAGATCTTGTTGTTCTCATTCAACCCATGGCCGATCAATTCCCAGTCGACGAGGTTTGTGCTATGGTGCACAGGAACTCCAGGGAAGTATTCGAAGGATGATGAAACAAGAAAGTAATCATCGCCAACACGGATAGCAGAGGGATCAGCATTCACACCAGAGATGATGGGGTTGGTGAAAGCTGAAGCCGAAGCTATTCGAGCAGTTGTTAGTTTACAACAGGAGATACTCGGCTGGTGATCGCTTACCCAGGACTGTTGCTAAGACCAATGATACACACAACAATTCGAGGTTCGTATATCAGATCGAGTACGTTGTGAATAAAGCAGCAGGCGATCATTGCGAACTTATATCCATCAGAAGTGGAGGAGCCGAACCGAATCATGTGGCTTGGTGAACGCTCTCAGTCTGGAGAGAGGCCGGAGTTCCGAGCTTATGAAAGGCCACATCTTGCCTGGTCTATGTTCGTATATCATGTTCCTGTGTACAAAGTGCAGTCGTTGTTGTCTAAGGGCAACATTTCTCGGTTCGGCTCGTATTCGTATGCTCGGTTCGGTCGAGCAAAAGACCTTGGCACCTTGGCATCTTCAGAGAACGGACTTGGATCCTGGTGTCTCTTAACTCCGTCGAGACATGGGCAGATCGGCAGGATAAAATCATTCTGTAGCGAGCACTATGAACTTGCCGGCGAGTGTGCGTGTTGCAAGGAGAACCGAAGAAGACACGAGTTCGAGATCGCGCTCCGGAGATGATAGCTTCCGGAGGGATGTTTGCGGACTCGAAGGTCGCACGATCTATGTGGACTTGATTGACAGCTCTTCAGAGACCAAACAGTGCCGAATCGACAGGCCCCCTTGTGATCAACGGCGGGTCGGTCAGATAGATGTCCTGGTATATATCTTGGGAACTGGAGTAGGTCCAAACATATGCTTTCCGGAGATGAGAGTTGAGGTCGTGGTTGGTTGTTGCACTGACGAAGCTCACTGCCGAGAAGTCGTGAAGTCTTGAGACAACGGCAGCGCCACCATCTGCAACCAGCAGGTTCCCCTCGAGCCGGCCAACTGGTCCGCTACCAAGCAATGCCAGCCGCACCTGTGAGCGAATAACAGGAGTGCGGAAAGCCTTTGGTGGCTTTCAGGCTGCATGAAGCGCTGCCGCCACATTGATGGCACTTTTTGCCAAGTATGAGTTTGCAAACTGAACCACATCCTACGGCAAGTTCGGAATACAGACTTTCGAACTTCGATTCTCTTCATTCCTTCGCGGAGATGGTGAGCGTCGACATGTGTGGATCGTCCTCCACGTCTCCAATCCGCGCTCCCCACAAGAGACTTGAGTGGGACTCGGGGCTTCGGCATCTGGCTAAATTGACTATGACGATTTATCCAGACTCACATCAATGCACTGCCGATACGTGAGTGGCCTTAGCATCCCAGTCATTGCGCGGCGTGCACTATGAATCGGAATTACGTCGAGTTACATGCTATCACCGTGCTTTCGAGGACCGGTTGTCTTCAGGCAGAATGCAAGAACGACACTGGTCAGCTCTAGGACAACATTACTGATCAAACCTGCTCGTGGAGACCCACTGTTATCACGTATTAAAGAGTCGACCTGTCTCTCCACATGAACTGAATCGAAACCCCGTACACCTCCACATACTTTCTAGATCATGGCTCCTGTTGCATCTGGAGCTCCTGTCTCCGCCGCGAGGGCTCGCCTCGCTGGCCCTTCGGGTTTCAAAGGTATCGTGGCATCGGGAAAGACCACTGGCATAGCATTCTTCGCCTCGCTCGGCGGCTTTGTATATGGCTACAACCAGGGCATGTTCGCTCAGGTGTTGACCATGAATTCGTTTATCAAAGCAGTGAGTAGATAAGTTTCCAGGCATATGCAGTTGAAGACTCTAACGAACGTCTCAGACACACGGCTACGCTGAAGGAACTGGTCTTGCTCAAGGATTACTGACCTCCATCCTCGAACTCGGAGCTTGGGTCGGCACACTCATTAATGGATACTTGGCCGATGCTGTTGGTCGACGTTATTGCGCACTGATCGCTTGCGTTGTCTTCACTGTCGGTGTCATCGTTCAGGCATGTACTGTCAACAAGGACTACGTTCTTGGAGGTCGCTTCGTGACCGGTCTCGGAGTTGGATCTTTATCAATGGTTGTTCCACTTTATAACGCAGAGTTGTCTCCTCCTGAGATCAGAGGATCTCTCGTAGCAGTGCAACAGCTTGCTATCACATTCGGCATCATGATTTCCTTCTGGATTGGATATGGTGAGTCCTTACTTGAGACCAGATCCTGTATTTCGGTCGTTGACGTATCATAGGAACAAATTTCATCGGGGGAACCGGCGACACGCAATCGAAAGCAGCTTGGCTAGTACCGATCTGTATCCAAATACTCCCAGCCCTCATACTCGGAGCAGGTATGATGCTGTTCATGCCCGAGTCCCCTCGTCACCTGATGAACAAAGACCGAGAGCAAGAGGCACTTCAAACACTGGCCCGTCTGCGAAGCAAGGATACCCAAGATATGGGTGTTCAGGTTGAATACCTTGAGATCAAGGCTCTCCGCGACTTTGAAGTCGAGACTGCACGCAAGAAGTATCCTAACTACCAGGACGGCAGCTTCAAGAGCAACTTCTTGATCGGTTTCTATGATTACGCTTCATTGATCACCAATCCATCCCTGCGTAGGAGAACGATGGCTGCTTGTCTGACAATGACCTTCCAGCAATGGAATGGTATCAACGCCATCAACTACTAGTAAGTAGCGTGCTACAATCGCTCTTGGCTCATCACTAATCTGGACTTTCCAGTGCCCCCTTTATCTTCAGAGGCTTCGGTTTTGAAGGTAACACACTGGCCCTTCTAGCAACAGGTGTTGTTGGTGTGATCGAATTTCTCTCCACTATTCCGGCTCTGCTCTACGTTGACAAGTTCGGTCGCAAGTCTATCCTGCTTGCTGGAGCTATCGGTATGGCTACATGTCACTTCATCGTTGCCGGACTCATTGGATCTTATGAATCTGACTGGACGAGCCACGTCGCGGCTGGCTGGGTTTGCATCGCTATGGTGTGGCTGTTTATCTGCAACTTCGCGTACAGGTAAGACTATCAAAAACACTCAAACTATGTTCAGGTGAGCTGACAAATCCTCCAGTTGGGGTCCCGTGTCCTGGATCGTTGTATCAGAAGTTTTCCCCCTCAGCATGCGCGCCAAGGGCGTATCCCTCGGTGGCAGTGCCAACTGGCTGAACAACTTCGCTGTCGGCATCTCCACCTCGCCTTTCATCTCGACATCTCAATTTGGAGCTTTCATCTTCTTCGGCTGTGTGACCGTGGTCGCTGCACTTTGGGTATACTTCCTGCTTCCTGAGACTAAGGGGCTCACTCTTGAAGAGATGGATGAGCTATTTGGAGATGCTGGGTTTGCGGAGGCCGACCAGGCACTCAAGGCGAGAATCGAAAGGGATATCGGTCTCACTGCTCTCTTGTATGGAGACGAAGAGCCTACAATGACAGAGAAGACCGATGCCAAGGGTAGAGGCGAGGAAAGAGAGTTCAAGGAAGATACCAGGAGCATCAGTCTGTAGATATAGGAGCGCTCTCGAGCTCGGATGTATGTATGTAAGTCTACGGTAGAGACTCAATGACCTTGTGATATCCTCGACTACCCCCTGAAGCCCCTTCTGTACAGAACTTTCCGATGTCCTGTGATTGTTTTCCTGTCTTGTTGCTTACACAAGACTCTTTCCATATCTGACAGCGAAACTCTGCAGCTTTGAGAACAACGAGCCATAAGGCACATCAGGATAGAGAGACTGGAATCTCGCGGCGAGACTGCCTGTTTGTCATCAGTCAGTAACACGAACATCAGTATGAGAATACTGCACTCACCTTCGACGACGCCTTCAACACCAAAGCCAAGGGCTTCAAGCAGGAAAGGAGCTAGCACTGCGATCAAAACGGCCAACGCGGTAGTTTCGATGGAGGCGGTAAGAATTGGATGCTCCTCTTGAAACTCCTCAAGCTCGTGGGCAAAGTGCTCTGCTTCTTCGATGACTTTGCGCATCATGGGACTGAGCTTCTCACGAATCTCTCCGATCTTGGCGACCAGCTCTAGCATGGCTTTGTAGAGCTTGTCGAGGACAAGTTTGGTCCAGCGAGATGATCGGACCGTAACGGGCTTGTCGGAAGTGATGATCTCTTGCATATGCATGTTCGAGATGGGTGTGTTGAGCACATTGGTAGTAGTGATGAGATGAAGGAGCTTGTCGCTGGTCTTGTTGGCTGCAGAGTGCGACTCGGTAGCGGAGGGAACATCGGTATAGTCGCTAAACTTCCGGTGACGGTGGCATCAGAAGGTTCATCGATCAGCTCTTCGTGGCCGGCACCTAGACAGCAAGGAATCAACATCTTCGTGATGTCCATATCGGTTGTCTAGCCTTGCGTCAACAAGCCTCAGCCTCGTTTTCAGCTTATTTACACGGCCTGCTACGCGAAACTTGAGATTGGTAAGGCGTTCCATGGCAGCTGTGGACTGTCTGAGACATTTTGCGTATTGCTTGATATCGTCCAATTGAGCATCGTGGTTATTAGGACACACCAAGAGTTGCTTGGGAACTGATGACATCCTCGATGATCTTGAGGAGTGGTAGTGGTGGATTGGACGGAAGTTGGTCTGAAATCGTGCTTCTTGGGAAAGGGAGAAAGATTAGCTAGGTCAGAGACAAGAGCATTTGATGATGGACGGGAACTCGTGACTCAGAACAGAAGGCCTTACTGCTTCTGGACTTGAGATCTGGTTTTACGTTCGGAGTCACTTGCCATGCGATGAACATGCTCGAATCAACGCATACAACACCTCACAAGCCTTATAAGCGCAAATCGTCTCCACTCGTTCGCAAAGATGAAGCGTTCGCTGACAAACTCTTATGACCGGTGGCTAAGAGCATAGATACTAAATATTCAGAGCTAGACAGATAGACGCGTATTCATCTCAACTTCTATGCCGTTAGTCATTCTCCAGTTTTTTTGCTGCAATATATATGACGATGCGAACGTTAGATCAAGACATCAACCCTTACGAAGACGTTTGGCTAGTGTGGACTACGTTTCTTCATGCCTGGACAATGTTGTTGATCTCTAAAAGACCAGGATACGTGTTCGAGAAAGCGAAATTGGTGATATGGGAGCACAATTGGTACATTGTGAAATCCTTCTACTTTACATGCTGTGTGGTCGCTATCCCGTGTCTCTCATTCTTCTCGTTTCTTGTACCTGATTCCATCTTTTCTGATCGTACAGTTTCGAGCCGTAGATGTGATAATCTTGCAGTCGCTACCAGTCTGAGAAGCCCTCTGGAGGCGTGCCATCGTAGAGATTCAACATCACATGTCCTTCAGCACCGGTCTTCTCAGGGGAAACGATATCTTTGCTCTTGATGGCAGCATCCGAGTGTTCAATGATGCTCTTCTTGAGACCAGGGCTGAGGTTTCTAACGGTATCGGACGTCCAGCCATACATGTCAGAAGGGCGATTGAAAACCAGCGGGTCAGTGAAGGTGCGTTTGCGACGTTTCAGGCCTGGAGGATCAAAGTTGTGGAAAGTGTTTGGAGCAGAGAGTGTGTGCTATATTTCAGTCACAAGTCAGTAAACATATACGGTATACTGATGAGTGCGTAGAGAGACTCACTTCAAAGACGCTCTTTAGATAATCGAAATCTTCTTTGCGGTACAGATAGTCGATTTCCCCGATAGATGCAACCGGATCCAACATCCGCATTGCCATGTCCACGTCGGTTGAGTGGAGACGTGCCACAGAAACCTTAGTGAATATACCTTGCAATATGCGATAGTGGCGGATCAGACTAGTCTGTTCAATTGACAAAGCAGCACGGAGATGGAACATGTTGACCATGACCGCAGTAACGCCACACGTCTCTGACAAGAGTTCAAAATCGCCATCGTCAAGAGCAAGACTCATAGCGTTCAGAAGACATTCGAGTGCTGTAACATACGCATACTTGAGCCAAGGGCTTGCCATGCAGAGCTCAGCTTCGCCCTGGAAAGATGTTGTCGACAAAGGACGAGCAGGCATCCAGCGGTATGGTGCTTTGAAGAGAAACGCAGTGTTGTACCAGCCAATGATTGGAAACGGTGAGTGCACCAACTTGGCAACCATGACATACGCACAACGCAATTTCTCACTTCCGTGGTGTCCATGGGACAAAAGTTCATCCAGGTAACGCTTTTGAGTCTGCATATGCTCCAGGAGATTCCATCCCGCACATAGATCTGAGAAGAAGGCCAAACGTGAATGTCGAGTTGCAGGTATCGGCAGAAATGGGACAGATCTTGGGCGAGGAATATCACATGCTGGGTGAGAGCCTCTCCGCCCTTGTGGAAATCTTTATGCCGGTGGTTGATGATATAGATATCTTTTGGTTCCAAATCTTCAACAGTGGCTTCGATGGCAGGATCCTTGAACGACTCGGCTCCGTTTCCCACTGCGACATGAGGAGAGAGATTCCGGACGAGGCGTGGGTATTTTAGATGGACCAAAGCAAAGTCATTGTGCGTGCGCAGGTATCCGTTTGCCTCCTTGTAGAGCTGCTTGTTTGTGCGCGCAATCTTCATCTGAAAAGCGTAGGCATATCCCAGGACAGTGCCAGGCTCGAAGTACTTGACCTTCTCGCCGAGCAAGAGGTGGGAAAAGATCTCGTTCTTGATCTCGATTGGCAATGTTGTAAGAGCGGGTTTAACGCGCAGGGGAATACTCGAAGGCGCCGCAGGTCGTAAAGGTAGATCCATGATCGGTGTCGTTATCTGTATGTGATGAGATTGGAGGGATGCGAGGGAGCGAATGGGAAGATAGTGAGCGACTACCTTCTGATGTTTGGTGTCTGAGTCACTTGTTCCCGTATTCACTTCACTGCCGTCGGTTCTGTTGTTATTGGCTGGTTGGGAGCAGCGGTGAAGTGAAGAAGATGGTAGTGGAAGAGAGGGAAGTGAAACAATTAAAGTCGAACACAACACGGATGTCATCTGTAGCTATAAAAGTGCACAAGGCTTACGGTGACTGAGCAACATCCAGTGATATGCGTAAAATCGCGGGCTCTCATACAAAGTCGTTTGCCATCTCCAAGGTGCTGTGCAGTTTGATAGCTTCTAACGAACGAGTGGTATCCACTTAGAATAGCTGTCGTCTGCACCGACACTCGTTCAAAACAACCATCATAATAGGGAGTACAGTGGTAACGAGCAGCAAGTTGTGAATGGGCAAACGAGGTCAAAGGGAGTTCATTCTTCATTAGATAACTGTTGTTCATTAAACTAAATTGCCAAAACTCTTTTTCAGAAGCTACGTCACTCATTGCCAATGCATTTAGGCACCGGGAGCAAGCTCCTCAGAGGCAGCGATAACAGGGAACTCGCCTCTGCTTCCATAACCACCGTAGAAGTAGTCCGAGGGAGGAATGGTAGGGCCACCTGAGGGGGGTTGCGGCCACTCGTCGAGGCAAGCGGGGTTACCGGTCAAGGTGAAGTTAACCATGGTCAACTCGGGCATGGTGTCGATCATCAGGGCGTAGTCACCGGGGTAGAGGTAAGTGTTTCCGTGGTCGTCGATACGAGCAAGAGAGCCCAGAGTCAGATTCAACGTAGCAGTCTGGGAAGCACCGCCAGCAATGCTGTGGAGACGCTGGTAGTTGACCAGAGACTTCTTGGGGTAAGGAGAAGGTCCAAATTGACCGGCGATGAAGCCGAGGGCAGAGTAGTCGGAGGTGATGTTGCCAGTGTTGTGGACGTTGACAGCGATGTTCTCGAAAGCGCAGCGGTCCTTGTAAGACTCAGTGCAGCCAGACAGAAGGGAGGCAATGTCGTAGGAAGACTTGGACAGGGGAGAGATGTCGGCAGTGAATTTGGTGTAGTGCATACCGTAACCAAACTCGAAGACAGCGGTGCCGTTGTACCACTTGTAGGTTCTACCGGGCGAGCCAGTGGTCTCGTTGGGGCGGAGAGTCATGTCGGTCATGGGAATGTCCGAGATGTAGTGAGCAGGATACTGGGTAACGGGAAGACGACCAGCAGGTGCGACCTTTCCGGTGATGATGTTGAGAAGAGCAACACCACCATCTTGGCCAGGGTAGCCGCCCCACAGAATAGCAGAAATGTTGGGGTTGTTGACGAAGGGAGTGTTGTCAAGCTGGTCACCCATCTGGGCAAGGACCATAGGCTTACCGTACATGGCGAGCTCGCCAATGATGTCGACCTGAGCACCAGTCCAGTTGATAGTCTCACGGTCCATACCCTCAGCCTCGACACTGATGTCAAGACCACCAACGTAGAGGATGATGTCAGCCTTTTCAGCAGCAGTCCAGACAGGGAGCCAGTGGTCAGTGGTAGGGTCACCTTGGCCACCGGGTCCTCCAGCATAGAAGACTTGGGCACCAGTCTGTTGAGCAGCGTACAGAGGGCTGTGAAGGTAGGTGGGAACACCGTAGTAGTTACCCTGCATTTGTTGAGTAGCGTTGGCCCAGCTTCCGATTACGGCAATCTTGGTGCCGTTGGTGATGGACAGAGGAAGGAGACCGTCGTTCTTCAGGAGAGTGATACCCTCCTCAGCAGCCTTCAGAGCGAGCTGCTGAGCGTGGGTAGTACCAACATCGGACCAAGTCAGGTTTCTGTACATGGCGTTGGGACCGTCAAAGTATCCGGTGCGGACGAGCGAAGTGTACAGACGGACGAGAGACTGGTCAACGGTGGTCTGGTTGATCAGACCCTCGCTGTAGGCCAGAGGAAGGTGGTGCTGGTAGTAGGTACCACAGTCAAGATCGGTGCCAGCGTTGAGGGCAGCAGCTGCAGCTCCCTGGCGGGTGTCGCTGAAGTTGTGGGGAAGGAAAATGTTCTGGATAGAATCACAATCACTGGTAACCCACTGCTCCTCGTTGGTCCAGTTCCAGTGCTCGCGAAGGACGTCGTTCAAGAGCCAAGGGTCGGCACAGGTGGGAACACCGTTCAGAGCGCTGTATGTGCACATGAAAGCTCCAACGTTGGAGTCTCTGGCGCAAGAGCGGAAAGAAGGAAGGTAGTACTCGACCAGATCACGCTGACTGATCTGGACATCGTTCTGGTAACGAAGGTTACCGTTCCACGACTCGATATCGTAGCCGGCGAAATGCTTGCAGGTAGCGGTGATTTTTCTGATCTCAGGATCCTCTCCGCCTTGGAGACCGTTGATCAGGGCGTGGACGTAGGAAGACAGATGGTAAGGGTCTTCACCAGGAGTCTCCTGACCTCTGCCCCATCTGGGGTCTCTATAAGGGTTGATGTCTAATCTCACAATTAGTACTGGCACAAATATCGTCAAGAGAAGGACAAGAACGGACTGGGAGTCCAAAAGTCAAGACCTGCACGTCCGTAGTTGTTGAAAGCTCTAGCCTCAGTACTGACGACCTCAGCCACAGATTGGATAAGTTCGTCGTCGAAAGCGGCACCCATCAAGATGGGCTGAGGGAAAGAAGTGGCAGAGTCGAATTGTCCACTGGCATTGAAAGTAACACCGGGAGAAGAAGCGACACCGTGGAGGGCTTCTTGCCACCATTGGTAAACAGGCAGACCGAGTCTGGGGACACCAGGGCTGTTGTTTCCGGTAAGGTTGAGCTTCTCGGCGACGGTGAAGGCAGCGACTAGAGCCTTGGCTCTTGCAATTGGGTCTGGGGAGGGTCAATGGATATTCAGAAAGTATGGATGGAGCTTGCATACCAGCAGACTTGTCGCAGACAGTGTTGTTCGAGAGAGGGCCATTGACACAGTCAGGGAAACCGCCTTGGGCAGTACCTTGGAAGGTCTGAGCAGAGGCACCTGCTCCAAGCAGTGCCAATGCAGAAAGAGAAAGTAGAGCGGCCATGGTAGAGGTATGTGGCCCGGGTGAATTGGGATGCTTCAAGTCAAAGCCAATGGGGTGGGAGAAGCAGCTATATATACCAACTCAATGGCAACCCAAGCAAAACATTTCAGGTGGAATGATGGTCACATTCAGAGCCGAGTATGGGGATCTGCCAACCTTGAGGTTGGCTAAAGTCTCTAGCTCAGTGGGGTCTCAGTTGCGGAGCATCATGTTCTTGCATTGGAAAAAGTGTGCCGGCCACCGAACTTCCAGCAGTGGATCATTGCCGATTGCTTGCTATGGTCAAGATCTACACAATTGACCGGGCTGTGAAGAGGTTAGATCGCAATTGTTGCAAGGATCATGGTGACAAACTCCGCATCTTCTCCGCAGGGTAAACGGGAAGATGGTGCTTACTCCACACGCTCGTCCTGCCGACGTCTGGAGAAAGGTGTTTGTCATCCAATGTTCATCCAGTGCATACAGGTGCAGAAGGGATTGATGGAGAAGACGTCACTGGTTGAGGCACCTCGTGCATCGTTTTCGGCATGGCGTCCCGTGCGGAAAGGAAACTGACCCAAGTACCTGCGTGAGCTAACCTTGGAAAAGACGAATCAGACGTGATAGATTTAGCCACAATTGAAGCGTGGCTGGCACAGAGCCATGAGGAGGGTAAAGCGTAAAAAGTCACAACGGGGTTAAGGTCGAATCATGATGATCGGAATCGTCGGGATCGTGAGCAAGCATTTTAGCCAGTTTAGCCAGCCAGTGAGATGTGGAGTTCTCCGTTGCAGCAGCAGCACCGGAAGTGCATCGGCATCCTTTCTCGACAGCAGCCTCAAGCATGTCGGCCAGAGGCTATGAAAAGATTGAAGCATGTTGCCACGTCAAGAGCATGGATCTCCGAGTAACAAGACTCTGAATATGCGGAGAGGTTGGCGGGAGGCAAGGCATGTTCTCGGTTAGTTGCACAATTGGATGGCCTGTTGTCGGGACTGTGCATTGGCGATAGTGCTCTCGTGATACTGTGCTACATCTGTGGCCGATGCCGCTTTCAAGAATATACGAACCCGAGAAATATCGCACCGACAGCGTGCAGGCAAAAGAGAGAGCGACCATTTCTGTGTCTCGAGATGCGGCTCCGCAAACCACGGCGAGGCACGGACGGCATCAACCCCGGATTTTTGGCATCTCTTCGTCATGATTCGGATTGAGCTTCAAGCGCTGACGAACAATTTGGAAGTCGCCAATACTAAACACACACACCAGTCAGCAAGTCGATCGCAATCATACCAAGTCATATCTCAGGAAAGTCACCATGGGTTCATCAGCATCCAAGCCCGCCGCTCGCGCCGCCAATGCCGCCACCAAAGCAACACGCCAATACCCGTCTCGCCCATCACCGGCAACTTCAACACAAGCAGCACCTTCTGCACGCACATCGAACGCTCCATCCCAGCCTCCGCATCCGCCAGCCGCAAATCGCCAACCAGGTCCCACAGTCCACCCTCAAGCCCGCGCCAGCGGTCAGCGCAATGAAGGTAAAGCAAACCACATGCACCCCCAGGCAAGAACACAAGCATTGACAAAATTCATGTACAACAGAAATCAACCTCGATGCCTCAGACCCAGACTTTGCGCGCTCCCTGCGTCAACTAGGCGCAGTACAACCAAACCCTACTCTCTCGCCTTCATCAACTTTTGCCGCACACCCAAGCTCTCACTTCCCAAACCCCTACGGACAGCAAGGAAACAACACGACAGCGCCTCCTCAACGGATGAATCCTGCTCTACGCGTGCTTCAAGCCCGTGCTGAATTGGCTGCTGAAGCCGAAAAGGAGTTCTTGGAGGCTGGCAGGACTGGCGGTGCTGGGAGGCGGTTTGTGGATATCGGCACTCTGAGAAATATCGTCACGATGAGAGATCAGAGAAACATGAGTGCTACCGAGATCGAAAGGGCTTTGGGTCTGAGGAGTGGCACTGTAGCAAAATTGGGCCCAAAGGGTGTCCTTGGAGTCGAGGGCATTCAGGATGACTAAGCAGACGTCTGAAGAAGCACTGTACACGACACTGGATGCATACTCCAAACGAGCAAGCATAGAACTGTATATTACTGTAACAAGAGCCATGGCGATTTCGTCACCCTTAATACTCGCCTCAGCCATCTCCACAACTTGATCGATGAGAGCAAGTGAACAAAACAGTCCACCGTCCAAGCACAGCTAGCAATACACATAAAAAAGAAGAATGGTATACGTCAGGAACCACCAAAACACGAAACGCCTCGCTGTCCGCTAAGAACTCCCACTTGCATAAATCTTTGGTGAAAGGAAGTAGTGAAGTTGAAAAGATAAAGAAGGAAAGAGAAATATGCCCAATTAGCAAGACACAAGACATAGGCTCCGTTGTGTAGAAGCAGATCATCGACCTCCAGATGGGTTGCGCATTCTGTTCTGGGCGAAAGGCAGCCCGAAGTTGGGCATTGGAAGCCAGCTGTCTGGGGGAAAGGAAGGTGGAGCCATGTACTGGTATGGATCATAACTTGGCTGATTGAAAATTGGCATCACAGGAACAGGGTATTGATTGAACCCATGATGTGCAAAAGGTGCTGCTGAGCTTGGTAGGCCCTGAGTCCGGGTGTGGGCTCCAGGACGCAATAATACACTATGTCCAGGAGGAAACTGTGGTGGTGGCTGCGTAAAGAACACAGGGTGTGCCTGTGGACGTACGAGATTGTTGTAAGACATCTGATGGTCGAACGATCTCTGTACGTGGGCATGTCTGAACACATGGGCATTGTAATTCCCAAGGCGGCGTACAGGAGCGGTTGTTGGAGCACGGTTCGGCCTTGGAGCTGGAACCGGACTGTCATCCATTTCGGATATTGAATCTGAGCTGAGGATAATAGCGTCGTGCACAGATGGGCCGAAGTTCTAACTCGGATTCTTCTGGCGAGACAGGAATTTGTGCGGCTGGGGAATTTTGGCGACTTTTCCTCTGCGCGGTTGAAGCGAACGTTTCTTCGGAGGGTCAACAGCGCGGTACTGTGCATTCATGTCTTTTGTGGCCGGCTTCTGTGCCCTGGCCAGAGCCTTGTGAGGTGCAGTGACAAGATGTGTCAGCTGCGAGTACAGCTGCCACAGCAAATCTGCACGCTCGCTCGGAATCAAACATCCGATATTTGTTGCACCACCATACAGCAATGGCTCAAGTGTAGATAGAGCTAGTTGCTCGGCACCAGTGTTCCATTTGTTCTTTCTAAAGGGCTTCGCTCGGCCGGACGAACGTTCCTGGCTGACTTCAAGTCCGCGAATATAAACAATGTGATGACGTAGAATTTCGATGGCTTTGTTGATGAGAAGAAGGACATCTTCGTCTGGCTGTCCGACATATGCTTCGTCATTATCGGTTGTTTGATTGTCTGCGTCTTGATCACACCCAGCGGCAGCAGCCAGTAGAGCTTCAACGCTGTCGTGTGCACCGTTGCCTTCATCAGAGCGATCCATATCTTCATCGCTGAAAGGTACACTCTCCGGTTTACCCTTGAGCCAAGTTGTAGGTAATGGTACGTGACGCTGTGGTATGACAGGTGGTATGGTCAAGCCTTTCAGAGCATGGCAGGCGTTGTAGAGCTTTTCGACACAAACTTCCGGACTGTCGAGCTGCTGTGGGAAAGAGAATGAACTCGACAAGATGAGTGGGCTCTGTGTGTCTTTGGTATAGTGTGATGGCGATTCACTGGTAAGTTCCGCAACGGTGTGGTGCACCAGTCCAGCAGCTTCTGGCAATGCATCTGACTCTGGTAGAAAGTCGGACTGCAACTTGTGACCGTTCTGCGAGCCGATGACCGAGTCAAGTGCAGATAGAGAAGAACGCGGAGTATCATCGATGAAGTTGTTCAAGAAGTCAGCACCGTAACCAGCGTTTTGAACCTCGTTAGGGTCAACATAGTCGCTCTTATCGACAAGTTTCGTAGAAGTCAGCATGACAGGATCCGATGAGTATCTTGCAAGCGACTCCGATCGTGGAGGAGGCGAAGTCGGCGTCTGCAAAGACATGTTGGAAGTTGTGGTAGTTCTTCGTTTCTTGATTAGAGGTTCGCATACATTGTCCAGGTATCTGGCAGGTCTCGAGATCTTCCTTCTAGGTCGAGCAAGAGGTTCCTCTGGTTCAGGGACTGGTTCTCTAGGGCGAACTTTCAATTTGATACGAGGTGGGGGTTGAGGTTGTCGCGGTATAGCGACTTTGATGGTGTTCTGCGGGGATGACGAGGCATCACCGGAAGCGGCGTGCCTTTTCGGCATGTGGAATGTGAGCTGAGACTAAGTCTGTATTCTGGTTGCAGACAGGGGTGTCGGATGATTTGACAGTCGCTGATTCTGGAAATTCCAGAGAGCGGGCAATCCGGTCTTGGTGTGCAGGTGGTAGAGTTTGGGTTGCCGGCGTCACGGTTTGAGGGAGTTGTGACTCTCGCAGATGGCCCAGGCTTGTCGCATCAATGATATACAATCTCAAGATATAGTGATTGTTGGATGCCTTGTAGATGACTATTAGGAAGTATACAACCTCGGAGACGTTGCTTCTTGCAGAAATACATCTGACAGCAACAAGGAAGTGTCCAACTCGAGGACGTCGCTCCTGCCTGAGCATCCCAAGGCTCCTTCCCAAAGAGGTAACTAGTATGCTTCAAGATGCAAGAGCAGCCACGCCGCTCCAGCAGACACAACCCTCGCGAACATTCCAGTCAACTGACTTGTCACGAGTCCAATACAACTCCATCGTCAACTGATTGTCTGTTCTCATGACATATGATCTGGTGTCGGATTGCGGCAGTGGCAGGTCGCAAAAAAGTGGCTGACTCGGGTCGGCGTTCGGGGCAAGTCAGCCGAGAGCTGGAGCAGCCAGGTAGCCTCTCGAGCTTCGTCACCAACACCAAGACAACCCAAGGACAAGACAACAACCATGAAGTTCTCAACTGCAATTGTCCTGCCGCTGCTGTCGCTCGGCTCCGGTCTTGCTGCCGCTGCCTCGTGGAGCTTCGAGGATGCCACCCTCAGTATTGCTAGCAAAGGAGCCGGCGCAGGCGGTGCTCTCAAGGAGAAGTGAGTTACGACTGTCGAGAGATTGTTTATCGCAATGCTAATACACTTTGATCAGACTCTCGCCTGATGCACGCCTCAGCAAGCAGATCAAGCTCGGCCCTGCCGACACGCTCAAGCTGCTCTTGACAACCACCGAGGACAAGACAGCAAAGAGACCTCACCAAGCTTTCCTCACCCTTCACGAGCCCAAGACTGGTCTTGAGGAGTCGTTGGTCTTTACCGTAAAGGAGAGCGGCAAGGCAAGAGTCGAGCTGGTATGTCATGATTCTCTCACCATACAATTCTCACCCAGCAGCTGACGCGCGTCACAGTCGCAAAAGGACCTCCCCTTCCAATTCCTGACCGCAACCGACCCTATCCAGGCCAAGCTCCTGATTGCCTCTTTCGGCTCCTCCGATGCATACTACACTCACGCCTTTGACCTGATCGTTGCCCGCGACGCCAATGTGCCCTTGAGCACACCCGAGGCTCCTCTCCGTTACGGCAAATTGTCCGAGATCCACCACATCTTCCGCAGCGACCCCAAGTCCTCTCCCACTATCCTCTCCACCGTCTTCACCCTCGCCGTTCTCGCTTGTCTGCCCGCTCTTGTTGGTGCATGGTTGTTCCTCGGCGCAAACTTCAGCCACGTCTCCAAGGCAATGAACGCTGCTCCCATCTCGCACACTCTGTTCTTTGGAAGCATCGTTGCCATGGAATTTATCTTCTTCCTCTACTACTCTTCCTGGACTCTCTTCCAGATCCTGCCTCCTGCTGGTCTGGTTGGCACCGTCGCCTTCTTGAGCGGCAGCAAGGCCCTGGGTGAAGTCCAACAACGCAGACTTGCTGGTCTGAGATAAATCTGCACTTTCTAGACGTAGAGCTATCGAAGGTTCGGGAATTTTCGGAGCTTATGAAAATATACATTTAGAGACGATAACAAATATCAAAAGTACTCTTCGGTTGATCGCATACCAATACAATTGTCCAAACATATACAGCATTAATCATTACAGTACAATAGAAGGCTTCAAAGGTTGTGGGCTCAAGTAAATACGTCCTTCTCCTTCTGAAGAGCCAGAAACGTCTCTTCGTCATGTCCAGGGATCACTCTGCCTCGAGTCGTACGTTCAAGGCGCTTCAGCCGCTGTGTACTCTGGAACCAAGCTGGGTGGTCTCGAGCAAGCCATCCTTGAGGGATGCCATCGCGCCACTATCGAACGTCAGCATCGCGCCAGTGAGCTTACTGTGATACAGACTTACATTCTCAATAACATGACAGTGGTCTGAGATGAAGAAGAATGTGCCACTGTCGGGCAGGTTGATTTGCATGCCAATCAATCCATCGGTATGACCAGGCAAATGATGCAGCGTGATGCCTTGACAGAAGTCAATCGTTCTGTCGTCAAATGTCTTCCAGTTCCTGCATCACTGTCAGCCACCCTCATTCACCATTACTGACCTTTCCACTCACAAGTCCAAGTTTAGGTAATGCTTCAAGTACACTCCAGCATCAGCGCCAGTAGCCACACTCCAAAACGCACTCTTCAACTCCCTATCATGCACCCACACCTCCACATCCTTGCGACCAAAGAACTCATCCAGCCCACCCGCATGATCGAGATGCAAATGCCCAATCACAATCTTCTTGATATCCTCAATCTTGTTCCCAGTCGCGGCAATCGCATTCCTCAATTCATGCTTCTCCTCATACTTGACCCTCGTAAACACATCTGCAACTTGTGGTCCCCACACCTCTGGATAGTCCTTGCCACAACCTGTTTCCCAGAGGATAAGTCCTTCGTGAGGGTGATCGATGAGACAGCAGTACACGGGGAGGTTGCGACGTTTGTTCTCAAAGGATTGGCCTGCTGTAGAGCCCAAAGAGGTGTTGGCGCCGCGAATGACGAAGCCTTCGTCGCAGGCTAGCCAGCCGCATTCGAGGAGCCAGAGCTTTGTGCCTTTGGGGCATACGTTGGAGATGTGGCCGGGTACTGCTCCGGAGTCTAGCTGGGATTGGATGCCTGCCATTGTGTGTTTGTCCTTTGGTTGAGATGTTAATCCGAGTCTTGGATATGCAAGACGAAGAAACTGGAATGTATATCGGTGTCGTAGTCGTGATATATCAATAGTCAGCTCAGCTAATTATACCCCGCCGTGTCGCGACCCCGCAGCGGTTATCACGAGGGATGATGGAATCTTGGAAACTCAACTATTCCATGTTACCGGTGCTGTGGCACCGTCAACCCCAAGCCTTGCCCAGTGAATACGTATATTCGTCCTGGTGACTGATCATGAATGCTCTTACGCCTTCTATGAGCTTAAAGATGCCAGACCACGCTCCTCAATCGTCGCCGAATATGCCACCCTGATATACAACCAAACCCCGCAATAAAAACAGCCCCACCTAAATCCAAACCGCCGTTTCCCATGGTGCAATGATCCATCTCTTGCTCTTCCCATCCTATCCTCAATTCCACCCAATAATGCCCTGTCGCAGCACCTGAGTCTGTTTCACCAACCCGACTCTTCTCCCGATGATCCCTTCCCCTCCAACGCCCAAGTCCAGCTTCCTCGGCAAGCTGAACGATTCGGTCGTAAACGCGGACAATGGGAATGCGTGTAATATCGATGTCATCGGGCCCGAAGCTCTGAGATCTCCATCGCGGCTGTTCACTTCAATCAATACAACGGTAATGCCAAGGCATAGGGATAGTGATACGCACAAGATTACAATCTGACAACTTCTCAACTCTGCATCTGTTGAAGCTTCAGGCGCAGATTGAAATGTTGCTGTTGTGGTCGAAGCCTCGGTCTGGTGGAAGAGAAGTGAGAGGTCAGGTAACGTTGATTCGCCGAGTGATTTCAGAATAGCGATCGTGCCGCCGAGAACTGGTCGAGAGGTTTCGGTGCCGCACATTGTGTATCTTTCTTTTCTTAACTGCGATGCTGATGCTAGAGCTTCAACTTGGTGTGAGAACGAGTATGCAGAAGAGAGAGACAACGCAAGATGATGATTGATCAAGAAACGAACTATCAAGGTAACAACCAGCACATGGCCATCTTTATAACATGTCAACACATTTCAAAGCCCTCGTGTTGATTTCCCCCATCATCCCGAGTCCACGTTTCCACCAAGGTGGAAATCTTGCTCACATTCTGGGGAAACATGCTCAAGTGCTTGGCCCGGGCGGCGCGTGGCTTGAGACGGGAGTTACGGAGTTGAGGTCTTTTGAGGGTGTTTCCTATATGTGAGATGGGAAATTGAACGATGTCTGAGAGTATACTTATTCGGACTCCGATCATCACGTTGTTGTCCGGCAGTATCAAATGGTCTAGATTCGGTTCGCTGGAGCGTGAGTGGTATTCTTGGTACACCTGCAAGCTGGTTCCATCTCACCCGGAGGCCGACAATCTCAACTTTTTGTGCCCAAAACACGAGATATTGGAAACATAGAAACTACTAACATCTACAGTCGTCGTATATCTTGATCCACGCTTTCTCGTCATCAGATGTCGACTTCCTACCCACCAAATCTCCACTATGAAACAAACTACTCCGACAACTTTCAACCCTTTCCTTCTTCCATCCACCCGTTTGAAAATGCCTTGCAGGATGGCTACCGCGAACGGTGAGATACATTTGGAACGCACAATCAGATTTCAGACAAAGAAAGAAATGCTGCATGAGAACAGTGAGGCAATCATCGTTCAGAGATAGTCATTTGTCCTTCTTGATGGAAAGGGCAAGAGTAAGAGAAGGTATTGTATAGTTGTACTTAGCGGCCGTTGTGACGAACCTAAAAGAGACATCGCATATTTCACGCAGAGCAGAAGAGGAAGCAACAGATAACATCAAGAAAAGAATTCTCAAATTCAGATAACTATGCAATGTAACATTCAAGCATAAACATAAAACATAAACATAAACCAAAAACTTCAATCTCTATGCTCCATTCTCATTAACTCCCTCCACCATCCTTTCTTTCTTCATCCTTCTATCAACAACCTTCGTCTTGCCAAAGCTCTTCTCAGTCTCAATAGCAGCCTGACGCTTAGGTCTTGCAGCAGGAGCGACAGTCTTGGACTTCTTAGCTTTGGCAGTAGTCTTCTTGACACCAGCCTTGGGGGCAGCCTTCTTGACGGCCTTTTTCGATGACTTGGGAGCCACAGTCTTTGCGGGAGCTGCAGCGGCGGACTTCTTAGTAGCTTTCTTGGTGATGACAACCTGAGGAGATGGAACCTTCGACGAAGAAGAAGAAGTGGAAGGCTTGGAGCTCTGTGTAGTGTCGAAAGAAACCTTCTTGGCTTCCTTCTTCTCAGCATTCTCAGCTTGCTTCTTCTCGACTTTCTTGGCTTGCGTCTTCTTCAACTTCTTCTCAACCTTCTTGGCGGCACGAGCAGCGGACTTTGGGGTGCTGCTGCGCTTGTTGACCTTAGGAGTCGCAGGGGGTGTGGTCGGGCTCGGAAGGGCAGGGCCAGGGCGGTACAATGGATCCTTACTCTTACGAGGCATCTTGGGCAAGCGGGGTGATACCTCATCTGGGTTGAAGGGAGTGGGTGGACCAGGGTGAAAGGAGGTATCGCTGGCCTTGCGCTTGCGGGACGTGGGCAGGGGCGATGGACGCTTGTTGACGGAAGCACGGCCGCCTACAGCCTTGGTGGACCATTGTGCAGATGAGCTGGTAGGAGTGGCGGATGACTCTTGCTGGCCTTGCTTTCTCCTCGAGCGCTTCTGAGCTTTGATTGCATGTCGCACGAACTGGCGAACGATCTCCCCGATCAGGTGTCTACGCTCTTCAGTACGTTCAGGTGCCTCCTCTTGAAGTGCAGTGGCCACTTGCCAAGCTTGATCACTCAAGACTCGCATGTCGTTCACTCCGCAACCCGACTTAACTGCTTTGGTAAGCAAATGGTTGATCTTCAGATCGGAAAATTCAATATTGCGACCATCGTGTTTGTCAGAGATCCCAGAGACAGTCGGAGTGGTGGGAGAAGCTACTGGCGACCAGGGTGAGACGGGAGTGCGAGGAGTGTCGTTGGCTAAAGCCTCAGTGGACCATTTCGCCGATGAGATGGCGGGAGTGGCTGGAGTGGTTGGAGGTTCTTGCCGTGTGAGCTTCTGACCTTTCATTTTTCTCCAGCGCTTCTCTGCTTTGATCTCGGAACGGACGTAGGTTTGGACTTCAGACAGAATTTCATGCCTGGTGGTTTCAGAAATGTTGGCCGATGCACGCGCAGCCTTGACCATGCCTACAGCCTGATCCCAGGCTTCCGTTGCTAGACTGCGCATGCTGTTCATACCGCAACCCCACTGGTATGCTTCCGACAACATAGTGTCGATCTCCAAGTCCTCGAACTCAAGATCAAGGCCGTCGTGTTTGACTGGTATCCCAGGTCGAAGGGTAAAGCGCCTGTCGCTGTAGCCGTAGCGCCATGTATCTGCCAAAGCTCTTCTCGTAAGCTCTATGATCTGCTCCATGATTTCTGAGCGAGCGTGCTTCCCAGACTTCGCGGCAACCATGTCCTCGAAAGCCTCTTTGGCTTTGATGATCACTCTCCACAGGTCGTACAGCTCGAGACGGATGCCGTTCAGTAGGTCGCTGGTATTGAGATAAACGTCTTCGAGACCGTGTCCAGTACGCTTGATGGGCGCTGTCTTGGGGCCTCTTTGAATAACAGATCTCTTCTTGATTATGTCGATATGGTCAACGAGCTTCTTGAGGATCTCCTGCTCGCTGGAGACAATAGTGTTACCCCATGCCCCATATACTCCCTTGTTCATTTGGATCAACTGATCAACATAGGAAATGGCGCCGAATGCTTCTGCGAGGTTCAGATTCATCTTGCGGAGTTTGTTGTTTCCAGTGGCTGAAGCAAGGATCTTGGCCGCATCAAGCTTCTCGGTCCCTTGTGGTACAAAGAGGTTTCGGGTCAAGCTTTGTACCCGATCCTTAGTCGCGAGTTCGTCTATCTGGTCGGGGCTCGCGAGAGCCTCTTCGACCATCTCTTGGACAAACTCTCTAGCCTTGCTGCGCTCTGTAGGAGTCAATGGCAGATCGCCCGTAGCGGCCTCAGTGATTTCGTCGACGACAAAGCCACCACCAGAGAGTGGGAACTTGGAAGAGAGGGTGATATCTTCGTCTTCGCTGCCGTCCTCATCGTCGTTGTTGTTGGCGTGCTCATCACCATCGTCGGCTTCATCGTCATTGCCAGGCTCATTCTGGTTGGCTTCGGCATCCTCATTGGCGTCGTCGTCCTCACTGGCATCGTCGTCCCCATTGGAATCAGTGTCCTCAGTGTCCTCAGCTTCAAACTCTTCAGGCACCTCCTCGGCATCTTCGCTGTCGTCGTTCAAAGCGAGCAGCTCGCCTGAGGTCGTGCGAATAGCTTGAATGATCTCCTGACGATCAAAGTCGGCCTCGTCATGGACAGCGGAGCCACTTGAGGCAGGAGAAGGGTAGGCGTACAGATCGTCATCGTCATCTGCGATCTCAATGGGAATGTCAAGATGGGCTTCCATAGTATCGATATCCATCACGTCGGAATACAGCTCACGATTCTGTCTTGCGGTATGACGCTCCTTCCCCTTGAAACGGCCAAACGGTAAAACTTGTTCTGGCTTCAAAGGTGTGACTTTGTTGGCTTCCTTTCCAGAGAGGAAGTCAAGGTTGACCTTTTCGCTGGTGGAGGCTGCAGACCCCGGCATTTTCTCGAGTAAAGGAGGAAAGGCGAGCGGAGCTGTGGTGCTGCCGATGACATCGGAGTGAATGGGACCATTGAGACCATCCATAAATATATCTTCTAGATCGTCAGATGCAGCGCTTGAGCTAACGTCCGATGAGATCTGAATTGGATTCTGGATGCCGCCAGTTTTCCTTGGCTGCTGCGCACTGGTCTCCATCGTGTCGGCTAGCTCTTGAGCTTGCTTCTTGGCTGCTTTTTGCTTCTCTTCAATCCTGGTGTAATACTCAGGTAGAGGCTTGCCGGTGTAACCTGACCAAATTCGTGCCTCTGGGGATTCTTCAGAATCGCCTAGCACCTTTGAAGAAGGAGTGTGTGGTACTGATGGGACCTTGTCACCAAGGACGCGCAACTGCTTGCGCTCTTCCTTATGCTTAAGGTAGTGGTCGGAATTGTTTTCATCAGCAAAGTCGACATGAGCATCGCAGATACGGCAGACTTGCTCACGCTCGAGCAACTCGTTCTCCATGTCCAAGATTTTCTGTTCCAAGTCTCTGAACCAGTTGAGACTAGGCACACCCTTGGGCATGGGGGCCTTTGCCGCATCCAGATCTTGGACGCGCAACGGGTCATCCACGTAGAGATGCGACTTCAGGAAGTGCGCCCTATGAAGCTTGAACTCGTCGCGATGCTGCTTGTAGTGGACGTATCTTGTTGTAGGACACAAGGTCCATTCGATTCCGCAAGCAAAACAGCACTTGGAGCGGTTCTCGATCTCGCGGTTGGCTGTGACGGCACGGTGGTACAACTTGTCGTAGAGTTCACGTGTCAGAACTGCCTTCTTGGGGTCGGACTTTGTGCCAGGTGTATTGCAGTATTCGCTGGTGAAGACCGGCTTGGGACGAATTCGTGCATCTCTGATCTCCTTTTCTCTATCGATTCTAGCGAAGAAGTTTTTCCAGGCAGGATCATCTGCAGAAATAGGTTCAGGCTGTTTCCATGGCTTGGGAGCAGCGGCTTTGGAAGGATCAGGAACAGGAGCTGTAGGAAGCCCGGGAGCGGAAAGAGTTGGCACGGGGTCAATGTCCATGGCATTCGCGTCGACTGTGGCAGTTTGAGCCTCCTTGTCGGGCTTCTTGTGGTTGTGGGCAAGACAAGGGCTGATGTAGTTGACACGGTCAATATCGACTTCGCGAAGCATCAACTTTGACCTGACCCCCTTGCGTCCGTTCAGGCAAGCGTTGTAGTAGTCCAAGAATTCGAGGGGATTCTCCTCGAGCCGAGGGTCAAAGACTTCCCACTCTGGCTCAACTTGCTTTTCCCTTGCCATGCGAGTTGCTTTTTCGGTATTGACAGCAAGAGAAACAGTGCTTGGCTCCGTCGCAGGGCCAGCGACAGGTGCAGAGCGCGGTTCCGGTGTAGGGGCAGCAGATCTGACAGTTCTGCTGTGATCTAAGAGTTGTGACGCAGTGTATGAGGGCGGGAACTCGGCCTTGCGTTTCCAGAAGACGTAACTAGGCATTTCACCAGACTTCATAACAATAAAGGAAGGCTTATCCTCGAAGTAGGCGCGGTTCATTGCCAGGGGCTCGATCTGTGCGGGAATGTAATAGAACATCTCTCCAGGGAACTCGGTGTCCACGACCGGGATAGCACCAGTAGGGTACTCGGCAGAAGGGATGGTGAGAATCTTTCCGCCTTGTAGCGAGCCGATCAATCTACCAAAATTGATCGCATACAGCTGTTCATCAGCAGATGGTTTTGCGACTCTGTGGTTCTCGGAGAAGACAACGTCAGACCAGTGGCTGAGAAACCGTCTCCGGAACGGTTGGGGGAAACAACATTGTAGATAGCATCCTTCTCCCAATTTCTCAAGTTGTCGATCACAGTCTCATAACGTTGCTTGTCGACGATGGCAAGCGCTCTGTACGAGTTGAGCTCGTTAACTACCTTCTCATTTTCCTTGACCTCGCGAGCGTCCTTTGCGTTTCGGGTCGCATGAGTCCAACGAAAGCGCTCGTGGTGGCTGCGCATGATGGCGGTGGTGGGCAGGTCGCAGTGATTACGGCTGAATGCAAGGATGACAGGAAACGTAAGAGAGTTTAGAGCAAAGAAAATGGAGTTGGAGCCATGGAGACAAAGATGATATACACGGCAGGTTGAAGACGACTGATTCCGAAAACGGAAGCCGTACGCATGCGGGAGTCACAAAGACAGCGACTCACGAAGCATGAGACAGTCCAATGAAGACAAAGAAACATGATTGAGAAGAAGCAGCCGCCAAACAGAACAATTCCTTGAATGCTCGACTTACCTAGTCGATATATGTACGAGGATGGATCATGGAGCTGCGCAGAGAGTCTGATATTTCTGGATATTCTGCAGGGCGTTCGTAAATCATTTTCAAGATGTCGCATGCGCTGCATGCTCTTGGCGCGACCTGATCTGGTCGGTCTGAGCAAGCAAGCGAGGAATGCTGGGTCGTGGTTTCCAACAAGTCTGGAATGTATTCTATGCGGTTCTGTAGATCCGAAAGCGGAAAATTTAGCGATCCAAGATAGCAGTAATGAATCATTGCCTGTTTTATAATTAATCACAGTAGCAGTGGTAGTAATGCAGCGCGTGAGCAAGGCTTACTCACAACTCAGTCCTGTCCGGTTCCGGAAGGAGGCTTCTCTTTTTGGGAGGAAGCAGGTATTCATCCAATTCCATCCACTCGGCAGAGAAGGCTGTAACGATTTTGGCCCAGTCTTTAACGGTGGGTATGTCGAGATGTTCTCCATCGTCAGCCATGGTGTGCCAGACTGTGGGGAAGGGCGCAGGAATCATATGCAGGATATCAACGCCTCTGGCTTGGAAGGGTAGATGATCATCTTCAATAGCACCGCCAAGCCACCTGTCGGACTCTTTCTTATTTGTTTCTCGTAGGAAGGGATGGGCGGGTGATGTGTGTAGCTGTTTTAGCGAGCGCAGTCTTGCTTCGGTGTTTGCCATGTTCAGGTAGGCCCAATGTGTGGTTCGGAAGAAGGAGGGAACGGTAGGGTTTGCAGAACCCAATAGATCAAGGAGGACGAAGAGGTCAATGGCGTCTAGGGGAGTGCGGTAAGTCGAGGCGGCAGGATGCATCGTCTGATCCCATTCTTCTGCCAGAGATCTGTAAACGATTAGCTGAAAGGCTCAGTTGAGACGTGGTGCCTGGTCGTACCTTGCGCCATAGATCGAGTCGTCGTGGGTCCAGACCTTGAAGGCCTCCTCTCCATCCAGCAGGATGATTTGTATACCGCTGGCTTCTTCCAGTTCGCTAACTCCCTCGGCTTCCATAGCAGACCACTTTCTGGTCAAGGCGGCGTCGAGACTCCTGGCAGCGTACATCAGCATAGCGCATGGGGCGGCGCTGTCGATGGCGCCAATGAAACCCGGTGGGTCGATTTTGCTGTCATAATGCGCGACCAAAGCCAGTCTGCCGACGTGGCCCTGGCCTGCCCACGGAGGGTCCCTGGTCGCAATGAGGTTGACAAAGGGAGTTTCGTCATTACCGGAGATGGGTGTTCTTGACGAAGAGTTCTGGAAAGTCAGCTCCCAGTCGGGAAGCTCTTTCTGGAAGAAGTCGACGAAGTGGTTCAGCACAGCAGTGGAACCAGGAGTGCCGGGCACGCGCGGCTGCAGAATGGGAGCCAGTAATGCACCCGACTTGATGTCAAAGTCGTCGCCCGGGTCGGCGATGTTGCGGAGGCCGTCGTCCGAGAGTGCCTTGTATGCGAAAGCTCCTGAGAGCAGACCCAGCAGGCCGGCTACTCGTGACATAATCATGTTGACGCGCTCATGAGAGGATGGTCGAGTCGCATCGCAGGGTAGAGAAGTAACTGCATGACAGGTGGCCAAGCATGCGATGGTTTGCGTCGAGTCGCGTTGGCTGTTGAGGCTGGGCAGTGCGCGCCTTCCCCAGATGGAGTCAGGAACGGCCCGCGACACCCAAGAGCGTATTCCAACGTCGCATCGCGCCTGCCTTTTTTCTATTCTGCTATCCAGAATGACATGACCTTCCTCTACCGCCAGCCGTTGAGGCTACTTCCTCGTCTCGCCGCTGTGAAACCGCATACCTCTGCTATAAGATCACGGGTCTCTGCCGTGAGTCTTCTCCACCACCGTTTTGCTAGCAAAGTCTCCAATGCCTCGCCAAAGCCTGGCCCTCGGCCATATCAGCCATCCGCTCCAGAGGCTACCCAGAAACTTGGTATGTCAATCCTGCATTGCTTTGTACTCGGTCCTTGTACTGATGATAGTAGTGTACCCACAACGTCTGCAAATCTACAATGCCCCCGCTCTAGAGGTTGCTACCATCGGTACCTTCAAGCTCGCCGGCCTGTTTATTCTTAGCATGGCTTGCCTTGTTGTTGCTCCCAATGTCTACGGAGACGAAGCCAGTCCTGTCTGGATGGCCCCTGCAGGTAACACATCATCCCGTCCCCTAGCAACATGCTCCGCTGACCCGTCCTCAGTCATTACTGCGTCGGCCACCGTTCTCCCTCTTTTCCATGTCCTAACGAGACCCTTTGTCGCTCAAGTCTTCATCGATGCCCCTGCTCAAGCCCGTCGCTCCAAAGAAGCCTTGATCTCTTTTGCTAGACATCTACCCCAAGATACCGCTATGGAGATTCAGACATTGGGTCTCCTCCCATGGCCTAGGACCAAGACACTGCGTGTGGGACAGCTGAGAATCCGTCCAGAGGGCTGGGGTCGCTTGGCCAACCTCGAGCAGGTCACCGCCAATGATAAGACGTCTTCAATTCCCAAGTGGGCAAGATGGTCGCTTCAGCGTTTCTACGCACGTCCAGCCGAATCTCACTGGAAGAAAAGTCGCGCCCCTGAAATCTGGCCATTGGTCTTTCAAGCCATCACTAGGAAAACTGTGGCCAACCTGTCATCCAGGAAATTGTCGCCAGCTGTGAGCACAGTAGGCCCAGCTCGGACGCCTCTGCCATCTTCGAGCACGGTCCGACCAAATCAATCACTGCCTGATGTTGAGCAGAAGAAAGTGCCGGCCGCCAAGGTTGCACCACCAAGTAGACAAAACAGTCGCAAAAAGAAGTAAACAAATGCACCTACACAACGGCCGTAATCTGTAGGTAGTTCAATTTCATTTCACCTCGCATCGAAACCAAGCGAGTTTGCTGTCCTGGGCGAAATGAAGTACTTCTACAAGCGCTTCCATCCGTCTGGTCTCGTCCTCACAGGAGCCTACCCGCTCAACGCGCTGTGTAAGTTTCATTTCTCATTCACATTCATTGACAGTAATACGTCGATCCCACCATTGTCCAAGCCCTTCATTCACACCTATCAAAAGGCACAAAGCTGTTGAGAGATTTATGCCAGTCCAACGAGAGAGGCTGTCTCATGCTGTCTCATTGGACATACATCCAATTCCCAACACCTATGTACCTTTTGATGGCTATACAGCAGCCACTTGTGGCGTATGGAGTCAGCTCGTCAACTGCTACCGCTGTGATCACGACTCTCTTGCACCGATCGAATGCTAATGCATGCTATCACAGTGAACAACCCAGACCATGTCCGCCGCGCCCACCACTACCTCTACAGCAAGGTTTTTGGCAGGCAGCATGCCTTCCCCTTCTCCTCCCGCGCCCCGTCAACGGTGCTCCTGCCGCCTCGCCTGCCCCTCCTGCTGTCTCTCAGCAACCCGGCCTCCTTGGTCAACGTCCCCTCCCGGGTGGGCCCCTCCTCGGCACCCTGCCAATTTGCGAGCAGCCCCTTGCCGTTGCTTCGCTGGAGATGTACCCAATCAACGAGGTCCCCTTGCTCAAGGTCCGCAATGTTGTCGACTACCTTAATTCGCAAGAGAACTTTCCTCCCATTCTGGAGGTTGGTCCCAAGACAGTCAACTTGTGGATAACTGCCCTGGATCTCGGTGTCACTCGTGGCAACATCGCCAAAAGAGTGCCAGAAGTCATTCGACTTCTCCGCGAAGGCAGGGCTTCAGCGACGACGAGGATCTCCAGACTTCCCCTTCGCCTCGCCCTAAGGAGCCTCCATCGACCCCTGGAGCCTTCACTCCCCTGTCCCGCGCCCAGGAAACTCCCTCGCCTCCTGCTAAGACGCCCGTCCCCGCTGGTCCTGTCAATTCACTGCAGTGTGTCAAGAAGCTGTCCGAGTACGACGTCCAGGTGGCCTCGTCCGACCTCCTCCCCTCACTCCCCTCCACAGTCCCCACATCGTCCACTCTGCCAACCTCAGAGGCATATTTGAGGAGCTCGGCAAAGGTGGCCGTCGTGTCACCCGTAGTATGATGGATGCTGCCTCCTCCGACCGGCCAGAGGAGATCGCCGCACTACTGAAGACGTCTAAGAAGGACAAGAAGGGCAAGGACAAGGGTGCTTCCTCGAACAAGAAGAGAAAGGCGGCATCGAGTTCAGATTCCGAGCAGGATGAGGCTCCTGCCAAGAAGAAGGCCAGGCACAGCAAGAAGGAGGAGGTTAGGGAATCTTCGAGCTCTCCCTCTGACTCCGAGAGTTCGAGTGGATCGTCGGACAGCTCAAACGTTGTACTATCCGAATGCACAGTGCTTTCGCGGAGATGGGCGTGGCCATGGAAATAAATCAACATGACCTTTCTCTCTGGAACCACCCTATCTGGATAGATGTCGTGCATTTCTATAGCTGCTTGTAGTAGTCTTGAGTCTATGTGCGAGCCAATCTTACTCTGGCTTCTGGTTTGAGTCTTTCAAATGGCCAATATGGCTGGTGCGTACACTATCAGGATGCACGGGACCCTCATAGATATCGGTGGAGCCATGGAAATATCACAAAGTGGCCGCTCTCTATGGAGACCACTTTTTCTCGTCGAATGTTTGTGCGTTTGTATAGCTACTTGTACTGGTTTCAAGTGTACCTGAGCTACTCATCCGCTTATCAAGTATTTGGGATCCGCTGTACTATGCTATGTCTGAAGATCATATATACGATGCTTTTTCATTACTCGGATAAACAACAAAATATATCGCCAGAGACACACAAAAAGATACAAGTTGACATGCGATGGAGCGAAGATATTCTTATTATTCTAATCTGATAACCGATGCTTCTGAAAACCGCCTAGACAAAAGAAAAATACAATAATATTATCAATCAAGTGTAAAACCAATATCAAGAAAAGGCACAAGATCTCTTATCCTAAGGCGAACCTCGCTATCACTCAGACGGGGAGTCTGCTGTACCGGTGCTAGTAGGGGACTCTGTGGACGAGCTCTCGGTAGACGAAGCGCTAGACGACGAAGTCATGGTGATGAAAGTAGTGGGTGTGGGAGTTGTAGACGACGACGAAGAAGAGTCAGACAAAGCTGCCTCACTGCTTGTGGGCGTGGGGCTCTCTGAAGACGACGAAGACTCGGTGGTCGTTGTGTCACTGGTCGTGGGAGAGGCGATTGCTGTCGATGACGATGAAGGAGTTGCCGATGCATCACTGCTCGTGGGTGTAGGGCTCTCTGAAGCTGACGAGGAGACAGACGAAGATGCGTCAGTAGGCGTGGAGGAGGCGCTCTCTGTCGACGACGATGACGAAGTTGTTGACCCATCACTGCTCGTGGATGTAGGACTCTCTGTGGATGACGAGGAGCTGGTGGTCGATACATCACTGTTCGTAGGGGAGGCGCTTTCTGTCGACGACGATGAAGAAGTTGTTGATGCGTCAGTCCTTGCGGGAGATGCGGTCTCTGATGACGATGATGCGGACGATGTATCACTGCTTGTGGCGGTGGCAGTGGCAGTGGATGATACATCACTGCTGGTCGCTGTTGTAGAATCAGATGAGGATGATTGAGTGGTTGAGGCTTCACTGCTTGCGGGGCTGGCAGTGGACGATGCACCGCTGCTCGCAGGAGTGACAGTGGAAGACACGTCACTGCTGGTAACCGTTGTAGACTCAGACGACGAGGAAGACGAGGCAGTGTTGGATTCTGTCGATGACGATTGAGTGCTCGACGCCTCACTGCTTGTAGGAGCGGCAGTGGACGAGACATCACTGCTGATAGCGGTCGGAGATTCGGACGAAGAAGACGAGGACGAATCGCCGCTAGTAATGGTTGCAGGCTCAGATGACGTGGGTGACGACGATGTATCACTGCTTGTGATAGTGGCGGTTCCGGACGAGGACTGAGTGTTCGATGCATCGTTGCTTGCAGGGGTTGCTATAGACGACACATCGCTACTGGTAGATGTTGCAGACTCGGACGACGACGAGGACGAGGATGTCTCACTGCTGCTAGTAGTGGCACTCTCTGTCGACGAAGACTGAGCGCTTGATGCGTCATTGCTTGCAGGAGTGGCAGTAGATGATACATCACTGCTCGAGGGAGTAGCACTTTCTGTCAACGACGAAGAGGTTGTCGATACATCACTGCTGGTAATTGTAGACAGAGAAGACGAGGAAGCATTGCTGCTAGTAGTAGTGGCACTTTCCGTGATTGATGAGCTGGAAGATACTTCACTGTTTGCGGGAGTGGCGCTCGTTGTGGTCGATGTATCTGTGGGAGTGACGAACTCAGATGATGAAGAAGAAGACAAAGACTGAGTGCTTGAAGCATCATTACTTGCTGGGGTGGCTGTGGATGATGCATCACTGCTCGAGGAAGTGGTGCTTTCCGTAGGCGATGACGACGACTGGATGCTCGAAGTGTCACTCTCTGTGGATGTGGGGCTTGCTGTGGACGATACCACGCTGCTCGAGAGAGTAGCACTTTCTAGAGAAGTCGACTGGGTGCTGGACGCATCGTTGTCTGCAGGAGTGGCAGTGGACGAAGTGTCACTGCTGGTAGTCGTTGCTGACTCAGACGACGAAGAAGACGAGGATATACCACTGCTTGTGGGTGTGGGACTTTCTGTGGATGATTCGGTGCTCGATACATCAGTAGCAGTGGGGGCGGCGCTTTGTGTCGACGATGATCCAGAAGATACTCCGTCGCTTGAGGATGTCGCACTCGCCGTGAATGGCGCATCACTGCTCGTAGGACTTGCAGCCTCGGATGATGATGATGATCCAGACAAGGCAGTATCACTGGTCGAGGGGGTGGCGCTCTCCGTGGAAGCCGACTGGGTGCTTGAGAACTCTGTGGATGATGATTGGGTGGTTGATGCATCATTGCTCACGGGAGTAGCGCTCTCGGTGGACGATACACCACTGGTCGTAGGGGACGCAGTGTCAGACGAGGATACATCACTGCTTGTAGTGGCCACGCTCACTGTGGAAGACGCGTCACTGCTTGTAGAAGTCATGTTGTCCGATGACGAAGATCCAGTCGAGGATACATCACTACTCGTAGCAGTGGCATTATCGGTGGTCGACGACGACTGAGTGCTCGATACATCACTACTTGATGAAGTGCTGCTCTCTGTGGGAGATGATTGAACAGTCGACACTTCACTGCTCGGTGTTGCGGACTCTGTGAACGATGATGGAGTGCTCGATGCGTCGTTGCTGGCAGGAGTGGCGCTCTCTGTGGACGATGCGATGGTCTCAATTGATGAAGACTGAGTACTCGACGCTTCGACCTCAGACGACGAAGACACGTCACTGCTCGATGAACTGACGCGCTCCGTAGTCGATGATTGAGCGGTTGACGTGTCACTGCTTGTAGAAGTTGCAGACTCCGACGAAGAAGTCTCTGTCGCTGTCGCACTTGTGGATGCATCAGTCGAAGACGCACTGACTGACGAAGGAGTAGAAGCAGGAGTTGCGACAGTGATCGAAGAGGAGCCGGTCGAAGATCCTTCTGTACTACTGATGCTAGCGGTTTCACTCGAAGAGGAGTCGGTTGTCAAAGAGGCATCGGGAGTGGAAGTGGCCGAGACAGTTGACGACGAGTCTGAGGGTACCCCAGTACTAGAAGCGGTCAAGGAATCACTGCTGGAAGGTGTCGAGCTCTCAGTTGAAGAGACGTCAGCAGTACTCGTGTGCGATGCCGACTCGGTTAAAGACGCATCCGTGCCAGAAAATGTAGCGCTCTCAGTGGAAAGGATATCAGCAGAAGACATGCTCGTTGCGGATGCCGAACCAGTCGAAGACGTGCTCGTTACCAAGGCTGATTCAGTCGATGACGAATCTGTGCTTGAAAGTGTAGCGCTCTGAGTTGCAGACGCCGAATCTGTTGAAGATGAGTCTGTCGATGACGATGTAAAGCTCTCGGTGGCAGATGCCGACACATCAGCGGAAGATGAATCTGTGCTCGAAGACGTAGCGCTCTGTGTTGCCGATGTCGATGTAATATCGGTGGGAGACGAATCTATCGATGAAGACGTGCTCGTTACTTGTGCCGATTCAGTCGAGGATGAATCTGTGCTCGATGACATCGCACTTTCAGTCGATGAGGCCTCAGCAGATGACGGTGACGACGTGCTTAGTGCTGACGCCGAGTCGCTCGAAGATGAATCTGTGCTTGAAGGAGTCGCGCTCTCGGCTGCAGATGGATCCGTGCTGCTGGACGGGACGTCACTTGCTGTGGAGTCAGTTGTTGAAGCACTAGACGAGAATGGAGTAGGCGCTGGGCTCGCTGACACCGACGATGAATCGATAGTGGAAGAAACATCGTTCGTCGATGAAGGACTACTGGGAACGTCACTTCCGGTAGAAGCAGACCCTGCAGAAGCGCTTGCCGTGGCTGACTCGGCCTCAGCCGTCGAAGTTTGGGATGTAGAGGTGTTGACAGACTCGGTCGAGGTTGCTGGTTCGAACGTCGAGGAATTAGATGAGAAGCTTACACTTTCAGTAGACGAAGACTGAGTCGAGGAAATTTCGGTGACAGATGATGTAGCAGTCTCGCTAGCTGAAGACTGGGACGAAGAGATCTCAGTACGAACGTACGTGCTTGAAGAAGCATCCGTTTCAGTTGCGGTCGACGAAATCTCGGCGCTTGAAGAACCCACGCTTTCGATCTGAGAGGAAGTCGCGATCTCAGTCGAAGATGACTCCGTGGTCGAAGAGGACTGAGTTTCTGAAGGGCTTGAGGAGGAGTCCGCTGTCGCAGATGTCGTACTCTGGATGGAAGATGCCGTGGTTTCCAAGGCGCTTGGAGTAACTGAAGGCTCGCTAGCTTGAGTAGAAGACGGGGTACTATCAGATTCATTGGCGCTCGAAGTTGTGGCTTCAGCAGCATCAGAAGAACTCGAAAGCGTGGTACTCTCTGGCTCAGTGGAAGAGGTACTGCTCGTGTATTCAGGCTCCACGGATGAGCTCGAGACTGTAGTACTCTCTGGTACGATGGAGGACGATGCCATTCCGGAGGCGGTTGGAGTCGCTGAGAGATCTCCCGTCGAGCTAGCGGCATCAACCGAGGATGAGGTACTCTGAGACTCGACAGTTGAGCTTGTGGAAGTCTCGACATCAATAGAGGAGGTTGTAGATTTGAATCCAGCATCTACAGGAGACGAGGTGACTTCAGGCTCAGCGGACGAGCTTGATGCCGTGGCACTCTGCTCAACAGACGAACTCGTGAACGTTACTTCAGCATCGACAGGAGATGGCGTAGCGCTGACTCCAGTAGACGAGCTTGAGCTTGTAGCTTCCGGATCACTGGATGGGGTAGCACTAGCTTGAGTAGACGATGGAGTGGGCTCGGGTTCCGCAGAAAATGAACTGGCTTCAGGCTGAGCGAAAGACGAAGAGACAGATGAGCTCGAGTCAGTGGCACTTTCAACAAGGGAGCTTGTGGTTGTGGTCTCGGCATCAGAAGTTGTGCTTGTAGCAACGTCAGAATCAAAAGAGGAGCTGGAAACCGTGATCTCAGGCTCGCTGGATGAGCTAGTGCTGGTGATATCAGCATCACCAGACGAGGTACTCTCGGCACTTGAGACGGTACTTGCAGTCTGGGTCTCAGCCACTGAACTCGTGGTCGTAGCATCAGAATCAATAGAGGAGGTGGTACTCTTGGGTTCCAGAGACGAACTGGTCGCTGTGCTGTCAGCATCAACAGACGAGCTTGAGATTGTGGTCTCAGCACTGGGTACTGTGCTTGTAGCCTCGCTCTTGACAGCCGAGCTGGTGGTTGTGCTCTCGATTAAAGAGCTTGTAACCGTGGTATCAGCATCAGAAGAGAATGAGGACGCTCCGGATCCAGTGGCGGTGCTTGTGGCCATGTCTACGTCGGAAGTAGAGCTAGTCACATCAGCAGAGCTCGTAGCTTCCGTGCTTGAAGCTTCCGTGCTTGTACTTCCAGATACAGTGCTTGAGCTCGTGGTAGAGACGTCGCGAGCGAGGACCGTTGCAAAGTCAGTACCGCGAGTAACTACCGCACGGCCAGAGATAGCGCTGAAGTATACACATTCCGAAGCGCTCGCCGTAAAGGAGGTACCAACACACTGAGAGCTAGCAGCACAAGCATCGAGACAGTCATCCATACTGGAGCCGCCATCTCTCGCACGAAGCATTCTAGCGCGGGCAAAAATTCTACCGATATAGTTGGTGTTTCTCTTGACTAGAGTCAAGACTGTGCCCTGATAGGTTTTATCCTTCTGCACATAGAACGTAGCGCCTTGGACTTCTGGCATAGCACCGTCGGAGTATTCGGGTCCAGCTGCGGGAGTCGTTGTGGATGCTGAAGAAGAAGAAGAATAAGAGGCGCTCGTAGCCGGATCAGCCTCGACAGAGGTAGAAGTGACTTGGGGTGCCTCGGAAGAGCTCGATGAAGTGATTCCAGCATCGGTAGCGGTGCTTGTGGTCGCTGACTCAGAAGAGGATATCGTAGTCTGTGCCTCACTAGCAGAAGTACTCTCGGCATCAGAGGAGGTACTTGTGGCCTCGCTCTCGACTGTTGAGCTGCTGGTTGTCTCCGAGTCGCCAGAGGAGCTTGTAGGGCTTGCACCAGAGTCGATAGTGCTTGAAGCGTCCGTACTCGTGGCATCGGTTTCAACAGCGCTGGACGTACTCTCGATCGTTGTGAACTGAGCGTCAGTTGTCGAGCTTGAGCTGGGAGCACCAGTTTCTGATGGAGAAATAGTGCTGCTCTGGCTTGTGACCACTGAGGAGGCAATTGATGGGGACGACGAGCTTGAAACGACGGCGCTGGAAGACAGGGAGCTTAAGACAGTAGCCTGCGAAGAGGAGCTACTACTGCTAGAAGACTGAGAAAAGCTGCTGCTAATCTTCGAGGATGCAGAGCCAGCCGGCTGTAAGGAGCTACTGCTGCTCTTGGACGATGATCCAGGTACAGAAGAGCTGCTGCTGCTCTTCGAAGATGATACAGGCACAGAAGAGCTGCTGCTGGGCTTCGAGGACGAGACAACAACAGATCTTGACGAGCTGCTGCTGACCTTGCTGGAGGATGATATCACAGAGCTTGATGATCTGCTGCTGACCTTTGAAGAAGACACCACAGGCTTAGAAGAACTGCTGCTAATCTTGGATGACGAAGCAATAACAGGTTTCGACGAGCTACTGCTGATCTTCGATGAGGAAACGACAGGCTTTGACGAGCTACTGCTAACCTTCGAGGACGACACGGCAGGTTTGGACGAACTGCTGCTGCTCTTCGAGGAGGAGGAAGTAACAACGGGCTTCGCAGAACTGCTGCTTGTCTTGACAGAAGACGAAACCCTCGATGATGACTTTGAAGCAGATTTGCTCAGACTGCTTGACGAGGTCTTGGAAACAGGCTTGACTGAACTGCTTGCAGCTTTGCTCGAGGAGGAAAGTTTCGACGACGTCTTTGAGATGGGCTTAGTAGAGCTACTGCTGACCTTGACCGAAGAGGAGCTCTTTGATGAGGACTTCGAGATCGGTTTAGACGATGAGGGCTTCGAGACCGGTTTAGAAGAAGACGAGGATTTCGAAACTGGCTTGGCAGTTGATGAGATTCGGATTGAGGAGCTGACTTTCTTTGTGGAAGAGCTGCTCACAATCTTGGTCGAGGAACTTGATTTCTTAGTCGAGGAGCTGGCTTGCTTGGTCGAAGTCTTTGCCGACGATGTCACCTTCTTGGAAGTCGAGGTAGGCGCTTTGCTGACGGTGGTAGACAGCTTGCCTAAGACGCACTGACAGGCATCGTAAAGCTCTTGATTGGTGAGACCAATGACGGCGGAATAGTTGTTCTTGCCATAGGCGGCACAGAATGCTTTGGGATTGGAGAATTGAGCCTTGACGACCTTGAGGTCGGCCGCATCACACTTTGTCGAGCTGCCCTTTACAACAGATTCCTTCTTGGGTATCTTCTTGACACTAGAGGTGGCAGTGATACACTTGCATGCACTAGCAAGGTCCTTTGAGTTGAGAGTAGCGATAGGTGATGTTCCACCAACGAGGTTGTAGTACTCGCAGAAGAAGGCAGTATTGGTCTTGACAGTGCTTCTGACGGCCTTGATATCGCTATCCTTGCAAGCTAGTACTTGTCAGCAGAGCCATGTGGCACATCGGACTGCTCAAACTCACTGGCACGAGACTCAAGCTCGAAATCGATAGGGGAAGCGAAAGCCGCGGGAAGCGCAAGAAGTGCTGAGATGAATGCGATGGCACGCATCTTGTATAGATGGGCCCGGATTAGTATTAAGGAAGAAGAGATTGACTGGGTTGGACTCAGACACTGTAGAAGGCATCCAAGCACTACTTATAAATGTGATATAAGTCGTGATCATATCAATATTCAGTCCCAAGAGCCTAATACGGCCAACAATAAACTGCCAGGAAGCCACTCGTCTGCCTGATGTTGACTATCATACTGTGTGTACATACCAGGACTTGTAGTAGCGAGATAGACAACGGTCACAGGATGCTTCCTCTGCTCGGAGGAGCTGAGCGTGCTGAGTCCCTCCATCGTGTCGTTGTACTATAGTGCCCGCTGGGAAATAGTCAACGTTGGACGTTGAGATATAGGTATCAGAGATGAAGACCGATGAAGGTTCAGAGAGCTGGTCGCTGAAACATGCACGGATTAGGGAATTGAATGCTCAGAAGTGTCTCTGGGTTGAGCAAACAAACCTACAGCCTACCACATAGCACGTACTGTATACAATAACAGTCAGGAGTCGTACTTAGCCCAGGCTATGCCATCCAAAGTATACCTCATGGTAGCGGCTGGTCGCAGAGATTTGGTATTAGAGTCTCTGCGTTTAGCTCGGTCCATGATGAATAGCGATCTCGATTGGCGACTGAGCTCTATAGCCAGCCCGTCAAGCCGAGATTTTCCCCAGACGTCGGTAGCAGACCACATGGATGTTAGTAACAGATCTCTTCGGATGGAAGATCGGCATTCTGATTGGCTAGCCCCTGCATATACGTTAAAGCCCGATAACATAGAACTGGGCCTCAGCTCCCGATTCTTTCGCCGGCTGTCCACAGCGCCGTTGCAACGACCACCACGTTCACGGCTCCAGCACATAGAGCGTGAGCCGGAGGAGATTGCGCAGGGGTGCCCAACGGTTGTGTATCCCGATACTCAGCTCTTGCGTGATCGTCGTAGCTTGTTTTCGGCTCTGTTACAGGAAACACTTCATGTCGCTCACCACAGATACACAGAGACAGGTACAGCACCCTCGAGTAAAGGGGCGGAGACGAATCCTCCCCCCCTCCCCACCCTTAGCTTCTCAGACATGTTTTCGAGCTCGCCTGCCAATAGGCACTTCAGTTCGAGAGACTCGCCCACGATGTAGTTCACTCTCAAGAATGTTCACCACAAAGTCGCTGCGACATAAACGGCTACCGCTGGGCACCAGGCGTTCCCTCTCGCTCGAACTCCAGCTGAACACACAACGGCAATTGATCGTGGCCGGCACCAGCCAGGAACCTTATGTATCCAACACCCAACTCTATGTTCACACCTCGCTGGTCTCTCTGTGTGGAGCTGAGGTGTGAACCGATAATTCTGGGCGCAAAACGCCTCCATGTGCCATCATGTGGACGGAAGGGCTGCGTCCGCTCAACCGTAGCACATCATGCAAGCACTGCCGACTGCACTTATCGACTTGTATCTAGCAAGATGCAGTTCTTAGCGACGGCTTGATTCCACCTCAATCGGCTACACCGGAACGTCGAACTCGTTCCACCATGCTTCCACCACCTGAAAACCCATCGTACACGCCGTTTACAGAGTATACAAACCGTGTCGACCAGCGCGAAGTGTCGGGGCTGCCGAACTCTTACTCACAACACAGCTGAGCATCCTTGTAGACCTACAACGGCAACACTGAACCTACACACGATACTCAATAGTAGGGGTGCGAGGACGCCTCTCCAGGCTGGCATTGAGCGTCTTTCGAATCGAAGCCAAGGAGAACACCTCTCGCAACGGCATCAGGCCACGCAATATTGAGCCCGTGAGACTACATGTGTCACCTGCAATCTCGACACACTGCTTTGAGGAAATGATCTAGGCGCCTCGTCTTGGTATACCAAGTGTCGCTGAGGAATCTCCCATCACTGTACACGGTAGCCGAGAGGTATTGCGTTCCACAAACGGTAACACTATGCGTATTATTGGTTCTCAGCACGCACGTAGCCGTGCTTCGCTCCGACTTCGCAGCCCAAAGAGCTTCCTGCGCAATCAATTCACTGTTGCGTATATTGACTTCCTTCCGCGAACCGATGGACTCTCAGCCATGTTGAGTTGTGTCCAACGCACGCCAGCTTGAAAGAAGCCGTGACACGCTTGGTGCTGAGTCGTTTCCCCGTTGAGGATGGCAGCGACGGCTTGAGGCGAGGATGTAACATGAAGATTCTAAGGTATACTCCGTACGTTGTGAAACAAGTAGTCAATCGAACTACGAGCGATCTTCTTCCTCCGTACGTTGTGAAACAAGTAGTCAATCGAACTACGAGCGATCTTCTTCCAGTCGAGTATGAATGTGAAAGTCCGTACTAGAATCAACTGACTGTTCCATGTTCATCGGCTGTCATGCCCCGGGCGATACGTGTAGTTTCATGTAAAGAGCTGGTTTGCAGAGTACCGAGCCACCGACCAATGGAACAACAACCTGAGTGCGGGGAGGTCTTTCAATATGTATAGCATGGTCACGCCCTTCGTGTTCGCTTCTGCGAAATGATCTCGAGAAGGCAGCTTTCTGGCTAATATCAACACTTGCACCCCTCGCAATGCATGCTCGCTTCGAACAAACATGCCTGAAACACGGTTCTGACCATAGGTTTATAAGTCTGAGTGCAGCCATCTTCTCGTCGTCAATATCATCACTTCACCAACGAGATGCACTCGTTCTATGCAAGACTGCTCCTTGTTTTGGGCACCCTTCTTGCGGTCCTCGATACTGTCCAGGCAGACAATCCGATTATACAGTCCATCTATACCGCCGATCCTGCTCCAATCGTCGTTGACGACCGGGTCTACCTCCTCGCTGACCACGATGAGAACGGCTCAACCACTTATAACATGAGAGACTGGCGTCTCTTCTCCTCCGCTGTTGGTGATTTGGTCCACGAAGACAGTCCGCAGATATCGCTGACAATCTTTCCAAGGATATGGCTAATTGGCAAGATCACGGTGTGATTGCTTCCATAGCTACCACGTTCCCGTGGGCCGATCTGAACGCCTGGGCAGGACAGATCATTGCTCGCAACAATAAATTCTACATGTATCTTCCCATGCGTCGCCGTGGAGGTAACACGGCCATCGGCGTTGCAGTCGCCGATTCCATCACTGGGCCCTGGAAAGACGCACTGGGCAAACCACTTCTGGAGAACGGCCGCATTGATCCTACAGTCTGGATCGACGATAATGGACAAGCCTATCTTTACTTTGCCAACCCAGGTCTGTTTTATGTTAAGCTCAACACTGATATGATATCGTATTCCGGCAGCATCGTCGAGGTCTCCATGAATGTCGCCAGCTTCGGAAGCGGTCGCGAGGCAGATGGTACTACTTTTGCCGAAGGACCCTGGGTCTACAAGCGCAACAATCTGTACTATGTAGTATATGCCGCCAACTGCTGCTCCGAAGACATCAGATACTCCACTGGTCCATCCATCATGGGTCCATGGACGTACCGTGGTGTCGTCATGGCATCGGCAGGAAAGTCGTTCACCAATCATCCAGCTGTCATCGACTTCAAAGGCAAATCTTACTTCTTCTATCACAATGGCGCCTTGCCTGGTGGTAGTGGCTACACGCGTTCTATAGCCGTGGAATCCTTCACCTACAATGCAGATGGCACGATACCGCTCCTCACCATGACCAATGCCGGCGCCCCGCAGATTGGAACCTTGAACCCGTACACTCGCAATGAAGCAGAGACTATGGCCTTCTCCTCCGGTGTCCAGACTCAAGCTACTTTGGATGGCGGGCTCGCTATCATCAACATCGAGATTGGTGACTATGTCAAAGTCGCTGGTGTTGCTTTTGGCAACGGCGCAAAGTCCTTTTATGCTCGCGTAGCTTCGGCCACCAGTGGTGGGAAGATCGAGGTTCGCTTGGGTGGTGTCACTGGTACCTTGGTGGGTACCTGTGTTGTGCCTGGTACCAATGGGTGGCAGTCCTGGCAGGTGGTTACTTGTGCTGTTAGTGGAGCGACTGGAATCAAGGATCTCTACTTGAAATTCACTGGTGGTAGTGGATACCTGTTCAATGTTGACTATTGGCAATTCGCATAGGTTGAACGTGCCTTTTAACAAGGCACCTCAGCCAAAGACGATGCTGCCGTCCACCAACTACGCAAGGTGGAAGCGCACTGATTCACTACCAGCCAGGGTGTAAGAGCAATCCGGGAGCTTGTCGCATTGCGAATCAACCAACCTAGATGGAAGGGTCTATAGGTATGGACTGGAAGAGGCGCGCATAATGTGCAATCCACTGTTACAGAATATGGCTGGAGCCGTATGTTGTTTGTCGAAATTGACTAGCTTCTCGCGATGGATAGTCGAAGTACCATTGAGCCACGGACAAAAAAGACATCGACAAACAAAACATACAGCAGCAGGGATTCCCACGTGGTCACCCACCGTAGTACTAATCTGCCGTTCAACTGCTTATGTATGGCAGAGCGGACGGGATGCCCAGTTTTCAGCTGACTGTGGCCGTATGTGCTTAAATCATCGACTTCAGCATGAATAACGTATTGTTTCCTAGAAAGGCGGTGAAGACCCAAAGCCAATCTCCCCCGAGGTCGCGCGTGGGGCTTGGTGGGGTCCCTGCCCGTCCAAGGGTCTCGAAGCTCTCATCACAGTAACATTGCGGCGGGGCAGAACCATCATCGACAACAGCGGGACAATTGATTTCTCCCCCTCTTTCCATCCTTTTTGTGCTTCCCTCTGTCTACAACAAAACAATCGTACAATATGTCTACCGCAAAGAGAAGCCCACCGTTCAGAGCCGAGCACGTTGGCTCGCTGCTCCGTCCTGATGAGCTTGTTCAAAAGCGTTATGCTGTTGCTGCTGGCAAGGCTGATGCTGAGGAATTGAAGCCTATTGAGGACAAGTCTGTCACTGAGGTTGTCAAGCTTCAGAAGGATTGCGGTTTCCATGCTGTTTCCAGTGGAGAGTACACCAGGTATGTGGTTTCTTTTTCTTTTTCTGGTTCCATGCGTTCTTCGATCTGCGTTTCCAAATTCAACGCCAATCATCAATTCAATTTTCCAAAACCCCAGCAGAAATGCAAAACCTCGAGAAGACGATACGGGAGAACGTGATGAGCACAAACAGAACCATCGACGAGCCGAATTCCTGACTTGACAAAAAGACACATGTTCTGGGGCACCTTCTTCGAAGAACTCCACGGCATGGAAGACCGCCAACTCGGCGTGCTCAAAGGCTACGACGCCTCCATGTTCCGTGACTACGCCCCCGACGTAAAGTCCTTCCTCGAGGCCAAAGAAATCCCAAACGCCGTCACCGTCTGCGTCGCAAAAATCCAACATCCCGGTCACAGCAGCAATGCCCGCGAACTCCAAGTCATGAAGGCAAACGTGCCCGAGGAGGAATGGAAGAATATCAAGATTACGGTTATCTCGCCGAGTTGGTATCATTTCAGATACAGGGCTGGCAGAGCTTACCCGAAGGAGGTGTATGCGAATGACGAAGAGTACTTTGCAGATGTCGCAAAGGCATACCAGACAGAGCTGAAACTGCTCCACGACGCCGGCATCCGCAACATCCAGATCGACGACCCCAACCTCGCCTACTTCTGCTCCGAAGCCATGCTCACGGGCTGGAAAGCCGATTCCGGCAACACAAAAACCGCAGACCAAATGTTTGACGCCTACGTCAAGTTCTACAACGCTTGCTTCGAGAGACCGGCAGACATGCATTTGGGCATCCACCTTTGTCGCGGAAACTACATGGGTTCTCGCCACTTCTCAGAGGGCGCTTACGACAACATTGCCGCAAAACTGTTCAAGGATTTGAACGTCGACACCTACTACCTCGAATACGATACCGCTCGTGCAGGTGGTTTCGAGCCCCTGAAGCACCTTCCCAAGAACAAGAATGTCATCTTGGGAGTCGTGACTAGCAAGTTCCCCGAGTTGGAGGATAAGGAAAAGATGGTGCAGAGGGTATACCAAGCTGCTGATTTCATTGCCGAGGGCAGTGGACAGAGCAGAGAGGAAGCTTTGGAGCGCGTCGGTGTTTCGCCTCAGTGTGGATTTGCTTCTCACGCCGAGGGCAACTCGTTGGAATACGAGGATATGCGCAAGAAGTTGCAGCTTGTCAGGGGTATTGCTGATCAGATCTGGCCTAGCCAGCCTTAAGACTATGATGTCTGTTTGATCATCGCCGCCTATTCTCTCCCCCCATTTTTGAATGGTAGATAAGGCAGTCCCTTGGAGGACTTCTTTCCTTTTTTTTTCTTGGAGACTCTCACATTTTTCTGGAAGAAGCATCGCGTTCCCATCTCCTTTGTCACATTGCAAAACCGTTAACGACTATTCAACAAGTCACGAAGCTACAACAAAGATACCAACGAACGACCATCACACATATATACACCGAAAAGTACATGATACAACCAAAAAATATAAAATCTTCAACACACAATACATCTCTCTTCTGTCTTCTCTATCTCGATTTTCTTTCTCGATCTACTCTGCCCGCTCAGGATCCGTCTTCATATGTTCACTATCCAACCCAAGCACCCATCTACAAATCACCAAAGTCCCACCACTCATTAAACATCCTCCCCGAATTCTGATCCAAAAATTCTGTGATGGCAGCAAGATTCTGATCATTGAACGCCATGTAATTCGGATCCGCAGGCGTAGGGAACTGTGCAACCCCAGGCATATACGCAGGCTGTTGGCCAGGCGTTGCAGGAATTGCAGTGGTAGCTGGAGTAGGTAGAGGGGGCCTGGCGAATGAAGGGCCAATGGCACTTTGGAATCCATCAGCGGGAGTAATGTTTTGGACTGTTGAGGGAGTGGGTCGAAGCATTGAGGTCGAATTTGTGTCTCTGGTTGTAGTTTCGTTGCTGGGGGGTGCGGCAAAGTCTTTGCTGAACAGACCTTGACCTGTGGCGATGGATCTACTTGGTGAGTAAAAGATGAGGATGTCCCAGAGTAGGTCTTGTTTGCTGCCGCCTGAAGCTGTAGGTTGAGGACTTGTGGAGCGACGGGATGTATCCATCGCTTCAAGTCTGTCTAGTGCTTTTCTCTGTGCATTTTGTCAGTCGAGTTGAGATTGGCTACGCTCGGGGAGGATTGAACATACCATGCGTTCGACATTTTTCAGCAGCGATGAAAGCTCTCCCAGTTCCTGCCGGCCTTTGAACAATCCCTTCTCCGCGTTTTGCCGTAGGCTTTGTATCTCTGCATTGCGATAGTGAATAAACACAGTATTTGCGACAGAGATACAGTAAGCCAAGAACGGATCCGAGATACTGATTTGTTTCTCCTCAAGCAAATCCAAACAACGGATGATCCAGTTCGAATGCACCACAACTTGATCCGAAGACGCCTGACTGAATGTCCTAGGGCATCGCCCAGCAGCAGCTATCCGAAGAGATATAAGAAAGGGGTGATTGAGCAGCATGTGGATCGTGTGATACATGAATTGGTTGACCAGCCAGTAGCTCCAGAAAGCCCAGTTCTGCTCGATGGCCTCCTTGGAATGTTGCGTCATCTTCGTTCTATCAAATCGGTATTCAGGCCAGAAGTTCGACTCCAGTTCTAGCAGTTCTGCCTGAATAGCGGCATAGTCTGATTGCTGTTGCCATGGTGGGTATGGGAGTGTACCATTCTTCGTGTCGGTGACGTACTTGGCAGCCTTCTTGAATATGTCGAACATAGGCAACGTGTTGATGATGATGCCAGGAACTGGACCATCGGCCACGATATTTTGCGATGATGGCGACACCAGTTCTCCTTTTGACGTTGCATTAGGACTGACTGGTTTGAACGAAGCATGATACGTAATGCTTTTGGCGCCTAATGTTAGAGTTTGTAGATTGAACATGTTCTCCATGATGGCTATGCTCCAGAAGCAACGCCGTCTCTCCTCGAGCTCGACCGAGTTGTTGATGACCACTTGTGGGTCAAGAAGGCCGGACGTTTGGGCGAGAGAAATGGCGTTAACGAGGAACAGGTGTGATCGTTGTCCATTATCGTCTATCATCGTTAGCCACGAACGCAGTCTAGAGAGGGATCCACATACTCGTGAAGTCCAGGAATGACAATAGCACAAATGCCTGTATCGTGCTCAGTCTGACATCTCCAGCAAGAACCCTTCCCAACGCCAACTCTCGTGCACGATGAGCATTAGCCTCGCACCAATCATCGACTTCTTGACCTCGTGCATTAAGACGGCCAGCCATGGCGAGAATAGCAAATTGAACTTCGGAACCCCTCGTCATATAATCCTTCTCCAGGTTAGGATGGAACAACGGAATAGGCTGACAGTTCCATTTCCTCATAAGAATTGGTACTGCAACTTCGAGACGTGTGGGCTCATGCGGTATCTGCAGTCCGGATGGAGTGGTACCATCGGGCATCTCTAGCGATCTCCTTCTCGACGATGGTACTCTAGGTGATGCTCGTGAGCTCTCGACATGGTTTTCAAGCGGTGTCCGGGGTAATATTGTAGGCGGCGTGCCAGGTCTTTATCAAGTTAGTGTTGTTCTTATCAATGCATGCACAAGTCTACAAACATGGCTTTGAGGAGAGTTTCGAGTTTGTTCTCGAGTTCCGAGAAGCGAGCGTTCTTTGCACCAAGTCAGTACGACGACCAGCTACTTCCTAAATGTCGTTTGGATATGACAGCAAACTTACCATTCGACGCTCGATAGCAGCCGATCTGACCTCGGGCATAGACCCATCGTCCGCATAAACACAAGTCTGCTTCAACCTAGTGCACAGCGAACACGCAGGCTTCTCACCAGGACACCTCGACTTCTTGCGACTGCACTCAACAATATCAGTTTCACGATTCACCAGAATTTTGTGATTGCGGTCGCGGTATAGAAGAGACGTACCGGCAGGCTTCACATGCTTGAGACACGCGCTTAGGAGGTCGCCCGCTCTCCGGCGTTTGCTGCACACTGCTGTTCTCAATATCCATTGGATGAGGTTGAGGGGTGACAAAGGCGGTCCGTCTTGCCGGCCTTCGTTGTCAGTTGTCATACGGGAGCGGTCGCTGAAGACTGCTTCACGGTCCGGCTTGACCCGGCTGGAGGATGCCAAGCAAGAAGGCCCTTTGCGACTTCCCTGCTAGAAGCCAAAGGCGGGCCGGCTTCCGTCTTTTTCTGAGCTCGTTATCGCAGGATGCATCGTTTGAGGTTAGCGATGGCAGGGAAGAGTCCGATTCTTGACGAATGTGATTCGTCGTAGGATCATATGGCACGATAGTATGGTCTATCCGCAAGATATCCCAACCCATGGGGACGGCTGATATTCCGGTGGATATCGAGATATCTTTCTTCGCATTGAGATGTGATGAGTATGATGTATCTTCTGTAATTCCAGCGACAGGTCTGCAAAGCAGCTATTCAATATTCTTCACCCATCCTCTATCTCGACTGTCCTGTTCCAGCTCAACCCAAGGATCTTGTTGTCCATCTAGACACGGATAAGAAGTAGTCTGGACCGGCTGCTACAGCAATCAAGATGGAGCCATCTGAAAAGCGGCACCCGGCGACAGAACCCTACGAGACCGAAGTCAAAGAGATGCAGGAGACCACATGGAGTTCAACAAGCTCTTCGAATGCTTCGCTCAAATCAGTCCATGAGGAAGAAAACCTGGATGGCCAAAACGACCACACAGTAGCCTTTGCGGACCTCGAGCCAACTGCTTCCAGGAGTATTCAACCTCCACCACAATCCCATTCTGCATTCTTCGATCCCGAATATGAGGTCAGATGGGAAGAGAACGATGTTGAAGATCCCAAGAACTGGTCGGTTTGGAGGAAGGCGCATACCATCTTCGCTTGTACGATTGCGAGTTGTACAGTGTAAGTTATCCGATCGACATGTCCGTGTCTGGCGCTGACACACTTCATAGTGTCTTGTACTCTTCCGCGTATACTTCAGGCATTTCGGCCCCACACGGCATGACCGAGGAGCTTGGGGTCCCTAATTCGACGATATCCCTTCTAGGCTTGACAACGTACCTCTTTGGTATGGCTGCTGGTAGCATGATCTGGGCTCCACTGAGCGTAAGTAGACATGACATTGACATGTTCAAACGTGTCTGACTCTCTCTAGGAAATGTTTGGACGCCGCCTGGTCTACATCTCAACATTGTTCGCGTTCATGTTCTTCATCTTTCCTTGCGCCATCGCCGAAGACGTGTCGGTTGTTCTTGTGTGCCGCTTCTTCGCTGCGATGGTCGGATGCTCAGTCGTTTCAAACTCACCTGGTACCATCAACGACGTCTCCACAGACAAACACCGGGCATTTACTTTCAGTTGCTGGTGCGCAGGATTAATGAATGGGCCCGTGCTCGGACCTTTGATAGGAGGATTTGTCTTTGATAACCTGGGATGGCGATGGATCCACTGGATAACATTGATGCTGGCCGGCGTGTCGTTCCTGCTGATGGCAACTGTACCAGAGACGTATGGTCCCGCTCTCCTCAGGCGTCGTGCCAAGAAGATGAGAAAGGAGACTGGTGATGACCAGTGGTGGAGTAAGCACGATGAAAAGCGAGCATTCTGGCCTTTGCTTGGAGCATCACTCTGGAGACCGATCTATCTTACCGCAACCGAGCCGATTCTCTGGTTCTGGGATCTATATTTCTTGATCATCTACTCGATGAATTGTGAGTCTAGCCTTATGTCGACAGCGTCGCAATATACTGACTCATGGACAGACTTGACGTTCGTCATTTACCCAAGAGTATTTGTGGGACTTCGTGGATGGTCGACAGGCCACACTGGCCTCTCATACCTAGGCATCGGCGTCGGTAACGTGTTGGTGATCGCGTGCGAACCTCTTCTGAGGAAGCTGATTCAGCGAAGGAAGCTGGACAACAATGGCAAGCCAACTCCCGAGTCGCCGGTGTTCATTGTGTGTATCGGAGCAATTCTGGTGCCGATTGGCGGGTTGATGTTCGCTTGGACGTGTACACCGAACGTGCACTACATTTGGCCAATCCTCTCGGGCATTCCATTCGGAGCAGGCACAACAGCAACGTTCATCTACGGATCCAACTACATCGGACGTAGTTATGGGATGTACGCAGCATCCGCCATGGCTGGCAACGTATTGACGCGCACAATTGCTGGCGGTACACTTCCGTTGGCCGGGCCAGCGATATGGGATGCTCTGGGACCAAATTGGCAAGGCACACTCTTGGGGTTGTTGGAAGTTGTGATCATCCCTATTCCGTTTGTGTTTTACAAGTACGGCCACCTGATCAGACTCAAGTCGAAGTTCATCAGCAGGATGGAACAGGAAGCCAAGGGAAGAGAAAAGGAAGGCGCATAGATGTAGGGCATAGACTTGGACCATAGACATGACTAGAGTGAAATGATGAGTATGACGGTTGCAAGACAAGACAATGGAAAGAAGGAACGATTGAGAGAAGCAAGAAGTGAGACTTTTGAGCTGTCAAGCTCAAAGCGGCAGTCACAACCCCGCACAAACGATCAACACCTTCCGTCACTTGTTGGGCACCACCGAGTCCTCGACAGACGCCCACCCATACCTCGGCCATATCAAACACTCGCCATCTTCCGCATGGCTGACGGCAAACCCAAGAGATCATTGTTCAAGCGCCCAGCCTGGGCCGCGACTACCGCCGCGCCGCCTCCAGCTTCAGCATCTCCGGACTCGACAACAAAACCGGACCCGCCCACCGACATTTTTAGCCACTCGCACACTTTCAGCGAGCTCGTCGAGGATCGCCAGCGCCAACGCCAACGTAAGAAGAGCGACAAGGATATCCTACGACGGAGTCAGACTAGCGAATCGAAAGATGAAGAATTGCGGGCGGGCAAGCGCCGGCGCATAAGCAACGACAATGTCAGCGAGCCGTCTACAAAGCCCAAAGCAAAGGACACGGAAAGAAAGACTTCGATACAAGCATCTGCTGGTTCGGAAAGCTTTGCGATCGCTCCTACACCACAAAAATCACGGCCGCGGAAAGAGACAGTCATAGAGCTGCTAGACGACTCGGACGACGATGATGTCTCCGTTAGCTTCAACAATGGCACACACGACATCACTCCCTCGAACGCTACGAGTCTTGAACCCACACCCGCCGCAGAAGCAGATCAGGATGCCGACTTGGAGGCATACTACTCCGATCCAGAAATGCGCGAGTTTGCCCGTCAAGCCCGCGAAAAGCGAAGACGAGAGGAGCGAGAACGAACAGAGAACGGCGTACATGATCCCACAGTCAAACTACTCATCACCTCACCATTACTCGGCACTGGCCCCCTGATTGTATCGCGAAAGCTATCACAAAACTTGCAAGCTGTACGAGAAGCGTGGCTCAGCAAGCAACTGTTGGACCCATCAGTAGCCAGTCGTGTCTTCTTTACCTACAAACTGCGCAAGGTGTATGATGTGACTACTGTTCGCAGTCTGGGAATCAAAGTGGATTCTTATGGCCGTATTATGACCAACGGACCTTTCGCTAACACCGACGACGAACATGCCGAGAAGATACACATTGAAGCCGTGACGGACGAAGCATGGCAAGAACTCAAGGCTAAGAAGGCTGCCAAAGATGCGCCGAAGCCGAACAGGTACCTCAGCGACATGGCCGCCGCCAACAGTAGACGCGCTAGTGCCGAAGGCACACCTGCAGTGGATGGAAAAGCTGCAGCGGAAGAACCTCTGATCAAAGTCACGCTGAAAGCAAAGGGTCACTCAGACATCAAGATCAAAGTGCGACCGGTGAGTTTCTACCCTATGACCGCTTCAAACATTCTTACTGATAAATCATGCGCAGAGTACGACTTTTGTCAAGATGATCAATGCAGCGCGACGAAGTTTCAAACTCGATGCTGAGCGGGTTGTTCACCTCGAGTTCGACGGTGAGAGGCTGGAGCCGCCAGAGGGTCTGGTCAAGGATACAGATATCTCGGACATGGATTGTATCGATGTTCACATCAAGTGAGGAGTGGTGGTGTTTTCTCAACGAACATGTCTTTTTTCCCCTTTTTCGAGCGATGGCGTAAGGGGGTTGGGCAGAATGCCTGGTGGAATTGGCATCTTCTTCGACCACATGACAGTGAGGAAGTTTGTGGTTTATGATTTAGTTCTCGTTAGCGTCAAGAACATTTTCCTTCGTTCTCCTTACTACGGTCCTCTTCACGTGTACAGTGCAAAGCGTCTCTGATCTCTCGGTCCCCTCAGAAGCTGTGGCCGCCCCTGCCACGCAAGCTCTTGCTGCTGTGACCATTTCTGCAGATACCTCAGCCCGGGACAGGTTCAGTCTTTTGTGTGCCAGCTCCAACAAATCGCTGCTGCAGATCCTGTTTCTCCTTGTCGTCATCCACCCGTATGATCTTTCATTGTCCCCGATAACCCTTGTATCCTTTTTCTTTCCCTCACTGCCCCATCTTTACCCAGCTATGCAAGTCACAGGCTCTTTTGTAACTCTCTCGCTCTTCTTTCTCACACCAAATGACTCGGCAGCAAGAAATTTGCAATGCCTTCCTTGACCGCATACTCGTGTCCACAATGCCCGCAAACCAATTTACCGTTTGCAACACTCGTTTCCACCAGCAAAGCATGTAGATCCTGCAGCGTTTGTGTGGGTTCCTTTGTCTGCTCGTCTAGCAAATCCGAAGCTTCTGGTGCGGTTTCAGGGAGGGTGGGGAGACCGAGCTGTTTTGGATGCGCCTTTGATCAGCATTTGTGCCTCTTGGAACCATGGATGCAGAGGCAGAAGTGGTGGTTGGAGGGAGAACGTAGGGTGGGGAGCAAGGGGGTGTTGAAACTCACCTCTTCAGCTAAACTCCTGATGGCCTTCCAATCTAATCTCGGCAACACATTGACCAAGAATTCTGGATTCAGGTCTTGGTCTACGCGTTCGAGTTCTGCGTCGCGGGGGTGCAAAGGGAAAGCTGCGGTTTCTTGTTTGCAGGCTTTGCGGGCGCAGGTGAGGAAGTTGAGGGTGAGGAGTTTCATTTTCGGTGTGAGGTTTGTGTTGGTTGTTATCGTTTGCAGAATAAGGTGGTGTTGCGGTGTGGCGTGAGTGGTGTAAATGTTGGATTGTAGAGAGAATGGTTGATTGCGACAAGAGGTTGTATGGTTTGAGTTGTGTGTGAGAGGGACAGTGGTGGAACAAAGTGACGATCGATGCGAGATTGCGGAGAGGAAAAAAGATCAAGGGTTCGGAGTTTGTGGCCCGGAGTTTGGGCAAGCTGCTCACGCACTCACTCCTTCCAGCAATCATGTGTGTCCGTATACCAAAGAATCTATCTTGCATGCGATCGTATAGGTTTGATCATGTGGTATCTTCAGCCATTCCTGTTCTAAGATATGGTCTGTTTCGTACAAGTGCTTACAGAACCTGCCTGTAGCCTACTACATTTCTCTTGTCGCTCCAAAATCTGCTATGCAATGTCAGAAATATCAGAGTAATCATTATTTTCATTCCAAAAAATGTGTACTTTGCGAGTAAAACAGCAGAACTGAATTTGCTGCTCTCCCACATAATACTAAAGCAATATCCAGCATTGCGCGAGTATGTCTGAGGCAATCAAGAACTCCATGTTGTTGGGTTGAAATTATGGTCGCGGTTGGTTTGAAAGCCTGTCCGCTCAATGCTAATGGATATTTGTATGAGTGTCTTCGCTGGTGATGCATGCTTCTTCCTGTCATCTCCGCCTTCTACCAGAATCACGTTCGACATCCTCGTTTTCCTCTGGCACAGCCGGTGTCCTGCGATCGTGTCGCTTTGATCTTCTCTTCCTTCCGAAGTCGATGTTGCTGGCAGAGTCATCGGGTGCGAGCTCTGATCTTCCATCGTCGAAGATCGATTGTTGCTCGTCGTCCCACGGTCCACCAGGCGTACCAATCCTCACACCAATGTCAGATGCCATAGAGCCCCTGCGTGCTTTGGCAGCCATCGCTAATCCAGCACTACGTTCGCGAAGCCTTTGTCTAACAGCTTCAGCCTGCCTGTGCAACACTTCGAATTGATCGTCAAGGGCTTCCATGCCGCGATAGATCTCGCGTTCCATCTGAGCCAGGACGGCAATCTCGGTTTCTTCGTCCATTTGGACGGGAGCTGGGGCCCCGCCGGGCATACCTGGGGCTGGTGTTGTGCCGCGAGAGGGAAACATGTTTGGTGTGTGGTCTGGTGACATGACGTTGCGGAGGGGTGAAAATGGGGTCGTGTTGCGAGATGGCACACCTCCACTAAATGGCGTTGTCGTTCTAGACATAGGTGTCATGGTCGACCCGTAAAGTGCAGAAGGTGGCACTGTTTCCGCTCCGCTCCACAGGAAGCCATCGAACCGACCGGATACCAGGATATCCCATTCTCCAGCACTCACTGCAGCAAGCGTGGCGAGCATACTGTGTAAGTGTAGATTGTTGAGCAAATAGATGGTGCACTCTGGGTCTCTCGGCAAGTGTGGTAGACGATACAGACGTTGTAGAGCAGCAGCAGTCTTGGCCAAGACTTCGTTCTTGGGCTCGGTAACAGGTGTCGGTGCTCTAGAAGAAGGCACAGTTGAGAGACCTTTCATCAAAGCTGTGAACAGCGGCCTTCGTGCAGGGTCGATGTGTGTTAGTATAGCAAAGGTCAATGTCTCGTCATCAACTTCCTGTGGAGGGCTGGATGGAAAGTCTGGCTGCCGTACTAGCCAATCCTGAACAGATCGCTTGGTTTTTGCATTCTGTTTAATATAGTGAGCACGATATTCGTCCGGCACGTCAGGGTCGAGTTTCTGCATGGGTTCGACTCCAGAGAGGTTATAGCCTGGTGCGTCGGATGACAGAGAAAACGGCGGCCACTGTGGAAGCTCTCTACGGCCAGCAACATATTCCAGGATTTCACCCCAGCTTATTCCCGTATCCTCTTCGTCAGAAAGCGCCGTCTGAGCAGTCTTCAGGCATAACACACACTTGCAACGCTCGTGAGAGATGCTGCGTGCAAAGACAGCCTCGAGACGGTCGAGTAGTCTCCTAGCGACTGAGCGATATCCGGTAGCTACAGCCAGTGACCCGCTTTTTGACAGAACTTTTCCAATATCTTCAAGGCGACCACTCACAGGAGCAAAGATGTATTGAACATCAACTGCAGAAGGTATGCGGGGAGACTGGTACTGAGCATAAGATTGAACAGGTTGGTCATTGGCGGGCGGAACGATGGACTTTGAGATTAGGTACGGCAAGCCGCCATTCTGCAGCAGATAGTCGACACGAGGAGTATCTTGAGCAAAGACCATTGGTGGAGGTGGCGGTGGGGGAGGCATTGCTACCGAGTCCGGATGAGCGGAACGAGGAGAGTAGCCAACGGGGAAGGCATCGACACCAGGAGTGGATTTTGGTCTTTGAACATACGGAGGGAAAGCCGGGTTCTGTGGAGTAGGAGTGCGCGGTGACGAGTCAGGCCTTGATTGGGGAGAGTAGTGCTGGTTCACAGAAACAGGTGGAGGTCTGGATGGGAGCTTGCGTTCGGGGGCAACTGAGGTAGCTTGCGAGTCAACAGTCGTCTGGCTGACAGTTGAGGCAGGCTGGGAGGGGGCCTTGTTGTACTTGGTTGAGCCGGTGCTGGGAGCAGACGTCTCAGAGACGCTCGAAGGAGATGGACGGCGGCTGCTCGCTGCAGAACCTGTCATATTCACACGCAAGCCGGATTCCATACTTCTTCTAGAATCGAGGCCGGCTTCGGACTTGACTCTGTCTGTGTGACTCCTCATGTTGATCCCGCTCTTTGCTCGTCGAAGATCCGCATCGTCGCCAGTCACAGGAGTACTCGGTTGGGCACGTGAGGGACTGTCGGCCATGTCTGCCGGTGTACGAGGTGTTGGCTCATGAGTATCGGTAGTGCTTTCTGAGCCTGGAGTGACGGCTTCTCTGCTGTGTGCCTTTGAGAAGTTTGGATATGACTGCGGCCGCTTCTCGCCGATGGACGACCGGCGCTCCATTTCTGGTATCGACATGGAGACTTTTCTTGGCGAGCGTTCTGACAGGGTAGATTTATCGGGTCGTGAGGGACTGTACTCTCTGCTTGCGTTGCTGCGTCGACGAGCAGTTGTCTTTCTGGCCGATGATTTGTGTCGTTCCTTGGTATCCTTGTCCCTGGAGGACGGTCGATCGTAAGACTTTTTGCGCCGACGAGGCTCCTCTTCGCGAGAGGAAGGCATGCTGAATTACGACAGCCCAGAAGGCAGGAGCGATGCGGGCGTGGGTTTCAGCAGTGGCAGCAGTAGCAGCAGCTACCCTGGTGAGCTCTCTCGACCCTGCGTGAGACAAGACTGGAGTTGGGCAGAATTGCGGCGGCTAACAAAGCGATCTTGTCACTCGACGCCCCAGGCCAGCGCAATCCATGCATCAGTACCTGACATGATTACACCAAACATCTCGCGACACCCCTCGACATTGCAGAAGAGGCTGGACAGCCTGGATAAATGCAAGCCATGACCATATTTTGGTCTGAGAACCGTTGCGCCCCGACCCTTGACACGCTCGGCGGGACCCTGACGTCTTGAACTTTGACCTTGATCTGACTGGCTCCTGCCAGGCACTCTGCATGTCAGCATTGTATCATGTCTTACTCTGATCCAGCAGAGAATCTACCGTCAAGAGACGTGCCGGATATCTACCACGATCATTCCTCGTGTGCTCATTGGGGCTGTCCAAAATGTATTGTTGCACAGTGGAGCTCTTGGTATCACCAGGGTTGGTCGTATAGCAAACTTTCCAGGATACACTACTCGATCAATCTGGGCCAGGAAGTGTTGCATGAGTCGCTGCGGACTTGAAGATTTTCCTGTGTTTTTACAATGACTGGTTCTGGTATACGTTGGTAAAAGATGTTTAGTCAAGATGGATAAGAGCTGAACATTTATCATTCGGATGATCAGATGTGTTGTGCACCCTGCACTCTGCACGTCAAGCACTTGACAACGTCCTCACACGCGACTGCTGACCAATGTTACAGGCATTACAACAACAAAGACAGGCTTCAGAAAGATGGAAGTTAGAACTAGATATGGGCGTAGAAAAACAAATCGGCGGAGTGACCAAAAGTCAAGACACACATGGATTTATCCCCGCCAATGAGGTGACGTGCGATACAGGACAGCCGATTGCGGGCGGCGGGGCGGACAGGTCGATGGATCAACGCGAAAAATTGTCGCTCCGTCACAAAGTCTCCTTCTCTAAACCAGCTCTTGTCACCGACAGATTTTGGTATCCTCATCCTCACAATGGCCGCCAACAACTCGCAAAAGATTGGTAAGAAGCAGGATCGATAGCTATCCATCTCAAGCCGAGAGGCACAAGCTCACGCAATGCTCAGCCATCTTGTCCGTCTACGACAAGACGGGCCTGCTCGACCTGGCCAAGGGCCTCGTCAAGAACAATGTCCGTCTGCTCGCATCTGGCGGCACCGCCAAGATGATCCGTGAGGCCAACTTCCCCGTCGAGTGAGTCTCTTTCCAGCAGCTGCAATGCCACGGCCAGAGCTGACTGCGGCGCAGAGATGTTTCGGCCATCACAAAGGCTCCCGAGATGCTCGGTGGCCGTGTCAAGACTCTCCACCCTTCGGTCCACGCCGGTATCCTTGCCCGTGATCTCGCCTCGGACGAGAAGGACCTGGCCGAGCAGAACATCAACAAGGTCGACTATGTCATCTGCAACCTGTACCCTTTCAAGGACACTGTCGCCAAGATCAACGTCACCATCCCCGAGGCCGTCGAGGAGATTGACATTGGTGGTGTCACCCTCATCCGTGCTGCTGCAAAGAACCACTCGCGTGTCACCATCCTCTCAGACCCCAACGACTACCACGACTTCCTTTCCGAGCTCGAGAAGGGCGATGTCACCGATGCCACCCGTCAAGGCTTTGCCCTCAAGGCCTTTGAGCACACCGCCGACTACGACACTGCCATTTCCGAGTTCTTCCGCAAGAAGTACGCCGGCAACGGCAACCAGCACGTCTCGCTGCGTTACGGTACCAACCCCCACCAGAAGTCTGCCGCTGCCTTCATGAAGGACCAGAAGCTGCCCTTCAAGGTTCTGTGTGGTGCTCCCGGTTACGTCAACTTGCTTGATGCTCTGAACGCATGGCCTCTGGTCAAGGAGCTCAGCGCTGCTCTCAAGTTCCCCGCTGCCGCCAGTTTCAAGCACGTCTCGCCCGCCGGTGCCGCCATTGGTGTCCCTCTTAACGAGGTCGAGCGCAAGGTCTACATGGTCGACGACATCGAGGGCATCGAGAGCTCCGGCCTCGCCCAGGCTTACGCCAGAGCCCGTGGTGCCGACCGCATGTCTTCGTTCGGTGACATGATCGCTCTGTCACACGAGGTCGATATCCCCACCGCCAAGATCATCTCTCGCGAGGTCTCCGACGGTGTCATCGCTCCCTCCTACACCAAAGAGGCTCTCGAGATCCTCAGCAAGAAGAAGGGCGGTCGCTACCTCGTCCTCCAGATGGATCCCGAGTTCGAGCCCGCCGCTCAGGAGTACCGTACCGTCTATGGCATCAACCTCACTCAAGGCCGCAACGACGCCCACATCACCCCTTCGGAGAGCTTCGGCACCGTCATCACCCCCAAGGACTCTGCCGCCCTCCCCGAGTCTGCCCTCCGCGACTTGACCGTCGCAACCATTGCCCTCAAGTACACCCAGTCCAACTCTGTCTGCTACGCTCTCAACGGCCAGGTCATTGGTCTCGGCGCCGGCCAGCAGAGCCGCATCCACTGCACGCGTCTCGCCGGCGACAAGGCCGACAACTGGTTCATGCGCTTCCACGAGCGCGCCCTGAACATCAAGTGGAAGAAGGGTACCAAGCGCCCGGACAAGAGCAACGCCATCGACATGCTGTGCAGCGGCGTGCTCCCGGCCTCGGACGAAGAAAAGCACGAGTACGAGAAGATGTTTGACGAAGTACCCACTCCCTTCTCCGCCGAGGAGCGTCAGGCTTGGTTGAACAAGCTTTCCGAAGTTGCTGTCAGCTCTGACGCTTTCTTCCCTTTCATCGACAATGTGTTCCGTGCTGCTCGCTCGGGAGTCAAGTATATTGCTGCTCCCACCGGCAGTCAGAATGACCAGGCTGTCTTCACTACTGCCGAGAAGTTGAACATTACTTTTGTTGAGCAGCACATTCGTCTGTTCCACCACTAGAGTGCTTTTTTTCTTGCTGGGATGTAGGAAACAACATTGAATGAGGCTCGCGTTTCAACACCGACCGACCCTCCTGATGGGATATTAGAAAGGACAATTGTACATCCGAAAGGGAACAACAAAAAAGGAGGATGCTTATCATGTTTTTACACTAAGTTATGACTGAGACGAAAAATAACAGATTACCCAACTATTCAACTTTCGGACATGCATTTTTTTTTCTTTTTCGGAGAAGCAATCCCTTGTCGACATGTTGGAAATCGTGCTCTTTTGCATGAAGGAAAAAAAGAAAAAGAAAAAAGAAAAAAGTAATTTAAACCATGCACCAGGCCAAATCGTGAAACATGGCTCTTTGTTAGATCAAAAGAATTTCCTTTCCCAACACGACTTTGGGGTGATGCTGAACATTGAGACAGTCAACTTGGCAAATTTACTGCCGAAGGGCAAGGTCGTAACTTCGAGCCTGGGTATGCCATGTCATGCTATGTACCTTGGGTCTGGGAGTATGCAGCTACTTTCATGATCATTCTTTTTTTTTCTTTTTCACTTCGTCGTCAGTTATGATGGTAGATTGATGTAAGCAGCTGGTTCATTCGATCTTGAGTGTGGTTCAAGACTCTCAATGTACAACTATTTGCGTGTAGGTAGCAAAGCAGGTTCAAAGGACTACGCCGATGCTGAGAACAGCGAGAATAAGTGTAAAAGGTTTGTTCTTGAATATCATCATCTATAAGGTCTCGTGCACATGCTCCAAACCCGGTGTTGCTATATAGTACAGGGTACAAAGGGTGCAAAACGCATCAAGGATAGCTCGCTGCAAAAAGTAGCACGTAAAGTGACAATGACCAAGCAAACTCCCATGGCCTGCTGGACCTTTTGATTCGTGTTCGCCCTTGTTGCCATTTCATATCTCTGGGATCTGCCTTTTGACATTACAGTAGAACGCCATTGTCGTCGTTGTCGTCATAATCAATAAAAATACATGAAGAAGTTTAGTTTATTAGTACTGGTATATTGTGAGTCGTGTCATGTGTCGAAAACTTAGAAGTTTCTGCTGGGCTCGACGGTTTGGCCATTGGCACGAATGGGGTTCTCGCTGGCGTATGAAGCGCTCTCGGAGAAGGTAGGACCGCCAGAGTAGGAAGGTCCGTTGCCACCGTTCTCGATCATCTCCTCAACACTAGGGAAGCGATGATCCTTGCTGTGGATGGCAGGGAAGAAGTCCATGGAGTAGTGTGCTTGGTAGATAATGTAGATGAGTGAGATGACCCATTCCAGGATGGCGGCGGTGTTACGCTTGGAAGCATTACGGCCGAGCGCAACGAAGGCTAGGGTGATGTTAGCAGTGTAACCTGAGCATAACGTCATGAATGATCGTACCAATTGCGAGGGCAATCTCAATAAAGATGAAGGTCAACTTGATCCAGAAGGAGGCGCGCAGGATGCGGTGTTGGCGGAAGTGAATACCCAGACGCTGGTACTCAGCGCAAGCGAAGATTGCCGAGATGATGTAGCCAATACTGCAGAGGTTGTCAGCAATGATCGAGGAAGATGGACGAATGAACATACATGAAGACACCGAGACAGATGTCATGAGCTCTGGGGTGGTCTACAGTATCCAGGATGGTCAAGAGGATCAAACCGACTGCACCAATGATAGCAAAGGCACAAGCGAAGCCTGACAAGATCTTCTGTGTGATGGACGTGTTGTGGGCAAGACGTCCCTTGTGGCGCAGCCAGCGTTCAGAGACGAAGCAGACGTCGAACACGACGACAGAGACAGCGGATCCGGCTATGAAGAGAGGCTGGAGGTTTGTTGCGCCAATGTCCGAGATGTATGCGATCGTTTGACCTGGCTCCATGCTGACGTAGCGTGGTGAGCCTCTAGCAATCCAGGTGCCCAACATGCCGAGCAGTGTTCCTATTTTCGCTCGAGTCAGTCTTGAAGGTTTCGTATACCAGATGTGGCATTCAACGTACCCAGCCAGCAAGCGGCTGCGATGAGTGGCAGAAGCCAGTATGAGAGGCCGAACATGTTTGCGAGGTTCTATTATGTCCAAACAGGTCGAGGTAGGACTGTTGAAGGTTCGAGGTTGTCGCGTGAGTTTTGTGAGGAAATATTGTTGGTGGCTGGGGCCGTTGGGCAAGTGTATCGGTGTACAGAAGATTGACCGCAGCAGAAAGTATTATAGGAAGCAAGAGGTGAGGGGTGAGTGTCGTGGCAGGAACAGAGTGGTCGCAATGGTCAGTCGCAGGGATGAGAGGGCACGATCCAAGGTGAATGGAACGGCCTGGTTTTAGATGATGCTGGAGAAAAAGGCAAAGGCAGCGTCAGAGGTTCCAAAGCCACCATCGCTGAGCAAGCAGCAAAATGAAAAACGTCATAGGCGCATTACGGCATCCCTCGGAGCACGGCTCACCATCAACCGTCCTTGGGGGAAATTGCGATTGAAATTGTCATCGGTCGAAGCAAAAGGCTGGCATGGTGAGACGCATAGTCTGGTACGTTGGTATGTACTATTGGTACAGGAGCGTGTGAAGGGGCAAGGAAGCAGGCTATATGCACTCGGTCGTCCACTCCGCCGGAAGGCTTGATGTAGGACGGTTGTGGCTGACAGGGCGAGGATTCAGGAACAACGAAGAAGCCAAACGTAAATGCGATTGATTGATTAATTCCCATCAGATGTGTTGTTGAGATGCATAGCAAGTGGTCAAGCGTGTGGATGCTTTGGCGCCTTGACTCTGGAAAGCAGAAGGTGTGTGGTCTTGGACAGCGGCAACATGCGCGGCAAGAGAAGCGGCAGCAGCGCGCAGCCAGACAGGCACGAGAACAACAGTGAGAGCCAAAGTGGCAGTTGCAAAGCAGTACATGCTCAGGACTTCACTGCATGCTCAGATATGTGAGGGACCGAGGCCCCAGGTGCAGGTGGGTAAAGCCTTGGCAGCGGCGGCGGAAGGCGCGCGCACACACGAAAAGTCGCACGCGGAGTTTTGCCGACGAAATTCGCTCGCTGCCTGCGCTTCTCGAATCTCTGCCCTCTCTTTCCTGGTAGCGGACGTCGTCGACTAACACCACAGCAAACATGCCCAAGGAAGTCAAGCAGAAGAGCGGCCTCGCTCGCGGCTTGAACGCCGGCCACGTACGTTGATCCCTATACCATACCCACCGCCTGCAACAAGTCACTGCACCCGCCGCCGCCGTCCGAGATGCGAATTGCGATACAAGACGAGGACCACCAAGTTTTTGCACCAACGACCCAAGCACGATACACCCGACAAGCGCTGGACTCAATCGACCAAGACCGACACGCACAGACAGCCGCCATCGCATTCGCATCAACGACCTACGCACACCCCACTTCGAGATTCGATCATCCAAATCCTCACAAGATCAGTCGACTGACATGTCTTTCCTCTCTACAGAAGGTCACCCCCCGCCAACCCGCTGCCCGTGTCTCCCGCACCAAGGGTCACCTCAGCAAGCGCACCGCTTTCGTCCGTGACGTTGTCAAGGAGGTTGCCGGGTACGTTCTGCCTCTTTGCTGAGCTTGAAAATCTCTTCGACCTTGGCCTGCTCGACCTCAATGAATTCAAACTAACAACTTCTCAAGTCTCGCCCCCTACGAGCGCCGCGTTGTTGAACTTCTCCGCAACTCCAAGGACAAGCGTGCCCGCAAGCTCGCAAAGAGAAGAGTACGCCTCCATCGACACCACTCCACCCTGGAAACATGTCCGCTAACACAAGACACAGCTTGGTACCTTCGGCCGCGCAAAGAGAAAGGTCGACGAGATGACCAACTACATCGCCGAGTCCCGTCGCGCTGGTCACTAAACTTATCAACCTGGGTGATCGCTGGTTGTAAAGTCAAAGTCAAAATGAGGAGTTAGTTCTTACTTTTTACGGGCACGCAATGCTATGTGCAATGGGCAAACCATGTTCCTTTTTTTCCGAATACCCATGCAAGCGAAAAGAGTCACTGCAACAAAAGTCTTGACGGCAGTGGCCCGCACGCTGCACGTTGCTAGGGTGGATGAAGGAAAAAAGAAAGACTATCTTCTCGAAATGAAAATGAGAAAATTGGTCCCGCCGTTCATGATTAACATCTCTTGGCCGCTCTTCTCTGTCTGCAGTGACCTTTGCTACTGACAATCCACGAAGCTCATTACCTGCTGGAGTGGTTCTACTACCTTACAGTTCAACAACAACTTGCTTTCTTGGACGCATACACCGAGCTCGACCCTTACGACCACTCTCCAGATATCAAACGCTCCACACGCTACGCCGTATCATCTTCAACCTGCGCTTCAACAGAAATCTCCCATCAATGGCCAATGTCCATAGTTGAACAATAACGAAGCTGGTGCCCAAGCTGGTACTCTACCAGATCATCACGAGTCTGTAAGTCTGCTTGTACGGTATGCATCTATGTCCCCTAGTGCCTCGGTCGTCTTATCATCGTTATCTCTTTTTCTTCCCTCAACTCTCGCCCGGCCAGTCAGCCAATCTTTCGTTTCCAGGCTCCTCTACAGGCACAATCGCTCTTCCCTCCCCAGCCCTGTTTCTACTCGGTCACTCCTTCCTTCTACGCATTCTCTTCCTGCCTGGTCGTATCTTCTCTCGTTGTAAACACCATCGTCCTTGACTCGTATGCATAACCACTTTATTGAGTAATGACCCACATTTCCTGGTATGATTGATTTATCAGCACATGTTTCTAGCTCCCTTCGTACGCAAGCAACACCAGAATGGTATCGTCCAACGCCAATCCCGCCAACAATGTTGTTCCGTATTCCTCCAAGTTCCTTATAACGCCCAAAATATCGCACTCTACACCTCCCCTTCTAGTAAGCAGTAAACGCTTGCGGCGTGTACTTGAACTCCTTCACCACCGGCGTCACAACCTGCGCACCACCAGCCTCCAAGTCAGGAATCTCTCCATTCGCCTCCCGCAACGCCGCAGCTTGACGCTCACGCTCTTGTTTCTCGGCAGCCACACGGTTGATGTCTGCTTGCACGCCTCTGGTGTAGAGTCTGGGGATGTACCACCAGATGAAGGCCAGACAGATTAGGCAGAGACCGCCGAGGACGCCGACAGGGATGGCCCAAGAGGATGCGCCCATGGTGATGTTTTGTTGTGGTGTTTGGAAAGGTCAAGTGTATAGGTGGTATGGTGGAATGACTTTCGATTTGGCTTTGCGAAGAAGCTTTACTGGGCAGGAGAAGACTTGGCTGAATGGTATGAGTGAGCTTGGTGATGATGTATTGGAACCGTGCGAAACTTGGTAGGCTTTTCGAATCACTGACTCTAGCTCGGGTTTGGATGCTCTAAGTTTTCGCGTTGTATCTCTATGAGTTTCGTTTGCGAGCGCAAAGGCGACAGACTGACGATGGAGGCACGAAAACCAGGAAAAGACTTGGCTGTATTGAGTGCAGGCGCAAGGCAGTTATCCCCATGGAGCGGGGTCAGCCACCCACACTTTGAGTACAGCGGTACCTTGAAGCGAAGGATCGATTTCATGATTCATCCTTCGACACCATCACGTCCATTCAATGGACTCGCCAACCAGCACAAATTCCTCAGTTCCGGAGAGAACAATCTATTCCCATCGATGCTATCTATTTGCTCGTCTTGACGAACGAAGAAGTGTCGACGATTGAAAGGATCGAATACCAAATCCACAAGTTCGCAGACTGTCAACATACAACAAGCACTGGAACAAGCATCTTACCGTTGTGAAGGTGTGGAGGCTAGCGAGATGGCTTGATCATATATTGACAACGACCAATCAAACACATCCGACTCAGCCCAGTGTTTCCTACAACAGCATATGCACAGCCGCATGCGACATCAGAGTGTCAGCTGGGCAAGTAACCTTGAGCCGTCTTATCCGTAACATCTCAAAAAGTTATTTGGCCCGCGACTCATCTTTGGTGTTCCTGAGCGACTGAAGCTCGACTGATGCAGATATCCATCGACGCTTCCTCTGGTTTGATTGTGCCAACGATGTCGCTGTTGGCTTGACACCTCGACTTGCTAACGACAAATTTGTTTAGCTGGTGTCTTCTACTTGTGTACTGCCCTCTACGTTCAAGTAAAGGGCTCATGCTTTTCTGATTCGCCCTCCTCGATGGTCTTCCAGGTCTTTGGACATTTTGAACTTGTCATCCACTAAGCTTGACTGAAATATTTCAGTGGTTGTGGACGCAGTTCCATGCCTGTCTGGCAACAGTCTTCACATCATACCCACCTGAGGTAACCCGATCGGTCCCCAACTGCCAACGTGTAAAGAAAAAACTGGTCTTCTTAAGCTCACTGGTCTGGTCTGCTCTAGTCTGGAATATTTTCAAGACTGTATTGGAACATTGGGTCGAGAAGAAGCAACAGTAGTTGTGTCACTGAGTTGCTTGACTGTCTTTCACGTACATGAATCCTCCGCTCGCTATTACAAGCATGGTTGCATATCCAGACTGCGCTCTCAGAAGCTGCTGATGTTGGTTCCCAAACAAAGGAACACTGTTGGTGTCTGCAAGAGACATTGCCCTGGGCATTTTCGAATTTTTGTAAGCCTTACCTGGACGAAAGACATTGACTCCATGTGGTCTTCGATGCTGGCAATGGCCAATAATACCAATGTAGCTCTCTTGCAACATACAGAGTCCCCGGACCTTCTCGGCTGAATATCTGATATCCTACTACGCGTCAAAAGAGGTCGATAGTATTGCAGGTCAAAAATATCAAGCCAATTGTAGAGAGTTGTGTGCGAATTATAGCCTTGCACCAGTGTCTATGTTGCTTCAATCAGGACATTGTTGCGATTGACAGTTGTACCCAAGAAACACCGAAGCTAAGTCTAACGTGTCTGTGTAACCAAGTACAACTTGTCTCGATAGTTATTGTTCAGTAAGTCACATTGCAGTCAGACCAATCTGACAATTCTATGAGCATTGGTCAAGCAGTGTCTCGCAGGACTGCACGACTTGAGACTTTTCAAGGACTGTCTCGCGAAGCTTGTCTCTGATTCTGTCTCTGGTTTCTTGGAAACATTCATGTCGCAGGTAGGAAGATGTCCGAGAACAAAGGGAGAGCAAAGGCATATATGATGCTTTGCAATCACCATTCAACCATATCATCAAAACCAACAAACACTCATGACCTCATCCATCAAACACCATGATCGGAATCTCAACATCTCGCACGGAAGCAGCAACCTACGTCGATATGGACATGCTTTCCTCGACTCCCACTCCAGCATCTGCTCCAGACACCATACTCGAGTCCATTGAGAAACAATGTATAGTCTTCCAGTCCCGCATCGACTCCGTAAAGACTCTCTGCTCTAGCAACCTATTTCTAAACACAATCGACTGACGGCTCACAAATAGTATCAACACGAACTCAACCGCATCCAAGCCGAAAATGCAGACATCCACCACAAACGTAACGTTCACAAGCAAGAGCATGGTCGTGACCGACTCATCGACAGTGCGTCTCCAGATTCAATGGTTGTCAAGCAAGAAGATACGGAGGAGGTGAGCATAAGAGAGGCGAACGAGAAGAGAAAGCAGTTGAAATGCCGACTTGACCAGCTTCAAGAGGAGATGGATGAATTGAATTTGGAAATGGACAGAGCGATGGAAAAGGTGGAGACCTATCTTCAGTGATGGTGAAGTTGGAGTCTGGCGTGGACAAATTCGCGGAATCTTGTAATTGTCTGTTCGAGAAACATTGTATCGGGGGAACCTCAACAACAGATGATGGGTACACCTTCAGCTTTAGCTACAACATCTGCTGTTCTGGCCCGTCATAGGACTTGTCTCCGGACTGGAGAAGGCGACATTGTCGTTCCATGATCTCTTCTTCAGCGGAAATGTTCAAAGCCTATAACGTGCGCTCGAACAAGCTAATGGTCTGGACAGAGGGCTCGAAGAGCGAACGCGCAGTACGAAACGAGAACGGAGCGGCGCCACGCGAGTGGCTCCAAGAGCTGGTACGCTGATTGATACATACGTTGATCCAGCCTTTGAAATAGCGATATTATAACAACATCAGACGAGCGGCTTTTTTCCCCTGCTTTAAACTAGTTACATCGCACTACTTCGTACAGACTTGGTCCCATGCTTCTGAACCCCACGGATACGACTTATCAGTAAAGTGCCGTGTCTTCGAAATGATATTCTGGGCCACGATCGGACTTTCTGCTTGCCGAAGAGCTCTGTCAAGTCAATTTAACAATCTCACGTATACTCGTAACACAGAATTTACAACGTCCCATCATCGCATCGCTTGATCTCGTAGAGTTCGTGCTGCACTGTGCTCATATCCTCCACTTAAAATGAAAGAGAATTCAGGTCGATGATGATATGGAATATTTTTTGCTTGACTTCCGGATCTTGTAGAGGTTCGACAAATACATTGTGTTTCTTTTGCTTCCAGTCATCCAAAGAGCGCTCCGCCCATCTCAAATAAGTTTCGATAGCAGTTGGATAGTGATACCAAGAGAAGCCATTACTATCGAAGTCCTTGACATGTACGCTAAGGATGATACGAGTCGGATGAGAAGGACATGGGTGCACTTGATCAGGCTGACATGATGTTGTTGAGTTACCGATCGAGTGCGTTTCACTATTGGCTGGCATCAGAAAATAGGAATCAAGCGATAATTTAGTATTGACCAATGTGGGGAGGTGACTTCTCGATATTTGTACAGCTTCATGAGCACCTTGGAGTAAAGTCGGAAGCGCCGTGGCGTAATTGGCTGAGAAGTTGAGACTACCCTACCCAATCCTACCAGGGTCAGAAAAGGTGACTGGCTGCACAAGTACTCTAGCAGGAACAAGAGCTTAGCATTTCGCAATCGTTTGCGAAATACCAAGCATTGAGATTCTTGAGAGCATTGTTGATAACGTAGAACAGAGCGCGTGCCGTAGTATCGAGATTGGCTGTGATGTTGAGGAGCTGTGGTCGAGCGGATCTACGGAAACAGCCAGGAAGCGGGAAGTTGCTGCATGCCTCACGATTGTCGAAGAGTTACTGATTTGGTGCACGAGAGTCTGTCATTGGATCATCGAGTGCATGCTTCATATAGAATGTGGTGTGATGCTATGAAGTCGGGGGTCTGTGTTGGTGGCGTAATGTCTTCGAGTACGATTGGTTGTCGAGAGAGACGTGGAGGGCGTCTGCGGGTGGACGCCGCTACCTCTGGTAACAGTCGAGCTCTGGTAACAGTCGAGGCCAGCTGAGTAGCGTTTGCGACCATGTTCCGGAATGCTATCGACCGGAAAACAGGTCAATTGACCGGAATCTCGGTCGTCGACTATACGGCAATCAGCACGGATGCCCAGTTTTCAGCTGACTGTGGCCGTATGTGCTGAGATCCCAGAATTTGTTTTTTCCCCATCGAATATCCAGCGACAGCACATTATCATGGTCTAACATGGCTGTAGATGGTCTGCCAAACCCATATCGTTGTTCAGCACGCAGAAGACTGAATCTCGATCGCCTTCTAGTCTCTCAATGTGTGTCGTGCTTTTCTCCACTTCTTGCAACCTCTAGTTGTGACTTCTTTTCCTGCCTTTCTGGGAACAAGCAGACACATCATTGTTTCCGATATTGTGCACTAGTGACAACTCCAGCTCACCAGATTCGCCATTCAGACACGCCTAGATAGTACATTTATGCGAGATTCACAGACTAAATGGTATAAAGATGTGTTGTGGTTGCTCCACATCACTGTCGTTGATATTTTATGTCGTTAAGGGTACAACCCTGACATGTTAGCACAGCAGCAAACCCCAGAAGAGCAAAGGCGAGCGTTTTCAAGCAACATGGCAGGTATCAATCTGGGTACGACATGTTATGATGCTGTCTGTGAGTATTAAGAACCTTTGGTCTTCCTCGAGAACATGAATTGCAGTCTGTCGTCGCATTTGGCTCCCGACCCCATAACTTGTGGCGGCGGCAAGACTTCAGCTGCGACCGTAAGCTACCTGCAGAGTTTTGACAGAAGCTGAGTGGTGTCTGTGTGCGTCGTACGACCTCTAAGGACACTACGTCGTCTGTGTATATGTGTGGAGGTGAAAGTAATTAAGCATATAAGAGTCAGGATGTCAGCCAAAATGCGGCGCTTACAATTCTTGGCCGGTGTCTCTGAACGATGACTTCATGACGCGTTTCTAGTGGGCTCTCACATCCTCAACGCGTCCTTTTCGACATGTCGTGAAGTCATGGTGTTTGTTTGGTGTTGCTAGGATAATCCTTCTTGCTACAACCTGCTTTGTACCATTTTCTTGTCCTCGTGTGCTTCTATTCGCTGGATTATCGCCGAATCTCCCGCTGGTGACACGAAACCAACATGGCTGCCACGTACTTCACGTGTACTCTAGGTCAGGCACAATCTTTGGGTCTTACCAACGCCAACTTCAAGAATATCAACCATTTTGTCGATCTCCAAGCAGAGGCTATACCAGATCAACCTGCGGTCGGATTTGCCATTCCCTCAAACTCGGACTTCCAATGGAAGAGCAAGACTTGGACTTTCTCGGATCTGCAAGATGGCTCTAAACAGGTCGCTGCTCTGCTGCAAAAGTCACATGGGGAACTTCTGACCAAATCGGATACAGTTGCATTGATTTGTCCAAGCACTCCGGAGTTTCTGTTTACGTGGCTTGCTCTCATGAGACTAGGCCATCCAGTCTTACTGATAGCGCCGCAATGCCAACCGGCAGCGATTGCTCACCTGTGCAAGGCTTGCCAGACCACTGTCCTATTCCACGACGAGACTTATGCTGCTCAGTCTGAAGAGGCTGCCAATGTCACCCGCGACGATGGTGGAGAACTCCATGCTATCGAGTTACCGTTCAACAAAGGACACTCTCTGACTGACATCCTGGCAAACGGAACTTTCGAGTCTTTGAGCTTCCCTGAAGTCAAGGAGACAGATGTTGCATATCTCCACCATACCTCTGGCACATCATCTGGTGTACCCAAGCCAATCCCTCAAACACACCGCGCAGGTGCTGGTGTTCTCCCTTCGTTCCCTGACGGGAAGCAGTGTGCAACATTTACAACTACGCCACTCTACCACGGTGGTGTAGCCGATTGTTTCAGAGCATGGACGAGTGGTGCACTCATTTGGCTGTTCCCTGGCAGAGGCATACCGATTACTGCAGCAAACGTCATCAAATGCTTGGGTGCAGCAGAGAAGAATGCAGAGCAAGGTCTTCCTCCTGTTAAGTATTTCGCTTCCGTACCATACGTGCTCCAGATGATGGAAGCAGACGAGCAAGGCTTCAAGTATCTCCAAAACATGGACATCGTCGGTGTTGGTGGCGCTGCTCTACCGGACGAAGTCGGAGATCGCATGGTCGGCAAAGGAATCAATCTTATCTCAAGATTTGGCAGTGCAGAGTGTGGTTTCCTCATGTCGTCTCACCGCGACTACACAAAAGACACGGCATGGCAGTACTTGCGCAGCAATGCAGGAGCTGAGTACCTCGTCTTCGAGAAGAATGAGGACGGGCTCGCCGAACTGGTGATCAAGCCAGGCTGGCCACACATGGTGAGATCTCTTTTTTCCTCCACCGAACCAAAAATCTGCTGACGTTACATGTTCAGGCCAAACAGAACCGTGACGATGGATCCTTTACCACGGCCGATCTCTTTGCACCACACGACAGTATTCCAAATGCCTGGAGATACCACTCACGAGCGGATTCCCAACTCACGTTGATCACTGGAAAGAAGTTCGACCCAGCTCCACTGGAGGGTGCCATTGCCACTGCAGATCTTCTAGACGACGTCCTGATCTTTGGAAACTCACAACCGTTCCCTGGCGCCTTGCTGTTCCGTTCAGAGACGGCACGAGACCTATCCGACCATGACCTCGTGCAGAAGATCTGGCCAGCTATCGAAAAACTCAACTCGGAAAGTCAGGATCATGCTCGTATACCAAAGAAGATGCTGGTTGCCATGCCAGTACTCGATCATCCGCTAGAGAAGAGCAGTAAAGGTACCCTTCAGCGAAGTGTGGTCGAGGCCCGCTTCGCTCAAGATATCGACAAGGCATACGTCAACATGGGTTCCTTCAACGTCGGTGACGTGCCTGACGAAAAGGTTTCCACTGTCATCATTGAGATGATAGAATCCATCGTCCCGAAGAAGGCCAAACTGGAAGATAACACAGACCTCTTCTCTTATGGCGTTGACTCGGTCGCCGGTATGCAGATAAGATATGGGCTTCGTCAACTCCTCCCACAATCGACCAAACAGTTGCCGCTCAACGTGGTGGAGGACTGCGGCACGGTGAAGCGATTGACAGAGTATGTCGTCAAGCAGCGTTATGGCGAAGAGCTTACCGACGACGAGGACGAACGCAAGCTCATGCTTCAACTCGTCGACCAGTATTCCAACTTTGATAACAACAGAAGCCCATCGTCGTCTTCCACCACCAACGGGCAGGGTCAGGGTCAAAACGACAAAGGAGATGTTATCGTGCTGACCGGTGCAACGGGAGCTTTAGGGGCTCATCTCCTGAATCTCTACCGTCGACTCGATTCCGTCAAAAAGGTCTACTGCCTCGTCCGAGGAGCTGAACTGCAAGCTTCAATCGAGCGGGTCGACAAGGCTCTCACGCAGCGCGGCCTTGACGGCCTCGAGAAGGATGACGAAAAAGTCGAAATCCTCCAAACGTCACTGGGAGATGATCACCTGGGCCTCTCCAGTGGAGATTACGAAAGGATTGCACAAGAGGTTTCGATTGTTATGCACGTGGCATGGAGTGTCAATTTCCGCATGCGTTTGCGCAGCTTTGCAAAGGACAACATTGCGAGTAAGTCATCCCCCCCAATCCTATTCATGCATGAAAGGTGTGTGTGACCAGCCGTTTGATTCTCTACACCGCCGTATCAGAAGACCTGGTCATAGGGTGCATGGAATGCAGAGAATGATGCTATTCTTGCAATCTATACTCCCAGAAACCAGGTTTTTCTATATTGCAGATAGATGAATTTTTGCTGCAGGGCTGCATCACCATCAAAAATAGCAAAACAGACCATCTACTGACCGCCGGATTCTACAAACGCAGGTGTGACAAATCTCATCAATCTTGCATTGAGGTCCGGCAGATCTGAAGCAGCTAAATTCGCATACTGCTCGAGCGTAGCAAGTGTCATGGCGTACAGCAAAGGTACCTCGATCCCTGAGAGAATTGTTGACGACCCAGACGCAGCCAGCACCCTGGGATATTCCCGCAGCAAGTGGGTCGCCGAACAAATATGCAGCAGAGCGAACGAGCGCTCCCTGCTCAAAGGTCGTATCGCCATATTCAGAGTTGGCCAGCTCTCAGGGGACACCCAACGCGGCATATGGAATACCAGTGAGGCCTGGCCGATGATGCTGAGCAGCGTCAAAATATCCGGTGCACTGCCGAACCTCGATAAGGAAACTCTCGACTGGCTGCCAGTGGACCTCGCTGCCACGGCCTTGATGCAAGGAATAGCAAGCGTGGACGGGAGCGGAGATGGCGCGCATGTCCTGCATGTGCTAAACGAGCACCGTCGTCCAACATGGCCCACAATGTTGCAATGGCTCAAGAAACGATGTGCCTTTGACATTGTGGACCCGCCCAAATGGGTAGCGCGACTTGAAGATATGCAGGAAGGCGACGGCGCCGATCACCCCGCATATAAACTTCTAGACCATTGGAAGAGGGCTTATGCCCCTGAGCACGAGTCGGAAGAAGACACAAGTTCGGCACCGACCGTCTTGCCGTTCGACATGGCCAGGACCAAACAATCAGTTGCGGTTCTGAGAGATGTCAGTCCTGTCAATGAGCACTATTTTGCCAAGATCTGGGACTGGATCGACAGCGCCATGTAGTTATCTAGCCATCATAGAGTGTGATAACTCGCTTTCGCTATCATAGCACGTATAGTATATTCCTCCGCTTAGATACTGATTCGAGTATAGACTTTGGGATTTTTGTAATCATGGTGCAAACACAACCCCTCTCTCGTTCGCATAAGTTTGCTCTTTCACGAGCCACTTGTTGAGGAGGATGATTGTGGGAACACACTCTCGTGATGGCCATGCAATACCAGTATGAGCGAGATGAGAAGCGTTATCGACGATAAACTCTTGCCCCTGGATTGAAATTTGGCAGGTATAGACAGAACGGCCAGGCCTCGGGATTATGACCGTGGTATAGGGAGAGAGGTATGGGGATGGGAGTGTAACGTCTCGTGGCTTGAATTGAGGGGCAGAGATCGGTTGGGGGCAAGAGAGGTCGATTTGAGTAATGTTCATGGTCACCAAGCCTCCTTGGACGACATATCCTTGCAGGGCAGGAGGATAAGGCTGCATGAGCTTGTCCGAGCCAGGAGCTGGTACTTGCTCCCGAGGATGTTAAGCGTATCGAGTGGGGTCGTCTCTTTCCAGTGCAAACAGACTGTGGACAAGAGCCCGGATCTGGGTAGTTTGAGCCTTACACAAGTGACCTACATGGCGCTAGCGAAGTGTCTCCTGTCGAAGCGGAGCCGTGACTGTCAATGTCAAGGGGGTATGAATGTATGGAAGCGCGGTGCGGCAAGAGGCAGCGCCCGCTGTCCCGCGATAAGGGATAAGACACTGGACTGCTTGGCGATAGAGCTTGGAAGCGTGTGCACGAGCGCGCCGCATTCACGCCTTCACGTGCTCTCGCACCATCGTCGTGTGGCTTGCAACGATGCCATGCGACTTGGAGGTCCGTCGAGTTTACCAAGTCGACGCGGTCGGCCAGTTCGTCGCCGGGAGGCATCGAGCTAGAAGAGGACTAAGCCTGTTCCCCGACCTCTTGTGGGGCGATCATCTCAAGAAGGCACTAGACCTCATGAAAGCCACAAAGAGCCCTGTATCGCACAGAGGATAATTCCTAAAGTGAAATTGCCGCGGTCACATTGCCGAGTGCGATTTGGCACTATGGCGAGATTTTTCGTGTAGGTTGAAGAACAGGCTGGGGAACGAAGCGAGAATATCCTTACTCAGGCACAAACAGACGAGCAGTCTCGGTGCGGCCTCTTTCTGGTCAAGCTCGTTATCTTGTCGTCGCGTACCTGCATGAGCCACTCGAATCTCACACAGTCGCAGACTGTCGTGGAGATAGAGCATGACGTAGGTTGTGAAGATCTGGTCACAGTGGGCGACACGGCTGCGTGCGTGCTTGACCCGCAGACTGAGTCAATCTCCAGTTGTGTTCCCGTTCCTGGCAGTTATGCCTGTCGATTGTCTCAATCTGTTGCACAACCTTGCATTCGTGCACTAAGAGCACTCTACAGAGCATGCTGATCCGTGAGCTGACAATTAGTACGAAAATATACTATCAGTGTAAGAGCGAGTCGGTGATAGGCATAGCGTAGACATCTAATCCTCCTCATCGTCGATGGCTGATTAGGCCCTCGGAAACCGTTGCGCCGTTATACGGAGCGCGATGATCAAAATATGGAAGCTTTTGCCGTAGATCTGAGTCTGCCCGCATTCTAGTATGCGAGTTGCAAGCAGCAGGAGTTCTTTGGAAAAAGTCAATGAGTGGGCATACCGAGCGCTTCAGGCGATTTAGGAAAGTAGCCGAAAAGTGTTGTTGAGAAGTTTATGAGGCGAATCCCAATCAAGGGTGCTGGTACCTGGCATGGCCGTTGGCGTGGGTGTGATCATTTCCACAGGGCAGAGAGAACCGAGCGGTGCACAAGCGCACAAGGGTCTGCAGAAATAATCGATCGACGTTAGCAGGGTCTGTAGCAGGGTCTGTAAGGATGTAGAACATCCAAGGATATTTGTTCGAATTGCCCAGCCAAATGACCGGGAGGTCGTTTTGATTGTGTTGTATATTGAGATGTGCTGTGTGGAAGCTTTCGAGAATGGCCAAGTTTAGAGGAGCAGTTTGAAACACTGGGTCGGAAGGCGGCCAGAGAGCGCGGGGAAGAGCGCAGCCAATCAGCGGCGTTAGGGACTTCACCACACCTGATTGTCGCGTTTCAGCATGTATTGCAATTGTCGCCGTCTACGTAACCACAACCACGTGAGAGCCCATCCCGACTCATTTGCGAGCAAGACAACAGGTAAGCGGCATATGATGTCCCACTATATGATATATATGTGATATAATACTTTTTGATTGGCGACTGGGACTTCGTAAACCGGACAAGAAATGCGCAGCACGGCAGCGCCAATGGCCAGGCTGATCACAATCACACCCGACTCTCAAACAGCAGCGCCCATATTCATGCCAGCCCCGACTAATCCCAGGGCACCACCAAGCAGGTACCGTAAAGTACATGCAAGTACCATCTGGCTCTCTGGCAAATCAGCAATTTCCATACACCCTACGTACGGCCGAGTCATAGACGATTGCAAGGTGATCGTCTGCATGACGAAGATGCCATACGGTCACTGATTGCACGCCACCAGCAGCGCTGCAACTGGGCAGCCCGCCGCGTAGCCGTCTGTATGTGGGAGCGTTTGCTGTGAAAGAACGAGACGCGATAACCAGTGAGCGGGCATGTATCTACCCAGGCTGACCAACGGGCAACGGACGAGCAGCACGACCTTGATACGAGTGGTTTAGCACGCAGACCGGTTTGCAGAGTCAGCCGGCAAGCGGATCCCACACAAGACGTGTTTGTTGACAGACTAGCCATGTATAACAGTTATGGATTCGAGGTGTCGATCGGGGCACAAGGAGAGAATATGCAAGGCCCAATTCGGGCATACTTGCTCTAGACAAACCAGGTGAGATGGTCTGCAGGGCAGCCGAGTAGCTTCACGTGGGATCCTTCGTCTTGAGGCTTCGCGATTGACAACTCGAGGTGCAGTAGTGCCATCGTTAGAATCAACAGCCTTAGGCTAGCTGGCGTGATGGCCGTTCCCAGCAGAAAAAATTAAGAGTCGACGACGGATGGAAATAGACTCGACGCCGGGCCACAAGGCGTCGAGCGGCAAGCTGGCGCGTTAGCGTCGGGATCAAGGCACAGACAGGCGCCTTTTGACCTCTGATGTGCACGGGGCATGGCAGTAACGCGTTCTGAGGGTGCCAGAAGGCGCAGGTATGTGCACAACACAGACTCGCTGGACCGGTGCAGACGGGCGTGGCCTTTGTCAGTTGGTACCCACCAAGCCGTCCGAGGCTTCCCCATCCGCCGCCATGATTGCACCGGTCCTGCGGCCAGTTTCGAGTTGGACGATCAGTACTTGTATGCTCTGCTCCCCCAGCCATAAACAGGTCGTTTCAAACACCATTCCGACCCGGCCATTCTCTCATTGCATTGCTTTTGCCATCAACCCGTTGGTCGTACCATTCTTTTTCGCTGCTCATCAGACGTCACTTGGACTCGATAGCATCTTATACATAGCCCACCAGCACTCCACCCACACTCCCAATCCGTCTTCTCATATCTCTTCTGAAACCGACTCGTCTCTTGCAATCAAACGCAAATCCCAATTTACACGCGGCACCTCCCAAATCCATCGGGTAAGCGTCGTGACGAAGCCACCACCGCCTCTGGACCCTCCAGGCTAACCGAAATTGTCCAGCCCCAATGGAACACCAATATATGACCCAGACTCCTATGCAGTCGCCCATGTATTACTACACTCCTCAAAAGCAGCAGCAGCTCCACTACAACTCGCACATGGCTCCTCAGAACATGGACTACTTCTCTCAACCCATTTCCTCGCACGTCCTGTACTCTCAGCGTAGCCCTCCAGTCTACCAGCAACAGCCCCAGTACATCTCGCAAGCCATGCTCACTCCTGCTGCCTCGCCTCGCCCTCAGCACCAGAAGCCCACCATCATGCTCCAGCAAGAGATGATGTCGTTCGACTCGGACTGCTACGGCCCTGCCACTCCCACTCTGTCTGCCACCAGCTTCAACTCTGCCGACAGCCCTCAGTCCAACTACCACATGATGCCCACCCCTGCCAACGAGCTTCACATGAACCCCTTCGACGGACTCAAGCAGAACTGTGAGGACGACATGTTCGGTGAGTGGACTCAATCACAATCTCCGCCTTTGACTCCAGGTACGTGTTTGGATGAGAGGGCAATTTGCCTGCATTGGCCAATTATAGAGCTGCGGCTGACTCGCTAGCTGAAGTGTACCTGCATCCCGCCTCGGCATTCTCCGAGAACAGCAGCTACCTGCTCTCCAACTCGGCTTGCCCATCGTTGTCGCCCTCGCCATCGCCGACTGCTCGCTCTGCCATCAACGACGCCAGTGTCTGCGATCCCCGCACTCTGACCGTCCCCAGCAACGTTTTCCCTTGTCTGCCCACCCTGTGCGCCGGCGATGACGAGGAGCACAAGTTGATACTCAAGGGCGACTTCTCTCCTTCCAAGACTTTCGACGCTTCCTTGATGCCTACCAACCACGGCTTCCCCACATTCGAGCCTCTTTTCGAGCTCGACGTCGAGGACGACTTTTCTGCCAGCAAGCGCCAGCGCGTTGACTCAAACTTCACTGCCGACTCCAGCTTCTGCTTCACCGACGCTTCCTTCAGTGACGAAGACCTTACCTTCTCCCCTTGCCAGTCAGAGTTCTCCTTTACCTCTGGTCCCATCATCGACATGACTCCTGTCCGTCGCTCTGCCAACAAGAGGGTCGTCAAGGCTCCTCAGTACAGCGCCGCATCTCAGTCTGCCAACAACCAGCCTCAGTCGGTTCCCAGCAACGCTGCCGCATCTTCTTCCTCGTGCTCCGCCTCTGGCGATGACCACTCTCACTCTGGCCCCTCGTCCTCGACCACCCGCCGCGGTCGCAAGCAGTCTCTGACCGAGGATCCCTCCAAGACCTTCGTCTGCACTCTCTGCTCCCGTCGCTTCCGTCGCCAAGAACACCTCAAGCGCCACTACCGTTCGCTCCACACTCATGACAAGCCTTTCGAGTGCACCGACTGTGGCAAGAAGTTCAGCCGCAGCGACAACCTCAGCCAGCACCAGCGCACTCACGGCGCCGGCACTGTTGTCATGGGCGTCATGACCAGCGACATGACTTCTCAGATGGCAGTCAACGTTCCAGACGTTGGCTCGGGTGTTCTGCGCCCCAAGAGCGAGTCTCCCGATGCCAGCGAGCTCGGTGCCATGCTCTTCGACCACGCCGCCGCCGTTGCCGGTTCCAGCAGCAGTAGCCAGTCGGGCTACGACTCCGCTGAGGACAACAGCTTCCAGCAGAAGAAGAGAAAGCGCGATGACTAGATGTCTTCCGCCTAGCACTCTTTCTCTTTCTGACGTTTGACGCCTTACGACACATCACGGCCAACCCTCCTTTTCAGTTTGCTGCCACCTCTAGACTTGTACCTTCTCGCAAGATTGTCTCTCTGGATGAGAGTACAGAACAAAAGTCATACGCTCTGGTGCCTCCAGCCGCAATGCGAGCCTTTTCCTTATTGCTTTATTTCACTTCATGTCTATCTTTACACCTTCCTGGGGCAAGGTTTCTTTGTTCTCAGCCCCTTTGCTTTGGGGCTTTTCTGTACTGTACAGCGAATTATCTGCATTTGCATGGATGGGAGCTCTGGGAACAACGGTCTTTTGCTATCTTAGCTATCTGAATCTCAACATCAAGCCCACCAGTGGCCTCTGACACCTTTGAACAATATTTCTATCTCTTGTCCATGAATGTCTACCTTGTGCCACATGTCTCTGATTATGCTTTTTGCCTTTGCAAGCTTTCCAGACTTGACTTCTTCACGAGCTCGAGGGTACGTTTCAGATCGCCAATTTGCGGGGAGATGATCGCACTCTACCAAAAATCCGAATTTGCAAATCTCCAAACCCTTTAAATATCCAGTACAATAGCTGACCATTACTTGTCCCGCTCCACTCACATGCCCTGAGCAAGAAGATCTCCCGTAGCATTCTGACTCTTGCAAGAGACACGGCAGTTGCTTTGGTGTGTGACATGACTCTGTGGTGATCACGGTGTCTAGAAACGTCCTCATATCTACACTATGTCGCTTTCTCTCCATACAGCAGAGCAGGAGTGGATACATGAACGCTGGCGCTCCAACACTTGCATGTCAATGCCACTATGCCACCGCTTGTACTGCGGGTCGGCAGCATGATTACTGATATCCTTGTCACTTGCAAGGCCACTGGTCAAAGGAAGAGCAGGAGCGTACTTGTCCGCACTCGACCGGGGAGATGGCAGTGCTTGATGAGGAGATGTTCTGTGCTTGACTAGCAAAAACCTTGCGATTCTTTACCGCATTCATAGCGAGCGAGGAGTATCGCCGCGACTGCCGCTGCTGGTGCGTTTTGCTGGCCAGCCTTCTTTTTTTCCTGCATGTTGAGAGAGAGAGAGAGAGCACTGGACACACGAGCGGCCGGCTCCTTCTTTCGGTTGCCTCAAGCGAAGATTTGATCTTGGTTCGCGATCCGTATCCACATAACCTGATCGATATTGCACCGTGAGAGTTCATGGGGGTCAAGTGGGAATCCAAGATCAAGGGGTTCAAGAGGTCTATTCGCCTATCCTGAGAGTCAAAGACCCCTTGGAAGATACGAAGTGGAAGCGGATTTCTGTTTTCCTGCATCTCTCTCTCGCTTTGCTTCTTGGCCCTAGCCCGGAGTAAGACTCCATCGGAGCAATGTCATCCGTGTCTTTTCTCAAACACCCCACATTCTTGGTGAGCCAGACCTCGGACGCTCTGCTTGACTCGTCGCTTGCTGCCAAATCGTCATGCCGCATCCCTTGGCCTGCCGAGTATTTCCTTTGCCATGTCCGCTTTTTTCTTTCATTTTTTTCATTGTTCCTCTTCTCTCCGGCTGCTCGGCGTCAAGGGCACAGTAAGCAGGGCCCAGAACTCAGAAGCGGGAGATTTGCAGAGGGCCCGCGATGAGCCTCCCGTCGCACAATCTCACCAAAGGTTACGCCATTCATCTTTCCTTCCGATCATCGATCATCGATCTCGTCGTGTCTGGAGGAGATTAGGCACGCCGAAACTTCTTTCAGCTGTGGTTCTTCGCGACAGACTTGTGTTACAGCGTCGACCCATGGTTGCATGTGTTTTCGAATAGTTTTTTCCTTCTCGCTTTGGTCGCTTGAGATGGCTGGAGTCAGCAACGCGTGTGCGCTTCGATCGCAGAGGATGGCTGCATGTCATCATGCTCTGCTCTTGCTGCACGAGCGCGCGCTACGTCAACGTCAAGTCTGTATATCCGACCATGTACATCGTAATGAAGCCTCCGGATCCCGATCATGCAAGGAACGGAGTCAGGTTCACCAAGAGTCTGGATACACTCATGAGTTGGTAAACTGGATACGTGGATACCTGCACCTGTCATGCACGGCACAAACTGCTAAATCCTTCGCCTTTGTCACTGTCGAGATACTCTGGTACACTTGGGAGTCCCTACCCATTGACACTTGCAGTCATCATCAATTCTCCGATCACGACCTGCAAAGATCTTCCCTAGGTGTAGCAGCCTAAACCGAAGTCCACATGACTATTGTACATACCACGCGTCTCCACAACGCCTCAAATCTATGCAGGTATAACGGCCACTCTTCATGACCATTCTTTGCCAATGTGTGCATCTGGGCCTCATGATCGATGCAGACCACCCAAATCCCAGGCCCGAGATAACCGATGAAGGATCCATAGCGAACGAGAACCTAGAAGTGTCGCAAATAGGAAAAAGGGCACGATCTCGAGAGATCCAAAAGAGATACGTACACAAGATACCTGCATCTTGTTTGACACTTGCATCTCCCACGGATCCCAAACCGTAGCCCCGAGAATATTCAGTGGATGCTACACGTTTAGGCAAAATTCACGGCTTTGCTCGGTGGACTGCTCCAGAGCAATTACCTGACTCTTATCGACCTGGAGATTTTGAAGCTAGCATTGATGATGGTCGATGGTATGCATACCCGCTTCCTAGCGATTTTGCGATTTCCAGGTCACGATCATTGTTTGCATGCATGTATGACTGATGATTGTGGCCGTCGGCCGCCGAGCTCTCTCAGCTCGTCGGGTGTGCGCTTACACGCTTCGTGGGGTTTCCTCACACAAAGGAATCCTTCAAGTGTCAAAGATATGGCAGCACGCCAATGACCCGCTGCTTGGCCTGCCCCATCATACAATGAAGTCTCCCCACTGCTCTAGATCTCTGTATGTGGATGTCCCCATCCACCTTCTCCCTCTCCCATCACGGGAATGGCTTTTTCTGCTCTGTCAAACGGACATTATTGATTGCACTACTCGAGTAGAGGACCAGAGAAAGCATCGAGTACACGACACAAACCATTCAGGAGGCCACACGGGAAGCAAAAGAGGTTGAGCTGTACAGTTGACAATAGTGTACAAAGGAATGGGGTGAGAGTGGAGTTTTAAGCCTCTAAGCGATACCAAAAATGCCAATACCACCTCCTCGGAAGGACTCCGCTATACCAGACATACCAACCAACAGAAATCCCCTCTATATAAGCTCTTTCTTGTGGAGACAAACGCAAACAGCTTTTTGTCTCGTAAAAAACTTCTAATGATCCTCCGCTTTGCCCAAACGTGCACTTTTGAGAGTTCAGGAAAAATCACGCAAGCAGAGCAAAAACGCGTGAGGATATTGTCTCAGATCTCATGGATATCCACACTCACGAGCTAAATGTGGGGTTCTGGAGGATCCTTTGGTCTGCTATTGCGAAGGCCTTGGCGGGTCCCCTGGCGGATTGATCGTCCCCTCGCTGTGCCTGTAGGAGACCAAGACACTGTCAACGTACTCTAAGGATTCCCTCTCGCGAAAACAGAACGGCATGTTTGGCCCGACATCTGTCAACGAGCGTCTTTTGATCCTTGGCTTTTAGTGGACGCCTTTTGCCCAAGCGAAGAGGATTCACAGTACCACTGTAGAGGTACTGCCTTTTGCTCCTGCCGCAATTGTAGTATTTGCTGAGCAAAGGATCCAGACACGCGCAACGGGACTTAGCCTTCTCGCAATGGTTACATGTTCACAGTCCACTTTGCTCTGCTCTGCGCCCTATCCTCGTATCTCCTCGCTCTGATTGTCCTCAAACACCAACTGGTATGTCACCACAAGAACGCGGAAACAAAAGTATGTGGCTTTTGTGGAGTATCTCGGTCGAGAAAACTGTCGCCATACGATTGTGGAGTCTCTTCTGCTTTGACGTGTTCTTTGCCCTATCTGTCGTATGTGTTCAAGCCATTGCTTTCGCAATGAGGCGTTCGAGAAATGTGTACGGACGTAAATATGGGTGGCCAAGAGAGTCCAGTCCCAGTCCCATGGGGAAGTGGAGGGCTTTCTCAGGCACGGGACGACCCATATTGCACTCTCTCTGATGAGGGGGGGGGGGGGGGGGACACTTTCTAATGACGGGTACTCGGAATATCGCCTTCGTCCGTGGCCATCTCATTGGAGAGAGAGAGTGCGGTATTTGGCATTTGACGTTGTATTATCAAAAGGTAGCATGAACGGAAAGACCGACGTGAGAGAGAGAGGAGTAGTGCTACTATAGTCAGTGGACTAGTCTCGATGCTATGCATAGATCTTGTCGATCGCTGATCGTCGCTTTTGTTGAAGATCATCCACGGCAGCGCGGTACAGACTTCCTCTTTGCAGACAATGCTCCACTGCTTCGCGCGACGTACGGATACGTACGATGAGGTAGATAACCCGCAAGGTATGCAGAAAAGGGCAGCCGCTCGTGCAGAACCGCAGATAACAGATAACAGATTACACAAAAAGAACGGAAAGAGGGGTGGAGATGATGTGCAAGAAGAAGAAGAAGAAGAAGAAGAAGAAGAAATCAGCACGTGGGCAAGGCTTATTCATCTTTACGCATGTATAAGAGGTACAGCTGTCTTATACACAGCAGTAGGCTTTTTGCATCCGCATCTGAAACAGCAGGCACACCTCGATAGAGTTCTGGCATACCCTGCATAAAAAGGGTTTATGACCCTTGTCCAAGAATAATTGCCGGACGCCGTTCGGAGTTTTGTGCCCTGAGTGCCCTGGAGAGCCCAGCGAGTGCAATTGAGTTTATGCCATATCCAAGATTTGAGATATCTCGTGTTCGGTCCAGTCTTATGCAGGGCGGGCTGTCCGACCAAGAGTCTAGCACATCTTTTTTACCCTTCTTTTTTTTTTGTTTTTTTTAATTCCCTCGCCCGTGGAAATCCCTCTCGTCCCGTTTTCCCTGCATGGTAGCCCTGGACCCTCGGAGGACGGAAATATGTTTTCCTTCATAAGGGACAAGTCGGAGGTACAAGCATTTTATTCTCCACTGGACTAAAAGACTTGCATGAGGCAGTGATAAGCGACGGAGATATATGTCCCAAATCAGCAAGCGACTACACACGGTGATAGTGGCTCGTCTCCTACTCGAGGCTACGCATTGATATTGGCGAGCTAGACGAGAGAGGAGGCCATGTCCTCAGGTACCAGAACCATACCAAGCCTATGATGTACTAAGAAAAGGCAAGAACTTTGCACATCGGTGATATTACAATTCCTCAAGCATTTGTGGTATAGTTATATACCAAGAGATCCACGTGCGGTGCGAGAAAGCTAGAGAAAGGGGAAGCGAAACAGAGAGGGTTCGAACTCCTGTTCTGCTCTCCATGCTCCATCCTATTCGGTCACTACACAAAGAAAACCATGATCCAGCTTCCAGAACGGGTTTCGCCAAAAGTTTAAGAGCGTACTTGGATCCGCGGTGTAGCTTTCTGCTCGAGAATCGGGTGAACGACCGCTTGTGAACTACCGAGTGCGGTCCGAGATCACCAATTGGGAAAAGCACCGCCACCAGACTGCGGGCTTGCAGTATTCTCACGACGAGACCGCGATATCCCGTGACTTTTGCTTGCATAGGCCTTTGAACAAACTTTCAGCCTCCTATGCTCCACTCATAAACGGGTTTGCAGAGCAGAAGGGAAGGTGCACGCAAGGCAAGACGTAAGCATCCCGCTCAGAGACAAAGCCGCAACTTTATCCCTACTTGCATCCCATTGTTATGAAACGGTGCAGATAAACAAATGCAAAGATCAAGCATATCTGAGACGCGTTCTGTGGACAGTTTTGTGCGGCTGAGGAGTTCGCTCCCCGTTTGCATGTCGTTTGTGTCGTTTACGTCGTTATGCCCATCCAAATCACCTTTTGTCATCGCTCCCCCCACATGGTTCCCGCGTGTATAACCTCAATTGCGTACCTGGCTAGCAGAACAAGACATTAATAGCACTGAGACATAATGATGGCAAAGGTTCGCTTGCACATTGCGATGTGCAAACAAACGTATAAAACGACTTCTGCCGCGCCTGAAGGAAGGGAATAGTGGATATCATTTTCTTGCATATGCCCCTGGTGAGAACTGCCGCGCTCCATGAAGGATTGTGGATACAGTATCTGTAAGACCTACTTACCCGACTTAAGAACGCCTCTTCCCACAGGAACGCCTCTGTATAGACGAGCTGTGGAACTATCTCCCCTACTGCATGCGATCGAGGATCAAACAGTCAATAGCTGAACCGATTGTTCAACAAAGGTCACCTTTTGAGATCGATCTCCAGTCTATCACCCCTTGCTTTCTCGACCGGAGAAGACCTAGTTCTGCGGCGCACTGAGTGCAGCCTTTTACTTGCCATCTACTGAAAGCCTATCCCACGGCCGCATCCAGCTCCGCGAAGCTCGAAAAAGATAGTTGCATGTGGGAGATCAAAGTGCCGGAGAGGCAGAGAAAGCTAATCGAGAGTCGAGAATTGTCATTGCGTTCGTTATACAGTAGAGTTATGCTTTGGCGGTCCCGCCGGACGCCCTCTGTTCAAGCAAACTATGCCAAGTTGTTCACAGTCCAAACCCGCGCCTGTTTTTACCTTTACCTTCCCCAGAGGTGATATGAGACACAACGACGGCTCGGAGGAATGACGAGAGTTTGTTCCTGGCTAATAACGCAATTCTCAACCTTAAGAGAGACCTCCTTGAGAGTTTGTCGGCCTAGGATCTCGCCGACAACCCTACAAAGTCTGGAGCAGGCCTCCACTTAGAAGATGGGACCTGATAGCCGACCGTCCAGTAGGAAGAGCGACAGTGAAGTTCGTTGCAAGATACGTACGAGGCAGCGGCGGGGCACTGGTGACAGAGACGAAGGTTTGCGGAGAAAGAGGAGTCATACGAGGAAGCGTGCGAGGTTGAGAGGTATGCAGTAGCGTGAATGTTCAAGATGGACGAGGCTCGTCTACTCTCCCTGCTCGTCGCCAATCTTCTCAAGCTTGCCCATGGCCCTCTTCTCGCCCGTCTCGCCGACGATCCTGATACGATCGACTCTTGTCTTCTCGCCATCGCCCTCTCCCTCGGCAACAAAGATGACCAGACTAGTGACGTTTTGGAACTTGACGAAGCGCAAGTCGACCTTAGCAGTACCGGTCTTGGCATCCCAGTCCGACTCCTGCAAAGTGATGTCCTGGGTCGAAGGGATTGACTCGGCCTCGTCAAATGACAGGACGTTTGACTTGTTGGTGTAGAGCTTCAGAGTACGAGGACGCACAATGTCATCATCACCTTGGGTGGGGAAGGAGGTGATGTGAAGACTGTGGACCTTGAGCGAGCTCTGGAAAGGAATGTACATCATGAGCTGCTCGTCGGTGTCACTCTCGATCCAATCCTTGTTGGCGGGCGACTTTGATTTTGAGATTGCGCTGGGCTGAGCAGTGTTGAAGACAGCGCGGGCATTGCCAGCTTCCGAGTCGACATTGAGGAAGTCGAGGTTGAGCAGATCAACACTGTCGGTGATGTCTGAATATGCGCGAGGAAGAGATGCGCCAATCCAAGTGCCAGACGAGGATGACGATGAGGCGTCGGCTGAAGAAGACTCGGCTTCAGAGGCCAGTGACTTGACAGCAGCATCGAGGGCCTTGGGGTCGGCGCCACGGATGCGCTGAGTCTCGCGACCGTTCTTGAAGACCATGAAGGTGGGCATGGCGGTGATGTTGTATGTCTGGGCAATGTTCTTCTGGTTGTCGGTGTTGACCTTTGTGAAAGTGATGTGGTTGGGGCGGGAGAGCGAGTTGGCGAGCTGCTCGTAGAAGGGGGCGATGGCCTTGCATGGGCCGCACCAGTCGGCGTAGACTGAGATGGTGGTTAGTAGCTAGGTATAGAGATGGCGGGGTGTGAGTGTTTGCTCGGCGCACATACAGTCGGTCACGACGATGCGCGACGACGACAGCAGCGAACTGAATTGCTGCGGCGACTCGATGTGGACGATCTTGGACGACATTGTTGATTGCGTTCGTTGATGTTGTTGTCAAACGCTGGCTCGGCGTTGTTGCTTGCTCTTGCCCAAACAGTGAGTGATGGATGGCGGGGCAAACGAATTCAAGCGCGTCACAGAAGCTCGCCGAAACAAAGAGACGTCAGAGGGCAGCAGCGACCATCTTAGAAAGCATTCCAAACATGCCACCTGCCACGCAGTCCGCCCTATCTCAGCCACTGTACGGTCTCGCTCTTTCCCGCAGCGAGCGCATTCTAGTCGTCGCTCTTTCCTACACCTGGTGCCTGCCTTTGTTCGTGTCCTTTGGCCAGCGCTTCTGGAACTGGGCCCGCCGTTCTCGCCAAAGCAGTCAGCCTAGATAAATACTCTGAGACGCATCATCACCCACCACATCACCCATACCAAGCCTGTGATCATGGCTTCCCACGTCGTCGTTATAGATGCTGCTTACAAGCGCTATCCGATCAAAGTCACTCCCGCCACTTCTCTACGCAACGTCCTCGAGCAGACATGCAACAAGCTCAACCTCGACCCCGATCAGCACATCCTCAAGAATAATAAGGACAGACCCGTCGACCTCTCTTTGCCCTTCCGTCTCTCTGGCCTTGTCTCAGGTGCAAAGCTTACCCTCGTCCAGTCCTCGCGCTCGCCCTCTGCCGTCAAAGTCGCCCTCCAACTACCTGCTGAGGATAACTCGCCACGCCTAGAAGACCACTTCCCCAGCAACACTCCACTCTGGCTCATCCTGCGCAAGTTCGAGGATGGTGTCGCTGGAGCCACAAACAAACTCAACCTCACCGAGCGAAGCGCTCCGAGCACAGAGACCGGCAATGGCTACCTCTGCTACCTACAACCCTGTCTGAACATTGGAGGCAGCGCGAGAGAGTTATCTACCTTCTTGGATTTACAAAAGTCCCTCGCTCAACTTGGTCACAACCACGGCAATGTTTTGATCAGGCTGTCGTTCAAGAACGAGGGTGTGCGCATGGAAGAGGCCAAGGCCCAAATTACCACATACTTGCAAGCTCTATCACCACAAACCGCTTCTGAGGTGCAGACTGCATCGTCACACGGTGCACACGCCGCTCCCGACGGGCAGCTCTCGTCACTCCCTAACGCAGATGCTGACAACTCTGCCGTGCCACGAGAAGACGATGCCGCCCAGGATCCATCAGAGGACACTGTCATGACTCCTGCTCCTGAACTCGCTCCTGCCGAGGAACCTGCACAAGAAGACGATGTGATAGCATCATCTTCGACGACTCAAATGCCCTCAACCGAGAGTCAATTTCCATCGCTAGACACAGGCGTCTCGATCTACGCTGCTCCTTCCGACAACACTCCGTTTGCTGCAAGACAGACATACAACGAAGCGGATTACATGCCCTCTGTCGAACACGCTAACGCACACCAAGCCAGTCTCCTTAAGCAAGGTAGAAATACTCGCCTACCATCCGACAAGGAGATTGCTGCCAAGAGTGCGACCAAAGCAGCTGCTCTCGACGAGATCAAGGCTGCTGCTCTTCGCATTCGCTTCCCAGACATGATGATGGTTGAGTGGCGAGCTTCGCAATCAGACACATCCGAATTTCTCTACACAAAGGTTAGAGAGATGCTCGATGATCCTTCGCTCAAGTTCAGGCTACAGATCGCCGGATTCAAGATGCAACCACTAGTTTTCGACCCTTCAGGTCAACAAAAGCTCATCAAGGATCTGGGTATCAGGGATCGCTCTCTGATCACATTCGTCTGGGACGACAGTGTGCCCAAAGAGACGCGTGACAAACCACTACTGAAGCAAGCATTGAGAACACAAGCCAGAGCATTGGAGGTGAAGGAACCAGTTGCAGAGGAAGAGACCAAACAGGCACCTGCACCCAAGACCGAAGAACCTAAGAAGAAGTCTACGCTTTCGGTTGCAGACAAGGAGGCCAAGCTGAAGAAGCTGATGGGCTTTGGCAGGAAATGATAAGAGTGTGATAATGACGATTGGCATACATTGCAGCAAAGCAAGTTTGTGTAACAAATTCCTCTTAATGAATGAAACGATATGACCCGCAACTCTCAGAATCTGCAAATTAGAAGACGTACGATCGCCGTCTATGATGCATCTTTCCATTTGCCCTGTGCAATGGATGTATCTTCTTGCCTTCCTTTACAGTTCATCTTTCCCCTTGCAAATCACTCAATATGTTTAAATTCCAACCATCCTCAAGGGCTACCTCTCAATCACTGTCCATTGGTCGTTTCCAGTCGCCAACCATACAGAAGATACAGTTTTGGTAGGAGCGATCCATCAACGAGTATGGATGGCTCTTTTACTTGCGCTGGAAAAGGGGGAAGCCGCAAGGTGACGTGATGTTTGCATATTCGGTTGGAGATCACAGTGTAGCATGACAGTGGGCTTGATGACTTCTGATGACTAAAGCCTGTTGATGGGATATCATTTGATCGTTCCGGGGCCAAAGTATAGTCAGATGGTGCTTTTGATGACATTTGATTGCTTTCGATTGGCTTTCAATGATGCCTCATAGACTTTCTGATCTTTTTTTTCTGCCTCGCTTTTCTAGTATCGAGAGGTATTTACGCTTTGTTTCCAACTCACGAGTTGCATGTCATCCGATCATCGTCCGAGGCCTTTGAGGTGACTGACGATGTTTGGTGGCAAGGGAACTTGGTAGATACGCGAAACATGTTACTTGCTCCAAAAAGCTATGTCTTTGTATTATCTATGTCTCATAGAAGCGGACACAGATGGTCAACGCATCAGCAAGCCCATACAGAGGGAACGTTCTTATCCTCTAGTATCACACATCACTCATCCTCCTGAAGATGCTCAAAGTCCTCCCAATCAACAGAAAAGCCATAATATTGCTCCATCATTCTTGCACAGATCTCACCAGCTCCAGTCTCGAGCATTGTCTCCATTGCCTCCACAGCTTCACCAAATACCTTGCTCCTAACATCGACGCCCCGATGCTTAGCTACCTTATCAGCAGAAAATGCACACATGAGCAGACTGCCTACCATAAACGGCAACTGGCTCTCCTGCTCGAGGTAGTCGGGGCCAAAAAGATGGCGCAAGGAGGACGAACAAGCATCGTTGATCCTGCGGAGGAGTATCCAGCAGAATCGATGCAGACGGAAGTAGTCGAAGGTTAGATGCATGCCTTCGGATTGCAGAGAATTGGCCAGACCTTCAAGGAAGCTGTGGGTGTTGAGTTTGGTGGTGACGTTATACTTCGTAGTGATCTGTTATTCGGAGGGGAAAAATGGTTAGCCTTGTGTTGTATATGATTTACTTGTTGACACTAGTGAGAACGTACCTGCGCCGCGGCCTCATCGGTCAAGGGCTTACCCTCAAAGAAAGAGTTCTCAGGATCGCTGAATTGGGCCTTGATGTGTCTTTCCACAGCATCCAAATCGGTGGAAAATGACTTGCCGTTGTATGGGTAGCGTGTAGCAAACAACTGTGACAGCTCGAATGAGTTTTCCAGACCAAGAGGACCTTTCGGCGAAGCTTCATGAGTAGTTTGTCTTGTGTTCTTGGCCGGGGAAGTGACCGAATAGCCCATACAGAGGGTAAAGCGCTTGAGGTAGTCTGGTCGGGCATTAGCAGATGGTTTGCGTAGAGGAAGTTGTTACATGATGAGGCCTGTGAGTGAGTCTAGTATAGATACCTTCAGCTTTCTTGAGTCGGTTACCAACGAACATCTTATCCTCATCTTGGAGTAAGAATACCAACTCCATATCTTTCCAGATACTCTTCAAGAGCTTTTCTTGTCTGACAGCGTTGTACAGATGAGCTGTACACACGACTGAGCCCCAAGCATTGCAAAAAGCAACACCAGCTTCTTGCATCAAGTATATGAGAGAAAACAGCCAGACCCCGCAAAGTGAAGGGTATTGCTTGAGAAGTTTGGAAGGCTCCCCAGCCGTTTGGGGGCCAATTTGTGGATTGCGTCGAAGAGATTTCTCGATGATCTTCTTCACATGATCTTGCTTGATCTAAGTATCGATGATGTGCCGGATCTGACCCAACACTTGGTCGTCGTTAGCACCCCAAGTGTCGACGCGCAGCTTCTCGTGGAATTTGGCGTTTTGTCTGAGGGATGCATCGATATGGCTGGCAGTAGTCTGTAGTCTAGAGTAGAAAAAGAATTAGTATATTTTCTCAGCACCTTACCAAACATAGTGCTATAATGGTTGAGATCAGCATCGTAGTAGACACTTACTCAAGAAGTGCTCGAGAAGCCTGAGAACCCATGACGTGTTGAACATCAAGAAAGTTTTGAACAGCGAAAGCGAGCCAAAGCGGAACCTTCTTGCCTGGCGTCATCTCTCGAACACCTCTGATCAACTCGTCTTCAACGAAGCATCCTATCTTTGCTATAGCAGAGAATCCGGAGAACGCTTCAAACAGTACAATTTTGTCATCCTGGAATTTGTCGTGCGGCGACTTCTGTGACCACTCAGTAGACAGATCACGGAACCCAAAATGGCCAGGCTTGTAGAGTGGAATCTCATTAGGTCCAACCACGTTGGTCAGAGAGCCCATGATAATGTAGGTTGGCAAGAGAATATGGTCAGCCAGGTCATATACTGCCATGTTAATCAAAACGCCAGAGCGTTGCCTTTGATCGGGATCTTGACCCTGAATGGCACATTGAGCAATGTAGAAAGTGTGGATGAGACCTTCGAAGTCCGAGTGATCTGGGAAGTTTGCATCGTAGTCTTCTTGCATGCGTCTGACGAGCTCAACAGCGGTGTTTGTGGTGATTGAAACCGAGTGCAGGTTCATCTTTCCATCGCGATACATGGTCCAAAGTGACTTTATGTGTTCTCTGATGGAGCTGATGTCGGCCGACAGACAGTGAGCAGCAAGGTATTGCTCCTCGATCTTCTGGACTCGCTCAGCCTCATAATGGGAGCCAGTATCAACCTCGGCAGGAAGCCTCTGAGCGTCTGCAGGAGGTGGAGCACTGAGAAACTCGTCACTGGGCTCTTCCAAAGTCAAACCTTCAAATATGTTTCCAATGTGGCTTCTGTCAGAGCTCTCGGGTGTCGGGGATGAAGAAGGTTTGGTGATGCGATAGTCAATAGTGTCAGAGGGCATCCGAGATTTCAATGTCTGGCGGACTCGTTCGAGTGTATCGAGGAATAATGCGTGTCCATCGGTCTTTGATGATTGACCAGCATCGTTGAACCAGGAGTTGTGCTTTTTACGGAGTGCGATGGCGCGGTCCAGAGCTTTGACAAAGGCGGTCGGAACTTTGACGGGTGGTTTCTGGAAGGCGACGATGTGTTCGGCCAGAGAGACGAAGTCTTTGATAGCGATCGTGTAGGTTACTGGTCCTGCTGGAGTGGGATCGGATCGATTGTCCTTGGTGGTCAGTGTATCAACAGGGTTCAGAGCCCTGCCATTCTTCTTCTTCTTCTTCTTCTTCTTCTTCTTCTTCTTCTTCTTCTTCTTCTTCTTCTTCTTCTTCTTCTTCTTCTTCTTCTTCTTCTTCTTCTT